TGAAAGAGTGCGCTCGAAGAGGCATGTGGCGACCGAAAATATATCGATTTTGCGACTTTCTACTTATATAACGAAAAGTTAAAAAAATCGTGCGAACTGTGGCTATTGATACGACTTTCCTGTTTCCACACAAATAACGAAATTACTAATTAGATTCCGTGGAAGTGCTCATTAAGGACGTTTACACCGTTGGAAACAATGTCGATTTTTTTAAATTGTTGGAATGGTAATGAGGCGATTTCAACGTAGTCAATTTCCTTCGATATTACTTACAAGAAACTCATTAATTTAATGATTATCCTCGTGATTATACGGACAATATTTTCTAAATGCAACTACCGCCTCCGTTCTTAATGCTCACGATTTTCATATAAACACCGTGGTCTAGTTTAAATAAAAATTATGGATTTAAAACTGTACTAAGGCGGTCGTTGTAATTACTTGAAGGTTAACCACTGTCGTCGTTACCACGTCGATAAAAATTTCAAAATATCTGTTTGCATTTTAAGCGCTGATAGGTGTTCGCTAGGTAGGACAAGTAAATGTTTGGTTTCACTGGGCTGCTATCCACTTCCAAAACTGATACCGAAAATTTATTAATCACAACTAATTTGATCGATATCTAATCGTAGAGTATTCTACAAGGTACTTTATCTACGAACTTGATGTGATTTTGATGTATCTATATATTGTTCTCTTCAATCCCAGCTTTCCAAAAATACTCAAAAGTGCACAGATGTTCGTTAGTTTTTAAATGTAGTGCAGGGAAGGTGGAAAAATAATTTGAAATGAACAACATAACTACTATCCAGCTAAATTAGAAAATTTTCACTATTTTTTGATAAGCCAGCAGGTGATCAAACGAATAAATTGTGTATGTTTTTATTGTAGATGGTGACCTATTGTCAAAATCTGGTTTTCTTATGTCCACATTCACTGGTTCGTTAAGTAAACAAAATTCTACGTCCACAACGCTCACAAACGGTTCTTTTTATTAAGAATAATTTATCGTTTATAAGAAAAAATAAGAAATAGACGGAAAATAAAGCAAGAAAAGACCACTGAAATTCTAAGTCTATTAACATTTTAAAGCTGATCGTTAACAATATATACAAGATAACAATTTTGCTATAAAACGCCGATAACAAAATATAAATTGAAATATATATTATAAAGTATACAATCAAAAATTTTGCTTTGATAATGCTCGTATTAGATCAAGTATTAGTATCGTAAAAATTTAATCTTTTACAATATCTGAAGAATGCTGAAAAAGTAGAGTTGAAAAATTAAAATGGTGGTGCCACTTTATCTGTAGTCACTTCCATCAACAATTAGGAATATGGTATATTGTAATACATATAGTTATTTTGACGAATGTCTAATTTCTCTCGCATCTCGTAGGATACAAAAATGCAGGCTTGCCGTTTCCGTTGGCGGCTTAGCAGAAAAATAATCCCCAAAACTAACGAATTCATTTAAAATATGCTACGTTTTTTATTAAAAAATTTGATGAGGCCATCCCAAAATATTATTTAGTAAACATTATTTCAAATACCAATTTGTTTGCGGAAATATCGATACCTCGTAGCCTAGGGACGTTAACAAAAAAAAAAAAAAAAAGCTTGGAACACCTGTCCGTCAAAATGATTCTATTACAATATTTTCCATAAAAGTAAAAATAAATTTGAAATTGATAGTATTGATACTTTGGTTTTTGGAAAATTGGTAAACTGATGTTCTACAGCGTTTTACTAAAAAAAGAAAGTTTTTCAAACTATGACTTCCAAAGTGAAGAAATCACTTTCATCTAAAACACCAACAAATTAGCAACTGTATTTCATTGTATTTTTAATACACTATTATTATGTTCAATATTATTTATTATCATCGTTTCGTTCGGAACAAGGCTGCCGTAATGACGAAACCAACATCCTGACCCCTATACCGCCGACCAACAATAGTCGCAACGAAACTCCAACGGAACACCGAAGGCCAAATCATGCCAAATTAATTATTCAAAATATTAATCATTAATTAATCATGACATTAACAATTACGACGAGATCCCGAATCCCGATAATTTCCAACTTTACCACATCACGCCAAATAATGCAATGCACTCGAGGTATTCGACCTCCAAACGCACTCTACGGATTTCTATGTCAATTCTTATGCAACTCGTTTTTCAAAAGACTCATTGATTCAATTTAAATCGCAATTGAACAAACGTACAGCATTGAAAGAGGTTCGCAGAGAAATTTTGCATAACCAAATCGAAAAAGAGAAAAAAAGGTTTCCTCATTTTACGAAGACATTACGAACGGTCTTGTGTAATCGGAGAAACTTGAGTTGCAGGTAGCCAGTAGTACGACTGCACAAGCAAGTGCCCCGTTTTTGCACAAAATCGGTATTTTATCAGGCGAAATTCCGGCTACAACATAATCGATAAATATAATTGGATCTGATCTTTGAAGGGCTTCAGAAATATAAATGAGTAATTCAATTAAAACTTTATTCGCAGTCGGCGATAAAGTCGACCAGGTTTTGGTACTCGTCAGTTATCTTTCGAGTACTCAGAAATAATAAGTGTTACGAAAAAAGACGGGGGAACTACTTGCTTCTGGGAATCGGGTTTTTCTCAATTCCATTTCCGATGCAGAATGTTGCACACGTTCAGGAATTGCCGTTTCAGGATGTTGTTCGCAAGATGTTATCCATCCCGCGATCAGTAGAACGGAAATACTCGCAATACCTTTTACGCCGACTGCTGGACCGTTTGAGGTCACTTTGCCAACTCTTGGGCGTCCAAGTTTCGTCATACGACGCGTAGAAAAGTTATTTCGTCTTAAAACGTCCAATATCATTTCAAACAGATTTCTTGCTCCAGTTAACGCTCTACTTGCCGCGATCAGTTCCTGCGATAATTGATATAAGTATTCAAACCTCGGGTGTTCGCTTTATTTATCCGTGGTAAAAGTTTGCCTGTTTTGTATTTTTAAAAGTATCTGCAAAAATCGAAACGATCAAGCATTGTAATAAACACAACATAAACTTTAATGTGGTGTGTCATGATTATTATTCAACGTCTCGAGCAACCATTGCTCTGTAACGGACGATGACTCCTACCGGCAGTTCAACGCATTTGCTCACCTCCTAGTAATTTGTTGTTTCTAGTATTATAGTGTATTAAAATAACTGTTAAGAAAGCAAATTGTTTAACTATTACTTGGAAGGCAAGCTTAACTGGAGCGGCTTTCCGACCGACGAAACTATGTATACAAAATTTTCTCTTTTTCGATTCCATGCGAACACCTTAAAGAATACTTCGCAGCCCATTCGCTGCTTTGATTTCAAGTTTTCTCCACCTCTGATTTTCTTCCTATTATTATCACTCATCCAATTACGTTCGAAGTGTACGAGTGGTGCTACACACTTGAAATGCATTTCGGTGTAGGATACAATTAACACCACAGACGTTTCACAACAAAGCTGTTTACTGTATTTTTTTCTTATTATCATCAATAAGACCAACCGGTCGACTTGACCCATAATATTCGACAAGGCGCTTGCAAATGCCTCCGAGTTGATATTTCGGTTTATTTTAGTTTCCAAAAATGTCAAGGTTGTTTCATAATCCTTTAAAAATGTTTGACAATATTATAAAAACTCGTGCACGAAAAATGTTGCTATTTACATACCACGTCGCATTTACTAAACGATTTCCTTAACGACACTTTAATTGGGTGCGCTCTAATTTCAACCTCTCGACAAATACCATACTGGTTTTCCTACTCAGCAGCGTCGACGCTTCTAATCTTCGATACTACAACCCATGTTTCGCATCACATATTTCAAACTTTTTCCATGTTCGGCATCAGCTCGATGGTTACTGGGAGTGCCATTACCGCATCTTGTCCTCCTTAGAAAACACCTAATCTCTTACCGCAGATCTCCAAATTCTACCACAAACCCCATGACGCAGTTCCCAATCGCACAAGCGAGAATTTCTATGTCAACAAGTGTAACCAATCCGATCGGAGACGTTCTTAATTATCTTTTTTAGTGCAAACATGTTTTTTCGTTAGCATAAATTAGCAAGGCGACGACTGAAAGTGGTTTCTCTGCAGTTGTTATCACGCGGAAGCTTTTTTTCGCGCTTCCAATCTTTCCATTTTCTTCAAAAAGACTTGTACCGTTGATGTAGGCGGCCGCAGCACGGCCTTGTAGGTCAAGACTTATTCTCGTTGCAGGTGGAACGAAGAAGAAAACACGTGGTTCTGTTCCGTTACCAAATCGCTTGAGGCACGCTCAAAGATCTACATTCTCTTCGGATTTCTTCCGCCATGGGACTCTCACACGCCATTTACATGCGTGTCGGAGGCGAAGGGGGCGTTTATATAATACGTTCCGAAATTACTCAATTGGTAATTGAGTCGGGAGCAGACGTAACAGCCTTCGGAGTGGCGGCTGGTACCTGCGGATTCCGCAGGTGCACTGCATTCGTGCGATGCTGGAAAAACTGCTTGTCTTGTCTTCTGCCGAAAAGCGACTCCGCCACGTTCCGTCTCCTGCAATTGCAGTAATCATCGTTTCGGTCGCAAAAGTGCCGAAAGTTGACTTACTCGACATTGACACGCGACCGTCTGTAATCTCCAAACAGGTTTTTATTTACCCAAAGTAATTCACAGATAAGACATTCTAGTTCACGATGAAGAGTCCCCATGACACATTTCCTACTCGTCTCAGACACTTTCAAAACATCAGTTTTGGCACTCGTCGATTCATCGCCGCACGATTGAATTTTCTCGAGTTCGTTGAACCACTTCCACTGGATTCGCCACACAATAGCCATACTATTATGATTAATCTCATAAAACTTTCTACGATTGTTCCATTTCGCCCTAACCGTTTCGAAAAATTCGGCATTCCTCTTGAAAGCAAATGCTGTCCGACGCAAAACCGGTTCGATGATTTCATGTGAGTTTTTTGGTTTCCAGATCGGCCGGTGGCGCAGCGACCATGCTTCAAATCACGGAAGACACACCGCCTGACATGCTGGCAGGGGCCATGGATCTTACGGTACATCTTCCAACCGGCAGATCCGTCAAAATGTCGGTCGAAAGAAGGTAGGTAAAGTCAGGCGATAGTACCTTCAGTGCTCGAGCTTGCTGGTTTCAGCACTCCCATGATGGACCTGCTGGTGCAGATCACCACCAATTACCAGCTGCAGCTGTCCAATCACACGCTCCAGGTGTTGGGGATGGCGCCGTCGAAGGAGCACGGCGACAGCGTGCTGCCGTACAAGCCCAGTACGCCCATCGGAGCCCTAGATACGCAACACATCAGGGTCGTTCCGAAGGCGAAGGGGATGTCCGTGCCCAAGAACATCCCCCCGGGACATCAACCGTTCGAGAGTACCTTCAGGTTGAAGGTGCATTTACCGAGAAACCAGCTGTACGTGACGAGAGTGAGTCACAGCGTGCACCTGGAAGAAATCATGAAGAAAGTGTGCGAAGAGAAGAACTTGGATCCCGGAAAATACGAGTTCAGGCACCCAGGTACTACCACGTTCAGTATCCGTCCATGCGATCGTCCGATAGGCGTACAGCGCGACATGTGTTTACGCCGCATTCTTTCCTCTCTTATCTCGAGATAAACAACGTTTTTATAGTAGCCTACGCATCATTTTATTGTTCTAATTACGGCAAGAATTTCACAATGTTTATCTTCTGATAGGTTTCTAAAATATTTATTTTGTACTTTGTGCATCAGTCGAACGAAACTGCTAGAAAACTCACCGTTACATAATTCTAGGAAACTTAGACGAGATTTTGGACCCCAAACTCACCCTCAGCGACTACACGATAACCGAAATTTACCTCGTCCAGAAGGGGGTCGGCAGTTTGAACCAGACATTCTCGACCAGCGACATCATGGCACTCCGCAAAGAAGAAGAACGTAAACAGATGCATAACAAAACCGGGGGCGGTGTTTTCAACTTGATATTTCGACGGGGGAAGTCGGTAAGTCAAGGAAAACGACATTGCTCAAAAAAATTATTACGACGCGCTCCGTTTTTGTAGAGTACTACTGGCTCGTTATCGAGCGAAAATCGTTCGATTTCGCCAACTCACAGCGACGATTCCCGGTCCGTAACGCCTCCGGGCGTTCAACAGATCATCGCACCCCCTCCGGACCAGACGGACAGGCCCAAGCCTCCTCAGAGGAAGAGGCGGCCGGCACCGAAGCCGCCGGTGGAGGCGGCGAAGAAGGACGCGGGGCTGACCGTCTGCCATTCGAGAAACAGCAGCGACAGCTCCGGGTATCACGAGGCGTCCATTCTGAGCGACAACAACGCCTCCTTGCCGCGACGGCCCAAATCGACCGTCATCGGCGAAGACAGCCAGAAAATCATCTCGGGACACAGCCAGAGTACCAGTAATTTAAGTAAAATGGGCGTTCACTCAAAGTCCACTTCTAGTTTAGCGCTTCCAAGTGAGTGATTTGCGAATGCCTCTCCGTTGTTACGACGGTTTCTTTCAGGCCGTAAGAAGAAAACAGCTCCTCCTCCACCACCGCCAGTATTAAAACCCGAAAAAACTCATAACCTTGAAGAACCTAGTCCAGTAGTTGCTAGTCAACCTTGTACAGTAGCTCAAACAGGTGAGTGCGCTAGTCGTGAGAGTTCAGCCGCGCCAGATGGAGCGATTTTCGTTAATAAAAGCAAAAGCTTTTCTGAGAAACGGCCTATTGGCTTGAGGATTGTCGATCGTGACGATAAATGGGATGATTTTATTGAAAAATTGAATAAAATCATTACCACGAAAGCAGAAGCGTTCTTATAACGGTACGTACTCAGAAAAGCCTTCCTATCGGTGATGGTCTCTTTAACTACCTTCCTTGTATTTTATATGGTAGAAGCACCTGGTATTGGGCATGGCAATATTGTAGCTAACAACACTAATCCTAAACCGAAACCCAGAAATCGAACCAAAACCGCACCATCCCCTCGGCCGCGTAGCCTTGTTTCGCTTAGCTCGGAAGACCGTCCCGACGAAAACAGCGCGGAAGCCGTCAACGACAAACTCTTAGAAAAGAGAGAAGAATCTACAGAACTTGTAAATACTCGAGCGAACCTTGAACCTTTGGCGGACAACGAACGAAACGAAAGCATCGAAACTCCCACGCCAGTTCGCGACGAATTAGGCCCCACGCTTGCCGACACCAAAAGTGATGAAATGCAAGAGTTGGTTGATGAAAAAGAGATCAAGATCGTCGACCAAGCGACCGTCATTGAAAACGAAGACCACGAGATTGCCGCCCCGACTAAAAACGAAGCGGATTCAGTTCCCTACGAGGAAGACCCAGAACCGATAAATGAAAGCAAACAAATAGATGACAGCGCCAAGGAGGGGTTACTCGAAAAAGAAGAAATCGATGAGACCACCGCCAACGACGATGAAGCCAAAAACAATTTTCAATCTGCAGATTCTTTGGGAGGCGACAAAAAATCGGACAACGGCATGAAAGAGAAATTCTCCGAGTTGGCCAAGCTACAGAAGAGCGTCGTCAGCGATATTTTGGAGCCAAAGGCCGAAGTGTCGAAAGTGAAGCCCCCCGAAGTTGTGGCTCTTCATCCTAAAACACCAAATAAAGACAGCTACCCTAAGTCCTTCTTCGATTCCTACACTCGCAAACGAGGCTTCCAGATCGGCAGCTCTTTGCTCGACTTGCGTTCCGACGAGGAGGCCTCGAACCACAAGAATTCTAGTGACTTGTCGACGCCGAATTCCGTGGCGTCCGCTCTAAACGCCTTCGAATTCGTCGACGAGATCGAAGGCCTCGACGTCGAAATGTTCACGGGATCGCTATCCAAGAATTCCAGAAACAAAAACAAGATCCTTAACCAGCTGCACGGAATGCATGATTTGGATAACTTCAGCAAAAACCCTTCGGGTGGTAGCTTGAGGAGCGTGAGCAGCCTTCCCGGGTTTCTAGGTAGTAATATGAAGAAATGGAACAACGTCGAAGAACTCGACGACATTTCTTTGAACTCGTTTGGTGGTCGGAACGGTTGGGTGATTGGGGACACTTCTGACACAGGCATGTCTCATTACTAATTGCACGCTTTATGGTCCAGTCTGCTGGACTATTAATCTCTAATTTTTTCAATTTTAACGTGTATATCATTCCAGAATCTATAGCTTCCACGACAACATCTCAACGAACGCCTTTCGAAAGTTTGAATTCCGTCCAGCAGTCACTGCCTTCGCTAACCGAGAAGAAAGAAATAAAAGTGGAGGAATTAATTGAACCGCCTTCGTCTCCACCGCCACCGCCTCCTTCAGTTACTTCGAACGAGAACCTCAAAGAAGTGGAGGAAACGATCGAGCCAAAAAACCTGGAGGAAATCGAGCCACACAGAAACAACGAATTGGAAGCGGACTGGCAGTATCAACTTCCATCGCCTCCGAAGGCTTTCAGGGACTCTAGTCCGGTTGCCTTTGTGGACGTCAGCCAGGAATCCATAGCGGATTCGGTGGTAACGTCACCAGAACTTTTCGAGAAGCTGAAAGTGGTCAAAGACCAATCCGAGAAAGAGACTGCGAGCGACATCATTAGTATGGTGAGCGAGGACGAGAGGCCGATATTAAATAAACTCTCCCTCGAGAATCTAGAGAAAAGAAAGTCTTTAGTGTATAACAGAGAATTGGCGACGAGCCTAAAAATGTCCGACGAGGATCGAAAAGAAACGTTTTCTAGTTCGTTAGTAAATTTCGAAAAGACTTACGACGAAGTGAAACAATCTAGTCTAAAACAAGTGGCGACGAGTACATTGCCGAACTTTAAAATTACCACATACAACAATCCTAAACAGAAAGTGGACATTTTCGAGGACGATACAGTTAGGAGTAACGACAGAGGCAGCAAAAGGAACTCGTTCGTCGAGGCGACGTTGCAGAAAAGTTACGTCGGCAGATCGATGGAGAACATCTCCTTCAGGAAGAACAGTCTAGGAAGAACTTCTGACGAAGAGTTCGCTAAAAACGAATACACGTTCTATAGGCCTCCACCTCCCAAACAGCAGTTTAACGTTCTCCGGTCCGAGTCCTTCACGAAGGAACAGAAATGGGTACCGGTTAAACCCGTCAGCAGGTCGAAGTCACAGGTAGCGATTAACAAATACAGGGATGCGAAGAACCCGCCGGAAGTCGACGACGGCTTAACGAAGAGCAACAGTCTGTTTGATGTCTCTGGACTCCAGAGCTTAGGGGTAAGCACGTGAGTGTCGGCGACAAACGTATTAACGCCAATCTTTCAGGTGATGAGACAGATACAGAATAAGCTCAACACACCCAACAACTCCACCGAGGAATTGGATAAAGAACCAAGTTACCAGAAGCCACCCGAAAGCAAGAACGAAGTACAAACCCAAGAAGAGAAACCGATAATCAGATGTTACAAATATAGTCCACCGTCCATTAACATGGGAACTTGGTCCGAACGACCCAAAATTCCAGTCAACGTGAAGGAAGATCCCGATTACAAGTACGGCGTCAAGGAGACGAGCACGTCCAAGCTCGTCGTCAACACAATCAACAACGACGTCAAAAGCCACAACAGCATCGAAATTCGCAACAAAACGACTTCGACGAGTTACACGAATTCGGTCAGCGTGAGGGTAGGTCCAGACGCTGCAAACAAAAACGTCAGCATAAAGGTAAACGGCTTCGAGCCCGTCAGTCAAAACAGCGGCAACGTCGTCATCAAGATCGGCGGCAACCCGCCTCCCAACAAACCCGTCTTCCGGAAACCCCTCGGCAACGTGAATACAGAAACCCAGCGGCCGCATTCCGTAGCTTTAGGTGGCGATTTCGACATCTCCAGAGTCCCCATAGTACGGTCGGTCGAATTTAAGAAGCCCTATAAGGATTACCACACCACCACCAACAATAACAACAACAACACCTCCGTCACGCAAATCCTCCCCAGCAACAATTTCAGAAACGGGTTCAAGGAGCAGTCCGAAAGCACGATAAAACCGCAGACCGAGCCGAAACCTGTTTTTCGGGTTAACAGCTACCTCCAGAACACCTCGGCGCCTGTCGTTCGCGGTTTCAGAAACAGCAACGAAATCAACAGGTTGTCGTGGAACCAGCCCCACAGTTTCTCGACGCTGCCCGCCAAGCCCGCGAAGAATTTCTCCCTGGACGCGCCCAAACCGTTTTCGCAGTCGAACTTGCGAAGGACTGAATCGACGAACTTGGAGAAGAAAACCGTGCCGCCGCCGGCACCCGTGATGCCCAAGTTCGGCGGGAACGCGAAGCGAGAGGAGTTTGGGGACCCCAAAGAGCAGTTACTGCAAGCCATACGAGATTTCGGAGGGAAGAAGGGGCTGAGGGCTGTCAAAGCGTAGTGTATATAGGATTTAGGCATTTCAAGCTCAATATTGTTAAGGAATTCTGAAGTCATATTGATATGTACCTATCGGCGTCGTCTGTGTACTAACTATTAATCAAATAATGCAAAATATAGGGACCAAAGGTTTTGTGGAATATTATTTATTATTTATGTTTATCACTCATGTGTACTGTATAGAAACGTTAATAAATTATACTACTGTATTATACATTTTCCGGGCGCGTTTCTTAATGCTCTTATCACTACAAAAATGAAACTCCTCCACAATTACCATGGAAACATGGCGATATGCCGTCACCTTCAATTATGTCATACGAGAATTATGCACAAGGATAAGTTGTATGTTCTTTATTCAAATTACGGACAAATTCAAAAGTGGTCACCAGTGGCATCCATTTTTTTTTCCTTGCTGCGTCACTATCGGTGATCGGTGCATCGCCTGACCAGGTCAAGGTGCTCCTTAAAATTCAGGTCGATGATGGGCAGAACGCACCCGTTCATGGTTTTCCATAAACCAATGTTAATGTCGCTTCGTTGAGAGAATTTTAAAGTTTGTTGTGGTTAGACAGTGTGTTGGCAACGGCTTTGACCATATTGTGGAAATTCCGCAGGTGCTGGGGTCATGTTCGACCATACTTTCAAGTAATGGACGCAGGATATCCTACCACGTAGTATCCAGGGAGTATCAGTTTCGAGGTTGAAATTATAAACAACTAAGTACATGTATTTTTTTGAAGGATACGTTCTGTCACCTTTACATTCAACAAATAAAAATAAATCAAATACAACTGGAAAACAACGTCTGTGAAAAAAACAATAACACAAATCTAGCGAGTAAATAACAAAGATGAAGACATTTCGATAATCGGTTGAGCAATTTTAGGTACTGTTATGTCTACTAAAAGCACCAGACAAGTAGGAAATCCGCAGTTTTGTATTCTACTAGCTACGAAAAATATGTGAAAGTAGACGTTCATTTTACTGTCGGTAATTAAAAAAGTACACCCTAGTAATGTATCCCTACAATATCCTGCAACATGTTGATCCCTCCTAAACGTGGAGAGCAGAGACATGTTTTCGAGTCTACCTGTACAGTCCGACACGTGATTTAAATATTCCCTCGAGTTCCACTGGTATGCGTTGGCGCGCTAACATATATTTAAATTACTTTTTTCTTTGTAAATGATCAACTCGGAAATTTTAAATTTTCTGAGAAAAACATTTTACGAATGGTCGCTGAAACCAGATAAGGTTTATTTGTTGTTTGTCACATTACCTAGTAATCAAGTAGAACTACGAAAGAAAACCTAATTGAGCCTCCCACTTCCGAAAGTTGTTTCTCAAACAATTCGGTCCACTTTTAAGCATTTTAAACCTTCAGCGCCGCGGCAATTTATCCGAACGCAGAAAAACAAAAAAAAAAAAAAATCAGCCTTCCTTAGAAAACAAAACACATCTTTTTCAACAAATGTCATTTTCGCATCTGCAATCTTGCACAAAATTTCTGTAAAAATGAAGAGAAAAAATTTCAGTGTGGCGGTGGCCAACGTCGTAATGGAAACAGTCTCCGAGCTACAAAAGAACAAGCAAAGCGCTGCCATGAAAGACATTAGGGAACACATCTACGAAAAGTACGGACACCGAGCCGAAAAATTCCTGAAGCTGGTTCCACGATACGTGAACAAGGGCGTGAACCTGGGGATCATCGCCAAATACGGCGATCACTATCGGACTAAGATGTACGTGGCCAAGCGACGAAAGGGCGGCAGCAAAGGAAAGAAGCGCCGAAGGAGACGACGACATTAAAATGACACTGTAGTGTAGTGCCCCCATGTGCCTTTTTTTATTTTGAATAAATAAATTATCTGCTCGAGAATGCAGTTTTGCAAAAAGAATGATCGAAAACAATAAAAGGTGCCGAATTTAGCCGAATTTCCATGAAATCGATTCGTTTTTTATGCAAATTGTGTAAGGCGTTGAACTCCGGACCGGTCCATCCCGTTAATGTGTGTTGCCCGGTTTGCAGCGTCCCACACTCGGATAAAAACGTACTTCGCTCGGATTCTTACCCTAATCTACATCGAGGCTGCAGAGATACTGTTCTCTGATAGCTGATTGATAATGGCACTCATTTATTAGCACCTCAACCTAATAAACCCGCTGACCCACTGACTTCCGTCTAAAAATACACGTTTTGCATAATGGTCTCGATTTCTTGTCAGCTCGTTTGATACCGGCGATACCTTCAACCTTCAGCGGATTAGCACTTACGAACCTTCTGACGATTACACGCTCTTTGGCAAAAAATCAACATTTGAAGGTTCCGACGGTTTTAGTGCTAATTACCTTCCGGTTTTCGCAACTACTGCGAACATCACTAAATTTTCTGGTGCACTGAGTCCTTAACGGCCTGTGAAACGATGGATAGGAAATTAATTGCCTTGGCACGTGGACAACGGACATGCCATCATTTGCCATTCTAATTTCCACGTTAGGGACGTTTCCAAAACGTGGCAAAATTTTCTGCATGAAGATTTCAACAGTCTTCATGTTTTGGGGTCCTCTGAGCGCGTTTATGCTACTTTTGGGATAAAACAAACATAAAAACAATGTTTATTTCTGGAAACGAAAGAATATTGTCTAAACAACTTTTTTTTTAATATTAAAAAACTATAATATGTAGTTCTACTTAATTCCATGAACTGATAGTTATAGCAGCTTCTTTTTTTTTGTATTACTGAATCAAGAAAATATCGCCCAAAGAAGAGCGCTACCAACAAATAATTTAAATACTCCATTCTAAATTTAAAAGTACGTAAAGTACAATACTAATAAGAGAAAAAATGAAGCAATCAATCGCAGAAATTAATACGCGACATTAAATTATAACACTCCGGGGAAATCCCTCGGACGAGTAAACCCCTCTCGACCCAAAATCATGAGAAACCACGTAATGGCAAGTTTTTGTATTTTTTGTGCGAGACGAGCAAATAGTTGCACTTTACAGCTTTTCTGGTTTAAATTTAATCATGAATAACGGCATCTCGTATGCGCTCGACGCAAGAAAAGTAAATACGAATGTTTTACATTAACCTGTAAATTATGAGTGCGATGCAGCGCCTCAAATAAATCGTATTGAAACAAGAAATTCAGGTCAGACAACAAATTTCTCCAAATATGTGCGTTGTCACAAACAAATCAGAACGAGATATGTGCTGCCAATAGCCTAATGAACTTGAACTAATAATGAGCTTATACATATAAGTATATCCTATAAACCCACGCAGAACTCTTTTATAGGTGTAAACTTGTATCCTACATAAATTTTTTCGAAATTACGAGTCACTCCTGCACCCCGAAGCCATCGCACCAGGGCGAGCTTTGTTTTTGTTGTAGAAAATTTGCATAAAATATAAACAATGACGATTTAGGAATTTTGTTTGTTGTTTGGCTCTTCGGATAGTGACTTCGCGTTAAGAATTTTATTTCTATGAAATGACTTAAGATGTAGTAAATATTTACCATCGATTTCTGTTTTGCGTCAAGTCTTTTTCCGTCGTAAAGTGCGTCACTTGTAAAAGAATGATAATTACTCAGAAAGGTAAAAAATCACCAGAAAGTGACTAATTTTACGAAGTCCAAAAGCCATAAGTTTTAAACGCAAGATAATGAAGACGTTCGTCGTTATCGCCTGCGGTGAAAAAGAATATCCTCAAAACGCAGCAACAACCGGTGCAGTTTTACGTTTCTGTAAATTAGCAGAGTCGAACTGCGTCATATTCTATGTCGGGTCATCGGAACACTTTTTGCGTAAATGTTCACAAACATCGCTGTCACCGTAAGGCGGTATCGATCAAATCTCAGCTCACCGCTCTTAAAGCGATCTGAAGTTGCTATTATCGTATTATTATTATAAGCGGAGGAAGTGATAAACACAATACAAAGCAAAAAACATAAGCAAAATGATTTTTAATGGATGGATGGAATGATGCACCTCGATTGTCATTCATCCTGTATTATATGGATTACTGTGAAGGTCACCACAGAAAACCCGTGGAAAGCTTCTTTCCTGCTCTTCCCAGCACATCCTGTAGTGTACCGTATTTTGCACACTAATACACTTTTACAACTTCAAAGTTAAGAATAGCAACACTCTGGTCCGTAAAAACATAAATTATGAACCGCACCGCTCCACCCTATGCAAGGAATTTAAATTAGGTATTTGAAGCACGCTGGATCTGTCAAGGGTTGACGAGGGTCTTTATCGCAGCTATCATTACTTAAATGATACCAATCTGGTCGTAAAGTTTCATTGGTCTACAACAATTGCATACCCAGATTACTTTTCGAAATTTTACTAGTGAACTGATTACAAAAGTCGTCAATTTATCTTTCTCTCTACTATTTGTATGTTTGTACTTTGTTTCTGGCTATCAGAGGTAACCAACGTTCGTTCGTTCCAAGCTTTTATGTAACGAAGTAAACGGCGTAGTTTTACAGTCATTTTGTGGCTAAAACCACAAATTCCAATTTGTAGAAGCAAACAATTTTATTGATTTGCATTACTTGAGTCATAAGAGCATAAATGTTTTGTTTTTTTCAAGCGCACATAATACATAATTTAGTCTAACAACATGATGTTTTCTAATTGATAAATAATAAATCCTGCTGCGTCAACTTATTCGACAGGCGCCACTACATGGTAGTATTAGATTACTACACGGAGTGTGAGGTAAAGTACTATTTTCAGATCTTACTGGTTACTTTTTACAACACGTTTATTACATCATTGTTGTTATTGTTGCCGCTATTAAAGTAAAATAATAAGATGATTCTTAAGTTTTATGCCAAAGTTGGGTCTTTTAGGATAGTCCTCGGCCGACTGGAATTATTTCTAGAAAATCATCAATATATGACCACACAGTAGCAGTTAATTCTCGTTTCTTCTCAATGCTTACTTAGTCGAATAATAAAAATAACAAGAATTGAGAATTAAAATACTCATTACGCCTTTCTGTCATCGATATTTTCAAACCTATTCGCTAGCAACCAGAGTTCGTTGAATCATGAAATCTGCACAGTAAGAATAAAAACGTCATTTTGGGTTGGTCCATTACTCACGAACACCCACAATAGAGTACCTGTTGTCCATCGGCATTGTATTCAAAAAAGCCTGCCTTGTTAAACCCTCGCCCGTTCATCAGGAGTCAATTCCCCGAATTTCTTTACATGATATGAATATTTTTTATTGTTGAAGTGAATTATGGAGGCATACGCATACCCGCCCACATGCAAAACTAATCTTCCTCGCAAAACGTGAATTATGAACACACGTTTGTTTTCTTGTACCCCTATGAACCCGTTAATGAGATTTATTTAGTTCATTTAGTGCCGATTACGATTGCGAAAATATTTTGAAACAGCAACACGCTTACGAAATGCCAACTGAGGTTATCCTGGTGGAAAGGACTGCGTTTTTAAAAAAAAGGACAGCAAATTTTTTATCTGAAACCATTAGAACATTTGATAAAAAAAATGGAAGGACTTCTGGTTTCCAAATACTTACTTAAAAAAAAGGAAGAGGTAATAAACAAGGTAATATACAAGAAAAATATTTCAGCAGAAAAGCGAAAACGCAGCTTTTTGGCAATTGCGCTTTTAAGAGTTAAAGTATCGCGAGATGTGCGTGTGACGTCACAGAGATGTACGACCGATTCGGAATATGCGAGACAGCAGCCGATGTTTCAAAGATCGCAGGAATTTTATAAATATTGTTATTATTGCATCTTCGAAATATATGCACATATAATTTCCTTGAAACCTATCTCCGTCCTAGAAACAAAGATTTCCATGCGACGTCGCTTTTACGTCGGCAGCCAGCATTGCTACATAGAGGGTTATCTTGACTCCGTAGTTGAAAATTTCTGCGAATTCCATGTACCCGCCGCCGATCGAGGGCACTAGCGGTAATGAAGCCATCGCTCGTCAACCTCTCCCATTTCGTTTAAAATTTTTGCTCAAACAAACATACAAGTGATAATCAGCTCGACGGAATTTGACCCATCGGTCCGAGGGGATTCGCCGATCGGCTCTGCCCCACGAATTTCGGCATGCGGTCGCTCCATTTCCCCGTGAGGCGTTCGTCGTTAACTGCCACAATCGAACCAACGCACCAAATGTAAAATGCATAAAACAATCCAAATCGTGGTGAAAATGTTACAGTAGTGGGGGTCGTGATCTCAGGTTATATAGCGGCAACATTCGGTGGTAAAGCGCTTCTCCGACATCGCTTTGACTTTCTACAACACAAAATTCCGACGCTGGCACGCGCTATTCTGTTCCCCGACATGACCCTATAGCACGTGAATTATTTAACGCGTGTGACTTGTGGCAATCGCAAAAAGATACTCTCCAGTGCAGTGCTTGACTTCGCCCGACATGACTTCCAGTGTCAAACAGACCGTTATCAAGTAGGTGCCCGCTTTTTCACACTTATTTTTATCAGCACTGAGGTGATTGGGTTAAATCCACACGTTACCTAAGAACGAACACTTACAGCAACTGAGGAAATCGCTTTTTCGCTCGGTTCCACTGACCGAATTTTGCAATTTTTGCTTACGAAACGGCCGTTCTCACCTTGACCCTTATCCCTTTAAAAAAACACGATTTATCGACCAACACAACGGACGCACTTAAAAGTTTCCAATTTTTTTTCCTCACCTTGGCGCTTCTTTTATTTTGCAATTAATTACCGACGTTCACAACAATATATTACCGCACAGCAATTTGGCTGGAAAGTGCAAAGCCGCAAGCCGTTTCTTGTGTGGTAATGCGACGCGAATCAGAATTTCCTCTCCCTAGCAAAACCGAAAAGACGGATTTCGAATTCGAAAGTTGCGCACTTGAACATGAACTTTTTCGACGATTTTTCTTTACGTCAAAAACAAATACAAAATGTACACAGAACCTTCACATTCCCCCGTTCATTCTAATTTTCAGCTAACATTGTTCTAATGAATTCATTATAACAAGCCAATTAGCGCTTTGGGCCTAAGTGCGTGGACCAACATCGCGAAACGTGACAAAAAACATCTTAAATCAATAAAATCGCGCTAAGTTTCGCCAAAACAATGCGTCGATTAAGCGCTCTTAATATGAATGTTTTTTTTCTGCAACAAATTTGCACATTTTAATATAAGACGGAAAAATCCGTGTGGCTACAACAGAGTCATGGACTTTTCCAACCCTCAAAGCAGAGCTCGAAACAAGTTCCACAAGAGATTCGTTTGCGTCAGAATATCCGAACGGTGGATCCTGTGCTTGCCCAAGCAATAAATAAAAAGATATTCGACGCGTATTTCCCAGATTTTCGGTGGTGCATCCTCCTTATACCAAGGCCAATGTCTTAATTAAACGAGTGTTAACTTAAAAAAAAAAAAACTAAAAAGTTATGCCAACTAATCCGCAAAGAAAAAGCATTGTCGCAATTATCAGTCGAAACAATTTAAGTTATTTGTAACAAGTTAAGGAACTGTCAAGATAAATAAGTAATTTGAATAAATTTGCATATATCGCGAACGGTGCAAACGTACCGATTCGATAATGATACCAAAATACAACAGTTAGGTATTCCTTTTTTGTCATCGATTAGTCGGTGTTTTGACCTTATTACAACCCGTGCTGGAAAAGAATTAGTTCTTTCACTCCAGAAAAACAAGTTCGACTCTCTTGTTTTAGTTGAATGGTTGATCAACACGACTCCGACACATTATAAATGCAAAAGTCAAGTCACTTATTTAACGAAAAATTATCACTTTTCATAGTGTGTATTCTGAATCGTTAGCATTGGGTTTTAAATTAGTAAGCTTGGGGTAACATTCCATGATGCATTTATTAGATCCCAGAAAAGCTAAATTAATTGCCTATAAACGACTGCACGTTTAGCGAAAATAATGAAATGTGAGCTGATATTCGCAAGGAAATATTTCGTTTTTACGGTATTTGCACTGATAAGTGTATGATTCATTTATATTAGAGAATTAAGGCACAATTATCAGGAACCCCATTTGATACCACACGTGCTTATTAAAAAAGTCGACATTCGATAAGCAGATATTACTTTTCAGTCACTCGTAGGTAAAGTCGTAAATTTTACTCGCAAAAGCTCCTAAAATGTTAAAGAAATAATAAAACGTTAAGCACCAGTTTCGAATCCGTGTCCGAATTTATGGCCGTGTTCGATCTACAGGTGGTCGTATGCCAACACAATTTACTGCACGCCAAAATCTGTCGCAGAGATTTTGGAATTAAAAATGTCAACTGACGAACTGATCAGTTGTTTTATTTGATTTGACGTGAAATGTACGCAATTAAAATTTGTTTGTTTTTTAACCTTTACAATGTGTCCTCATTTTTGACGCCCTGTAGATCAGATGTCCCAGTTTGGTAGTTCCGGTCTAATAATTAGGTAACTTTAGAAACTGAAGGTTTCAAATTTGCACTTGTCATTTAACACGCTGATAATGTACATATTGTTTCGCCGGAAGTGACATCTATTTCTACTAACGCAGAGAAAGGTACATTTTATCGGATGATTAGAATGTTTTTTCAAATAAAGTCATCAAAACAAGCAATTAACAATAGCATTGTTTCAGCATTTCAATTAATATACTTACATAATGACAATAGTGGAACAAAAAGTACAAAATAAAATTTTATTCATGTAATTATGTGTTTCCACTTCGAGGATAATAAATATACGCTTCTCAACAACATATACTTAGTCATTAAATAATTTTAATTGTGCTATACACTGCGGTCGTAAAATGGGAAATCAAATTTTGCATGCTGATAGGCAATAAAAACACAATTAAGACGTAAATGAGTTTTTACATACTTTTATTTAATTCCATCGTCAGCAATAACTTACAAAAGTAAAACAAAAACGGCTGTTGCTGTGCACTGCGTACACCACCAAACGGACGTCGTCAAAACCAAGCAATAGCTATTACAGGATTACGAAACATTAAACTTTATTCACGCAACTCCTCTACGAGGTTAATGACGTCATCTCAAAAAGCAGTAAATACAATATTAATATACCCTGAAGTATACTAGTCTTTTAGTACTTTTATTTTTTGGAGTAACAATTCAAAATATTTAAAAAATTGATGTACCAAAGAATTTATTAGAGCGATTCTTCTGGGAACAGTGTTATCATTATAATTAATTCTCGTTTTATAAAATTAATATATTTATTCTCAGGAAAAAAATTATCTCAACACTTCAGTTGTAGTTCAGATATTCGTCTACAGGCAAGATAACCAAAGTCTAATTATATTGAAAAACATTAAAAATAACCTGAAAAGCGTATCTTATGTATTTTTGTGTATATTATTAGATATTTATTATAGAGATCTTTACTTCTCCAAACTTTAATATGTAATGCGAGGTCTAGTTATAAAAAAATCAACTACGCTTAATATTATATTAATAAACTATGTACTTTTTTCATGATAAATGTTAATCACCCAATGTAATTATCCATCACCTAAGAAAATATCATGTTGAAAAAATATGTGGGTTACCTGATTATTAGGCATATGTTAGTAAGAATAGCGTTTTCTCTATTCAGTACTGTGAACAATAACTTTAAACTCATCCAAATACAGATTAAATGAAACATAACAGTCATAGATCCGCGTCAAGATAAAAAACTAAATTGAAACTCGAGTAAAATAATAGACTGACATGTTGAATACATTTTGCGACAAAAACAAATTATCCACTATGAAATTCCGCACATTTAAAAGGAGCTATTTGGCTTCTACCTACATGACTGTTAAAATTAACGCTGCATGAAAAACACGTTCACTTTAATTCGTCGAGTCCTATTTTGACATACTTAGTTCCTTTCTTTAAAGTATCCAACGAGCTAATGACATTCTTCCCACACCAATACTACACTTTCGCAAAGTTTTTATTATCGCGAAATTATAGGAAGATAACGGCGCCAGAACTAGGAAAACATTTTAGCGAACAGAGACTAATTGTATGTTAATTATAATGAAAGTTTTTATCTTCGAATCAATTCAAAGTGGTTTATTTGTACTAAGAGAGGTCAAACTATGAACTGAAATTTTCGTGAAACGTACTAAAAGTCGACAAATTAATGATTAAATATTTGATCACACGTGACTTCATAACGTGACGTACGATGATTATTTAGGCATTCGCTATTCCACCAAGGAGCACTTGCGTTTTCTGAGTGCACTATTTCCAGCAAAGTGGTTTAAGTGGTACGAATGTTCCCCCAACATATTCAGTTGACATGTCAAATGATACAGCCTGGGAATTATCATTTCCACAAATGTACACAAGCGACGATAAATCTGATGATTTTGAACGTCAGAGGACGTTAGCATAAAAAAAAAATAAAGTAAAAATTTATGTAACACTTAGCATTCGCACTAACCCGATCAACGTCAGTTAGGTGTGCCTTACATATAACCACCAGACAACCACAATTGCCGGTTTTTCCGCCAAAAATCAGCATCCACAAAAAGTTCACCCGAAAACACATCTTAAATTTCAAAGTAATCCGATTTCGTGGTTTCGAAGATTGTCAGTCTCATAAAAATCACCCATACACGGAAACGGAAAAGCCGCATGTTCGTATTCTACGAGTTGTTTAAAAAACACGAAAAAATCGCCTTTAATTATTATCGATCGTCGTTTTGTTTTTTTCATCCTGTATAATTAAAAAAAGTTGATGTTTATACAAAAACGAATGCCATCCAAGCCTAACCAGCTCCAGCAATCAAGATTTAACGCAACAGAGAACCCAGACAGCACAAGCCCAATTTTTTGGCGCTGGTCTAATCTCTCGTCATCTGACCCGCTTCAAGGTAAAACCACCAGATTACCCTATTTAGTTATGTATGTTTGTGCGAAAAAAATTCGCATTCCGGTTGGATTCGCTCGAATCCCAGTATGTTACTTTACGGATAAAGAATTTGCGATTCAGCGTCGGAGCACCGGTAAAGTAGCACCGCGTGTAATATGGAAATTGTTAAGAAAGGAATGTAAATCTAGAAAACTTCCCCTTATCCGAAAAGAGTTTTATTTCCAAGCTACGCGCGCTCGGAATTAGCATCCAGTGACCCGCTGCAGACCTTCAGATAACATTTGAATTTAATAATAGATAAGAACATCTATTTTGCTCATGCAATTTGTGAATTAACAGGAAATGTCAAACAAAAGCGCTATTTTTTAAAAAATCGCACGCAATTTGCTAAATTTAGAAATTTAGAAAGGAGGCCATATTTTCGTTTTCCGCCGGATGTCTTCTGCTTCCGTTCCTTGAGAACGATGGAAATCCGCTTTCGACTTGATTGCTCGCATGCAGAGCTGAAATCAATCGATAACATAAAGAAATCCCAAGCCGTAGATAATTATCAATGAGGCGATTGTGTGTGCTTTATACAAACAAAGCGGTCACGACGAAAAAGTTATAGCAATCTTTGGAAAAACCTAAGCACCGGCACGATTTACATAACCTTTAACACTGAATCATCTATGAGCAGCCTAGAAGACTGGTGCGGAACTGAGCAGAATACATTTACCATTTAATTGAGAAATTTGTTAAACAAAATGTTACCATGAACTGACATTCTTCTACTCGAGAAGTTCTAACCACACGACAAACACGGGAATTCTCTTTCCATTCCTTCTTAGACTACCAAATAGGTCCTCAAATCGTAAAGAACACGTTACATATGCAGATACTACGAATTAAAAAAAAATGGACAAACCCTTGAAAAGATGCATTGGTCCGCGATTTTAAAATATCTAGTCATAATATGCAATCCCTAGAAACTTAGTTACCTAGGTTTTGCCAGGTGGACTTCCACATATTATGCCACTTGTAGTACGTAGATTAGACCTCACAAAAATACATTATACAGATTGTCTATAAATCATTCGTACATCCAGCACTCATTCGAAAATTTTTATTTTTACAAGGAAAATTGAAATAAGGCACAAAAATATTGAAAGTGGCCCCCATCTTGCAATAAATGGAACCTGACCCTTTTACAGAGGTATTGCGATGTACCATTTACTATTTGTTCGCTTGTTGATTGTAAATCGCAGTAACCACGTGCCTAAACCAAGACTCTGATGGGCTGTGCCAGTTGCGCGCTTTTTTTGGAATGGCCAGTCCGAAACCGGCAATCCCTCACGTGGTCGCCAAACACGAATCCGAACCAAGTTCGAGAACCACCCCTTCACATTTCATTAATATTCCACTTCACAATAACCGGCGTTCTTCTCTTTACGGTCAATTTAACTGAATTAAACCGAGTTTATTACCGCTGCTGGCAAATTCCGGGAGAGAAGGTGTTCACAATTACAATTAATTGACTAGAGTTACAATGATATGGCAGCCATGACGAGCTTTAGTGCGCCCCTCGAAGAGCAATTTACCCGACAAGCGGCTTTCGCAAATAATACATTAGCGCTTGATTTGCATTTCAGGTACGCGATCTCCGTGAAATCTGATACGTCACAAACGTCATTGTTTTCCCCAGGTGAGAGCTGACTTGTAAAATTTAAAATAAATTAATTAAAAAAAGACATCGAACTGGTGGAGTTCGATACGACGGGTTTTTTGATGTAGATTGAAACCTCTTTAAATTCATCTAATCTCGGATCTTTCATTAGTTACTTTTCCCATTATGATAATGGAGTTTTATCGCCGTGTTATCACATATAGTGGTTTTATATATTAATTTGATCGATTTTACTTGTGAACGATTGGTGAGAGGTCTTTCTTGTTTTTTCGCGAACGGTTTGAAATAATGTTGTGTATGAATGAGAATGTTTTGTACAACGAGCTCACTTATTCGGAAGAGCAAATTAAAAAGGGACGCAGGTGGAAGGGGTGGAAGTAAGTGACTGTCGTAGTATACAATAAGTGTTCTGTTGTGAAAAAATCGGACAATATTTTACGATATCTGAAGATGAGTAGAACTGTCAAGGGTTAAGGACTAGTTGATACGCACGTAGTGTACAACGCGCTCGCGAGCTTCGCTCGCTTGTGACCCTTCTTTCGCTCGTACTTGAGGTAGCCAAAATATTTAAACATATTTGCTTCGTCATACGTTGTTTTTCGTCAAATATTTTTCTTTCCGTAAATTTTGATCTTGCAATCCGGCAATTTTAATGCAAACCAGAGTTTATGTAATGTTCTCATGATTTTAGATACTTAAATCAGCCTTCGATTATACGATTTAAAAACTGGCACATTTTTCGCTTATTATTTGAATAAATTACAAAATATCGCTTCGCAACAATACTTTTTCTATGTGAACATGCTGACCTCATTCGAATGCATACACGTCTCGAGTAAATAACAACAAAATAATAAGTAATAAGATGAAGCGAACTTACGATTAAAATATCTATGAATATTTAATTATGCACCTTGCAGTTTTGCATATAATTGCAATTAGCCACGATTTCCTATATTGAACAACAAAGCTCTTTCGTACTGTCCAGCATTTCGTATTTTTTATGTTTTTTTTTAATTCAACCGAAAAATCTAATCAGTGCATTCAAGAAACCGACAATGGGTAAGTCGTCTGTCTTCGTTAAACGAAAGAAACGTTTACGTAACGATTTTTGTTTTGCTAAATAGAATTATGCGCAATTCTGCTTACAACATAAATAAATGATTATTATTTTTAAAGTTGTATAGGTATGTGTGAAGAAATAAAGAATGCCGGTTCTAATGGAAAAATTAAATTCGCTAAATGATCATAAATTGTCGGTCGTTTAGTTAGACAAAAGATGCTGTAAGTGAACGTTCACCTTACACCCAGCAACAAAAACGACAAATATTGCATTAAAAACACATTAGAACAGAAATAGATGTAATAATACACAATTACGCTTATTACTGTTTGTAGCCATTTCCTGCATTTAGCTAACAACAAACAATTCCCTAATTTCGCATTATTTTCAGAAATCCAACATGGTGGAAGCGGCGGACGAGTATGGAGCGGTGCTTGACGCTAATTACGGCGATCAGCATCCTCATTGGAATCTCATTGATCGTAGCTCTTGCCACAGTATTATACAACAGAAATCAGGAAGTCAACAGTTAGTATGCGCTACAAAACAAACATTTTATTCTTCGCACAATACTAGGTCATTCTTCTCCGCAACCACAACATATAAAACTTTCCTTCGTGTGCAACATACATAACTCCACTTCCCACCTACTTGTAATAACAACAATTATTTGTAAATGACTCGCACGTAAAACATCTCATTACTTAAACATATTCTTTCCCTTCGAACGAGTTTGATCCGATCGGATCGGATTTAGAAAGTCGGTCACTGACTCGAACTCTTTTTATTATTTAAAACGAACAGAAGCGGTGGCGCTAAGGATCATTGATTTTTACGATGCACAGCTCTGAACATTCGAAAGTGAAGCGAAAAACCGGGGGTTCCCGCTTACAAAACACACGATTTTGGAAGTACACACGTTACATCCTGACACTCACGAATGCTTCGAAGACACCGTTCCATCCATAGCCCAAAAATGCGCTACGTCTACCATAACTACCAACGAACTCGTGAACTTGCCGCGGGCCGTAATTAATACATCACTCGTCACATTAACACGCACATCTTCGTTTCCTTATCACCCTGTATATTAGTGCAATAAACCCATTTGGAACAAAACGAACATGAAGACTTGTTTTCAGGCACCCCCTTCACAGCGCAGGCCCTCCATAGCTCCAACAACCCCGTGCTCATCAACTCCTACCCTGTTGACTCCAAGCAGGAGGTATGTTTGTCCCCTGGATGTATTCACACCGCATCGACGGTGCTCAAGTACATGGACACGACGGTCGACCCGTGCGACGACTTTTATCAATTCACTTGTGGCAACTTCCTCAAGACGACTAACATCCCGGACGACAAGTCCTCGGTTACCTCCTTCAGCATCATCAGCGACACTCTCCAAGAGCAGCTCCGGACCATGATCGAAGAACCAGTCCAACCGACGGAGCCTAAACCGTTCCAGTTGACGAAGAAATTATACAGAGCTTGCATGAACAAAACTCTGATTGAGAAAGACGGTCTGAAGACGATCAGATCGATTTTGAGAGAGTTGGGCGGTTGGCCGGTTTTGGAAGGCGGCGACTGGAACGCTGGGGAGTTCGATTGGAGACGGTCCGTGTACAAATTCAGGAAAGTCGGTTACAGTGTTGATTATTTCATTGATTTTTCTGTTGGTATCGACTTGAAGAACTCGACGAGACGAATCATAGACGTAGGTACGATGTAGAGATGGGGAGACGTTGTTAAATTTTATTTTGCAGTTAGATCAAGCTTCTTTGGGCTTGCGGCGAGAGTTCTTGACCAAGGGACTGTCAGATAAATTGGTCAATGCATACTACGAGTACATGGTGGATGTGGCGGTACTATTCGGGGCCGATAAGGAAAGAGCCGCTGAGGAACTCAAGGAGTCACTTTTGTTTGAAATCAAGCTAGCCAATGTAAGTTTTCGCATGAGTGTTAAGCGTTTCTGGACGTGGTGGTGTCGCTTTCTTAGATTTCCTTGCCGAGCGAAAAACGACGTAACGCCACAGCACTGTACAACCCCATGAACGTAGATGAACTCCAACGCAAATTTCCGAGTATTCCGTGGATAGAGTACATGAACACGTTACTAGCCCCAGACACTAAGATCAACCACGATGAGGTCGTCGTGGTCAGCGTACCTCAGTACCTCCACGACTTTGAGGCTTTGATCAGTAGAACACCTAAAAGGTAAGACACACATTCGTTAAAGCTTTGGATATTTTTACACCTTCCAAGATATCTACAAGTTTACGTTTGTTATTTCTCTTAACTATAATTTTAAACAGTGGTCAATTGTGTGATTATTTTCAAAAACTTGTTGGGCAACACTAATTTTACAACTTGTCAAGCTCTCGATAAACCGTGTGCTCTCTGACCTTACGATAATTGACCCTCTTGTTTGGTCAACATATTTTTGATTAAAATCTTTACAATTAAATTAACACATTCCGACTTTTCTGTTTTTGTTTGGGTCTACTTTATTGTTACGCTGACGGTCGTCTCAAGACTGTAACCACCCACATTTTTGTAAACTTTCTGGTCATATTCTCAATGATCCTCTCGAATCGATTCCTAAAAATGTCACATATTGAAAAATCATCCCTTAAAATGAACGAGTAACAACCTTGTCGGCTTCTATCTAAAACATTTAACATTTCAGAGTACAGGCAAATTACATCATGTGGAGAGCCGCAGCTTCCTCAGTCTCCTACCTGAACGAAGACCTCCGGAAGCGTCAGCTCGAGTACACTACCGTCGTCACCGGTCGTACCGAACGCGAAGCCCGATGGAAAGAATGTATCGACATCTCCGCCGGAAGGTAAGTCAAACGTCTTCAAAGGACACACGTTCACGCCGATTTTAGTTTATCTATAGCCGCCGGTGCTCTCTACGTCCGCAAGTACTTCAACGAGGAAGCGCGGCAAAACGCTTTGGAGATGGTTGCCGATATCCGAACAGAGTTCCAAGACATCCTCAAACAAGTAGATTGGATGGACGACGACACCAAGAAGAACGCTTTGGACAAAGCCAAGTCCATGTCCACGCACATCGCGTACCCTGATGAACTCATGGACGATAAGAAACTTGAAGAGTTCTATGGTGACGTAAGTGTCCCGATTGCGTGTCGACTTCGATAACTGTAATTTGTAGCTCGAACTGGACGAAAACTACTACCTGAGATCGATCCTGAATCTGACATTGTTCGGAACGAGGTTCTCTTTCAAACGGTTGAGACAACCCGTAAATAAAACTGACTGGATCACCCATGGAAGACCTGCGGTGGTTAACGCGTTCTACTCGGCTTTGGAAAATAGCATTCGTTAGTACTTTCGGGCTTGGAGTTGGCACAAATTGATGATTTTTTTCCAGAGTTCCCGGCCGGTATTCTGCAAGGAGTTTTCTTCGACGCAAACCGTCCCCGCTACATGAACTACGGCGCTATCGGTTTCGTCATCGGCCACGAAATCACGCACGGTTTCGACGATCAAGGAAGACAGTTCGATAAGAACGGTAACCTGGTGGAATGGTGGGCACCGGAAACGAAAAAAGCTTACTTAGAAAAGGCTCAGTGTATTATCGACCAGTACGGTAACTACACGGTCCCCGAATTGGGCATCAACGTAAGTACAAAGGGGCTTAGCTTAACCCAAAGGCACTCCCTGTACATAGACGTAGTAGTGTAGCATGAAGTTAGTTAAAACTTGAATTGTAGTGGGTATTAGCAGCGTGTTTATGTATCTGTATCTGTCTACAGTCGGTTCCCGTATCGGAATCGTTCGCTGAAATCGTCTTTAGTCGCGTATGTGGTACCCAGTATGATTCTGTGCACGTGTATGTCGAGGCCTAATCCACTAACACCGCTTTTGCATTGACGATTTCAGTTGAATGGCATTAACACGCAGGGAGAGAACATTGCAGACAATGGTGGTATTAAGGAGGCATATTTAGCTTATAGTAAGTGGGTGCAGCGAAACGGTGAAGAAGCACGATTGCCCGGTGTTAAGTTCACGGGGCGGCAGTTGTTTTGGGTGTCTGCTGCTAGCATTTGGTGCTCAAAGACACGTGAAGAAGAGTTGGAGCAGTTGGTCATTACCGACGAACATGCTCCCGACAAGTACAGAGTGCTAGTACCACTGACTAACATGGAGTACTTCGCGAAAGATTTTAACTGCCCGATAGGGTCCAAAATGAATCCAAAGCGCAAATGCCAAGTGTGGTAGCTTTAATTTATTGTTGTTTTTTTTCTGACTGATTTCACACTTAATGTAAGAAACTTGTAAGATCGCGAAGTGGATGAGATCTAGATTTTGGACTTGCGGCACTAACACTTTAATTTTTAACACACTTTGAGAATGGGTGCATTTTAAGCATGCGTGACATGACGGAAAAGGTCTGTTTTAAAACGGGTCGAGAGTTAAGTCGAAACTGCACAAATTATTTGTGATTACTCGTAGTATTTAATTCGGACGAATTTTATTAGTTGTACATAGATCAATTGTGATTGTTTAAATAAATTTTATATTTGGTACCTAATGGAGACATTTTTGAGTTAAGTTATTACAGTAGAATTAATATCCTCGTCCTGCTACATCAGTATGTTAAGTAGTTTTACCGCTTCACCTAATTATACCTATTAGTTATTGTAGACTGTAAGTAGTGCAATGTAGGCCTAGTATTTAACGTTTACTCTTTATCTACTCTCAAAATAAACTGGAATTCTAGCTCAACGGCATTAACACTCAAGGAGAAAATATCGCCGATAACGGTGGCGTCAAAGAAGCCTATTTGGCTTACAATAAGTGGACCGCACGACACGGTGTCGAGAAAGTACTACCAGGGTTAAAGTACACACCAAACCAATTGTTCTGGATATCAGCAGCAAACAGCTGGTGTGCCAAATACAGACCCGAATCGCTAAAATTGAGAGTACTGACTGGCTACCATTCACCGGGGTATTTCAGAGTTATCGGTCCTTTCAGCAACTTGGACTACTTTGCCAAAGATTTTAACTGTCCTGTAGGTTCTAGAATGAATCCGAAAAAGAAATGTAAAGTATGGTAACAGTTTTGTGATATTTTCGTTGATTTGATTTGTGAAAGTGGACCATAAAATTTCGTCTGTCGGACAGTTGTTTGCAAATATAGACTCGTCCATATTTATAGATTTTAAACTGAGAACAGTTATGTGCCACTACTGTGGGTAGTTCTTGGGTATTTGTATTTGTAAGATTATTTAATTTTAACTTCAGCATACACGTTAATTTTTATGTACGATGTGACTAGTTCCTTCCTCGAATAAAAAAGGTGAAGAATTTTTAAGCTTGTCTTTCATTCTTTACATCCCTGTCTACTATTTACCTATTGCGTCTGAAAATGAAAACTTACCATTGACGACTTGGTTGGAAACTGTTCATCATTTTTGTTTCAAATTGACGCACACACAGCTTTTATCTAGTTTTCTTTTAATTTTCGAAGATTCAACTCACACCGAACACAAATGCAACACTACCTTACACACAGGTTATTTTAAAAGCGCGCAAATGAAGCAGGTCCACCAATCCGGTTACTAATTTATGAAAAACCCTATGTGAAACAAAATGCTCCTGTTTTGGTAAAATTCGATTGCAGAGAAAAACTAAAAAATATACTCAAAAAAATAAAGACCATATAAAAAGTACATAAATTATGAAATGGTAATTTCAACATCATAATTAAAAAAAATATATTATCATTTTCGCTTCTGGTGAATTAACTCCGTTGATGTGGATGCACTGTCTGAAAAAATTACTAGAATTATTTTTGTCTTTCTATTTCCAATTTTCCGAGCCTAAAGTCGTAGATATATCAACCTGTAATCGACAAAATGGATTTGCTAGGTTCTATAATGAATTCGATGGAGAAACCCCCCAGCTTGAGCGAGAAAGAGCGGCTGTTAATCAAAAGTAAGCCCCATAACCTATTTAACCTCTTCACATCGTTCAATTTCAGAAAGAAAAGAAGAAATAGAAAAACGACAAGCCGAAGAAAAAGAACGTCTGAAACGATTTAAAGAACGCGTTGAGTCCAAATTGGAATCGTATTTTAAAATTGCCACAAACACGATGTTGAAGTTTGAACCAATGGATCAAATTTATCGAAGCATCATGTACTTATGTGAAGTTTTTATGTTCATTTTGTAACAGGAGTGTGTTCACAGACACGAAGCTGCGGAATCTACCGGTTTACTATCGTACGCCTTTGGTACTGATGGTGTCGACAGGTACATTAGAGTGTACCGTAAAGAAAACGCTCCCTGTGAGGATGAACTGGCCGCCAGAAGGCGAGGAGAACCGTGGAACGAGGACATTAAACGACACTTGATAGAAAAGAGAAAACTGGAAGCTTTAGAAGAAGCAGAAGCGGCAAAAAGAAAGCCAGAGAAATTCGTCCCCAATTCAAACTACAGAGATAAGTATGTGCATCTTATTGGACAAGAAGCGGCACTAGAAGCTGCCAAGAAAACTGAAACTAACAAAACTTATGGTTTTGGTAAGTAGTGCACTGTGGTTATTTCTTTATTATAGTTTTGTCATTTAGTGCCTAGCGAGAATAAGAAGGACGTTAGGTCTATTGAACAAACCATGGCAGACATTAGAGACAAAAAACGGCTTAAAACCACCCATGAAACGACATCTAATGATAATTAGATTTTTATTTTAATATTATACACTTAGCATTATTTATTGTAACCATTACACAATCACAAAAATTCTGATGAATACTTTGTTTTTGTACTCCTACTTGTGGGGGAAACACCCTTGATGAGCGCCGAATATTCCTTTTTAAGTTTATGAAGTGACTCACATTCAAAGCCTATTGTCTCTTTGTATTTTTTCTGACACAAATCTTGGAGTATGACCAGTAGAAAGTCGGCATTTTTAGTGATGAATTTTCTTTGCTACAAGTTTTTATTTAATCAGACATAGGTAGGGTGGTTGAGGGAATACCTCTACTTGTTTTTCGTTTCGCAAGGAAGACTCGACGTGACGTACTTGCGCCTCAAAAACATCATACAGAACCTCATTTATTGTGTGAAGGAGTTCTGTAGTTTCCAATTGTAGACAGTCATTAAGTAGAGTCAGATATAGCTTGGCGAAAACGAGCGTGCTGTTGGTGAGCTGGATCCAAATATCTCCTGTCAAGGAAGTATTTTACTGTAACGTCTCTCGGTCACCAGTTTATTACATTAGAAGTACATACCTGTGACGTAGTCATCCAGCTTCAAACCCATTTCTGAGTACTGAAGAAGGAACCTAGCTAAACCAGTCTTAGAACGCAGATTCATAGGAATCCATTTATCTTCCAGGGCCCGCAATTTAGCTACTTCTATAGATTTATCGCGTGTATCTTTAAGTGCCTGCATCAAAGGAGTGCGCAGTGCACCATCCAATTGGTAACAAAGATCAACACCAAAAGAACATAACTAAAATCAATTTTAATTACCGACTTGACCTCAAACAACACAGAGTTGTACCCTTTCACATTGTGATCGAACAAGAACTACACATTCCGTCAATGTAGAGAGAGAAGTTTGCGGCATAAACACTTGTTTAATAAAGTGACTTGTAAACAGCGACAATTCATTACTAGCCCACACAACATAGGCTAAAACACATTTTAGTTAAATTGAATGTTGTTATTATAATAACCTCACCTGATGAACAGCTAGACGAGCTCGGAAACGCTCGCAGGAACTCCTCGGTCATGTGACACATATTCGTGAAAACAACACTCGACAAATGACGCACGTACATCGCAGTGGAGCATTCCCTCTTCACTCTTTTACACTGCGTCTTCAGAATACTACTACATAATTTTAAGAACAAATCACAAGACTGGGTTGACCTTCCAAGTTGGTTGAGAAGTCTCACGGCGCGTCTTGCAGCCCTTAAACCTACAAAGATGTGGTAGCTGTATTATGACAGCAGTATTTTTTACTTAAGTCATGTCTAAAAATATTTTATTTGCTTATACAAACCTCCTTGCTGAGATTTGTCAGGGTTGACTTCAAGTTCTTTCATCAGAACTTCTGTCAAATTGTTGTGCCTCAATTCAACTTTCCTTTGGATGTCGATAATAACGTGATCTGGCTGACCGTTGGTGTTCACGAATTGAGTGATGTAATCTTTGGATTTTTGGAGAAAGATCAGAGCTTCTTCAAAATGTCTTTGCGCCACACATACGTCTAGTTCTTCAGGAATTTCTATAAACCATTCAGGGTGGATGGTGCCAACGTCTTCTTCCATGTCTTCAAATGCTGTAAGGTGATGTCATTGAGAGTGTTATGAAAAAATGGAACTTACGATTGAAACTAGGTGATTCGATGGAGGCAGATCTGGATGGCGATTTTTCGACAATGGATTCGCGTTTTTGTTGCTCTTGCGTTAGGCGGGCTTTCTTTGCTTGATCAAATTTGTCCAACCATTCTTTCTGCAAGAGATCGTGCCTAATTTGTTATAATTCAACATAATTTATAACAGTTCGCAATAATTTGAAGGTTTTTTTTGTTATTTGAAGTTTCGGTGTACTAAACTTGCCGATTTTTAACTAAATGAACAATTTTTCAGTTTTTATAAAACTGAATCTTGTATTTGAAGAAAACTAGTTTATCACTAAACGTAATATTTACCTTGCTTGAGCTCGCGGTACATTGAAAGACTCTAGTATCTGGAAAAATAAGCAACTTGAACTGGTGTTTGTTATTTCCAATATCTCTAACATTCACTACAGCCAAACTTCCCAGTTCGTACATAACTTCAAAGACATATTTCATTAAACCCCTATTATTGGTGTTCCTATACGTAGTCATAAAACCATCTGTGAATAAATACGCGTGAACTGTCTTTATAGTATTATTATCCACAGGATCCACTTCCAACAGGTCACCTTCATGAAGGTAAGTTCGACCCGGCACTTCCAGCAACTCCTGAAACAATCACATTCAATTTGAGAAAACGTGAGTTCCATAAATACCTTGCAGCCTTCGACTTTCTCCAAAATTGACGCTAATTTTTGTCTGTTTTCGTCACCACGTTCAGACGCATCATTCTTATTCTCAGCCCCTGTAATCATGGGCGTTTCATCGCCTAAAATTGAAGTTGTTGATAAAGCAGCTAACAACGCCTTTTGTTCAGACAGTAAGTGGGACAGTTGGTACATTTCACTCTCCAAGTCTAAAAATCAAAAATGGGCAAACACATTTTAACAGTTAAAAAAGTTACGTGATATTTCCTTGGCGGTATCAATAAATTGCATGTAATTGTGGTAAACATTCCTTTTTAAGTTGTTGTTCGTCTCTTCATATAATGCTTGGATCTTTTTTCTGAGCCTTCGCAGTTCAGGGCCACCTACTAAGCTCTGGGATAAGTCACGAACATCTAAAATAACATATTAACGAAAACTGTTACGTCGAAAATTTATAGTACATTTTTCAGGCACAAAGTCTTTTGAACTGAGCAAGTTTAAAGTAGGCTCCTTTGAAGGCTCCATTACTTTTTATTTTAGTATTTAAAAAAAAAAGGGGTGTTGTGTTTTGATGACATAACCTATCCACCAAATGTCACTTTGACACTTTGATGTTTCACGCTTGTCATTAAAGGGTCACGTGGGTGAAACGTGTCCATATCATTGGTGCTGCAAAAGTGCGACTTAACTTTTCCAAGGTTGGCACTGCTAACCCATTGCCATTGTCAAAGAAATGTCAAAAAAATCGCCATAAATATCAAACGAAAAACATTAAAAAATGGCAGCGGAAATAAAACCAGCGACACAAGCAAACGACAAATTTTGTACAACGAAAAAACCGGCGCTCCTCGCAAAATTAGAAGGTTGTAGCGACGAAATTAACGCTGCTGTTCTAATCCCAGGGGAAGATGGGGTTATAAGTGTGTCAGACGACAAGTAAGTGATTTTTCGCAATAAATGTTTGCGTACTAACGAAATTCGTCGTATAGAACTGTCCGAGTATGGTTAAAACGAGATTCGGGTCAGTACTGGCCCAGCATTTGTCAATACATGCCAAGCGGAGCAACTTCGATATTCTACACAGTGGAAACGCGCCAGCTTTTCATAGGACAGGAAAACGGAACCGTATCGGAGTTCTCACTGGCGTCAGACTTCAACCGAATGATGCCTGTCAGGGAGTATTTAGCACATCAGGCTAGAGTCACAGAAATCATTTTTGCTATAAATTGTGAATGGGTTTTGAGCGTCAGCAGAGACAAGGTCTTTTCCTACAATTGCACACAAACTGGCCGAAACATCGGGATCTACACGGCTGAAGCTTGGTGCACTTCCTTGCAGTATCCTTTTATGTATCTACTAATAGTTTCACATGTGTATGGTTCCCCTTAACGCAAGTAGATTTGATGCACAAACCAAACATGCTTTCGTAGGAGATTACTCAGGGCAGATCACGATGTTGAAGTTGGATAATTCAGGACCAAGCGTCATCACAACCTTAAAAGGCCACTCGGGCTCTGTGCGTTCACTCGCCTGGGATGCCGAAAGACAAATGCTTTTTAGCGGCTCCTACGACCAAACTGTGATTGTTTGGGATATAGGAGGCCAGCAAGGCAACGCGTACGAGCTTCAAGGGCATCACAACAAAGTACAGCCTCTCGAGTGTTTTTTGTCCATCTATTTGTAACTGTCGTAGGTCTCATCTCTGTGCTATTTAAACAGCACAAAACAACTCGTCAGCGCCGGCGAAGACGGCGTCCTAGTTTTTTGGGACATGAACCAATCACGACAAGAAACACCAGAATGGATTGAGTCAGATTTGTGTCAGTTGTGCGGAAGGCCCTTCTTCTGGAATTTGCGTGCTATGATGGATCAAAGACAGTTAGGTCTGCGCCAGCATCATTGTAGACACTGTGGGAAAGCCGTCTGTGAGAAATGCTCCACAGGCAGGCTTACAATACCGGTGATGGGTTTCGAGTTTGCGGTGCGAGTCTGTGATCCTTGTCATGTACAATTGAGAGACAAAGAGTGAGTTTTGACGATGTTTTATATGATTTTTGCATAACGGTGTTGCAGGAGACCGTCGTTAGCCACATTCCATGACGCTAAACATAGTGTCACAGCCATGGGAATTGATGAAACTCGCAAAAAACTGGTGACGGTAGGTCAGGACCGGTTAATTAAGATTTGGGATATTTCTGCTCTGCTTTGAATCTGACTGCTGATCTAACTACTACAGGAATGTGATTCAACACTTTATTAATGTGCTATGATTTACTATTATGTAAAATTTAAGATTATTAATTCATGTTATATTTATAACTGTATAAGTTCTATTGAAAACAATAAATATATTATAATCTGTTTGAGTTCGAAAGGGTCATTTTATAAGCCGTTAGTCGTAGACTACGACTGTTTGAGAATCAAGTGCATGGGTAAATGGAAATGCTGAAGTACCATCATCACATTACCACTTGGTCTCCACCCACATGGATAAAATGCCCATTAGGTGTTCGCTATGTTGACTTCTAGACATCTACTGACTTTACAATATAAATTCTGATTGGTCACGACGTGTAACTATGCCAATTTCGACCAATCACATGACAGAATCAACAGTCGAATCAAATTTATTTGGTTGGTAATTTACATCATTGGTATATCAAGAAAAAAATAGGTAGTGAGCTTATTATCACAGAAAATCTGGACGATATTCTGCGATTCGTGTATTTTTTCCTCTCAAATACCAGTCAGATTGATAGGTCCATTCAATTCCATTTTTCAATATATATTTCAAAATTCTCAAATCGTGTCAAAATATGTATTAGTATCATTAAAATAGGGACTTTGAAATCGTGTATGTTGTCAATCGATCTTCATACTTGGCTGAAGAAATGTCAGAGTGTAGTGACATCTCTTTGCAAGTGATACAATTACTATTAATTATGTCACTTTTGAATTTCTGCGTTAATGCCGTGGTTAATGCTAGTATTAAAATTGAATATAACTTTCTTTGTGGAAAAAAACATATTAAAAAACACAATGAAACAGACATTTCTTTTGCCCTTTAACTTGAGATGGTAGGAAAAAACTAGTTCGTAGTGTCCACTAGAGGCGCCACTATAAGACAACAAATCAAACACTGAAAAAGCAAATAAAGTGAACAAACAAATGCAATAAATTTGTGTTATAGGTTACGGTACATTTTTTGTGATACACGCATTAAAGTAATGAATACAAACTCTTGAGAATGCAGAGTAATCCTACTTGTTTCTCCACAGGAAGACCACGTCTCCAGGTCTGAGCTTTTTCTTTAATTTATCAACTTGTACACGGAAACATGTCCAAGTCCTCGGAAAATGAACTGTACGGTACAAATCTCTCAATGGAATCGATGAAAGTCATCGCTGAAAGCATAGGCATAGGAAATCTTCCAGATGATGCAGCCAAAGAGCTAGCCGAAGACATTTCCTTCAAACTCAAACACATCATACAAGATGCTGCAAAGTTTGTACACCATTCAAAAAGAACAAAACTAATGCCAAGTGACGTCGATGCCGCTCTAAAAGTGAAAAATTTGGAGGTAAATTTGCGATGCGAATTGTTCACATAACCCCACTTTTTTTGTAGCCTCAGTACGGTTTCCAATCGTCAGAACCCCTACCATTCCGTTTTGCATCAGGAGGTGGCCGCGAACTACATTTTATTGAAGAAAAAGAAGTTAATTTGAACGATTTATTACAAAATTTGAACGCTAAAGCTCCGCTCGAGGTTTCATTGAGATCACATTGGCTGTGCATTGATGGGGTGCAACCAACGATTCCGGAGAATCCACCACCCGTGGCAAAGAATATACAAAAGGTTTGAAGCATTTGTTTAATTAAAAATTGAATCTCGTTTTTACGTTGTTTTGTAGTTGGAGTCGGTTGATCCAATTAATAAAAAACCAGCAAAAGAAACGTCAGGGAAACCAACTACAGGTAAACAGAAGTTGAGGAATGTGGAAACGGTGCAGATTAAGCAATTAGCGACACACGAATTGTCTGTGGAACAACAATTGTATTATAAAGAAATCACTGAAGCTTGTGTTGGTTCTGATGAAGCGAGGCGAGCTGTAAGGCGAAAAACGTTTTTAGGGACTGTGTTGGCTAACGGTGTTTTGTAGGAAGCGCTACAGAGTTTGGCTTCGGATCCAGGCCTACATGAAATGCTGCCAAGAATGTGTACTTTCATTATCGAAGGTGTTAGAGTCAATGTCGTTCAGAATAATCTGGCCCTTCTTATTTATTTAATGAGGATGGTGAAAGCCTTGTTGGATAATCAGTCGCTGTATCTCGAAAAATATGTAAATTTTACTTTTGCTTTAGTACTTATTCGCTAATTCATTTTTACTGCAGTTGCATGAACTGATTCCATCAGTAACCACTTGCATCGTTTCCAAACAACTGTGTATGCGTCCAGAACTCGATAATCACTGGGCGCTTCGCGATTTCGCGTCACGACTCATGTCACAAATCTGCAAAAATTTCAACACCAGCACAAACAACATTCAGACTAGGATCACCAGAATGTTTACAAATGCACTAAATCAAGGCGATAAAGTTCCTCTCTCTTCACTTTACGGTGCTCTGGAAGGTTTATCAGAGTTGGGAGCGGAAGTTATCAGGATTTTTGTTTTACCGAAATTGAAGTTGATAGGCGCTAGAATTGAAACACACCTTCAAGGTTCCATTACTTCAAACATTGAAAAAATTGCATCGGAACACATTAAACAGTTATTGATTAAAGTAGTGGCGCCGGTTTTAAAAAATATCAAGAACTCGCCAGACTATGTTGAAGAATATAAACAAGAGTATGGATATTTGGGACCTGCATTACATGCTGCTGTTTTAAAAGCGCGTACGCAGCCGACGCCGTCGACGACGGCGGCTTGTAATATTTCAACTTCTTTAACTAACGTTAGTGCCACTATTACGAGGACTGTCGGTCAGCCGTCTCAAATACTACAACAGGTAAGTGTAACAATAAAACTAGCTCTTTGTATTACTGACAAACTCAGAAACTGCAAATTAATTGTAACACTACACAGTTTTATCGCAGCTCCATAAATAGAAGCGTCTGAGTTGCACGGTCTTATAATAGTACATTAATTTGACATTAATTTTCGCCAAACCCCAAACAACGTAATCCGCTTCGAGTGCGCTATAAAATCTTACGACACAAATTTTGACGAAAATTGATCGATAAACTTAATTTATGAAAATATAGAACGTTTTCGCTGTTACTAATTGGAGAAAAATGTCGTTGATCTTAATTTAGCACCCGCAACTCGTGCAGAACACCGCCGGTCCCCAGCGAACCATCATGATGAACCAGACCGGAAGAGTAACCAATCAAATTAACAACCAAAAAATTCTCTTTGTGACGCAACGGCCACCAACGCCCGGATGTCAGCCGTCACCGCAACCCCAACAAAACACCGTTGTCAAGTTCGTGTCGAATACAAACACGCTGAACCAACAGAAAATGGTAACCGCCCAGAAACTGGGAATCACGCACGCTGCACAGGCGGGCCAATCTCCCATTTCCGTGGTCTCGAAAAGCAGCTACCAACAAGCTCCCACGAAAAAACCCGAGCAAATGCAACCGCCCACGAGTATTGACGATTTATCTCATTTAGTGTAAGAGTAGATGTAGTGCAATTATTTTAATTTTTTATTATTTAAATAACGGATTTAATAGAGATGTTTTTTACTGCCTTAAATAGTTAGATGAGTATGAGAAGTTTAGTGCGTTCGCCTTTCTAGGAAGGCGTCCAGCGCGAGTTCCTCCAACCAAGTGCTGGTTTCCAGCCCGGTTTCTAAAACCATCTTGTAAAAGGTACTTTCGGGCTTCTGCAGCAACAAGTACGGGTGATCGTATTCAACGATTTCGCCGTTTTCCATCACCATTACCCTGTCGGAGTCGATGACGGTGTGTAATCTGTGAGCCACGGTTAGAACTGTGCACGAATCGAATTTTTTGCGGATCATCCTCTGTATGAGAGCGTCAGTCCTAGAATCGTCAATTAATTTTCAAATTAATGGCGTCTCTCAAAACTTTACTTATCGTCGGTGTTGGCCGTTGCCTCGTCCATTACCAGTATTTTGTTGTTCCTGAGCATGGCCCTCGCCAGACACACCAACTGCCTTTGGCCCACGCTGAAGTTCGACCCGTTGCGAGCGACAGGTGCGTCCAAACAAGACACGATATTTTTCAACTCCACTTTCTCGAGCACGTTCCATATTTGTCTGTCGCTGTATTCTCCGAAGGGGTCGATATTTTGACGCACGGTTGCCGAAAACAGAATTGGCTCTTGAGGGATGATGGACAAGCACCGACGCAGATCGCGCACACCTAGCGTCTGAGTGTTAACGCCGTCTATGTAAATGGTACCAGAGGGTTCCGTTAGTCGGAACAGGGCGGCTATTAAAGACGATTTCCCGGCTCCCGTTCTTCCCACGATCCCGATTTTTTCGCCGGCCTGGATTTCGATGTTCAGGTTTTTGAGAACGGGCGGTTTTGTGGGTGAGTATTGAAGGGATAGGCGATCGACGAGGATGAAGCCATGCGCGGGCCAGTTTGAAGGTGGAGCATTTTCTAGAAATGGTAATAATGAGACGAAGACTGTAAGGACTCGGGAGCGGAAAAATACAAACCTGGAGGGGTTAATAGTGGTCCCTCTTTCTCGATTTCGTTGTACTGAAGAATTCGTTCGACGGAGGTTAACTGATTGACAACTTCTGCGCTTTGTCGTACACCGTATTGTAGCATCCCAGTGAGAACCAAGGATTGTGAAATGGCCAAACCCACCAAACTGCCACTAATCTGACCATCTAAAAAAAAAACAAAAACAGGAATTCTAAAATTTTAATTTTGAAAAGCCTACAGTGATTGAGGATAATAAAGCTAAAGGAAGTGCAAGCAATAAACACAAGACACACCAAATCCAACCATAATCCAAACGACGAGGTTGTGGTTATCAGCAAAAACCAAGCAGACGTGTGCACATCCTGCAATCTAAATTAAAAAAAAAAATCAAGCATCAGCAACAATCACCTGATAGTGATCGAACTCCTTTCGTAACTTGTCTTGTGCATTGAAAGCCCTAATTGTCACGATTCCTTGCATGGATGAATTGAGATGCGAAAAGACCGGTGATTTGGCTGCAAATGAAACATCACTTAAAGCCCTCGTTTATTATCTGCCACGTACTTATTCCTTCCATGTGCTTGATGCGCTTAGTCACCGTAACAAACCATGACCGTATTTTCATGAACGTAAAACCCAAGATGATTATTACAGGAATCATGTAATAATTCGAGACAATTACCATAACCAAGATTCCACACATGACCAATATAATCTGAAAAGTCGACGCTGACACATCTAATCGAGTTTGATTAAACTTACCTGAATGGCTTCTAGTAGCGTTCGTGGCAATATTTCATCGACCGCTCCCATGTCTTTAGAAAATCGGTTTAGAATTCTGCCTGCTGGATTAGTGGTAAAGAAACTCATGTGGGCCGTTAAAAGATTGTTGACCATTTGGGTGTGTAAGTTTTTCGATATGATCATGGTCAGTTTAAAGAAGAGAGACGAACGCACAAATGTGATGATAATGGTGAAGAGAATTAATCCCGAGTAAATATAAACAGCCGTAAATTTGTCAATGGTTATTCCGTCTAAAGGAATTTCTCTACTAACGTTTGTCCTTTCACTGGACCCAGTTTTATTCCTTGAAAAATTCTGACTTTTTAGAGTCTCCTCTTGCGTCCAAAAAGTCACCCAATAGTCAGTGGCGCTACAAAAAATTTGACACAGAAGCAACGTCACAATCACTAAAATAGTTAAGCAAAGACTCCTAGAGGCCGTTATGTATTGGCGTAAGGATAATGTCCCCTCGGTCATCCCATTCTCTTCCTCGTCACCGAAGTCACTCTTAATCTGACTCGAATCTTGAAAAGAATTCTACAAAAAACCTATTTTTGTATATGTACCGTTTTGCTCTTACTACTTACATCACTCAACATAACCACTTCTTCTACGTCGTCCACTTTCTCATCATCCTCGAAACTTTCCCTCGTAAAATACAAATCGCTCTTCGCCAGCTCTCTGTACGACCCTTTCACCTCCACCTTCCCCTTGTTAATCAAGACGATGACGTCGGCTTTCTTCAAGTACTGCCTTTGATGAGTTACCAAAATCCTCGTCTTCCCGTGCAAGTACTTGACTAAGCATTCCTCGAACAAGTGTTTACTCACGTGACTATCGACAGCCGATAAGGGATCGTCCAAAAGGTACACCTCTGCGTCCCTGTACACAGCTCGTGCTAAATTAATCCGAGCCCTTTGTCCCCCACTCAACGAGGCCCCTCTTTCTCCCACCAGCGTCTTATCTGCCAGCGCAAACTGACGAAAGTCCTTTCGCAAAGCGCAAACTTTTACAACCTTTTGATACAATTTCCTATCGTATTTGTTCCCGAAGAGTATGTTCTCACGGATGGTGGAGGCAAACAGCCACGGTTCTTGCGGCGCAAAAGATACAGCACCTTGAATCTTGACACACCCGTGTAGAGATTTAAGCTCGTTTAGAAGCAGATGTAGTAAAGAAGTTTTGCCGCCACCTACAGGTCCAACTACTGCACATAAAGAGCCTTTTTTGATGTGACATGTTATGCTGTTAAGAACCGAGGAGTGTACGTCGGTTAGAGACACCCCGACGCTGCTATCGAGTTTGATGGTAGACGTCTCGACCTCCTCCATCATCAAAAATTGCTCAATTCTTTGAATAGCCACTAGAGTTTCGGCCCCGAAGCTTATAGATAGCGGAAAAAAGACCGACATTGTTAACTGAAGCAAGTTGAAGAAATTGGAAATCGAGAAGACTTGTTCCGCTAGAAGCACGTTTCCGGTGAAGACGTACGTTGTTAGAGTTAGAAAGAGCGCAGTTCGTTCCACGAATACGATGAAGCTTAGATAAATCCCGCGCAAGTATGAGGCAATCGTGAGGGCTTCCATTTCGTGGGATCTTGCTACGTTGACGAGGTTCTGGAAAGCTTTTTCCCAGGCGTACATTTTAATGACTTGTATTCCTGAGATGATTTCACTCATTAGTGTCACTCTATGGTCGCACTTCTCGGCTACTTTAACACGAAAGGTTGATGTGAGTTTCCCCAAGTATCCTTGTACAGGGAGGGAAAGGAGTGCGATGGCGGCGACACCAACGAAAGCGCAGGCACCGACTTGCATCCAACAAAGCAAAGTGATGACAGAAACTTGAAAAGGTAGAATCCACAAGTAGTGGAGTGCTAGAACCACCAGGTCGAAACGGGTGACGTCGTTGGACAGTAAATTTATTATTTGTCCAGTAGAAGTGTGGTTTAAGGATTGTCTGGTTAATTTCAGCGTCTATGAAAAGAGAAAGTGAAGACACGATTAATGCCTGTACTTACTCTATACTCACTTTGCGGTAAATGACGGCAGAAATCGCCACTCGTACCCTCATTCCGATGGCGGCTTGACCAAAAACTGCGTGGTGCATCGTGAATATGATTAAAAGTGTCACGCCGACCAAAGCTGTGGTGGCAAAGTACATAGCGTTCCGTTCATTCGTACTTTTCTCAAAAAGTGTTATTAAGTACGCTAATATCACTGGTTGTAAAGATCTGCGAATGTATTTTATTAACTTTTTCTCCTTATTTGAAACAGCCGCTGCTGACTTGGCATAAATCGCCTTAAAGAAAATAGAGTAATTAATACAATAAAAGGTTGTACCTGAGTATGACATGCTGAACGAAGAGGACGCCCCCATAAACCATATAGTCCCAAAAGAACGTTGCCACAATAGCTCTGACCAGTTTCGGTTGCTTGTTCTTCATTTTAGCCCTTGTGGCTTCTTTCTTCCAATTTTGTTCAAGCTCATCCGCCAGTTGTTGCGAACAGTCCGAATCGAACGTTTTGTATAAGTCAGGCACTTCCAAATTATTTTTCAAAATTTTGCGATACATTTTAATTATCCATCTGAAAACCCACTTTGGAAGAACAGTTTTGCAAAACAAGTGTTCTTACGCGAAAAATAGTTTCGATAGCAAACTGGCGTCGCTCTTGGGGTTGCGAATTTTCAAACGAACGCTTCTGTCCATCGTGGACAACCGTCACCGTCTGCGTCTCTACGTCTTTGTACTTAACTTTGAACTATCTTTGTTAAATATTGATTTGTCCAAATCGTACATACCTAACTGAAGCGCGGTCATTAAAACTCCTTATCTCGACGTTCTGTGTACTCGATTACCTAAATGGGGTGAATGATTTTCATAACAAATCAAATACATTTAGACTTTACTGTTTTCTTTAATTACGCTTGATGTTAGAGTCAACTAACATTACATCAGACTTCACTTTTAATTACATTTACGCTGTAAAATTCTTCTGCGATCTGTTTTAACTGCAGGGCCATCGCAGGCCCCGTTTCCGCCACCATTTTCGAAAAGTACCCGTCTTCCTCTTGTAACAAGACATGTGGATGGTTGAACTCAACCATGCGTCCCGCATTCATCACCAGAACTCCGTCGGAATCCATGATGGTGTTGAGGCGATGTGCAATCGTTAAAACGGTACAATCCCGAAACCGTTTTCGGATGGTGTGTTGGATTAAAGAATCGGTTCTGAAAAGTACATTCTAGATTTTGCTAGGAGAAGCATTCTTTACCTTGGATCGACGTTAGCAGTCGCTTCGTCCAAAACCAGAATTTTGTTGTTTCTCAGAATCGCTCTGGCCAGACATACGAGCTGCCTCTGGCCTAGACTGAAATTACTGCCGCCTTCGGAGACGATTATGTCGAGATCCCGCACACTCTCTTTCAATTCAACCTGAAATTACGTACTTGTACTAATTTTATTTAGCTACAAGTACAGTACATAATTTGTAAGCAATGAGATTGACGTTACCTGTTCTAATACATCCCACAATTTACGGTCGTCAAACTCCTGAAATGGGTCCAAATTATAACGCAGAGTGGCCGAAAACAGTACAGGTTCTTGAGGTATGATGGAAATGCACTTTCTTAATTGACCCAAGGGAATCGACTGAGTGTTCACTCCATCTATAAAAATTCCGCCTTCGATGGGAGCCAGACGGAACAGGGCGGAAATGAGCGATGACTTCCCAGCTCCCGTTCTACCAACAATACCAATTTTACTTCCAGGAGTTATATCAAAGTTCAAGTTTCTCAAAACCGGAGGATCGGATTCTGAGTATCTCAGCGAAAGATCTCTAAACTCGACTAAACCTCTACTTGGCCACGATTGTTTCACAGTTTCTATAGCCCTAGCGTTTGCATGCTCATTGTCAAGTCTACTGTACTGCATCACTCTTTCCACACTCGTGAGTTGATTTACCACTTCGGCTGTTTGTCGCATTCCGTATTGCAGCATTCCCGATAGAATCAGCGACTGAGAGATGGCCAACCCAACAAAGCTACCGCTCACGTAGGAATCTGCAATTATGTGCGTTTATTGGTCAGTGGATTCGTGGCGACCAATCACGCCGTCACTTCCCCTTCCACTTACAATACGTGAGGAGTATAAAGCTGAAGATCACGATCGTAATGAAAGTCACGCTCAGCAAGTCCAGCCACAAGCCAAAAGCGACTCTTGTGGATATCGTCAAAAACCAAGCCGACGTGTGCGTGTCCTGGTGCAAATCAAACTCCCTCATCAAAACCTGTTCAGCTTTTGACGCTCTGATTGTCGTGATTCCGTTGAAAGTGGAATTGAGGTGCGAAAAAACGCTAGATTTTGCTAAGACGACAGTTACTTGTTTTTTCAGCAAGAAAATACTTACTCATGCCTTCCAGATGTTTGACATCTCTAGCGGTGGCCAAGTACCATCCACGAACTTTAAAAAATAAGAACCCGATGATCACTATCGGGACTAACATGTAGTAGTTAGCGATGACGATCATGATCAGAATTCCTGACATCACGAGAAGTATTTGGATGGCGTCGATTAAAACGCGTGGCAGAAATTCATCGGCGGCACCCATATCTTTGGAAAAACGGTTCAGGACTCGACCGCTGGGGTTCGTGTCGAAGAATCGCATTGGAGCTTGCAGAAGCGAGTGGAACATTTGGTTGTGTAAGTTTTTCGAGGCGTTCATCGCCATTTTAAAGAAGGCAAAGGATCGCGACAAGGTGAGAATAATCGCTAGAATTATAACCACCAAGTAGAAGTAGATGAAGACTTCTGATTTGATTAGGCGGATGATTTCGTCGCCGGAAGTAAGAGTATCTGTGACCGCGTCCAACCAGTCGTTCGACGAATTGGTGACGGAGATGTTGGAGTTTCTTATTGATTCCTGCTGCGTCCTGCAATCTTGAAGTTTATTTTTGCAGTCTTGATCGAAATTAGTTTATTACCATAGCGTAAGCCACAAGTCGGCACCGTTACAACAAGCTTGAGCCAAAATCAAAAGAGAAATCAGACCGAATATTTTACAACAGCTTCCAGACGCTTTAATGTAGTCTTCGAACGGAGTGCCATCCGAAGCGCTCATTTCTTCCATATTTTCCACTTTTTCGACTATTTCGCTCTTTTCACTTGCAATACTCTACAACACGAAATATAAATATAGAAGACTTTTGATACTGATACTTGCTTTGTGTGAAACGATCGACGCTGCTCTGTCTCTGACGGCTTTAACTTCCACCTGTTCGCTCTCCTCGTCTTCAGAAACCAACAATTTAGTAAAATCCACATCGCTGTTGATCAACTCGCTGAAAGTTCCCTGAGCCTCGATCCGCCCCTACAACAACTCGTAAATCACCAGCAATAACAAATACTTTTTTCTACTTCGTTTATGACCACAATATAATCCGCTTGTTTCAAATACTGCAACTGATGAGTCACCAAAATTCTAGTTTTATCTTTTAAGTATCTAAGAACGCATTCTTCAAAGAGGTGTTTACCGACGTGTGTATCAACTGCAGATAAGGGATCGTCCAGTAAGTAAATATCGGCTTGTCTGTAAACAGCCCTCGCTAGGTTGACTCGAGCTCTTTGTCCTCCACTCAAAGAAACCCCTTTTTCGCCCACCACAGTTCTGTCACCTTGAGGAAACTGTTGAAAGTCTTTCTCTAAAGCACATACTTTGACTATCTTTCGATAAAGAGCCCTGTCGTACTTTTGACCAAACAAGATGTTATTGCGCACGCTTGACGCAAACAACCAAGACTCCTGGGATGCGTACGATATGGTGCCTCCTACATGGATCGACCCCGTTGTTGGCGGTAGTTCCCCCAGGAGCATCTGAAGAATCGAAGATTTACCGGCACCGACGGGTCCCACGATGGCACACAAACTCCCACTCGGGACACACAAACTGAAGTCGCTTATAGTTGTTTTGTCGGAGGTCCAGGAAGCATTAACATTCGTGAAAGTTACGTTTTCATTGGTTTTAAGCTCAACCGCTGATTCCGATTTCTCTTCTAATAAAAGGAATTCACGCAGTCTCTGAATTGATATCAAAGATTCGGCGCCGAAAGTCACAGCCATGGGAATACAAATCGCCATTGCCATTTGGAGAACGTTGAAGTACTGTGCAATTGAGAAAACCTTATCTGCTGTTATGGGATTCCCCAATAAGAAAAAACAAGTCACTGTGAGAAAAAGTGTTGCTCGTTCTATGAAAACCATGCAGCTTAAGAATATTCCTCTTAAGTACGATGCCTTCGTTATAGCGTTGATTTCGTTTTTGCGCGCCATTTTGATGATTTGTTCGAATGGTTTTTCCCAAGCGTACATCTTGATTATCTGAATCCCAGAAATTACCTCGTTCATTAAACGTACTCTTCGATCTGTTCTTTGGGCTACGGCTAACCGAAAACGCGAGGTGAGTTTGGCCAAGTAAGCTGTAACGTACGAAGACCATATAGGTAGGTGATTTTCAGCAACCGAAATAAAAGTTAACTGCGCGCACTTGGAACTCGGTCAGTCAAAAACTGGTCTTTTGAATTTACTTACCTTGTACCGGTAGAGTCAGGCATAGAATGAAGAGCACCCCCGCCAAAGTGGAAACCCCCATTTCAATCCAAATTAAGTAAGTTACGAGCACAATTTGAAGCGGTGCAATCCACAAGTAGTGCAGAGCTAGGGTAACAAAATCGAATCGATTGACGTCATTTGACAACAAATTAACGACCTGACCAGCTGCAGTTTCCCCTAAAGATTTTTTGCTGAGTCTTAACATCTACAAAAATATATTTTAACCGTGCAAGAGAGAGCTTTTTACATACTTTTCTGTAAATCAGTGAAGAAACGGAGATGCGTATCCGCATTCCGACTGAGGCTTGTCCACACTCGATGTGATGGATAGAAACTACAAGCAAAATTGACTGAATCATTAGAACCGAACCGTAAATATACATCTGGTTTTGGTCGGTTTCGATGTCGTCGGAAAATAAACTGATGAAGTATGCGAGTACGAAGGGTTGGAATGATCGGATTAACATCATCTGGACGAAGAGACAAATACCGTAGGTCATGTAGTTCCAGAAGAAAGTTTTTATGATTGCTCTAACCAAACTGGGGCTTTTTTTAGCTCCTAGTTTGGAGTCGACCAGTTCTTGGTTCCAGTTCTTTTCAAGATTGTTTGTTAATGGTTCTGATTCGTCACATGCGAGGGTTTTGTAAAGGTCAATTACTTCGAGGGTTTTTTTAGTTCCTTTGTAACATAGCTTCATCATCCATCTAGAAAATGAAGTGCGATAACTGCGAGCTCTATTTACATCATTGTGTACTAATGTGTGGTGCATGTTAAGTTCAAGGATACAGGAGTATTCGGATTAATGAAACGTGCATTGTCACGATACTTACACAAAAAAGATCTTCGAAACTATATTGGCTCTGATTCTGGGATTTTCGTGTTTCAAACTATAAACTGCTTCCATAATGAAGAGTTCAATATTTCGGCAAAACTATTCTTGTTTTAATCAAATATTCGTCGAATGTCGACTTAAAGATAATAGAATCTTTTCATGAAAAATAAATGCTGGAGAAATTTACATATGTATAATGGATAAATATGTACATTAATGAGTCGCAAGTCGTTGGAGTTATCTTTTCTGCTCGATAAACAGTGTGATCCTTTTGTGAGTGCCAGATAAGAAGTTTGGTTATAAAAACTCGTAAATAGGATTTGTTCTGAAGCGAGCCCCATATTTTATTATTTAGAATAATCTTTTCAAGGCTGAGCAAATATAATTTGGTCTAAATACCCTGGATTCTGTTATCATAAGTCTAAAAACCATTATTGTGTTATATCATATCTTTAAAAACAGTTGATTGCATTTTTTTTGCTGTCAGATTGTAGTTTTTGTTATTATCAACTAGACCTGATAAAAGTTTAACATTTAATGATGCGAGAAAGGTTTTTTTTTGTTTTGGAATTGTTACTCCATACTTCGTCTTTGCGAACGGTGCTTTAGAAAGATACAAAAACCTAAGTTTTAGAGAGCGACCTGGTGTTCATTATTGTCATTATTAACATTCTGAATCATTTCAATCAATCAGCAGTTATTCGCGATAAGCACGCAATTTTTAAACGACTACTTAAATAACTCATTGTTGAAAAATGGTATAGAATTTTAAAACAAGTAGGTATTTATTTTTTAGGCCACGTCACAAAATTGATTGTGGATTTTTTGTAAAAGTTTGCGAAGTCAAAATTTTTGAGAATTCAACGAAATTTTAAATTTTGTCTCGAATTACGTGCTGTTCGATTTTATTTAACCGTTTCGTCAGCACGATGGGACTGGAGTTAATTTTTGCAAGGTAAAATAACAATTACGCCATATGTATAAAAAAATTTATTTAAAATATACATATCTACATTTAGGTAGTCGCCTATATTTCTTTCCATATTCACATCTCGTTACGACCGCATTGTTTCAAACTACAGCACACAGACACAGCCCTTCTCTGTAAATTTCTGTAAAACATTTAAAAAATATTCACATTCGCAATATTATTCGATAAACTTTAAAAACTTACAACAATCAGAAATACGTAAAACATGATTTAAAAAATTAAGTAGCTTAAAAATACCTTTGTTTTATATTCGTAAGTACAGATCGTCTAAAATCTTTATATAACGAGGGGACGCAATGATCACTCCATCTGATTGCACTAAGTCGCATTATTAAAACTACCAACAACAAGTAAAATACGAACACATAAAAATACTTTGCGCTTGACGCGAGTCCCATCTACACTTTTCAACCACAAATCAAATGAAATGCCCCTATTCCGGAACCGAGTGCTTCTTTAGATAACTCGCCCTCGCCACTTTCCTCAACTGCTCGGCCATCGACTTGCCCGTCTCCGCTACCATCTTACTAAACCTGCTCGACGGATTCTGCAACAGCACGTGCGGATGGTCGAACTCCATCATGGTCCCGCTCTCCATCACCAGAACCTTGTCCGAGTCCATGATCGTGTTCAGTCGATGCGCCACAGTCAGCACGGTGCAATCCGCGAATTTCTCTCTTATCGTCTTCTGAATTAGGGCGTCCGTCCTGCATTCAGACAGTTAGTTACGCAACCGCGAAAAACCCGAATACTTACTGAGGATCGACGTTCGCCGTCGCTTCATCGAGCATAAGAATCTTGTTGTTCCTTATGATCGCTCTAGCCAGACAAATGAGCTGCCTCTGGCCCACGCTATAGTTCGAGCCGCGATCCATCACCCTGTTCTCCAATCTGTTAATAATGTTGTTTGGGTCTTTTAATTCAACCTCGTTTAACGCTTTGTACAACACTTCGTCGGGATAATCCTCGAAGGGATCGAGGTTGTAGCGCAAAGTCCCCGAAAACAAAACGGGATCTTGGGGAATGATGGAGATTTTTGAACGCAGAACTTGGAGCTGGAGGTCTTTGGTCTCCATGTCGTCGATTTCGATTTCTCCGACGACTTTAGCTAAGCGAAACAAAGCGGAAATTAACGAGGATTTCCCGGCTCCGGTGCGTCCAACGATGCCGACTTTCTCTTTGGGGAGGATTGTTATGTTGAGGTCTTTAAGAACTAGCGGGGCCTCCACGTCGTATTTCAAACCCATTTCTCTGAAAGTGATTTTGCCTTGGCCGGGCCAGTTATCGGGAGGCGTTTTAGGCTTGTCTGGTTGTTTTTCGTGGGGTAATTCTTTATATTCGAGAACTCTTTCCACGGACATCAGCTGATTGGCCACTTCGGCCGACTGACGCATGCCCCACTGAACCAAACCGGTCAGTGCCGCCGACTGAGTGATGGCCAAACCGACTTGGCCGCCCCGCAAACCTAAACCTGTCGAACACAGCATTAAACAAGTCAAAACAATGCACAAAACCTACTTTCTCCGAAAGTTAAGAAGCTGAAAGTTACGAGGGTCACGAAAATGAAGCACAAAACGTCCAAATAGAAACCGAAGGCTGAACTGGCTGCTACGTACATGAACCAGGCACTTGTGTGGTAATCTTGGTGCTTGTCGAACTCCACCCGCAGGATATCTTCGGCCTGGAAGGCCCTGATCGTCGTCAGTCCTTGCAGCGTGGCGTTCAAGTGGGTGAAAACAGGACTTCTCACTAGATTTTTGAAAATCAAACTTAACACTCAACTCTACACCACGCCAATCGCAAACTTACTCATTCCTTCCAGCCGCTTGATGTTCTTCGACGATTTTAAAAACACCACTCGCAGCATTAAGAAGAAAATCCCGGTCACTCCCACGATAATCAAAAAGTACGGATTCACTATCGTCACCAGCACTAACGCTCCGGCCATGTTCAAAATAATCTGCCCCGCATCGAGCACCGCCTTCGGCAACAGTTCGTCAATAGCACCTATATCTTTCGAAAACCGATTCAAGATCCTCCCGCTCGGATTCGTGTCGAAGAACCGCATGGAAGCGTACACCACGCAATTGAATAATATGTCGTGGAGTTTCTGGGAGCTGAGCATCGCCAACTTATAGAATAACATCGAACGACTGAGAGCGAAAACGAACAGCGCCCCGATCAAGCCGCCGTAGATGTAGATGCACGTCTCGGTCGACAGCGGAGTCGACAGCGGATTGGTTAATTCGTTGGTGTTGGTGACCTTGGTGTTGTTAGCAGATACGTTACGGGCCTCTTCAATGTCGACCCAGTGGCTGACGAAGTAGTCGACACCGCTGGCGGCGGCTTGCGCGATGAGGTAGAGCAACATGACGACGGTTACGAAACAGAAGTTGCCACCGGCCAGGAGGTACTTGAAGAAAAGGGAGCCGTGGACTTTGCCTTTGGAGGATTCTTCTTGGAGGTCTTTCAGTTTGATTTCTGCTTCTTCAGCTTCTTCCTGGAGGATGCTTTCGGGGATGCTGAGGTCGCTGATGCCGCTGGCGAGGGACGAAGATTTGCTCTGAACGACGATAAATTTTATTAAAGTTGGATTAAAAATATCGGTTTGTGGTTACCCTAGCGGACATTTGCCTTGTGAGCTTGGCGGCTTCGAACGCCTTTTGCTTCTCCTCAGGTAGTTGTTCCGGTTCTGATGTCAGCAGCCTGGCGTAAACCGTGTCGCTGTTGGCCAAATTCTCGAACGTGCCCCTGTTTTCGATAACCCCCTGAAACACTTAATGAGAATGGAACAATAGCGGCATCCACACCTCACATTATTCATGATTATGATTTCATCGGCATTCTTGAGATGATGGACTTGATGAGTAACCAGAATTCTCGTTTTGTTCGCCAGGAACCCATTAATGCACTCCTCGTAAAGGTGCTTAGATACGTGAATATCGACAGCCGATAAGGGGTCATCCAGAAGATAGATGTCAGCGTTTCGGTAAACGGCACGTGCTAGATTGATCCTGGCTTTCTGTCCTCCGCTCAAAGATGCTCCACGATCACCGACAATGGTTAAATCTCCGTCACCGAATTGCTTGAAGTCTTTTTCCAGAGCACAAGCGTGGACCACTTCGTTGTATCTAATCCAGAAAAGTTCAAGCTTAAAATCGTTAAACTCGCACGCAAAGTCGTTACCTCTTTTTGTTGTAATCGAGTCCGAAGGTGATGTTCTGCCGAATCGTCGCCGCAAAAACCCATGGATCTTGTGACGCGTACGAAATGCTCCCGTTTATCTGCATCGCTCCACTCACTATATTCAACTCCCCCAAAATAGTCTGCAGAAGAGAACTCTTCCCGCTGCCCACCGGCCCGATCACCGCCACAAGCTGCCTCTTATTCGCGCTCAAACTTATCCCCGTCAGAGTATTATCCGTTGACGAGGCGATCCACTTGGCGTTCAACTCCCGAAGCACCACCGTCGTCTTCTCCGGGTTAATTTTATTGTCGTTGTTATCCTCATACTTCACTTTGACGAACTCTTCGTTGTTCATGAATGACAGCAGACGCTTGATAGCCACGAGCACCTCGGCCACCTCCGAGATACCGCGCACGAACATGCTTGACATGGTCTGGGCCAGGATGTTGTAGTAAGACATGAAGACGAACACTTTGGCGGCGGTGATGGTCTGGTCGGTGAGGGCCATGGTGAGTAGGGTGCAGAAGAGGGCCACTCGGGTGGTGAAAAGGTTGAAGGTCATGTAGAGGCCGCGAACGTACGAGGACTTCATGACCACTTTGAGCTCGACTATGCGGGCGAGGCGGATGAGCTTGGTGAAGGGTTTCTCCCAAGCGTACATTTTGATGACCTGGATTCCGGAGATGATTTCGTCCATGAGGCGAACGCGTTCGTCGGTTTTCTGGGCGGTTTTCTTGCGGTAGATGGCGGAGAGCTTGCCGGTGTAGCCTGGAACGAGGCGGGTTAGAAGAAGAAATCACGTAGAGAACGGTGCGCCTTTCGGACTATTTCGACTTTCAGAAATTCTAACTAGATTTAAAATTTAAAGTCTATTACGATCATTTTCATAATCATAAAACCTTCATTAAAAAGAAAGTCGGAAGTGCATCCACTGCGTAAAAGTGCACAGATCTCTACGTTTCCGTTCACGAAAGGTCATACTTTGCAATGGTACCACGAGGAAGACCGGCGCTATGCCAATAATGCCGGCATATCCGGCCTCGGCGTACAGCAGATAGGTAACAATTAGGGCCGACGTGGGGGCAACCCACATGTGGTGGATCATTATAGAAACTATATCGAATCGGCTCACGTCATTCGATAGCAGATTAACTACCTTCCCCGAAGCCGTATCCGCCAGAGCAGTCTTACTTAAACGCAGAGCCTGGAATAAAATTAACCTCTAGAAAAACAACCCAACTTTTTGTCTGTTTGTGAAAGCAGACACAACAAACGTGTCTGAAATTGACCACCCATTGCGCTGTATTCCGTACCTTTCGGTAGATGAGGGCGCAACAGGCCGCTCGGACTTTCATGCCGTAATGAAAAGCTCGCATAATGTACTGGTTGATCAACAAGGCACTCAGGGCGTTTAGTAAAACGATGGCTCCGGCGTACCATAGGGCTTCGCTTCTCGTGACGGTGGTGTTGGGTCGGAAGTGGTCCAGAAGGTTGCCCAGCATCTGGGGCTGGATTAGTCGGACTACTAGGTCCATAATTACCAAAAGTACGCCTAGCTGGAGGTATTCCGGCCAGAAGGTGGCCACGAGGACCTTGAGCAAGCTGGGGGTTTTAGGTTTCTTGGATTTTTTTATAGCGTCCAAGTGTTTATACCATTTCCTGTAAGAAAAAAGATAAGTGGAGAGTTTAGAATAGTTGGGAACATCTGCGTGTGAAATCGAGACGGTTATCTGGCGAGGCAGATAAATCAGCATTATGGATAGTATTTCAGTCCTCACCTCTCGAGCCTATCGCCTAAAGTCGTGCTTCTGTCGCTCAGTAAAGGGCTGTAGAGATCGTCGACGTCCAGGGTCTTGCTGTAGCCCTTCTTGAACATGTCAATGGTGTAACTATAAAAGGACAATTAAATTATGCACCTATTTCCTGTAAATTCTAAAACTTATAGTTTATACAAGAGTTGCCAATTTTCTTACAAGAAAAATGTGAAATTTTCATGTTAAAAATTAATTACGGTTCTAAATCATTACGTCGGCAAATCAAAAACAAGTCCATAAAAAATGCAGACAAAAGCAACAAAAGCAGATTTGTGCTGTAACCCCAATTCAGTGTTTACCGACGGTATTTACGACAAATGTAAATACAGTATATTGCTTTCGACATTATTATAATTGTGCCAGTAATAGGGTCTTTGTACTTTATTATTCGGCTCATTCATGTGCAACATGTAAATAACCTATCGGGTTAAATATACAAGTTCGGTTTATTCTGTGTTTACTAATGATGCTATTCGGCCTATGACAATGGGATGTAACGAACCGAAACAAGCACTTTTCAACATCAGAAGGTTCTAGGTGGGGAACGTGATTTCATCAAGAAGAATTTTATGTAATAGCAATAGCGAAACTTAATTATCTTTCAGCAACGTTAAGGCTAGTTATGGCCTAGACCTCGACTCTTTGATTATTAGCAAATGTACAGTGAAGCGCAAAAAACCGAATAGGAATAGCTTGGCGCTGTGAAATTGGCTTCCAGATTTCACTATTATGTCAACAAGACTGCATCTTGCAGAAATGAAGTCAAACTTGCTCTAATCCGCTGCCATATATATTCTTCATGTTTTTTTGTTGTTTTTCTTATATACCTATAGAATCAAATCTTCCAGATTTTTCTAAATATTGACCTCAAATTACTTGTAATATTCTTAAGAAATATCTATGTTTAAAATCACCTTTCAAAAAAATTTGAAAATTTTAGAACAATACGCTCAAAACAACACCCCCTACCAGATTTTCAAGATATTTGGATTTTTTTTTTTATTAAATGTCTGTATTCTAAGCTATTTTTATATGATAAATTCTGAAATGTTCTCAGTGCTAAACTTTTATCGGTTTGCATGTAGTTGCTCAACATTTGATATATACATGCCGGGATAATTTGACTTAAAAAGTAAAAGAAATGGATTGTTAAGATAATCACACTCTTTTCTTTAATTTAATTTCTTTCTGTACAACTAATTTAAGAACGTGTACATTAGGCTATGATTTTTTACTTTGACATAAATAAAAACAGTCATTAAAAATAAATGTAATGTTAACATTCGCCACATAAAACAACAAAATTTAAATATCTAATAAAAAATGCACCGGTTTAAATTGAGCACTCTCTATCGGTGCCATGTGTTCAAGTTCGACTTTATTCTTGTCTAATGATGAATAGGAAGTAATTTGAACATTAGATATAATTTTATTGAAAACATGTTTTATTTTATTATTATCACCGTTTGACACTACGTATATATTGTTGCATAACAAAAACCTTCTTGAAAAGAAACACCATTATTAACATCATTTATTTTCATAAATAAATTACGTTAAATAATGGTGTTGTTTTGAAGAAACTTTTCTCTCTTACTCTACTACTACTCTACTTACATGCATTAAATTATATTGATTCATCTTTTATTACATATTTTCAATACATTTTTGTAGTTGATTACATATTTTGATAACTGTAAGCAATTTTTCTAAGATACCTATATTTCTGATGACGTAATCCAGAAAGACCTTGACAGACAAATTTCACAAAAAGTGCAACAAAATGGATAGTATCATTAAAAAAGGTGAAGAGGTATCGAAATAATGTAGACACTCCAGGAAACAGTTTTTACTGTCTCAAAAAAGTCTTCGATTATGCTGTGTGTACGTGACATACAACAAAACATACAGAATAGTTGTTTCTCTTTTGCTTTGTATTCTATATAATCCCCAGAATCCACAAGAATGTTTTTGACTGTTTGTTTAGAATACATAGTTTGCTTCTGTGGCTCGCTTATCAACCACAACTCACGATTATTAGTGCATTTTAACCATGATCGTGTATCCTGTGGTTTAAAACCAAAACAATACCGAAGGACGATTTCTCAAGTCTGAAAGAACGCGACAAAAGGAATTACATAACGCTATTCTGTTTTTCCGCATTGTTATTGATTAATTTCGTTCTCCCCTATCAGAACGAGATAACAATTATCCTTTACGTAGAACACGTAAATAGTGCCAGTTATCTGCAGCCGTTTACGTTTTAATGGATTCCAGATAATGCAGCATTTACCAAAGTAAACATCTTGTATGAAATAAGTACTTCATAAAAGGGTTGGATTTGTCATGTCACCACAAAGAGACACTCAAACATTTACTCAGTGATGTTTCACTGAAAAAAATACGCTAATGCAGAGATAACAATGCAAATATTATCCTTTTGCTGACTCGAAGATTAATAAAATTCTTTCTAATAGAGATCTGCGTGAATCCCGAAAGTTCTGCATGGCATCAATCACACGGCTCCAAGCCAACATCTGTTGACCAAAGCTCTTCACACCAGGGCGCACGGCCGTGTTTACTCATTTCGCGATTCGTTTGAAGGAACGAAAGCAGAGCTGGCCTTTTTCGGGGGCCACACTAACGGGAACCTCTTGTTCCCTTCTGAACCGACTCAATTTATTTATGGAGCTTATCTCTACGCCAGGCTTAAACCCCTTAAAAAGCCACGCAGCCTTTTAGAATTTTAGTCACGGATTTTCACGGTCATAAATAAACGAAAAAGAAATCGTCCCTGCCTTTTGAATGGTCGGCACTGCATGCTTGTTAGAAAATTACTAACCCGGCGATAATTGCAAAAGTCGTTGTACGCGTGGCCAACGAGAAGATAAATTCGACGGATTTTAGTTTGTTTCAAATAAGTGTAAATCGAAAGTTACAGTTTAAGCAAGTCACGCCGTCTGCGGTAAATTTCTGGTCATCGGCTATCTAAATTTTCAAGAAGCCTAGGAATATTTCCGGCGCGAACTTCTTGGCTGGCACTTCTCCAACACTTCAAAGAATTCGAACTGCCCGTAAAATTTTCCCGTCTGATGGTGACTTTTTACTTACGTAAAAAATATGGTAGACAGAGGATTGGCCTTTTCCGCGGGGTTCGGGTTGTAGTATTCCTTTGTGATATCCATGGTGCTAAATCCGTGTTTCTTTGCTGTTTGTTATTCTTGAGTCGAACACGCACCTCCTGGTTTATTTGTTCAGCTACTAATTGGGAATGTGTCTATTTGCATTTTTCGGACTGGATGAAGTTGTCGGCACCTGGGACGCCGGGGGCTGTAATAGAGACGCTGTTATTGTGGTTGTCGAGTGAATGCAATTAGACAGTAAAATACGGCAGCAATTGCCGGCGATCCATCACGCGGACAAGAAAATAAACAATTACGGTGAATGTTAACCACCAACGGAGCCAGTGCTCGAGTGGTAATCGTCTGATGTAAAAACAAATTAATTGATGGTTTCGTATGACAAACTAGATTACACGAGATCGACAATTACGTGGGGCTATTCTGGTAACGAGATCAATTGTTTAGATTCGGGCATAACGTTTGAATAAATTGATGAATACCTACAAGATGCGGCTGGAAGTCGTGGTAAATGCGTCATCGTGGCTATATTTTTCATGGTTTATTAGACGATTAGACCGCGATTACGGCAAAATCGTAGCGGAGTTTGAGTGCAAATTTTAGAGTTTAGTGCTTGTCATTTCAGAAATGTAAACATTTGCGAGTTTTTTTCGGTTCTTTTCATTATTACATCAATTTATGGAGCAGTACGTATGTTCAACACAAACAGTTTGTGGTAAATTCAAACTACAGTGATTACGAGAAATGAGAGAACCGCCCGGAGAATTTCAAGGTACGCACTGAATGGTTATACAAATTTAGAAGATTTACAGATAAAATGTGTTTCAAAATTTTCGAGATTTTGAAGATCAGAGGGATTCAAACTTTTAAGAATTTCTTACATACACATACTTACGAAGAATCTTTGGAATTTGTTTTGAAGATCTCAAAAATATAATATGTCTTCTCACAAACTAAAAGGAAAGTTTTCGAATATTATCTAAACAACACATACTTTTTCGTTTCATACTCTGAAATGTGCTCAAGCCTTGTGTGGAAGTACTGTAATTGATCGCAAATATATGAATCATGTCCAATTTCGTCCAAGCATTTCCTCTAATCTGAAACCTTTCCTTTAGCATATATCGCAGTCGTGGTAGTTTTTATTTTTCAGTTTAATTCAAAAATAAAAAAAAATGAGACGTCCCCAAAACACGTTGGTACTCTTCAAAAACAGCCTTCTAAGGTGTGTTCATATTCTATACAATTTTGTGCTTCAACATCTTGTTAAAAAAAAATAATCGAATTAATTGAAAGAGTTTATAAGTCAAAATGTTTTTTAAAGAAAATTGGCCTTATCGTTTCATTTACACTAATACGACTTTTTTAATTGAACAACGGATAGCTTATCAATAATTATCGTAATAAACCTGCTTGTTGAATGTGACACCCGCCCACGGTTCGAACCGAAAATAGGAACGAAGATTATATCGAACGAATTAAAATGCACTATCTGGAATTGATCGTGGTACAACTATTACAATATCACACTGAATACAATACTTAAGTAATTTATATCAACGTGCTTAAGCCAAAAAGAGATTAATAAATTTACAAAGTCATAAGAAAAACACTACAAACTATGCCTATTTACATCAAACGTCATCCTAAAAAATTAAAGATCTCAAAACAAGAACTTCGAATAGCAATCGTCCTTTACGTTGTATCCTCTTTTCACGGGGTATCATTACAGAATTGTATAAATGTAAATACGTATTTTTTAATTTTGTTGTTTCGTTCTTACTTTTACCCACAGAAACTTGAGATCTGGTGACACGACGAAATATAAACAAAGGGATCCTCGGCCCCGCAACTTCACCGAGATTCTTCTACTTTCATATTTTATCGTATTATGTATTTCAAAATGTCAGAAATAAACCTGTACAGAAAGTTTTACTATCAAAAAATCGCGCATTTCTTTATTCATAATTACCGCAAATCTAGTTTCCTTAGCAATTATGTTTGACATTTTATATTTCCATATTTTTGCACATAAACGTGAAGATCTGTTAAAATTTCCATTTTGAAAATTGTACTTGTACGAACTGGTTGAAACTTGTTCTGGCATTAAAAAAAATATTAACAATCGAATGATTTATGCACGAGTCACTTAAAATAATTGAGCCAATCGCTCGCTTTAATGATTTTGCAAATTCCGGTAACAACTCTAATTATCTAACAAAGCCAACTACAAAAAGTGTACAATTACAGTTCCGATAGTACGAATTTACATTCATCGTATTTAAAAAACAACCGCTAAATTAATTATTAACTGTTAGAACTTCACATGACTTGCGAATAGTACAAGAATTGCTGTGTCGTGATCGCGACAATAGTAACTCTTAAGTTTATGGCGCTTCATACCGGTCACAAGGTATTTTTTATTATCATTTTATTAGGAAAAAATGTGTAGTCGTTCGCAATTTACGGCCGAGAATGCGCACCCAAGTATTATTTGTTCTCCGAATCATTGTCACACTCTTTAGTTGTGCATATCAATTAATCCCCAACACTCCATCGCGTCAATGAAACATTCATGACCAGTTATTGCATAAGATCGCGCAAAAATAGCCTCCTCAATCCTCATGGATTTACACCGAATTTTTGCGAACAGAAATCGCGTTCTATTACAACGAAGCAATTATTCCACAAGGCTACAGGTATGCTCCGACTCTAGTCTCCAACTCAAATCAAACAAAATCAAACTCGTGCCTTGATTATAACTAACAAGTAAATTTTCCACCAGATGTTCCCGCAATACTGACCTTTCTCTTCGCGCGCGTATCGCAGCGTATTCTGCGGTCGTTTAGCACAAAACCAATTTTCCAACACAGATCACGTTACCGCGACAGCTGTTAACAACAAACTCAACATGCTTTCCCCAAGACGACCGGCCGCAGACTGACTTGGAAACCGTGGACGCGTTGCTTAAAACCGAAATAAACGTCATGTCGATTTGCCAAACGATTCATCGTTTGTTTACATGCCGCATCTAATCTAAATATGCTAAAAGTTTGCGTTGCTGGAGGCGCAGGGGTGGAGACCCCGGGAATTGGGACGGTGGGATCGATGGACGGACGATGGGTCAAGAAAAATTTGACGGAAAGGTTGTGAATCGACGTTTTTTGCTGTTTACATTACAACCAGCAAAAGATTTTTCACTGTCATTCATTAAACATAGGCGATAAATGTTCATAATCTGGGTGTTTAAGATTAAGGATGTTTGTTTTTGCGAGCACGTGGAAGGCCGCGGCGACGCGAATGCTGGGAAATGAAACTGCGGTTTCGTTGGGCTATTTCTGAAAGTGTAGTGTCAGTTTTTTTTTCTGAAATCGGGTTTAAGATCGTCTTGGACTTACTGGGTGTGCAAACTAATAAATAGGATTTAACGTGCGGGTTGAATTCGTATCACTAGGTGGCTTTTAGTTAAAATATAGCGATAACCATTAACGAATCGTTTTTTTCTGTTAGGTAGTGTTTACTTATTTTTCATAAAACGCTGATAGCACTGGCACTTATTAGTTACTAAAAGCAATAGTCACTTCTACATAATAATTACTATTGAAACGCTTTCCTAAACGTTGTAGCAAATGTCTTCCTTATAAGCCAATCACCGAAAAATATTTATTTTATTTTTTTGAAAATGAAAACAACAAAAAAGAGTCACGCGAAACTGTTTTAATATTATGGATATTTTTATTTTGACAATAACTAACCTTCGGAAAGATATAATTTATTGATCTGCTTTAGAAATTTGATTATAGCATCTCACAAAATTAGTAAGAAAGTCCAACTGCAACGCAAATAACTTCACCCTATAGAAAATTTATTAAATTAATAACAGATTTAACTGAGTAGGATCATCAACATACAAGAACATTTGTAAATTTGAAGATAACGACTATTTAATGCTCATGTATTTTTGCAGCACTATTACTTGTTAAGGAAAACGAACGTAATCATAATGACTCTGAACACGATAATCAAAATAATTCAGTGGTAACTCATTACAGACCGCAACAATCTAGAGAAAACGGCAGTTTACCAAATAATAAAATGGAAGACGATTTTGTTTTGGGTTTTGCATCAGAAACTAAACTGTTATTTTATTGCAGAATAAAAAAATCAACATGGCGCTTTATTATAAATTTAGGGTATTATTATTCAATAACTCATTATCTACTACTCCTAATAACCCACAACGCCCGCAGCGCCTCTTAATCGACCCCGCTCCTCCAGCATTATCTCTCAACTTATTTTATTTACGGCCGAGTCTCTGGCTTCACCCATCTCCGCTTATCACCTCCTGTTCACCGTCAGTCCAATTTTACCCACCGCCAATCACAATTTTTGATGGCCCAGCGTCTCTCCAGAAACCTCGAGCCGCGAAAACAAGAAAGAACCTTTTTATATGCAATCGTTACGTGTTTATTTAAAAAACCGCGGTGTCATTCTTGGTCCGCCTCATCACACACTTCACCTGTTTTATCTGACACGCGTCATCGACGAGGGGTAGATAAATAACGAGTCCTTTATATGTATATATTTTTCAGCCTCAAAGGACCCTCGTCGAGTTAATTGCTCGAACAATGATCGAACACTGAATAAGTTGAGCGCGGCCGCGACAGCGACATCAGAATTTAATTAATTAATGGAAAAAGCGGAGCCGTGGGTGTGAGTAGATTAGATAGACAGGTCGCTTTTCCGCTAAGTCGTACCAACGTTTTAATTGTTATGGCATGTGTTGTATGCAGATTATTGTTGCTTGCATCGAGGAAATGTTAGTCAGCTTTTCTTGGAACGATTGGTTTTGTTGTAATGGGTACTTTTTTAAAATGTAACTACATCAATTTATTTTAAGTTGATGAAATTGTGAGTGTGTAATGACGGAATAAGATTAAGAAGAAGATAATCGATTGCGAAGGAACTCGTTTTAGCACCTGTGTTTCAATTAAGTATTCATTAAATTTAAGTACACATATTCATGCATACGGTAAACACCGGCCTAACAAACTGGAAATCTCAATTATCCGAACCTGGCGTAATGAGGCGGCAATTCTTATTACATGGGTCATTCGATCAAATCGCTGCAAATTGAAGTGGGTCTTTAGTTTATTTCAGATTTTCAATAACACTCAAAACGCAGCAGATGTCGTCTTATTGGAGCTTCGACAGTCGGAACAAACTCAAATCTACAGTACCCAGGCGAGACGCCATGTAACTATTTTGCTGCGTATGATATCATATTTTCCTTTGGAAGAATGCCCATGCGTCAGAGATTTTTATGAATGAATTACTTATTCTAAGTAAGTCGTTACGTTCGTTCAATTCATTCAAGGTGTCACAGTGTAATAAACATGACGACATTCTTTTAGACATAGCGTGCTGCACACGACCATAGATCAGATACTTGCATTTAAATGAGCAATAGAATCTTTGAAATTTGTAGTTCTACCGTTAAAACGTACGGTAAAGCGATCACCAGATTTTCTGATTAAGGAGAATTTGATGAAGTGGGACCGACGTGCTTGACATCACACAAAAAGCAAAATTTGTTTGCGTCAATTCTGTAATACTTATTAATCATGTTTTCTTGTATTACTACATTTATATATTCTTTTAAGTGTTTTAGTTGTTTTTTATTGTTATGGTAGCACTGTAGAGGCTCATGCACGGCTCACGTATCGAGATAACTATCAATAACTGTCGTGCATAAAACGCAAATCCACTTACTGCCACCAACATGGGACACTATATTGTATGCATGAATTATTATAAAGCTTAATTATTGGGACGTTGAACCCATCGGAAGCTATAAGTATAAGCTGATTATCTTGACACAAAAAATGTGTGAACCTTGAAAATGTTGGTGCATTTCAATAAAGTTTTTGTTTTTATTACTTGGACAATAAAGAAATTATAACATTTAGCACTTTTTATTTATTGTTTAGTAAAAGCTAACAATAAATATATGTAGACAAGATTACTTGTACTTGACCAAGATTCCTTTTTTGCGAAAAACTGGCTGTTTTTTATTTATTCAACTTCAGCACCTCATAAATTATTTATTTATTTATGTATGCACTTACCAGAAATACCATCAAGCTTCATTTAACTTTTTTTTTCTTTTGATTCACCATATTATTTCACTGATTTTTATTGTTGTACCTAATATTCGCAGACTTTTTTCAAACTCTTGAAATTATATTTAAGGGTAAAGCAATTGCCAACAAGTCTGTTTATTTATTTAAAAAAGTAGCTCATAAGAAATGTATGTAATTTTTCACATTGCTGTGCATATGCTCGCTGTGAACATTATCAGCAGGTGAATTCCACATTCAAGGTACATACAACGTAGCTACTAATACAAAAATAATCAACTTTACAAATGTGTTAAATGCGTTAGTATACAAACAATGGTATTGGGTGATGTCTTAAAAATGAATCAAAATAAAAAGTTAAAAAAAAAACAGTAAAAGTAAATTATAAAAATGAAAACTTAATTGTTGTTTGTGCTTATTTGTGAAAGAAAGAATTTAAATATACCTATAACAGACTTATAACTACGAAGTTTTCTTATAATGTTTACCAGTTATTTGTCGCAAGTTTTTATAAATAAAAATAAAAATTTACTAGCAAAGAAGAGCACAACACCGCTGCACAATCTAATGTTGTTGTTGTATTTTTTTACTTTTATATGTTTTTCACGGTTTTAATTCGATACAGTTTTGAGACTTGGTTAGTTTTTACATTGCATTATATTAAAAAAATATTTTTTATCAATGCGTAAATTCGGGTAAGCATTTATTAAGATTCACCTCTGTTTTTCGCTTATTTCAGAACTGAGTGCTGTGACTGCTGTTATTTTGGTAATAATGTATAGATGTGGTATAGATGATAAATTGGATTTGTGTATTGTTGGTTGCCTAGCCCACAAAATTTAAATTATTATTATTATTATTATTATTATTATTAAAATTAAATGTTTAAAAAGGGCATGGAATGCAGATAGTTTTCATTACGTTAATAATTTGAATAATGCGGCAACACAATCTATAAGTCGAAATTTTTTGTTTTCGTTATGTAACATAACCTACGAACTTTGGCACCTAGACCACGCATGCGCGTTCGTGCGCGGAACGAAGGTAGGGTACACCTTCCCGAAAATTAATTTTTATAAAAATTCATGTTTACTGTACATAAACACTGTGGTAATTTCCTTGAGATAAACCAGAAATGGGATAATCATCGAGTTCGTCAGTTCCAAATCGAACAACATGCTCGTACGAAAATTGTGAGGTTATCTTCCATGTAACACCGAAAAAAAGCACAAATTCATAAAATCACGATGGTGCTACCTTTGGTCGAGTACGGCAAGGACCTTTGCCAGAAACTCACTCAAATCAAACTTTCTCGAATCGTAATAATGGTCTTTATTATCCTAATCTTAACACCACTCTTCACGCATTTCTACTTATCGAATATAGAAAGAAGCTCAAGTCATATCACGCATAGTGCACACTCACATATCGACCTGCCCGAAGACTTCAACGCTATGAAAGAAACAGACTTGCGGGTGGGCGTCGAGGAGCTGCTGCGAATCAAAGGCTCCGTTTTGAGCGAATTGCGAGACATGGAACGCAAACGACAAAAGCTGCTTCTCGAGATTCAAACGTACACGAAAAACATCGAGGAGTTGAAGCAGGAGTTGGTGCACCAACAGACGAATCTAAATCGCTTGAAGATTTCAGTGGAGCAGGCACAAGTCGCTCAACGCGAAGCTCTGCAGCAGAATACCCCAGATTTGGCGCTCCCGAAAAGACTGACAGTTGACGAATATCCGCCGGTTTTGCCGTCGCTACCTCCGTCTTTGACGAAATTCTGCCAAATGTTTTCCTGCTTTGACCACTCGAGGTGCTCTCTGACTTCTGGTTTTCCAGTGTATTTGTATGACCCGGATCAATTTCCGGTAATGAACGATGGCTGGGACGTGGACGGTTTTCTCAAAACCACGTTAAAACAGACGCTGGGGTATAACCCTCATTTGACTAATGATCCAAAGGAGGCGTGCATTTTCATCGTTTTGGTCGGGGAGGCGCTGAAGGACGTAGACGACGTCAGCGAAAATGTGGGTAACCATTTGAATTTGCCACCTTTGGATTCTAATGCTTTGAAACGGCTACCGTATTGGGGGGGCGACGGAAGGAATCACGTGCTGCTGAATTTGGCTCGGAGAGACCTCACAGCCACCTCTGGAGATATTTTCTCATCAGTGGACACAGGTAAATTTACGCGTAGATCGAGATTGTAAAAATTATAATTTATTTGTTTTCTATTATTTTCCATTGTTTTATAGAGCACAAAATCAAACTATAGATACCACAGATAGATACCTTAGTTGGTGGCCACGCCACCTTTTCGATTTGGATTTGAGTGACATCTACGTTTTGTTTTTCAGGTAGAGCCATCTTGGTGCAGTCGACGTTTTCGGCGAGAGCATTCAGGGCCGGCTTCGACTTGATCGTATCGCCGGTTTTGGGTCCTCCGGGGGGCGACGTCTGGCAGGAGTGCCCTCAAATGTTACCCGCACGTCGCAAATATTTATTATCTTTCCAAGGCGAAATGAAAAATAAAGAAATTGTGACCCATCCATCGAATATTGATGACTCTGATCTGTACAAGGAACACACAGAGTTGGGTAAATTCATAATCGAGCATTTGAAGGACTTGGCGAAAACGGATACCGCTGACAAGTACGTTAACAAAACCAGTTTTGGATGTCACACGGGAATAAAGAGATTTTATCCACTGCGGGAACTTGCCGTTCGTGAATAAAATTTGTTTTTATTCCCTCGTGGCGTAAAGAATTGGTCTGATTAATTTCTTACAGATTTCTTTTTGAGTTTGAGTGTGTCCCGGCCAGCGACGATAATATAAACACGGGGCCTCAAGATTGGGCCCTCTGTGGTACCGATAGCTCTCGCAGAACCGTACTAAAGGATTCCACCTACGCACTTATTTTCGCTCCCACTTACACAGATCTTATTACTACAACTTTACTGCAGGCCCGTATTTACGAAGCTCTACGTTCTGGAGCCATCCCTGTGATTCTAGGAGGTGATCAGATACGTTTGGCGTACGATGAAGTGATTCAGTGGCGTAGACTGGCCATATTTCTACCCAGAGCGAGAGTGACTGAATTACATTTTCTTCTTAGAGCTATACCAGACGAGGACGTTCTGTTAATGCGACGTCAGGGTCGTTTGGTGTGGGAAAGATATTTAGCTTCTGTGCAGAGTACTTTAGATACGATTGTGGCAGTACTCAGGGACAGATTAAATATTCCTCCCTTGCCAGTGGATACAGTGGCGGCGTTATCTGTTTTCAACGAAACTTTCCAACCTATTCAGGTCACAGTACCCGTGGAAACAGAGCAAGAGGAAAGTTTGGGGCCTTTAGAGCCCCCTTACAACAGTCCGGCGTTTAGGAGGAACTACAGTTTGGCGCTGACGCAAGGCCACGAACTGTGGAACGACTGGGGAGACCCCTTTAGGTAGGTCGTCAAGCGTCAGTGAACTCTCACTCAACTGATTTTCTTCTTGCAGATTGTATCCGGCCCTTCCGACCGATCCTCTCCTACCCTCCGACGCCAAATTTCTCGGGTCCGGCCGCGGTTTTCGCCCCATCGGCCAAGGCCAAGGGGGCGCCGGCAAAGAGTTCTCCGAAGCCTTGGGCGGCAACAATCCCCGCGAGCAGTTCACCGTTCTCCTGTTAACCTACGAACGAGAGCAAGTTCTCCTCGACTCGATAGGGCGCCTCCGTGGCCTACCCTACCTTAATTCGGTGGTGGTCGTCTGGAACTCCCCGCGCCCCCCCAGCCCCGAGTTGAAGTGGCCCGACATCGGAGCTCCCGTGCACGTGGTCAAAGCGGCCCGGAATTCCCTCAACAATAGGTTCCTGCCGCTCGACAACCTCCAAACCGAGGCCATCTTGTCGGTGGACGATGACGCGCACCTCCGACACGACGAGATCCTTTTCGGGTTCCGGGTGTGGCGCGAGCACAGGGAGCGGATCGTGGGCTTCCCGGGCAGGTACCACGCCTGGGACGTGAACACCCAGAGCAGCTGGCTGTATAACTCGAACTACAGTTGCGAGCTGAGCATGGTGTTGACGGGGGCGGCGTTCCTGCACCGGCACTATCTGCACTTGTACTGGAAGTGGCTGCCGCAAGCGATCAGGGACAAGGTGGACGAGTACATGAACTGCGAGGACATCGCTATGAATTTTCTGGTGAGCCATATCACGCGCTTGCCGCCGGTGAAGGTGACGTCCAGGTGGACGTTTAGGTGTCCGGGCTGTCCGCAGAGTCTCTCGGAGGACGACACGCACTTTCAGGAAAGGCATAAATGCATCAACTTTTTTTCGCAGGTTAGTGGAGAGGTGAGATTTGAAATTGAGTTATTTCGGTTTTGTCTCTAGGTATTCGGGTATATGCCTTTACTCAACACTCAATACAGGGCCGATTCGATCTTGTTCAAGACGCGCATACCGCACGATAAACAGAAGTGCTTTAAGTTTATATGAACGGCGTAGTGAATGTGATTTTGGAAAATAGATTGTTGAGGGCTCGACAATTGATGTTGCGATTCGTGGATTAACGCAACACCCGCTGCTTCAAGGGAGTCGAGAGTTGGGTTTAGATCAATCAATCACAATGCCGACGATATAGTGTGTATTAAAATTGTACGTACACGGGCCGGGAGAGTCCACGAGAACTGCCAAAGATGTCAGCGTCCTATCCTAAAAATTTTATTTTTTAATTTATTCAAGTATTGGACGTCATAAGACGTGATGGTTTTATACATATTGTGTGATATTATTTTTTTATTGTTTACTGGAAGGATGCAACTTTGTAAGCCTCGTGGAGACCTCCGCCGCTGCCTTCGTGAGGTCGTATTTATTGTTAAACTCGACTTGGTTGACATCAGTTCCTCCGATGTCGTAGTGTTTTTCGACGTGCCATTTTTACTAAATAATTTTATACCTTTTATGTAAATAGTAACTTATTCTCTTTTATCTTTATGTACATAAGCATTTTTTTTTTAATTAAACACCTGTGTTTACACTTTTTCATAAAAATCCATTTATTAAAATACTTCATTAAAAAAATAAATACATAATAAAATCAACAATTTTCACCTACTTTTCGACAGGGACTCCTCATTCAAATCATAGAACTTCTCCGTCGAATCTTTCCTGTCCGAATGCTCCCTCACCGAACTCACGTCTGAATCCGTAATAAAAATGGGCCCTTCCTTGTTGTTGTTTGTAATAGGCGTCGACGTCCTGCGATTATCCACTTGGATCAAAGAAACTCCCTGAGACTCGCTCAACATCGATCCTTCTTCCGATTTGCTCGTACTTGAGGAAATCTTACTCAAAAAATCCCTCAAACTCACTTCGCCGCTCTCCTTGGACCCGCTGGAACTGGATGTCATCGCTAAAGCCTCCCTTGTCTTTTTCAAGGTAGGTATAGCCCACTCCATTCCTATACTAATCAACATGGTTTCCATGGTGTCCATTTCGGACACGTCGTCACTGGACTGCGACTTACTTCCAGCTCCAACGTCTGAAACGCTACCAGATTTGGAACCTGCGCTACTCTTACTTTTGGATGGGCTTTCCACCTTCGTCGTTATCTGACTGTCGGCTTCAATTATAGTCGAAAGTTCGTGAGCATTACCAGCTATGGCACGCATTCCTTTAGACGTAGGTGGACGTTTCTTCTTTTTTTCCAGAGAGGGCGCCTCGAGGCGAGGGAGTTTCGGTATGTCGAGAAATAGCGGTGCAGGGTCTTTAGGTTCTTCGGTTGGCCTCAATCTAACCGTCGTTCTCGTCACTAACGTACCAACAGTTTTACCGTCGTCAGTAGTTTCCACCACTTTCTTCTCTGACGTGAACGCCACAGGTTCGCCACCAAAATCTTGCACAACTTTTTGATCTTTTACTTCAACTACCGTTCTCTGTTTAGGTGTCGCATGTACATTCTTCCTGTTTTTATTATCGTCTAGCAACTTCTGCAACCTGCCCAACAATTCGTCGTCTGTTGGTTCTTCTTCTGCTCGTTTTTTCTCGCTCTGGATTTCTTCCTGCGATAGTCGTTTCAATTGTTCAGCATAACCGTAGTCTATCGTTAGTAACTTATCGAGTTCGTCTTTGGGCGACTTCTCCTTATCTTTTTTCTCTGGTGGATGTATCAGTAGCTTACGGGGTTCGTCTTTGGGCGACTTCTCTTTCTCTTTTTTCTCAGGTAAATCTTTGTACGACGTCGTTGTCAAATCCTTATCGCTTCCAGAGGTCGAATTTTCTATCATCTTCTTCTTCTCCGCGCGGACTTTCTCGATCATGGCAGTTAAGCTGTTGATTTTTTCAGTACAGGACGCCGCGATGTCCGCATACTGGAGTAGTTTTTTATTCGAATCTTCCACCCTGTCAGCAATTTCGATGCATGACTTGAACTGGGACCTGTCACCGTCTGAGCTACTAGAAGTAAGAGTGGTACTCTCACTGGTGTTGTACTGTTTACTACTGCCGTCAGATGCGTAACTCAGCTGCTTCTGTAGTTCAGCAGCATCTAAATTGAAGTACTTCATAACATTCACAAGTTGTAGTAAAGGGTTGTTGGAAGGAGTTTCAATAACGCTATGACTAGGAGTGGAAACCTCACTACCGGTACTAACAGTGAGTTCATCTATGCTGGCCCTTGACATATTTAAAAGCTTCCTGATGTACGTCAACAGTCTGGGATCAATTCGTCCGTCAGACCCGGTACTATTCAAACTCCTGTAGAGTTCCTCAAACTCGGACGAGTGTTGAGTCGACCTTCGAGATGACTCATCTTCGGGTGTTTTTGTTTTTGACTTCGTAGACAACTTTCTTGACGTTTCTTCTTCAGGTGTTTTTGGTTTTGACTTCGCAGACGATTTTCTTGATATCTCCTCTTCCAGTATTTTTGGTTTTGATTTCGTGGATTTTCTTGACATCTCTTCTTCGAGTGTTTTTAGTTTTGACTTCGTAGACGACTTCCTTGACATCTCTTCTTCAGGCGACTTTGCGGTCTTTCCCTTATCACTCCTGGCAGACGGCGGGGGATCCATATACGTAGTACTGGAAGTTGACTGGGAAGAACTACTATGTATCAGTTGTTCTCCCCACGACGTTGATTTTTTGGGAGACTCGCGAAGTTCCTCTTTCGAAGCCTCCACTTCTTCAGTCACCACTCTGACATTCTTCCCCAAAAATGGCGGATTAACTTGAATTTGGGGTTTTTCATCTTCTTTGATTTTAATCACAATTTCGCACAAGTCATCCAAACCGCCTTTTACGCAAGGACACACTTCTGTAGAAACCGGCGGAGTTTTAGAAACTGGTGAAGTCGCAACGCTTTGTTTTTCTGGTACAGGCGTTGTTTGGGTACTCGTGTTTTGTAAAACTATCGTCTTTCTGGAGGTCTTTAGTTTAGGCTTTTTTCTGGGCGAAGGACTACTCGTACTGGTTGTTGATATCACCGTGCTCTTCTTTGTCGATTTCGTTCTAGTGTCAGTTTCTTCTTCCACAACAATATCGCTAGAACTGGAAGAAGGCGGTCGTTCTTCCGTTGTGCGTTTTCTTTTATTAGTACGCGTGTAGTCGGTCGATTTAGACTTCACGTCATCTTGACGATCGTCGCTACTCTTCGTAGGTAAGGTCAATTTTTCGCGAGACAGCGTACTTTTGATTTCTTTTAAAAGCGATTCCTTCTGACTTTTCAAGTTTGAAAGCAACCGACTCAACTTATCGCTGCGGCTTCTATTCGATGCATCCGGGTCGAAATCCACGTCCCATGCAGCAAGATTCAAACTTGGCCTTTCCTCCCGGTCGTCTTTTCTTTTAGGAAGTGTGACGATTGCTGGTTTTTGCCTGACAAACAATTCTTCGTACGCGTTGTCCAGTCTATTCTGTCTTCTTTTTTCCAGATCTTCTAATCGATCTTTAGACATGTGGTACCTTTCCTTGTCGGTACCGATCTCGAAGATACGTTCCTGTTTTTGCAAAGCGGGAAGTTTTTTCAGCAAATCGCGGTATTCCCTTTGGACTTTCTCTTTTTCTAGGGCAGCCTGTCCACGAACGTGAGCTTCGATGTCGCGCTGACGCATCTTCTCTCGAATTTCGTCTTCGCTTAAGACGTTTGGAGAAACGACGATTTCTTCGTCGTCGATTTTGTCGACGGGGGTAGTTTTAGGCACGTACGACTTGGAGTACCTATTTGGGTGGTCATAAAATTGTACCGGTTGCGCCCTCGGTTCGGTTCCTATGTACACAGGTCGGTCTTTGGTGGGCCTTAGTGTGATTTTAGGTTTTGCAGGAATGATACTTTTAGGTTTTGGATCGTCTTTCTTTTTCTTCTCAAATACTGCGGCTGAGCGTTGAGGAGCTGCTTTCGCTGTGGTGGTTGTTTTAGTTACGATTCTGTCACTTTTAGTAGTCGGTTTTGTTTTATCTACTTCCAAACTTGTGGATGATCTTTGAGGAATTGTGACAGGTACTGTATTTTCGGTTTCTGTTCTAAAGCGTGAATTTGTTTTATCTACTTCCAAACTTGTAGAAGATTTTTGAGGAATTGTGGGTGCTATATGTTCAGTCTCTGTTCTGAAGTGCGGATCACCTACAGGCAACATTTCGGCATTATCAGGAATAATTGTTTCATTCTTTCGAGTATTTTCGATTTTGTCGTCTTTTAACGAGGTTGCAGACTTATGTGTCGATTCCGTATGAACTACATTAGTAGTTTCAGAGTCAAAAACTTTACCATGCGCGTGGTTCATGGGACAATTACAACACGTACAAAAATTCGTTTTTGCTGGGGCGCTTTTTTCGAGAAAATCACAATAGTCGACTTCTGGATTCAGTTTCGCTCTTCTTTTTATTCGTTCCGATATTCTGGTATCCACAAAAAAATCACTGGTTGTGGGACGTACTGGTTCTGGGTCTTCTGAGAGGAGAATTGTTTGGGCGGCCTTATCACTGGTGGGAACTAAAAAAAATCCTTTAATGAAACAGCTAATCTAAAGGGGAGAGCATACGTTTTCCTCCTGAAAACAGTAGTTATATGAATGAGGAAAAGATGCTTACTCCAATTTACTATGTAATTTCTTCTACAATACGATTTTTTTATACATATACATATGGCCCATCAAAATATAGAGTATTTTCAATCCGGGAAGATCAAAATCGTAGAAAAAATTATTCTGATCTCATTCTTGAATTTATAATTTGTCTATACTTATTTTATTTTTATTTTAGCCTTCGCTTACCTTGAAACATAGTAGCACTAGTTTGTTGTTCTTTCGAACTTTTTTGCGTATCCATAGTTGGTTGCTCCTTTGTACTTCTCCACCCATCGCTCCTCTTCCTCTTCACTTCCTCCCCACCCGAACTGCTACTTGACGACTCCTCCCCCAACCCCTCCAGCTGAGGGATCTTGTTCTCCCCATCTGAATCAAAAACTTGCCCCTTCTTCTTCTTAAACGGACTTTTCCCTTTCTTTCCCGACCTCACTGCATTCGCCCTCCTATTTTCCATGTCACTAGTAAATATCCTCCTTTGTCTTGGCATGGCCCTCCTCAAACTTTCCTCATTCCTCTCAATCTGCAGTCTCTCTGCCGCCGCCCGTCCCCTGACCCTCGCCAGTATCTCGTTACTCTCTTTCTGCTCATCAAGAACCTCCTCTTCTTCTTGCACACGTACAGCATCCTTGTGGCCCAAACCAATCTCGTCAAGAGCCTCCTGGTACTGATTTTGCAGCTCGAGTAGCTTCCGTGCTTGCCAGTTCTTCAACTGCACTTCTCCCTCTTTCTCGATTTGTGTTATGCAGTTCGCTTTTTGTTTTTTTACTTTGTTACGTAGGTTTTCGGCGATGTGTTTTGATTGTTCTCGGACTTGTTCCAAGCGCATTAAGCGACGTTTCTCGAATTCGGCTTTCGTCGGATCGGAGGCTGTTACCATTTTGCCTCGGTTTATACGCACGGGGTTGCCGGAGACGGTCACATTAATGGACATTTCAACGGTTGGATGACATAACCTCAAGAAGAGGTTGCGGGCCCCATTGTCTGCATTTATGAAATATAAATAAAATTAAGGGTAAGGAGGGATAGTTGAAGATGTTACTTACTTTACTCTGTTTCAATTAGATCGTTTTAAGAATTCTAGCGAAAATTGGAGAGGAAATTTCAAAACTGATACAAATAATAAATGTCAGTGTTTATTTTCATCAGGGTCGCCACACAAAAAAAAGCAAAACAGATCGCATAAATAAATTCTTATTTTTTGTTTGGCCAAATTTATTTCATTTTAACCTACGTAATAATAGGGCTGTGTATTTATTTCATTAAAACAATTATGAAATATGTATTTTTTAAAATATTGACAAATGTCAGATATCAACTGTCAAAAAATTTCAAATGTCATTTTTTTTCCTTTAAATTTGAAATTGCGTAAATGTTGGCGGTTTTTTTTTCCAAATTCTTCACAGTCTGATGAAAAAAATGGACAGTATCCTACAATTTAATGTTAGTCTGTATAGTTACACCCCACAAGGCGCAGAACAGCTTTACAAACAAGCGGAAATGATATATTATCGTTTGAGGTTATATCAAATTTTGAAAACCAAAGAAACTCTTTCTGTTGACGAATTAAAATCGGAGCTTGGAGATAATCCGCTTAAACATTTATTAGATGTAGAAGATAACGCCGAAGTACGACTTGCGCGTCATTTGGATTACCTCAGTCACTGGACATTGAAAATTGCATACAGCAATCAACAACCAATGTTCTTCATGAAATGCGAACTCAGATGGTTCAAAACACGATTTAATAACATGTCGCACGATCAGAGAATGGAGTTCATAAAAAAGAACAACTTGAATTTGACGCCAGCAACAGAGACAGAAAAATCAAGTTTGAAATTATGGGGCCAAAATTGGTATAAGTTTAACTTTACGGAAGTGACCTTATTAGTAAAACTCCGCTTATATCCTATGTACAAAGGCTTCATCTTCATCCCAGAACACAAATTAGTCTTTTGGTTGACTGAGAAACTCCAAAAACAATTACAATCTTCACTAGTCCATTGCAGAAAAATGTTACCCTCAACCTGTGATCAGCTGAACATGCTTATAAACACATTCGAACTAGTCCAACCTTATAGTGACACAACCTCGCGGAGATTCAAATTGTGTGATTTAAAAAAAAATGTTGAACATTTTCCCTTGTGCATGAAATTCCAGTATGAAAATCTGGAAAAGAAGCACCACTTGAAACACTTTTCACGTGTGCAGTATGGTTTGTTTTTAAAAGGACTAGGCCTCTCCCTTGAAGAAGCCCTGAAAATGTGGAAAACCGAATTCACGAAAAAAATGTCAGAAAGATGCTTCCAGAAAGAATATAGTTATTTTTTTAAGCATCAGTACGGAACTGTGGGTAGTAAGATTAAATATAAAGCTCAGTGTTGTGACACAATTTTAGAACAGTCAGTCCCAAGTGGGTTTGTTCATGGATGTCCTTTCAAACATTGGGATGCGAGTGTTCTTAGCGTGAGATTAAGAGAGGATGATGTTTGTGACGAAGATGTGAGAAAAATTTTAGGTTTGAAACAGAGAGAGCAATATAGGGCGGCGTGTACGACGTACTTTCAAAGTGTATGTGGATGTAAACTCGACGATGTTATTGATCACCCTGTTAAATACTACGACAAGTCATGTAGTTCAATTGTTGACATTGAAGACCTGGTCCTGAGTGATGAGGATTAATCTCGTGATGACTCAGTAACAACAGTTGATAATGTAGTAAGGTAAAACTTTTTTCTTGTTTGAAGTTTTTTTTTCTTTTTTATTGTTGTAAGGTTGTTTTAGTGGAAAAGTTATTTTTTCACTAAAGTTCGTAAACGACCGTAACAGTGTGTAGTTCGCACATTTTTGGATACATTCTGAACATAAGTTTAAGTGGCGAAAAGTTTTATTTAAAGTTGAATGATAAATAGGTTTGTTTTCTATTGTTTAAAATCCTGAAATATTGTATGTTGAAGAATGGTGCTTGAATAGTACAATGGAGAATATATAATGTACTTTATTAATAAATTTGACAAATTTCATGTATATTCACAAGTTGATTTCTGGATGAATTCTAAATATATACTTGATAACTAATGTAAATATAATGTATCTTTTTAAATATATAAGTGTATGTACCTTACTTGCTACGTAATGTGTTAAGGTTTAACATGATAATAATGGTTTCAACTTAACGTTACAATATATGAATACTCTGAAAATATAATATTATGTATATATAAATACTCTATAAATGTAAATATGACAATAACAAAAAAATAATAATAAAAATGAAAGACTTTAGAGGTAATGAAATGAGTAAATCTACGTTTATACGATTTGATACAAGTGCACGCTTGCGTCTTATAATAGATAAAAATCGAAAAAGATCTCCGTAATACAAATACAAAGTACAAGCAAAACGTACAGGGCAGTGAGTGGCAGCGCCCTCCGGCGCCGAAATCATGGACCGACCACATACCTTCCCCAGAATAGGTCCGAATTCGTGATTCCCCGGGTCAAATCAATCTGTTAACCCATTTGAATAATCACCGATCGAAACCAGTCTGGGGAACGTAGTTATACACAACTTGCAAAACATCTAGCCCCTAAAACTATGGCAGGTATATGGTGGAGACATTTAAGTGAATTTTGACTAACTCCATAAGTTACTCTCGCAACGAACTCCAACAGATCAAGACAAACAAAACAAACTGATGACGTCGTAAAAAGGTACAACAAACGCAGAAACCCCGCGTTCTTCAAATTGTAACAAGCAGCAAACTCGAAGCATGAAAGAATCCTCTTTGGTACAGCCGCTCCGATCCCACAATAAAATCCATCAGCGTACCACAATTACAACGACTGCCATACACGACCGCCCCAACCCGTTGGAGGCTCCGCCGGCGTCAAAATTCCCAACAACCCCTCCACGCTCAACAGTTCGAATCTAACACCGAAAGCGAGTCCTCAAGGTAAAGTAGCGCGTCGTGGTGCACTTTGGCTGAGATCTCCCCGGCACTTCACGAGCGTGTCCGTGGGAAGCATTGTACTTGAGATCACCTTGATCACTTGGATCAGTCGCCGAACCTGGAGCACGCCTTCTTCCACTTGCACTGCGTGCACCATTGCTCCCGGTGCTCCATGCCGTACACCTTGCGGCACTTCTTGTTCTCGCCGCGCACCCGCCGCGGCGACGCCGGCGTCTTGGGGCTGTGCGGGCGCGGCGACAGCTTGAGCAGCTTGTGCGGCGACTGCGGGATGGGCGTGGGGCCCGACAACAGCGTCTGGCGGAACGAGCCGACGAGCTGCCGCTGGTAGTCGGGGTCCTCGTGGGGTGGCCGCGCCATGTCCCGGTGCGAGAGGGTGGGCGGCGGGCTGGTCAGCCCCAGCTCGATCTCCGTGTAGTAGAACTCCTCTTCACCGGGGTGCACCTCGTGGTCCCTGCAAGTCATCCTCGCATTAGCCAAATTGATTACTTAAATGGATAATGACCGATTCGAGCTTTGAATCAGATCAAGATCTATTCGTATTAGGGGGGAAAAATCAAGGCGACCTTAACTAGAGTCACAAGAACCCATCCAGGTCTCGAATCGTCATTATTCGTAAAAAATGATCGAGACCGTCATTTTTGTTTTGATTCTTGGTATGATTGCTTGTGCTTGGATGCCAAATTCGATAGGAACATTCTGTGCGGTCGGCGTTTGCTTTAATTAATTTAAGTCCACCTTCGGAGCAATTGGAACCGTTGCAAAATTTCGAGTTCCCTCCAAGAGGACTCTAGACCGGGTAGGAGCACGTGCGGATAAAAATAAGCCGTGAATGGAGTAAAGCGGCAAGGTCTCATTAATAAAACTGTTTATGTTCGAAAGCGTACACGTGTAGCGGATTCGCGAAGGCAGTGGCGTGCAGAGGGGGGAGATAATAAACAATAACTCGCGAGAATGTTTACAGGAAACTGCTGCAATGCCAGATATGTGAGAGAAATGCGCAAAAACTGGTTGTGCTGTGTAAAAATTCGCGGCTTGTAAGAACGAGAAAAGTATATCTGGCCTTGATGCGCGCCGCTAATCCAAGGCGAATTTTACGGAATGATCGCGATCAAATGAAGTTTTATTATTTCTGTTGGTGTGTGAAATGTGCTGGAAGTAGTGTTGACGTATCTAAACGGCTATTGATTATGCTTAATATACGCTGTAATCGCGCGCCACGCGATAACATTTTCGAATGGAAGCAAAAAAAATGTAAACAAACAGCGTAAATCTTTCTTGGAAAGGAGATAAAAAAATATTGTAATTTTGCGCGTAGAAGTTTATTACTTAATTGTACTACCAGCGTGTCAGGGTCAATCAAGTATTTCGTTGCTCATTCTTAACATTTTGGGGACAGACGATTTAATTCGCCGGCGTATTGTCGACGATTTCGCATGTACTTTGGCATCAATTATTAAACTTGTCATTTGGCAGACTGTGACAAAAACCGGACTTTTTATTTACTTTTCGGTAATTTGTTTACACGTGGAAAAGATAAAGATGCAAAAAAGGTTTAATTTGTGTTGTTGAACAAGTTTTTGTGTTTTTACTTTAAGTGCATTAGTTGAGCAATGCAGTTCTCATTAAAATACTTTCACGGTATTCTCATTTTTATTTTCTTTTTTGCTTTCATGTTTAATACGTATGCGGAAATGTGTCAATAATAAAAGCAATTTATATTTTACCAAATAGATTATTTAGCAATACCGATTCTTACGCCGATTGGCGACCAAATAGCGCAAATGTCTTGTAAAAACTTAGAATGCTTTGACTTTTATTCTATAAGTTATTGCAAGTCTAACAACGACTATATGTATGTATAGTTTTGGAAATTTCATTCTACCCTATAAAATTTTATTGACAATAACGAGATGGACAGTAGGACAATGGTAAGAAATATTTATGGCGCACACCAGTTCACCCGAATTTGTCGGAGAACATTTAGCAGGTAGTTGTACTCATAAAATACTTCATGCTCATTTTCGTTCGTGAGTAACAATGGGCCCTGTCCGAACCTGGATTATTCTGCTTTCTAACATCTGGGGATTACCGGCACGCGACAACTTCAAGTTGTCTTGCTATTGTACTATTGTCCGTCTCATTATTGCCAATAAAATTTTATAGGGTAGAAAGACATTTCCAAAACTATACTTATACTCGTCCATAATAGTTACTTAAAAAAAAAAAAACATTAAAAATGACATACAAGGATCTGTTTGACTGTAGTTATAAAGTTTTTGCTAAATATATAACCTTGGCCTGTATCCGATGTAACTTTCATAAGACCTGACTATGTTTTCTTCTATGTAAAAAATGGTTCTATTGGTGAATTCATTATAATTAACAAATGTTCAGCTATGCACTCCTGAGGTTGAACGTTGGAAGTTATTCGCAATTTCTACACCTATTCGGATTTTATTTGACGAAATTATGACTAGTGAACCAAGAACAGAAAGTAAAGTGGTTTCAATAAAAAATACCGTAACAAGTGTAGCTAATCTGTTCGGTGAAAATGTAGCTTCTGCCTTTTGTCATTATGATTTCCTTTATGTTTTTCACTTATCGCGGGTATATTCATAGCATAAACAGGAAGAGACTGTCCTAAAAATAATCTCAAATATTTCAAATCGTAAATCAACGATTTAAATCTCCTAGAACCTATTTTAATTATATTTTTAAAATAAAGCCACCCACATATCCTGAAAGTTATTTTCTAGCTACCTGCTGAATCAGTAGCTACTCTTTTATGTGTCAAAATGTAAACTCCATAAATTGCATCGTAACCAATTGCCCAATTAAATAATGCAATATTTCCATTTTAATTTCATCGAAGTGAAATTTTGACAGTTAAATTACCAAGCCTGATTTACACGCTTTAAAAATTGGGCCACGCGACAGCAGGCAGCCGCAACATTCATAATTGAAGTGCAAGTGGATGAAAAAGTTAATTAACATATTTTTCAAATTACAAGAAATTCAGGGCGCGTCTGTTTTAATTAAATTAATAATTAGTTATAGCAGATCCTTCTATAAAACGCTAGCTTTTTCGTGTCAATGCTAGCGCAAGAGAGGTCGAACTCACACGTTAAGGTGATTCTATTGACTCTAATCGTCCACTTCATCCCACAGATGTCGCCACTCAACCTCGGCGCAATATCAGCGAGATTTTCGATCGCTTCGACGACCGATCCCGCACGCCGCTGCTCTGCGAAAACAAGTGCCTCCGCTGCGCCTCGCTGTTTGCACAGCTACCCACGACCCGCCGAATCCCTAACAATCAACAACGCGCTTGCCAAAGCCGCTCTGGCACAGGATGACAGCTAATAATACTCCTTCGCTCCTGTTATTACCGCCAAGGCCGATCGGAACAGCTCCGAAACTCGCGAATTTAAGCAAGCAAGGCTGCTGGGCAGCCTTGGACCGTTAAGATTCCGCTCCGACCATGAAACCCGGCTAATTATTCCGTTATTTTAAGCGCACGTAATCGAAATTGGTTGGGAGAACCACTGCCAGGCGGCGCCACACAGCGTGTAAACAACAAGTAAAGGAGAGACGATACCGATGACAGAGAGACCGATCTCGACTGTGACCCTTATCAACGAGAGCGCAGAGGCGATAATTGTATTCGGTGCAAGACTTTTAAAGTGGGCCGAGAGGAAAGTGGGTGCGAAATCTAAATTTGTGTAATTGTGGCTGTGTCACGAAAAAAGTTGAAGTTGGGTATGTGACAAGTTTTAAATAAAGAATCTATTTTGTTTTCATTATATTTTTTTCAAAAAAAAATAATAACGGATTTGCGTATTTTTATTATTTTGATTTGATGGTGTAAGTTGGTCGTTAAGGGTGGTTTTCGCTCGAAGTTGGAGCTGTCGTCTCTCTTATACTCTGCCAAACACACTACAGGAGGGAAGGCAAAAACGATGGAATTTTATTCATGCTTGTCTGGCTTCGTCGAGGGCTGCCGAGGTCAACGGGGGTTACAGCGGCAAAAAAGAATTTTTTGTGGACTTACTTGAGGTGGTCGTTCCTGACGTGGGCCTCGATGGATTCACAGGTGTTCGTTATTTTTAGGCAGCTAGGCCATGTGCATTGGAACACAATACGGGTGACGTTCTGTAACAAAGAGAGGTAATTATTACTTGCAGAGGAAAACCGGGGGTTGGCAAACGGGTTGCGCTGCGGGGGTGTAATTACTGGAAATATTACCTGGTGGTTAGGAACGGGGACAATGAGGTTTTATGGTGGCAACAGGTAGCGGAATAATGCACCCTCTATATGCCACCCCTGGTTTATTTTGGGGTATATTTAACTTTGGCCACCTGTCATCGCTCAAAGTAATAGAGACATATATTTATACTTACGTGTGGCAAATATGAAACGTTTAGAAATCCAATTTGAACGTGCATAAAAATTTGAAAAGTTTAAAGATCTGAAAATTTACTATTGTCTTTTTTGGAGGAACCTCCAAAAGCTCAACGAAAAATCTTCACTTGGGGTCTTTTTTCCTCATATTGTACAAAAAACAACCTAAACTACTAGCAACATTTTTTTGCTACATGAAAGATCTCAAAAATTATAAAATAAGCCTCTAATTTTTTCGACAAAGTTTATTGTCACCTGGGTTTCAGAGTGTCAGTTAACTTAAAGCAGCATATATATATTTTTATGGTTTATAAATTAGACAGAAGTTCCATTTAATAAACGTGAATAATAGTTTACATTTCGTTTTAGCATTTTGTAACTAGAAATATAGCTAGCCCAGTTGAGAGAGTAGAAAAAAACTGTCCTTATTCCGAAAACGCTGCCTGTCGCTTTCGTGTTAGCGTCACCAATACCAAGTAGTGTAATATTTTTAGGAACAAACCGACCATCAACCTCCCTTCGCGCACCATCGAAAATCAATTCCTCTCAATTTCCCTTCCTTCCATCCTCACCTGTTCGCCGGAATTTCCATTTTTAAACACTAAATAATGTAACAGTCTCGGTGGGGGTAATACGCACCGAGAAATCCGAAAACAATGACCACATTATGCCCACAATATGCAAAATTCGGCGGGGGAATCCTGAATAAAATCCAATCGCATAATTAAATCCAGCGAGCGCAAAACCGTGACTAGTTCCGACGAAAACCCGCAATAAAGCAACAAAACACCCGTCATAATTAATACAAACCTCCTCCCTCGAGCCGAGTCCTCTTCCTGTAACTCGCCTCGCTTCCAGGAAGTCGAAACTTATCGATCGACGCAACCACAACAAAACAGGTGTCCATCACCATCGTTGCGGTCGAAAACGTCAAAATTATCAAAATATTTGCAGCGCCTTTGTCCGCTATTTACGCCGGTGATGCAGTGCAGGCCAAGGACAAAGGATTCGACCGACTTTGATCCTTAAAGCCTTGTCCTTTACTGCGTTCAGGGCTGCACGTGGCAATGTCTATAAACACATCGATCGCCGCCGCCATATTGCGGACGTCACAGGTTCGATGCGGGGAAGAAGGACAGCACCAACACAAAGCCCTGGCCTACGACATCTTTCTCTATCGTTGGGGTTTCCTTTGTTTGGAAGAGACGCTTTCTTGGAGCTCGGGGTTGACGAATGCGACGAGTGCAGAGGCGGCGAACGGGGGTGGGATGAGAGCTGCCGGATTTTCGGGGAACCACCGCCCACGCGCTGGAATTAATCGAGGCGGCGAAGCCGGTGATTAAGCCATGACGTCATGTGGGGGGTTGCGTGGGTAATCGAATTTCGGAGCTCACGAAGTGCGAAAATCGCACGCTTGTAGCCACTGTTGATACGTTTATTTTGCGTGACATGACTTGTTATCGAATTTCCACGAAATGATATCTTTTCTACTATTTTCGACAAAAAAATGTATTGAGTAGTCCCGTTTATGGAACGAAAACTGGCTTCATTTCCGGCGAAACTGGAGGTGTTTCCGCGAGTAATTTAATTAGTTAGATCCCTTAGAAAGATGTGCGAGCTTTTTTTTTTATTAAACTACTGTCATTGTGTGTTGTAAACTTGGCTTTGTTCATTGTCGCACAGTATTGTGTTGGCAGTAGAAAAAAATTGCCCCACAACAACAAAAACAACATTACGGTCCCTTTTATACCTCATTTCCATAGACCGCTCGAAACAAACAACTCCATCAACAGTATAAAATAGTTTTCCAACTATTTACAACCTGCACGCCAATTACACGCCCATAAAATTTAATGTGTTTAGGGTGGCAAAACTGTGTTCACGTGGCGCCGGGATTTACAACCGGATCGACCTAAACTCAAAACTGCTCATCTGAACTGTGAAATCTATAGAAATCCATGAAAAATTCGTACCGTGGGTGTGAGCTCTGATTTTCTCGAGTTACGTGTATCCCTCGGATTCCATGGCGAGTTAACCTTGCCCACAGCGCGTAACCAACCCACCGTCGAAATTATTCCAGCAGCAGCCTCACAAGTCATTGCCCATCAAGTTCACAATACGCGAAGTAACGGTAAAGGTCAACCGTCGAAATTGAAGTTCGTTTCCCTTTCCTGCCGGCGCCCCACTATCTCGCCGATACTACGCCTCTGCAAGAAGGCTGACGAAACCTCAGCAAGCAGGCCCATATCTCGGGGTCACAAAATGCAATTTTGCCCCCTCGACCCCGATCTGCGTCGTACTTTAATCACGATCAATCAGTATGTATATTTGATGAGTCCGAAAGATGTGACGTGCGGACAAAGAAGATGGGACGGCGGAGCGCGGAGGGGGGCGGAGATCTGGAGGACTGAGGCCGTTGCCCTCGCAATGTTTACATCGCAATAGGGCCCGGCGGAGCGCCCCACGTGTGCTCTCGGTCATGCACCTGACCAGGGACACGCACTGCCAACGTTCGAAAAACGAAGAACGAAAAATGACAATTGGCGACACGTGACGACGACGTGCATGCTTTTGACATGTTTGCCGGGGAGATGCGACCCAAAAACAACAGATAAAGAGATGTGCTGGTGTTATTGTATGGTAATTCACGACAAGAGGCGACGTCATCGATGTTGTGGCGTCGGTGCAGCTTGAGGCTTCAAGGTCGGCCGATGTGCAATAAGTTGTGGCGTGACGCCGCTGCAGGAGTCGATCATGCCAAAGCGACGGGTTGTCACTTTTTAAACTGGCCGGAATAATGGAATTCCCGTTCCGAACTACATATTCCAAAGCGGTTCGGATTCCCCCGACCGTTTCGGGCGTAGTTTCGTTAGCTTCAATTTTGAAGAATGACTGATAAATCCGGTGGGATTACTGCAACGTAAATGTAATTCCACAAAAATTTTTATCAACTACTACGTTGTTGTTACTATTTAGCAAATTCCAACGAGTGTTATTAGATTGCTACGGGCTGTATCCGTTGAAGAATATAGTCACCAAAAATAAATTTTGATTTTTGAAAGAGTTTTTGACCAATCCCGTTACCCTAGAATTCCCCAAAAAATCCTCCGAATTCCACAGAATTCCCTTATTTCTAATACATTCCTATAATTCCAGGGCACGGAAAAAATAGCGCACAATTTGGGAGGTAATTTTATCAAGACGCACAATAATATTACTTGAAGATGAATCCCTCATCATAATAGTATATTAAAGAACGAGTTTCATAAGGCAAATATTGAGGCACGAATCCAAGTTTATAGAACGAGCGGCGAAGCCGCGAGTTATATAAAGGATGAGTGCCTCAATGGCCTTATGAACGAGTTATTTATACTATTTTTTCTACCGCACACGTTTTTTCCCAAAATTTAATTGAAATTTGCATTTTTTTTAATCTGGGGACTTTTGTCGTGGTTGGTGATGGGTCGGTCTGACACTAACCACGAAATATTTGAGGTTCTAATTTTCACAACAACAATTGTAATTCGAACCAATTCGAGTTTTTGTAATTTAAAATTGGTTAAAATGTCTTGCGAAGAAGTTACGCGTCGGGAAACATGAGAAATTTTAAGTTTAGATTTGCCAGTGACATTCACCTGACATTTCTCGTCATTGCTACCAATCTTACCGATCTAAATTACACCAGATCTATTAAAGAACGCCTTTCGGCTATTAACGAACTGTTGTGACGTCATTTGCGTGCGTTAATAGCTCTATTAGAAAACCAAAAAACGTGGGCGGTAGAAAAAGAGATATAAATAACGCATTAAAGATATGTGTATGGGGTGCTGAGTGGGATTTTCCATGTGTGAAGGTGCTACATATGGCTCATCAGAACAGGCTTTCGTCTTGGCGTTGTCTTGCCTATCGATAACCATACAAAGAAACTAGAAATCCTTTTTATTTCATCCAATGACAAAAGAAGTACATTTTACAAATCCACAAATCACGACAGGTGTGTTCTACGCAGAATGAAGATGTTACGTTTATAGTTTTTCCTACCAGTTATTCGGGGATTTTTTTTATGTGGGTTGTGCTTCACACATAAAGAAAATTCTGTGTAAATAATTCTTTCCGAAAAAAAAACCACTTTAATTATTATAATTACGCACGAACAAATAAAGTATGGATATTGATTCCTCTTTTTGTCGCATGTCCTTTCCCAGATGTATGCATGTCAAAATTTATATTATTAAGTTGAGTGTTGTGTGGGATGTAATTTGTGCAGTACTGCCAACCTAAAATTACGTTTTTTTGTAATATCGATCAGCTGGGGTCCTTAACTCCGTTGGTATAGCAACTGTGGTCCTGTCTGTGCAAATAGTACTCAAGTTCGCATTTCTATTCGCAGTCTGTAGCATTTTTCAGCCTTTTTAATGACATCGTGGCGAATGAATACGACACCGCATTCACTTAGACAAAAATCTACGTACCGTCACATTTAATCGACCGGATTTTTTTCGTAATCATTAATAATACATATCACACCTTATCAGTAAACCTGCGGAAGCAGATGACCAATGACCACAAAACTCGAGCCATCGGAAGGCCCAGTAGTGAGCTATGACTATGACTCACACAAGTGGTAACTATTGTTATCCAAGAACAAACAGTTTAAGCAGAAAAACGTAGACGGATTTTTTTTTTTTTCATAAAATATGTAATTAGGGTCGTGTTTTCCGCTTTGTTTTCGATTTATGTGAGTTCGTACGGCTGACGTCATTTTCAGCGAATTTTGTTGTTCTTTATGCATTGGGAAAGATTCGAGTTGCTGTTATATCAGCTGTGATCATTTTTGTAGCTATTATATAGCAATGACGTTTGCTGCTTTGTTAACTGAAGTGTTGGCAACCATGAACCTGAAATTTTGTCTACGAAACGAAAAATGCGTTTTTCAACTTGAAAATAATGTATATATAAACTACTTTTATTTAAAAATCAGATCAATACTGCTATCAATCTAGATTTACTATATCTATGAATTACTCTTGACAGCTTAGAGGAAAAACATTGATAGGAAAATGTGTCGTTTCATTGCGTAAAATGCAATACTGTCGCGTGACAACTTAAGTATGTTTTTCGCAAATACAAATTGCGTCATTAAGATAGATGACGTTCCTTTAACTTATTTTATCATGTTAACATGACGTCAGTTTTTCACCATTGTTATAGTCAAGAAGTGTCTTTTCGTCATGAGTGACATTTGATCGTAATCCAAATAATTTTACTTATACCACAAAAAAATTAAAAAAACATTCCCCAACTGTCTTTATTTTTCACTCACTTGAAAGCCATCTATTATCAATTCAAGCTAATTCAAGCCTCTACCGACCGGGTTTCGTGTGACGTCACAAGTAGGATGTTTCAAAATATTTTAAGTTCGTTAAAAAACTCAGTCGTCAGTTATTTCGCCTATTTTCAATTACAACTTTTTTTATTGCAATGGAAAAAATCCAAATTTGGATTAGATTAGGACAGGTAAATTAAAATTCGTAAGGAAATTGTTCGCTTATTATTATATATTATGTGAAAGATTATGTAGAAGAGAACTACGTATTCATTTGACGTAATGAAAAAATTTGAAGTACACACTATGTTACTTCTAGGATTCTTCACAAAACCCTTCAAAGTCAACTGTTGGACAATCAAAAGAAAACCAATACAAGTTAATATTGCAGATTTGATAGTAGTATTTGATATTGTAAAAACCAATAAAGATTTTAACGTATTAACTGGGGATACCAGAATTTTTTATTTTTCATGTTTATAAATGAATTGAAGTAAATGCGTAATAAATTTCTGTTTCAGAGTAAATAACATCTCTTGCACAATATTGTCGTCATTTGCTACCAAAAACAATAAAATCCATTCATTTTAGATGTAATAAGACCATTCCCAATTATATCAATAATAACAATGCCTTGTCCGCAATCGAGATGTTCTATCCTTAGCCAACCCTCTAAAGATATACTTTCGTAAACAACTCTGGATCTTATGCAGGTTTTTCTTTGCCTAAAGTACATTATAATATATTTTTGTGGCTCTATCTATTTTTATTTTTATTTACCACGTTATTATCTTTTAATTTCCAATTTTTTTTTTTTAGATCCCATCCATTTCGACAAATTTTACGTATCTTAGAATACATCGTAGAATACAAAAATTGCACTAGGAGCAGTGCTGCCTGTGCTGACAATGCTACATGTGACGTCACGTGCTCTACGGCAAAATGTAACTTACATTACTTACGCATTCAGTCGAGATAAATATTTTCATCAATTTTCGTTGCGATTTTCCTTCTATAATTTTATTCACAAAGTTGTATGGTAATTGAGGTTATATTTTCCGTTACATGTTACGATTTACGTCAATACGGCACGTCATTGTAAACAAATCTTATTGTTCTCGATGCATTATTGGAAAGAATTCTTGCTGGTTAAGTCAACATTAACCTTTTTTGTCGCAGCTGTGTATGACTTTGATGGTGTCTCATCGTTCTTGTGCCAGTGACGTTCCTTTCTTCAATGGACTGTTAGTAATTTCAAGTCTTGCACGTTTCGGTAGTTTTCACCGTATGCTTTCGTATACGATTAGAGAGTAACTGCAAAAATGATGAAGATCCGTTTCAATTCGTTTGCCAGAAAACTCAATCCTTCATTGAAGTAAACATTTTTTGATTTGACATAAATAGCTTGACCATGTCCATGTGGGTGCACTTCAGTTTAGCAGTACACATGGTATAAATCTAGCAATTAGCCTTAGTTGTTGGTCGCGTTCCTTCTCCCGCCCCACACATCCTACTTTCACGACCTTCGCTGCCAAAATCGATTCCTTCTACTATACTTCCGGCCTCCCTGCCCCGTAATCTCTCTCTTTTTGCCCGTTTCCGTTATCACTCCTCGCTTTTTCGCCTTATCACCGCCCCCATTTCTTCGTCCCTTCCCCGCCCCCAGCCTGCAATCCTCAGAAAATCCGTGTCATGGCCGTCCTGGTTGCAATTTTCGCGTAACTCCACCGCACCATCGCGTAATCTCAGCCAGGACAATTCCAAGCCGACGAAATAGCCGTCTAGAAAGCGTGAAGAGCCCAGCGTCCATCTGTCGTCCGATTTCTAAGCAAACCGTCGAATTTCCTGTTGGGTGAAAGTGGTCGCAGAAACCGCCTTCGCGTTTGTTTTTCGAGCACCGCCTTTGTTCTCCATCGACCAGATTACGTAATTGCGTGACGGTAGGTGCAGCGCCGGCCGGCTACCAACGCTGATGCTGATATCAACAAGGACGAAACTATTTACGTCGAGGTTAATTGGCAGCGCCATTGTTGTTACGTCAATCGCTGTCAAATTGACAGCCAAGGATGCAGAGGTGACAAATTCGCAATCGCATAGCCGGCCCGGCGTGCGCGCACCGCACGTGTCGCCGCCAAGGTCGCCGCTGTGTGCGTCGCGAAACGGCGTTTATGCAACGAGTTTCTAAATTTTGAAACTGATCTTGTTCTTCGCTTTCTCCAAGGTCGCTGACTCGATTCGCCATCCGGGGCGCGGGTTGTTGACCGGGGGTACGTGACGCGACCTTGACGCCGAGCGGCCCGATAAGGGGGCAACAGCTGATTGGGCTTATCGCGGATTGGATCGTGATAAGCCGGTCTTTGTTTGCCTCGGACAAAGGCGATTGACGGCCGCGAATGCGAAAAATGCATTGTTTGCGGAGGACAAGGTCGCGCTGGTTAGAGGGAGGTTAGATGGGTTTTGCTAATTTGGTTAATTGGAAGGTAAACTGACGGTCGGAGCGCAAAGACAAGTCTATTAACGGTGGACGTCATTTCAACTCGGGTTTTTGACGAGGCTCCCGCGAGAGAGGAGCCTGCGTCACCCGTCAACTTGACGGGTCCATTTTTTATGGGGTCGGGGACGATTTGGCTTTGGACGGGTGCGTGGGCCGAGAATAAATAGCTAATAAGGAAAATCGGTGAAGATCGATACCCTCCGGTAATATCTCCCTCCAATTATAGTTTTTAGTTTAGGAGACGAAGCACATTATTAACTTATCACAACTATGTACAGGATGATTTTTACTTCCTGAGCGTAAGCTAAGGAAGTATTGTAATCGAGGCCGACTGGTTACTTTTCTCTTTTCTCCATGTTTCATGGTCCCTAGACTACGAAAAAATAGGTCTCCCGTTTCTTTCTTTCCGTCCGTCCGTCCGCCTGGATTTTTATTAGACTACTACTTCGAGACTACGGCACCGTGTGTATTAGGAATATCGTGTAGAGGATAAAACGCTAATCAAAATTTTGTTAATCATCCCCACCAAAACAGGATGACGTCATCTACAAAATTTACATTAGTAAATATTACTTAAATTTTGTACAATAACTTGCACATGTAGGTTACGAATTCGTGTTGAGTTTTTAGCCTAGATGTTCAAATTTTTGAAAAAAAAATCAAAATTCTATAACATTTTTCAATCGAACATTGAGACTGCTAAGCTGGATGCTCTGAAACCTCGCCGACGTTTTAAGCATTATAAATTGTTAATAAAAAAAATTCAGTTTCTTCCCTGGCAAAAAATTAATCATGTCATCACAAAATTTTGCCTAAATTAATGTTACTTAAATTTTTCCTGGGGTCCGTTGCAGCATGAATAGACCGTGTGTCAAAAGATCCCCTATAAGGCGGAAATAGTTCTAACTCATGAAACAGAATGAAATGTTATCCGAATCACGGCCGTATTTACTGTTCGCGGTGGCTTCAGCAAAACACAAATCTCGTGCGTTTACAGTGAAAACCGTTTTTCAAGTAATATTGACACAAATTTATTTTCGGAGCGTGAGGACATCCTGCATATTATTTATAAAGGGCTGACTTGATTTATTAAACAATGTCGCCATCACGTATCGTTTGTACAAACACTGTCCGCAGGAAAGGGAAACGATTAATCACAAATAATATAAACGAGAGCGGCCGATTAAATCTCCGCGAAAAAAATCGGGAAATCGAGATATCCCAAGGAAACAGAATAAAACAAGCCGGAGATTTATGTTTATTTCAAGCAGCAACAAGTTTTATCATGTTTGCAAGCATTTTAATACGTATTTAATGACACACACCCAAAACAACAGGAAAATTCGTCGTCCTTGACGAATCGGTAAACAAGCGACCAACAAGAAGTTATTCATTATTTACTCACATTACCTGCAGCGTATCTCGCGTCGATTAATTCGCAACATCTTTAGCATATCGAGAAAGGAGCGATGACGCAACCGTCCCCACGCGTAGATCGTCCGTCGCAACGACGCAGGGCCAAACCGGAAGCCCTACAGAGCACCGCGAGCATCTCTCAAAATTCATATGTCAAGGCCCCGAAAAAGCCTTAAAATTCCTCAAAATTCCGCGCAAACCGTTCGTTTTACATCATTAGAAAGCGTTCAAGGTCCCGATTAGAAAACAATCGCGAAGGCAGACCAGAACCGGTGAATATTGCATGAATTGGAAAGGCAGCCGGTATAAAAATGTCCCCGGCTCGAATGTGACCAATGGCTGTACCTTTTTCTTCCTGGGCAGCTCGTCCGGGTAGTAGTCCATGACGATCCCCTCGTCCGACACCGAGCTGGAGGACAGCGGGGCGGCGAACGGGGGCGTGTAGGCGCGCGGCGGCGGCGACGGGGTGGAGCGGTACGACGCCGAGCTGCTGCCGATGCTGCTGTCCGGCGAGGTGCTCAACCACGGGAAACCTGCAAGGAAATTTGCATGAAGTGGAGGCGGCACGTGCGAGGATGCCTGGCCGTGGACTTTACCTTGTGCGAGTGCAAGGTATATTTGTTGCCACGCTTTCTGTTTCGTTTCGATACGCGCTGCAACGATAAGCGTTGCCTTTTTTCGGGTTCATTATCGCGAGCTGACGCTTTAGGGTTTAGCTCCCCGGGCCTTCGAGTTGCGACCTACCGTTGAGGTTGGGCGAGTGCGGGGAGCACGACAGGCTCATGAGGACCAACGCCGCGCTGCACTCGTCCATCTGGGTGTCTTTGGGGCTGTCGTCCTGGCTGCTGCTGGGCCGCCGCTTGCGGGACCTGGGACAGAGACATTTAATTGTTCACTAATTAAAATGAAATTTGAGGTCGTTTTGTAAATGGGTGTTTAATGACGGCCATTACGGCTCCGAGTAAACAAGTTCGACGAGCGATAAGCTAATCGGCATTACGAAAATCCGATCTCGTTGTGACGTCATCTCCGGTATGTCGGTAATAATGGGGTTGGCTGGTGACGCGCTCGTGATAAGAACGCTGGGAAGTTTTTGGGCAAGTTCGAGTGACGCGAAACGAATCGACGAATCGTAATTGCCGGGGAAAAACCTGATTCTTTTTTGGGGAAATTATTTACGCTAATAACACAAAATTACAAAGAAAGATCAATGTGAAGGTCGCGGTAATTGCCTGTGCGACGGCTGCCATTAGCGCGTCATTACCAACACACAAAAGAAAAATACGGCTGCGGTTTTTATACTCTTATCCGCATTTTCTGATTCACTTGTGAAAGCGGATTTTTTCATTGCCACGGCGGAATGTTGCTGGAAAAAGCGATTTTCACGATTTTTTTACCAGATCCGACTACTAACTGACTCCGCAAGTCAAAAATGGCCATCTCGGTTGCCCATACAACCCAGCGACTCTAGTACCGCGTGATAACTGAAACTGTTCGTTCAAATACCTTTGTCAATCGTCAAAAACGGAAAGCATTGCGTAACGTTTCTGTCAAATAGATCAATTACACGAATCGAGTGTCAAGTTCATTTTTAGTTCTACGTTAATTATCTAGCTACAACACAATCAACTGATATTCCACACCTTTGGAAGAAAAAACGACGACATTTCGCGACTATTTATAACACCCGTGCACTTGTCCTTCCTGATAACATCTTCTCATATTTACAAGTTTATCTGCCGATTGCTTATCACCGCATGAACTCCTCATTGTCTCCGCGCTGCGTGTTTCGGTATTCAAGGCATGTCCAATTTGTTTTCGATTAGGAAGCGATGTCAAAATGCAAATGTCGCACAATGGCCTCGACCAGACATACCCAAGATGCGGAGAGGGCGCCGGGACATCAATGGTGTGGGACGCCGTCCGCTTCCTGTCGCTACCCATGTCTGCCAACCTGGCAAAATCTGTGTCCACGTCGGCCAACCTGGCCGACTTCCGCGACTCCAGGAGCCGCACCTCGTCCAGCCGCTTCTGCACCTCGAACGGCGCCTGAAACAAGGAAAAAGTTTACATGAGTTTTCTTAGTTTATGTGAGCGAGCGGTTTCAAAATACGTACGAATCGAAAAAAAATTACTGATAAATAATCTAAGAGGATTATTATAAAATAAATGTCATTCCATAAAATAATATCATCCACTTCCATGCAGCTACTACGCAGATAGTAATTAAGGAGACGCTATCAAAATTACACATGTATTTTTTAAAAGGAAACCTGTTTTTGTTGCTTGTGTAAAAGAGGATAAAAAACTGAATGCATTGTTGATATTTAGAACGCGAATAAATGACTTGGCAAAAAAGTATGCAACGAGAAATTAATAAAGAAAATGAAAAAGTGAAAGAAGAAAGTGGAATGAAAGAAAAACAAAGCCAAATTCAAGTGCAAGGTAACGTATAAAGAAAACAAAGACCAAAAAGAGTTTGTTTTCAGAAGTTGTAAAGGGTCCATCTTTAAATGTTGTAGGATGGATCGAAAAAACAACAATGAGTCTGTTTTTTTTTTTGTGACAACCTGATGACTCGGGTACAATGGCGGTAGAGGCAACGTCACAGCCTTCAAAGAAATCGAACGAATCCTTGACCCGGGGAATAACAAAGTACCCGCTTCCATGGGTTGTTTTGGATTTACCCTCTCGTTACCTTCACGATTGATCATGTACTTTATGGTTGAGAGTTGGTTGTGATTGCCATTTCGACGTCCCGGTCTAGATAACCGAAGAATTCCCAATGAAATTATCTGCTCGCATTACAACAAACGAGCCGAATGCAATCGCACCGCGGTGCAAAGGTCGCTTGTCGCCATGCCGACTGCGGCGAAAAGGTCGCGGAAAAATTCCTGCATTTTGTCGACCTTGGCGCTCGATTCGGTATCCAGGTAATGAGCGAATCGCAAGGTCGCCGAAAGGTCAGAACCTCGCCAAACGGACCTTAGACCATGTTTGGCACCGAATTCCACTTCGCGCTCAAGGCCCGCCCGACTCGGAAATTTCGTAAATGTCAAGTCGGCGAAAACGCCGGTGCGGGTAAACGGTTTAGAAACCGACTTGGCACACTTTTAATTGGGTTGCCGCAGCCGGTGAATGTGGTACTCGTAGCGTTGTGATTGAGAAACGTTTCGCAAGCGCAACCTGTCTTGAGGTCGATTATGCGATACCTTTCTCTCTCCGCTCGTGGAAATGGCGGGCTTTGCGCACGTTTCGTAAGCCATTTTTCGAGCTCCCGTTGGAAGCCGACAGGCGGTAAACGGCGCTTACGCAACGAGGGATTTTTTCAGGGAAAACTAATTGGGTTGCGTATTACTTCACTTGTTGCGGCGGCGCGTGTTTAGAGAGGCAAAGGCTATGTGACTTTCACAACTTTCCCTCTTACTTTCACAAAATGCGGACGGGAGCGGGTCGCGCACCGGCAGGGGCGACAATTGGAGCGATTTGTTGGAATTTTGGTAGGTGATGATGGGCCACCAACTCGACGACCAACCATTTACGACGTGTGGAACTTTTCGCCACCAAAAGAAAATGTGTAAAATATGAAGTTATTGTGGAATTTCTTTTGCTTTTGAAGTTAAAAATAGTCCCACTGTACTAAAAATAAACAGTGCACAAAGTGATGTTTTCGAAATTATTTTAAATTTAGGCGAATTCAGCGAGAGGACGCTCGTAATATGTTGGGCTATTGTACTGGGGAGAGCTTTGCTATAACAGTGATAAACGTGTTGGGTAATATTTGCCATTTTATATAATGAGAGAACCATAGAAATTGCGTAGTACGCTACTTAGCAATCGCATTAGTACATCCATGCACTGTGCGTAGTACCACCACAATATTACCAAAGCTGTGTTTTTGTGTGTTACGTAACTAAATACAATTGCTTTAAATCAAGGCAAACAATCCACCTTCGTAAACACGTTTTACTTTTCTCTTTTGATAAACGGATGATTCTTTGAGGTAATTCCGTCACAAAGTAGTACTGATTTTGCTTAATCAAAATCGCCATTGTTGAACCAAACATTGAAAATACGAAGAAATTGATCCTAAAAAAACTCTGCATTTCCCCCGACGGACTAAAGAAATTAACACAGTGCGGTCAACAGTAATCACGCAGCCGAATACGTGCCTTTGTTACACTAAAGGCACAGTTATACAGCTGTAGGCTTGTCAAGTCGAGCTTGACAAAAAATGAATTAATAGACCGTGCTCACGACATATTATAATTTAGTTAATCGCCAGCGTCCTAAAATATAACTCGACCTACCTGATTTGAAATTTCCCAAACTGGCTCGGCAAACCCACAGCTCTATATCTAAGTGGCGTTTGATACAAATTTGCGAATCCTTGTTGAATTATCCTGTTGTTCTTTTTTTTGTTTTTTATTATTCGGGAAAATGTATAAATGAAAGTATATCGAACTGAACTAGGTCTCACCGGATAAGAAGCATTGTAATATTACCTAGCCGATTAAATCAGTACTTAAATTTTGCTGTGGCCAACTATCTAAAAATTGATCGTTCCAGTTATTGTGGCCAGATCGACCCGATAGCTAAAAGTTAAACCGCGAGCAAACACATTTATCACAATTACCATTTTCTAGACCTCTACCTAAACGCGATTGCTTTGCGGTCAGTTGTTTTCGTAATTATCATAAAATAAATATTCACTCATGTAAATAAAAATTCGAACCCAACAATGTCGAAAATATGAGTAATTTTATTGTGTTTTAATGCTCGCCATCACCATAATTTTTATGCTCAATATAAATTCAAATAGCTCTTCATCGCTGCCATGACCTGCCAAGTCCGCTAATCCGAGCAGTTCCTGTGGCATTACCGCGCCACTTATCTGTTTATTGTAAGTCGGATTGTGTCATTCACGCATTCAACCGTGTTTACTTTACTTCAGATTCTCGACCTCTTTGTTTGTCCTACACACTACATAACTCACGTAAAAACATCCACACACTCGTGATTACGACGAGGCAAAACAGAACGTTTTTTTAAACGATGCAGGTGTGCTTTGGATCGTTGCGATAAACGGCGCACCGCGGCGGTCTCACGCCGACCCCCGGCCTCACTCCCTATCTAAAGCCGGAAGCGCCTTTTGCCCCATGCGATAAGTGTCAGCGACTCTCTCCGACTCTCACTCATCCGTCCTTGGATCAGTTGTGTAATGCGAATTGCACGACGCTAAATACATCCATGTAGCCGCCAACGCCGGCACCGCTGCAACAACAACAGCTCGTGTTGTTGCCAATTATAAACCGTGTCAGTGTGCCGGCGGTAAACAAATATGGCCGCCGATAACGCTGCTGAACTTGCACCACGTGTGCCCGCCAAAAGTGGGTCACGGGTCGATGCCGCTCCCGGGTTTCTGGGGCAGGCGGCGGGCCGCGTGAATATGGGGCGGCGGAGCGCTTTGGCACAAGCACGACGAAGAAACCCACCGGCTTGCGTCATTGGAAAGTGATGGTCCGGCTTTTGTATGGGAAACGAGAGTGAACGTGTGCCGATGATGAGATTGGGAAAATGTGGATTTTAACGTAATGCTGTCAATGTCGTGGCCTAGTTCGCTGTTTGCGAAAATTTATGCTGACAGTGGAGGTTTTCAATGGGGTTGCGTCATGGAGATGTTGCGACGGCGGTTGAATTATGCAGCGATGGGCGAATTGATAGAGGCCGGGAAAGGAAAAAGTCGTCGAGTGGGCGGTGTGAAGATTTTGGAAGGGTTTTGATGGCGTTGATGTGTTTAACGTGTACGCGAGATTTTAACAGGTTTTGTGTTTGTTGATGAAAGACTCGGCGAGGAATTTTTGAGTTTGAGGAAAGTCGAAATGTTTTGAGAAGTTTTTTGTTTGAGCGCTGATCGTTCGTTCGAGCCGTTCTCCTGTAAATCTGTGTCGAAATTTTTGTTTTTATAGCAACACGTTGACATTGTGCCAAAAATGCGGCATTATGACGAAATTTGCATATGTCGCGTTAGCATTTTGAAAGCGCGTTTAATATTATCGCGACATTTCAACTTTATATCAGTAAAGTCCAATATTTCATTCGAAAATATCGACCGGCTCTTTCTCTCCTTCTTCCACGGTTTGTGGATTTCGCGGTTACGTATCTGCGTCGAAAGATCGCTCACTTTTGCAATATTTACTTTTCAATAACAAAACCATTAGGAATAATGAATTGAGGCTTTTAGTGAAAGTGAAAGTGACAAAAAATGTTACACGACTTAATAAGTACCAGTTTTTCGCCCAAAACCCGCCGCCGACCACTTCCGAGCCCAAGCAACAAAGCAAATCGCGTTTGCATAACTCGCCGCCATCACGCCATACCTTTCCAGCGGAGATTAATTACCGCCAGCGCTTCTCTGCGGTTTCCCATTACGGCCCATTCCGACGTCGTCACCTACGGCAAGCCCGAGGTCAGCCCGAACCCATTGTCCCCGATCCGCCGCAGTTTTAGAAAACTTTGACCCTAAACGGCCGCAATCCCGCAACCTGAAACCGGCCAATAACCGTAAGCGAGCTCTTTTCTGCCCTCGGGCCGTAACAAGTTCTGCTCATCTCGGGAAATACGCACTCCTCCCCCCTCCTCCACACTCGCTTATTATTTTCGGCGCTGAAAAAATCGACCGTGAGCGAGTTGTTTATACGAGTGACGTCACAAGGATGCAATTATTAATACCGGCGGGCGGGGGGATTTCCGTGCATGCGCTCCACGCGCCCGTAGCCCAACACAGAACGGATTACAGCCGACCAAGCAATATGCCGAGCGAGGACCGGAGGAATCCAGCTGATTCCCGGAGCGAGCCGCACCGCCAAAACGCGATACGCACTAACAAGAGCCGGGTCGGGGCGCCGGGTATGGATTTTGAAGGGGGCTCGGAGCTGCGAAGGCGAAGACGTTGCCGTTCTCGCTACTGCGAAATGAGGACGACCGTTGGAGCGGAGGAGAGACGGAGCCTCCGGTGGCCCTTTTTTAGTAGTTTCTGACAGGTCGAGAGAGAAAAGTTGCCGGTTTGGAGCTTCCGAGGCTCCAGCAACGTTTCTGGGAGATTAAAAGGCGTTAAGAAGAGTTTCGAAGTCGGATCCTGCTGTTGAAAAAATAAGGGCAGCTCTGTCGGGACCGAAAAGGAGCGACCACTAGTTGAGGAAGGGAGAGAGAGAGCCGTAAAAAGGGATCTGGAAGGGGTGGGGGTGGCTTACCTCGGAGCCCGGGGGGTGTATCCTGATGATGACCTCGTCCAGCTCCGGGTTGTGGGCGCAGACCTCCCCGGCGACCTCGCGGCCGTTGAAGGTGACGTAGCACTTCTGCTCCGCCACCAGCTCCAGGCCCAGCACGGACTGGAAGCCGGGCCCGATGAGGTCGACCTCGAAGAATTCAGCCGTGGTGCGGCCCAAGTTGCCCTGTCGTGAGTCGAACCGTACCGTGTATCTCGTGTTGGGCGTGAGATTGATGCAGTTGTTGTTCTCGACGAAATTGGCCGGGGTCTTGACCGCCTGGATCACCCCCGAATAGTACTTCCCGTCCTCGCCCGGAGCGCACACCCGCGTCCCGATGATGGAGCGCTTCGCCAGTCTCTTTCCCGTCGACATATCCGCGGAGTCGCTCAAAGTTCACAAAACAGAGTCATCGATGAAGTACAGCCGCCTGACCAACACCCGCTGGACCGACTCCTGATGATGGCTGAAGCACTCGACCGAAACGTTGCGTCCGAACTCGATCACTTGGTCGTAAATACACATACTCAAAACAAGAATGGCACGGCGCGAGGATCAAGGCAGCGTCACTGTAAACAGTTGAATGCCGACTGGTGCCGGCCGGCTAGCGTAACAACAGCTGATCGCGCGCGCCGGGCGGCGGTGGCTCCGTCGCGCTCAGTCGGCGGCGGTGCGACCGAGACGGGCGACGGGGGCGGGGCGGAACTCGGGCCACGCGCACATAGCGGCCCGGCCACAGCTGATGATAACAACAAAACCACGTGACGCAGCGCGCGCCTGGCGATTGGCCGCGCGGCGTGACCTACATACGGCGATTGGCTAAGCGGACGGTGGGGGAAAGGTCACGAAGTCCGATCCGAGCGGCTCTCTCTCCGACTCGAAAGAATTCCGGCCCGGCTTTATTGCAATTGCAGCAATTTGGCGAAAATTCGGCGAGTTTAATTGGCCGAGCTCGGGGGCCGTTTTTGCGCGAAATCGGTAACGGTACGCCGTGGAACGGTACTCGGACACCGATTTTCCGCAGCGACACGCACTCGCGCTAAATATCGTAACTGTCGGCCTATTTTATTTTTACTGCACGTGTAGGAAGCCAACGGTAATGAGCCGGCCGGCACGCACGTATCGTGACGTCAGCGGGAGTCGTGCATATGGGAGAGAACAATCGGCGGCCAGAGACATGCACTGTTAATAATGGAAGTACTCGAGATAACTTTTATTGCCTCGTGTAGCAATCCGGCGAGATAGTTTGGCGGAACAAAGGCTCGGGGACAAAGTCGGGGCCTTCCCTTTTTGCGGCCTCACCCTTGCGGGGTCGCGTCCCGCCGTACTCACCGGACGATCCCGGCGTGGGGCGTACTCGCAATAAAGATTCATTTACTCATTTCCCGAGGTGACGTCACGCGTTTCCGGAGAGGATGACTCCCGGATGACGTCTTGCCGAATTTCGGAAACGTCTGTTACGTACGCACTTAGAAAACGCGAAAACACACTAAACTAACACAAATATTGAAAGTTTCGTGTAAAAATGCGATTTCATTCTGCATAATTTAGTCCGCTGCTCCGCTATTTTAATTAGGCATTTATTTTAGCTACAACTTTGTTTTTATAAAACAGTCCTTGAGGTGTAAAACGCTAAAATTTATTTACATGTTTGCAAACTTGGGGTTAGGACAAGGTAATGTTGTGAATACTTAACAGAGTAATGTCACCACTGCAATATCGCAAAACGGGTTAGGCAAGAACGCGTAGACTTCTCCGGACCAGACACATTTTCCAATTTTAATGTTAACGTTTCAAGTAAAATAACGAGCGTTGATTCTTTAGAATTCAGGTGAATGTCATTTAGTGAAAATTTACTGCTACCCCCTTTTCAGTATCCTGGTACCTCAGTTAAAGTTAAATTGAAGACAAACTGCTAGATTTTATTTTGCAAAATCTGAGACTAGTATGTTTGTCAAATCTCCTGTATATACTCGTAGAATTGGTTGTCAATTTAATTCAGGACATATCTGATTTATCTGATTTAAATGCATGATCGTTCACAGAAGTTTTGTGCACCTTGAAATATATTACTTTTATTAAAATTTTATAACTTACCGATTAATTAACTACCACCTCGTTTTCATCAGGTTTGCGTAACTTGATCTCCAATTTTTTTATTTGATTATTACCTACTTGTATTGTTGAAGATATGTTTAAGTTGAATTAGCTTGTAATACGGTATCGCGATCCTCAAATTGTATTACAGTATTTGTCAGGCGATAAAATATGATTTATTTATGAAAACTGTTTGCGAACTTGTCGAAAACGGTTTCAGAGCGCCGGAGCAGCGCTCGCCATAACAGTTTCAGTGCAAAAAAGCGAAATTGAAATAAAGCAAGTAAACAGAGCGGCGTGGCGATGTTATGTAAAATGTCCTTGGCCGGTAATTTATAGACACTCCACTCTCTGTATTTAGATTTTCCAAGCCATAGTATTTGTGCCATCTACGCTGTTATCTACAATCTACACCGCTCGTAACACCGCCATAAATTTCAATCATCGAAAGTTGAACAATAGCGTTCAGCTTTCAGTTTCCAGAGCAACTCGCTAACGCGTTTTTCATCTGGCTTGTGTAAATGTCATTCACGAGTCCACCAACACTATTGATTTGTAAAGGCTTGAAATGTCACCGGAGACATTTCGAGCGGGTTGCTCAATTTACAAAGCGCTCCTTGCTTGCTAAACTAGTCCGTCTGCCATTAAGCCGGGCTGCCGAAATCGCGAAAAGCAAGCAAACGTTTGCACGAGAACTTCTCTAATCTTGACTTACGCTCGGCAATCTCGCAGATAATTTCGTTCGGAGCGAATTTGCAACCGAACAAGGTCGGCACGCACAAGGACACCGCACAATAGGAGATAACAATATCCTGGTTCCAACCCATAATGCAGGATCCGAGTCATGAACACATATGGTCGCTCGGGTCCGACCCAATTATCAAAATAACCGAGTCTCGACGCGAATAAATAATAAATTTTTGGGACGCACGAATTGGCGAGCACGTCATTTGGGTCACAATCTGCCCGGTTTGATCATCATGACATCAGAACTTTGAGGCGCTTGTCTTCCCTATTGAAAAAAGTTGGTTTATGTTCTAATTCCAGGACGAGGCTTGCGGGTTTGGAAGTTCGATAAAATTCTGCCAGATGATTAGTTTCGATCGTCAAAGGCTCGGAAACGGGGCAGCAAGGTCGACAACTACAAGATTCTAGACACCTTAGCGTGGCTAGAAATTATCACAAACACGTTTAGTCTTTGACGTAAATATTACGAAAGTCTCAGTTTTTTAGTAACCTCCCTTCTATGAAATTTTTGACCTGTCCTCCAGCACTTTCAAAATTGTGTTCCCGATATACTTAAAACGTTTGCAAAGTTAAATTGCAAATGTTATACGTTTTTTATACATTTTAGATTTTTTTTTCAAAAACGGCAAGAGTAAAACTCAACACGGATTCATGAAGCATAAGTGGAGGAGTACGTTATTTTATAAAATCTAAATAACGTTTACTACATATGATGATCAGACAAATTTTGATTAGCGTTTTACCATCTAGATGATATTCCTAAGATACATACAAAATTTGACAAGAATCGGTACGGTAATTTCTGGCGGAAACGAGGACCTATTTCGTACTCTAGTCTAGAGGCCATGAAATGTCGAGAAAACATGAAAGTAGCCAGTCGCCGTATGGCTCGATTAAGTATACTTTCTTAGCTTACGCTCGGGAAGTAATAAAGTATTGCAGTTTTGAGATATTTAAAAAAAATAATTTTGAAACCGTAAACCAGTCGTCGTATCGACTTGCCATTGTGTTCGCTAATATGTAGATCCATCATTCTTTCGTAAAGACGATTTTTTTCATAATTTTTGGTTATACATTTTTTTCGAAATGGCGGTAAATACGTCCTTAACCATGATTGGTCAAAAATTTTCGATGCTAGCCCCCAATCTTAATCCGGATCCGGAATCACCCAACATGCGATATTTTTGAATTCCGCTCGTCAAATTAGTTGTATTAAGATGGGATTTTTTAAAACTATCCAAAATTGATGTTGGATTACATATATTCAGTTTTGGAAGTGTTCGGCTGTAACTCATCTCGAATTAACTTGACCCTTCTTTCAATGTCATTTCGTTTATCCCAAAATAAAGGGGTAGTAAACATACAAATTAGGTTTGCCGGAATCTACAGCTTGAATTTGTACTTCAGCCGTCTTCTGCCGTGGCGGAACACAGACATAGCACCCTTTCAACTTTAGCCTGGACCAAAGCCACGACAGACGCGTTCTACCCGGTCCAGTGAGTAAACAAGCCGGTCGTTTTTGAAAATCAGTACGATCAAGTGTATTTGGGTCGATTTTCGAGAGCGGCCGTTTGCGCAATCAACAGGTTTTCCCACTTTTGCCTTGATGCCAATTAAGTAACCGATCGGGCAATTACCCGGTTTACAAACCATAACCGAGCCGCATTTTTCGGTTCCATATTTCGCGCATTAGCAAACGGACTTTCTTTGCAAGAATTTCGCGCCATCACACTCCGCTGCCCGCCTGCAATCGCAAGAAAATAACTGCGGGAAAAAGCGGCTGCGGGTTCCGGATCCGGGCCTGGGAAACGCGCTTTCACTCGAATTTTTACGGAAAAGCCGCGAGATTTTCCGAGGCGGCATTCGTTCTCGAAACCAGCGCGGCTTTCACCGAAGAAGACGCTGGTGCGTTTCGTAACTAGCCGATTTTTTTTTTTGGGAAACGCACTGCCGCAAAAGGAGTAGGACTCGACCTCTGGCCTTCCTTCGATTTGTTATTTAAATACAATGCGGTTGATTGAATTGCGGTGGCGCAGGTTCAAAAACACGAATGTCACGTTTTGCGGCCGGGTTTAATCGATACAATAACATGGCTTCGATAAGAGGTCGCTTCGGAAGATTTCCAGGTCCGCGCGGTAGGCGGAAGGGCCTTGAGGAGAGATAGTTGCGCTTATCGCCGAGGAAAAGTTCGTCAACAGAAGTGGGGCTTGTTTTTAACTATCGAATTCAGCGTTGGCGCAATTATGGCCTTGGTTTTCTGAAAATAGACACCAGTGTAATGAGTCTTGAGTATCTTGACGTTTGAAGAGGATTTTTATTTCCTGCTCCATCGGGTCGATGCGAGCGAGAGCACTTTCGATTTTCAGATGGCAGGAATTAATTGCTGGGTTGCACATAATTAAGCGAACTTTCATAATGGGCCGCACAAAGTAAAAGGTGTTGTTATTATTACATTCCATGATTGTTTCCATTCATGTTTTCTTTCTTTTTTAATTAAGTATTACGTGTCTTTTAATGTACGACAAATTTTATTTTTGGTGAACGCCGCACGTTTTAAAAAATTGGTAGTATTATTTCTTAAAGAAAAAAAATATGTATATCACTGTCTCCTTCTCCACTTCTTTGTTACCCTGCTCCACCTATTGTTATATTTCTGAAACCAACGATGTTTAATGATTTTTAAGATTTTTCAAATTATGGTGTGCAAGACATTTTACTTTTACGTTTATGTGCTAAGGACGTAAAACTTCCCTTAAAATAATCAATCAAGGCTAAGATTTCTATAAACCTGACACGTTGCCTGACGTGGAAGGTTCTGCTGTGGTCGAAGTATGAATAAAAATTTTCTCCCGTAGCGTGAATCCTAAGAACGTCGGTGATAATATTGCCGATAGGTTTCCTCCAGCTTTTCCAAAACAAAACAGACAATTACAGAAATTAATTAATTTCACACTTGTCGAAAAAATAATGTGTGCATCTGAGCACAAAGTGATTTTATCGCTTTTGAAAGTCAGCTTCCTTTCTCAAGCAACAAAGTAAGTATCACTTCGCGTCGTTGATTCACATACAGCTTTTTACTGTGGGAGAAATAAAGCTGTTGTTTATGTGCTTAATTTAATAGTTGCTTTAAACTAAGTCCCAAACACCTAAGGGACCTTCCTCGTCGAGAATTCATCTTGACCCAAAATTTTTACGACACCACGACAAAGGAAGGTACCACGTTTCGCTGGTTAACTTGGTTGACACCACTTTTTGTAAAATAATGACTGTATTTTCAAGGTTTCTTTGTGTTTGTATTTAACTGTTAAACCACCAACACACCTGACCAAGACCTCCTCTCAAGAAATCGCCCCAAAATCGCCCACTCTGCGTAAATCGCACTAGCCGTGTGCAAACAGGTCGCATTTCGCAACTCTTGCGCTATTGCATATTGCAGTTTCGACAATCGATTCTTGCGGATGAAAGTAATATTTGAAGAGCCGATAGACTCCAACCCGTCACCTTGCCAATTATGCACGGAATTTCTTAAGTGTGTCGAATTGAAATTCAGTTTCTAAAGGTGAGTTCACGGTACATTCTTCGGCGACGCGAATAGTAATCACAAGCGTAAGAGGGCGCAAATGCGCAATCATCCTTGCATGACCTTGACTGCCTGACATTCGCAATTAAAGACTGGAGTGTTGGCTAATTATGGCTTATCTGTTATCACCCATTATTGCCGACTGATCGGTGATAAGGCGAAAAAATGCTGACACTTTCCATCGACCATAAATGGATTTCTGTGGAACTGGCATTATCGAAGAGGGAAAAAGGTCTTTACTATCGTCGAATATCGCAAACATGGTATCTGTTGCCAAAAATACTTTCTCTTGTTTTTGCCAAAAAGATGCGTTTTTGGGTGCGATGTTGTTCGACATTTTTCTGAAATGATAATTGATTTCACAATGGTGGTATTTAGAGGCGATAAGTAATGACGGTTAACTACTTGACGGGGCGTTAACCTACGATTATTTGTCATAGTAAAGTGCAGTTCAGCTTTTGTTTCTACCTGTTTTTGTTTTCGTTAAAAAATTCCACGCTCCTACAAAGTCTGCTTCCATGTGAGGAAACAAACTCTTATCAATTGGGACACATCTTGTATGTTTTTTAAATTTATTCTATTAAAATTTTCTCAGACCTTTTCTAATTTGTGCAAATTAACCTAAGGTGCTTAGTTTAGGATGTAATTACATTTAAGTTCGTATACTTGACATTTCAAGCGCTTGGTGGGTTTATGAAAAACATGTTCAACGAAAATGGTTTCATTAGCTATTAATCTTCCTCATTTTATTATGGATTCCTACGTACCTTATTAGCCAGCTTCAGTGAAATTTAAAACAGATACTCCAGAAGGTACCCATTATTTTGATATAACTCGTCGAGCGCCATCTGTGTCCGTGGTCATATACTAGTGAGTATCGATTCCGTGAGAGATGAAGACTTCAAATAAAAAAAATTGATAATCAAACGATCGTATTTTGTCTAAACTCTATAAATGACAACAAAACAATGGTTTAAAGCACTAAAATACCATATACATGTACCACAAAATTGGCGATTTCGAAGATTTTAAAATAATATGCACATAATGAAAGGTTTTTACAAGTAAAAAACTTTTTATAAACGTTGAGTAAGTTGTGAAAGTGCGACGTTCCATTAATTCTTTTATGACGTTACGTTACTCTAAACTTTATCAACGTGTTACTTGTTGTTAGATAGTACAGAATTTTTATTAAAAAAATTATCAGTTTCTAATTTGTACCATGATATCACATCTCAGTTTTTCGATTTGTAAAAAAATGTAGCTTGATCTGAAAATCTTTACACAAAGCTCAGTCTGATTAATTCACCACTAATCAATCAATCATGATCAGATAATTTCATACAATAACAAAAGTCGGTTTCCACATTTCACTTATTTTTAACTTATGTCGTTATGTGTTTTACTTTAATTTCTTTGTGGAAAAATTAATCTGTACAACAAAAACTTTCATTGTGTCTACGCAAGCTCGTTTCAATTGTGTGGTTCCCATAATAATTCTATGAACTTGAAATCCTTATCGACGCCATCACAAAGCACCATTCAATTGCCGCTTATCAGATAACAATAATCTAAAAAAAGAAAAAATAACGAAACAAAGACCTGGAACCTGTTTTCGACCGAAAGTAAACTGCACAAATTCGCTAATAATTGCATCTTAATGGTCTCACAACTGTAAAATTATAATGTAAATCGTAGCGACTGTAATAAACTTAATTACATTGTATCGAAATGACGAAATGCGCATAAAACCGATCTTAATTTGCGGAATTCTGTCCCGTTAATAATTGGATAACGAGGTGACGGTCTCAGATCTATGGGAAAGTAGCCGGTGCCCGGCTTACATGGCTCCCGTCTCGATAAAAATTAGTCAAAACCGAACAAACAAAAGTCGATAGTGTTATCTTTCCACAAATAACAAAGTCCCATTTGAGCAGATCGAAACCGGTTCCTGCATTGTCGCTTCTAAAATTCACAGTTAGCACCATGCGACCGCTCCCAAATTTGTCCAATTTACGTTTCGGCCAGAGGCAGTGGCGTCACGCAGGAACGGATCGTCCCGATTCCCGTACTTCGATCGAAGAACAAGAATCCGATCGGACGATCTGATCGGTTTAATGGACGGCGAAAAGGGAATTTCGGCGAGGGGGGGGGGGGTGTTGCGGCTGGGGCCTCTCGCGATCCGTGACGCCGCTGGGCAGAGCGCGACACTGATTCACCGTTCCGGCACGAAAGCCGCCCATCTGATGGGCCGGAATGCGAAATGAAACATCCCATGATAGATCATTCATTTATTGTCTTGCCCGTGGGCTTGGATAAAATGGATACATCAGTCAAGAGTGAACATATCAAGACGGACATACAGTGGACGCTTCTGACACTTCCAGTGATATGCGCAATTGTCAGTGGACCGTACACTAAAATACAGTTCAGTAGCCGAAGTGTCTCAAGCGCTCGTTTCTATTTCTTTCGTCTCTTCTTCTCTCCGACAAGGTCCGATACAGTCGGCGGATACAAAATCGTTATTTACATACAAGCCAGCCCGCCGCCGTACTGACCGTATTTAAGTCCAATTGATGCAATTTACAAGTCCTTTCTTTTGAAGAGTACCGGGCGGGGCGCGGCTGGCTGGTGCGAACAGTAACTAGTTTTGTATAATAATGAAGGCGAATATCTACACAGTAAGTAATTGATAAGGGATCTCGACGACAGACAGTATGACTAGGTATAATATTAACACTGTTGACGGACCTTGGTTACGACTGGGAGTTTATACAACATGATCCATGGAGTGGATGTCTTATTTTTATTAAAGAACAGCGTAGAAAAACTAACTATTGATATTTTATAATACGTAAATCAACCACTTGAACTGTATGCAGTGTATTACAATTTAGAATAACCAAGTTCAAACTTATATACAATATACGGTTAATCGCTTATATCCTTGTTGTTACGTATGATATACTCTGGGTTTCAAGCGGATTAAAGCTTTCGAAGCATATTTGGATCGTTTCTCGTCGTCTAAACGACGCGAAAAGGGCGCGTTTCGCGCACCCGCCCGTCGTCTATCTACCCGTCTCGCTCGCGAAATCTCAGTCGGCCGCGAGTGCGTGCGCGCAGCGCCCCCTTTTCGCGCTTTCTAAAAATTCATACAAACCTTACAAAAACGAGAGAACCGCGAGATTCGATTACAATACAGTTTTCGATGTTATCTTGTTTATTATACACAAAACGGAAACGTCGCGACATCTGTGCTTCAGAACGGAGATGATCGAAGCGGGAAATTCAAACAGACAACATAAAATGTCAAGTTATATCACATGCAATTCAACAATCAAGAATAAATTATATGTTACAATTAAACGTTCATATACAGTTCTACAATGTCATTATCATTTACATAGTTCATTAACACGACCTAATTTCTTGTCATTACTTAGTTTTCAAGTAAAAAAGCAATTTATCAATTCCAATGAAGCATTTTTTTTTTTCGCGCGGGACACCCCGGAAAAGCACGATTCGCTCGCGGCGGGTCGTCGTGCTGACGCCGCTGAGCCTGTAGACACGGGGTAGTTCTCCGGGCCGCCCCGCCGTCATATAACAAATATTTTGGATATGATGTTATGTGAGACTATATTTATATGTGTGCGCCATATCTACACTTATATATTCTTCACTTTACACTATTACTAGTTTAATAAATCTGCTACTACTGTCTAAACCGCACCATACCGTACGAGGGAATAATACTCTGATAAAGTACGAACGGACGAAGAATATTCGCCGGGACTGCCTCTTTCATCTCGAATATAGTCTCATGTATATGTTCAATCGAGCACTTCCGGCGAATATTCCGACGCTTCTCGGAGTCGTCGTCAAGGATCCTCGGCCCAGGAACCGGGAAATCGTTCTCACTGCAAAGAAAACGCGTCAAACAAACGCCGCCCACCTCACACCCAGAAGCGACACACTACTGTATGTAAAAAGCGTGAAGAACTAGACAGCATTCGTACCTAGTGAAGTGGAGGAAACTAACGTCGGCAGCAATGCGAAGACTACGAGGATCGGTGATGATGAGTATGATGGGAGAGTGACAAGTGTATGATGAGACAGAGAAATACGACAGTGTGTGGAGTGATGCGATGGAATGTGTTAGAACTTGAGGGAATCTAAGCTAGCCATGGAGCTGCGTCGAGATAGACCGAGCGAAGGAGGCCCACTAACCAGGGATGTCGTCCCGAACAGCTTATACCATCCTATGACGATATTGCTCAGGTTCAGGTCGTCCAGCATTATCTGGGCGACGCCCATGAAGACCTTCTTGCCTTCAATGCGTCCGTAGTCACCCCAGACGGTCACCTGCGAACCCAAACCGCTCGAGTCATTCGAGAGTCACGCTCATCGTCGCTTCCCCCTACCTGGAGTATGCAGCCTTGGAAGTTCTCCCTGAACGCCAGTTGCTGCTGGTACAGCGGGTCCAGCGTGCGTCGCGCCGTCGACGTCTTCGCCTTCGCTATGCATTTCTTCCCGTTCACCAGGTACACCTTGACGTAGGGCGCTGCAACACAGACGATGATGATCCGTCGGCGCCGCAAGCGCGTCTTACCTGGCAGGACCTTGGAGCCTGGCCTCGCCTGCAGCCCCCTCGCTCGTATCACCTCCACTTCCAGGAAGCCTTTCTGGTAGCACAACGACAGCTGGATGTCGCCCAGGGCCGGCGCGCCCAGCACCTGGCGGCCCACCAGCTGGCCCGGCCCCAACCCGTCGATGAAGTCCGCCAGCTGGCCGCTCTCGCCCGCCAGCCGCAGGGACGGCGACCACCTATACCGATCAGAGGCTCAGGTTCGGCTCAGCGAGATCGTTGTTTTTTTTTTTTTTTGTTGGTGGGAAGGAAAAAGTTCCGAATCGAGATACAAAAAAGCTACCCAACATACACACAAAAATTGAACTCTATGGTTTCGTTTCGGTAATCGGTAGAGCTTAAAGAGCAGAACACAAAGAATGTACATAGAGAGAGTCAAAGAAACCGGGCCAATCAGCTGGACTACGTGTGTGAGAATTTGGTGATTGTTGAGAGTGGTTGAAACCGTGCCGTCGGACGGTGGTGCCATCATGCAGAAAAAAAAGCGAAAATAAATCCTTCGTTGTGGTGTGGTGTATGAGGTGTGACCGACCGATCTAGGCATGCTGAAGATTTTGTCGATACATACCAGACCAGGAGGAGCAAACGCGACCATCAATCTTACGTACGCAAAAGCTGTGTTATGGGAGGTACCATTTATCATGCTTCATTGTGCTCTTGCCGGACGGTTGTTCCCTTTCGTGCGACGCAAAAGGGAACAATCGCTCGACAATCCCAACGATCCGTCTCAATGCAACACAGCAGCCAAGAGCCAAGGGTGGTCGACGAAGAGGCAGTTGTGGAGACGGTAGGGATAGGAGTACTTACGACGATCCCTCGGAGCTAGAAATGGAGTTGAGGCTGGCCGCCCTTTGGCTGCAATCTGTCGAGCGTGTAGGGAAACTAGGGACGACTTCCTGGGAGCGTTGTATACTGCTACTGGTGGATACGCGCTTTCTATTGTATCCGCTGTCTGTAGCCATAAAATTGCGTCAGTCATGGTTCGTTTACTCGCAGAGTCATTTCGTCAGGGTTAGTGAAAACTGCTTTGCGCTATTTTGACTACCCCCCGTTCAGTGGTTAATTTTTACAGATCAAAACAAACTGTCATCGTCACTCGTCAGACAACAGGAGACAACAACATCGACGACTAGCCCCAAAAGGCTAACAGCAAGCATAGCCGGTCTAAAACTACAAAGTTGGACAAGCAGAACATTTTAAGTAATAAAAAAGAACAAGAGTTGGTCTATTCTACGTATGCACGCTACGCTATCTCATTACGTTCTATTCTATTTCACACCGAGTGTTTTCGAACTGAGAACCCTAAGAAAAAGCCAAGTACCAAAAAGGTCTGCTCGACAAATATATTCTCCACTGTTCGATCCTCAGCAACCAAGTTATGTGTAAGAGTGAAAACACTATGTCAACTACAAAACACAACCCTGAAAACTCCAAATTGTTACTAGTCATCTCTCTATGTACCTATCCACGTGTTTGCTCTTTAAGGAGGGGATCGAAGGGACATTCGAGAAAAATCATCGTCAACCTGTCGCCGTCGGCCGAGCCCTCTCCGTCGCTGGACGCCGACGAGCCCTGCTTGGAGAGTCGCACGTCCCCGGGAAGGACCTCCTCCGACCGATGGACGGTGAACGAAGTCTTGCCCCTGCGACCGAAGCCCATCCGCCGCTTGCGACCTTCAATGACAAAGTCAGGAAGGAGAAAAGGAAGAGCTTACACGCGTCATCGTCAATTCGATCGATTTTTACACACTTACACTATTCTAAACGTTTAACTAAGCTACACGGATCAGAGAGCTGTCTCGATTGAAATCGGAAGAAAAGTAGAGAGAGTCACGATTTAGATCAAACTCATCGTCGCCCTTACCTGTTGCCGACAACTGACTTGTCGAATTACTCTTTTTACTGAGGCCGACGAACTGCGCGGCCTGCCGGTCCGCCCTCTCCCTCTCCCTCTCCCGCTGGCTTTCCTTCCTCGCGATCTCCTTCTGGGGCACCTCCAGGCCGTGCATCTGGCCCACGGCCGTGTCGCTCAGACTACCATCTGCAATTGCGTGAAAATCTAAAGAGCATCAGAGGTGAGATGCGATCCCGGACTCGACGGCGGCTCGACGACGAGCGCGTCTTCCTCGTCCTTACCTGCTTTCTCGTCGGGCGGCGGTTCCGTGTTCGACAGGCTCCTAGTGAACTGCCCTCTCTTTATGCTGCTCTCCCTGTTGTGGTGATGGTGATGATGGTGGTGGTGGTGGTTGTGATGCGGGTCGATGGGTTCCATCGGCTCCCTCAGGTCCTGGCCCCTGTCCCTCGAGTTCCTCGGCGCCGCCGTTCGGTGGCCTGTCGTGTAGCCGTACCGGTCGCTGCCTCCTCCATATTCGGTACTAGCAGGAATAGAAGCGTTAGGGTCATCGCTAGCGTCTGATTCTACAAGAAACGACACCGACTTTTTGTTTTTGGGGATCTTAACGAAATTGAAGAGTTTTTCTACGGAGGAGACGCTCTGGCGTCGCTCCGGAATTTTTTCTTTGTCTGGGGAATCGGCGTCCGGATTTTGACATTGTGCCAAGGGAGGCGAACGCTCGCGATCGTTTATCATTTCGGTGCGGACTTTTTCGATGAGGGACTTGAGGGAGGAAGGTTCTTCCGACAAAGATTCGACGGACGAGGAACGAGAGATTTCGTCGACCTGGAGGACTTCGCGAACAGGTAAATCTAGCGAATCGGGCAACAAACGATACTTGGGTTTTAGCTTACAGGGTTTTTTTTGGTGTCTGAAAAGGTTGTAATATACTAGCGGGTTTTTGTTTTTGTGGCGGATGGCGCCCTTGCGGTTTTGGACGGCCAAGAGAGCCTTTAGCGCACCGTCGAAGACCTCGTCGCTTCTGCAAAAGACACGTGTTGCCCACACACATAGAGAAAATCACCTCGGGTGCATCCTCGGCCCGTTCTACTGCGAAAACGAGACTTTTCTCTTACGTGTCTTACCTGATCGTCTTGGTGCCCCTCGGCCGTTCCGATTGTGTGGAGAACGCACTACTCGTCACCGACGCCACGGACTCCATGTCGCTGTCGAAATCCCCCAACCCCAAAGGGTCCCTGTCCCTCTCGGGCGACTGTCCCCTCCTCGAGACCCGCGCATGGTTCGCCAAATCACTGTCACTCAGTCCACTGTACCGCCGCTCCCATCCCGCGCCCGTGCTCCTGTACGTATGGACGTAGCGCATCCTGTGCTTCCTGTCCTGGTCGAGGTCTTGAGCGACGCGCTCCTGGAGGGCTCTCGCCAGCGCTTGGGGCACTTGGGGCAGTTGACGTTTCTTCGGCGAGCCGGTCGGGGTTGCCGTCGCCGAGCGGGATTGGAAACGAGGCACGACGTAAGTTGTTGGCGGGTAATCGGCGACGGCGATGGGCGGCGACAGGGAACGGTGGTCGGTGGCGGAGCGCCTGGGCGACTTGGAGCGGGAGCGCGACATGTGCGCGCTGGGAGAGTCGCAGGGGGCGGCGGAGTGCGAGCGCTGGCCCGACATGCCGCTCTGCAAAGTGGCGAACGAGGCATAGTGGGGGCGGCGGAAGCGGCGCGGGGCATACTTACGCGTCGGTATCCTTGCGTGGCGTACGCGTTCATCGTCTCTTGGTCTCTCCTGGATTTTCGCTCGTTGGGCGGCGACGACGAGCTTCCGACGCTGCTGACGCTTGCCCCGTCGGCGCCGCGCCTCTCCCGTCCGCCGTCGATCTCGCACTCGGACGGCGTGTCCGAGTCGGAGAAGCGGGAGCCGGTGCTGGGCGGCGAGAGGTGTTCGCTGGGCGTCAAAGCGACCTCCTCGTGCGGTCCGAGGGTGCGCCAAGTCGGCTGCTCGTCCAAAGGCCACAACTCCACTATGCTTTCGCCTAAAAAATCGTTGGCGCCGTAACGCACATAGTCCCACACCGTGATCTCGAGCGCGCGTTGACGGAGGTCCGCTCTGCGAAGGCCGGAGTAGACGAAGGTCTGGTTCCACATGGGCTCGGTCGTCCCTGGGGGCGGCAGCACGGTTGCGGTTTAGGGGATGCGCGACGCCGGAGACTCACCTGCGAGGGTGCGGGTCCGCCGCTTGGACTTCTCCGACCGGTCGGGCAGGAGGAAGAGCTTGCAGTAGGGGTTCCGGGGCTGGTGAGGCGAGCGAGGCGTCAGTCCCGCCGCGCACACTATCGTGACCAGCAACTGCAGAGTGGTGGGGTCGAATCCGAGCCGGATCTGGATCCGCCCTCCGACGCTCGGCGCCAGGGCCGGACTCGGCCGCGGCCGCTCGGGACTGCCCGGCGACGTGACGAGGACGTGCGGACGCTCGTAGCCTTCGACCTCCTGGTGCCACTGGCCGCTCTGACCTAGGATAGGGGAGACGAAACGTAAACACGTCGCACCACCACAAGACAAACCGCAATGTCGATCGCTCCATATCGATCTCTAAACCATATTTCAACACCATAAGTCGTAAACACACACAGTTGTTGCTCCCATTACAGTTAACTACGCTAAGGGTACAGGACATTCACACATAGAGAAGAAGAAAAAGTCGTGTCGGGTGGTTTTTGTAGGTGCGCTATAGTGTCAAATATGGTTTTTTGGTGTGTAGTATGGTGCTTAAGCTCACGCCACTTACGCTAAATCGGTGGCACTACTCTTCTGTTCAAATTCAGCCGAACGCTGAACGTGAACAGACTTTGGTTTCTCTAGACTCGATCGTACCTCTGTGTGCCATAGATTGCCTCCACGTCGCTTGGGCGGCACGTCTACTACCCATACTACGAGATACTATCAGTTCCACGTTGGCCTCTTGCTTGCTCTCGGCGATGATGTCGGCCACTTCTTGATATGTTTTACCCTGGAGGACGCGGCCGTTCCACTCGATCACCTCGTCACCTGCACGAAAACAGCTCAGATCCTGACAGTGAGTGATGAGTGATGATGACCTACCCGGCCGCAACTGACCCTCGATGTCGGCGATGCTGCCTTTCTTCACCTTCTCGATCAGGGCACCCCTGAGGCCGTTCTCGAGGATCCTGCCTCCTACTACTTTAAGGCCGAGTATGGCTGCGCTCGAACCGGTCGTCTCTCTGGCGTTTCTTCGTAGGATCATGTGGCCGATCATCCGGCTACCGTCGGCAGAGACTTGCCACGATAGGGGGTGCTGATTAAGAGAAAAAAATGTTATTGGGGAGAAACTAGTGCTGGATGAATACTGCAACGATAAATTTCGTGATGAAAGTGGAAATGTGACTACGGCCAAATTGCCAAGGGTTTTTGGGACTATTCCAAGTTTTCGAAGTGACGGAATGCACGCATACAAGGACTTGCTCTACTTTCGGATATTTATTATATGGGTCGTTCTGGAGAAAAAATAAAGCGGCCGCCGGCGCGACGGTGTGGCCTATTTAGGCTGCTATTTTTTTTTTAACGGTTCTATTTATTAGGGAACGAACGTCTTGTTTGGTAAAGTGGACGACACAATGGATAGTGTTCTTGCGTTACAAAAAGGGAGTTATTCCGTGACCCATATAATGTATTTTTTGGCAGTCGAAACGTCTCGGCTTTATGTTCGCGGATCAATGATTCTAGACTAAAATGAGAAACACACAGAATTTCATTGAAATAATGCAAAGCCATGCATCGCAGATTATGTAGAGAAAGAAAAGAATAATCTCAAGGTTTCGGCAAGTTTTCAGATTAGGTCATCAACGAATCAAAATTTAACCATGCTTTGAAGAATCTCCAAAGTAAAAGAGGGAGACAGATATAGCTGGTACTTACAAGTCTGCTTAAGAATTTTGCCGTCGCTCCTAGCATTATTTCTTCCACGACCGCCAAGAAACTTGACTTTGGACGCGAAAGTGATAACGCACGAGAGATGTCGCATAAAATTCGGGGGAGTGAGGAGGAGGGCATAAGGGTCCGAGATGTGGCAAAACGCGCGTAACAATTTTCTGTTCCGAAGAATGAACGAGGTCGTTCGATTGGCACCTCTCGAACGTTATCATTTTCGTTGTCCTCGCCGGAAGAGTCGTTCTACATCAAAGAATTTGCTTTTGTCTACTGCCAAGGGTCTACTCTAACGTGTCTAATAGGCAAACAACACAATTGTGAATCGAATAGGCACCTTGGGCACGTCTCCGCGAGTGGAATCCTCGCTGGAGGTGAAGGTGGAAGAAGTGTCAATGCCCGAATCCCTGTGGGAGTCCTGCGATCCTTGCCTGTCCCAGTTCTCGTGTTGGTCAAATCTCACCGTCTTCTTTCTCCTCTCCGTGAAACATCTATTGTCGGCGGTTACGTCCTGCAGAGGCCTATGCTGAGGTGCGACGATATAGTGGCTTAGGGGAGGCCAGTCTCCGTTGCCTCCTAAACAGGGTAGTGCTCAAAAATCGCCACGAGCATTCGGGAATTTACCGGTGGCCGTGGGGCTCCGCTCCGAGGAGAGCGCAGCGAAAAACGGCCTCCGGGATTCAGGCCGTTTTTCGCCGCGTCGGTCTCCTCCCGATTTCCGCGCCTCCTCGTCCCGCCGAGACTCGCTATTAAAAAAACTCTCGGATGCAAGAAGAAAAGTGCGCAAGCTGCGTGAACACGACCATGCAGAGAAACAACATCGACCAATTCTGAAGAAGTCTGAAGTCTCACCGCCAAGAATTTTTTGATTTTCTCGTCGAGTATCGCTTGCCGGCTCAATCTATCTGAGACAACTTTATCTCTGTCGGCAACTCCTGCAAATGTAAACAGATGAAATCCTGTCAAGAACACAGACAAAGGCGCGGCAGCGGCACAACTTACATCAGTGCTTCCTTAACTAACAAATTTAAATAAAAATCACTAAACATCTACAGGAAGATCGGAAAACAGCTGTCGAGTCTAAAATCATGGGAGCAACAACCTTACGATGACCCTCGAGTTTCGAGTTTTTCGAACGCGCACAGAGCCTACGGCTTACCTTTCTCGCTGTCGCGGTCGTCGCTGCCGTATTCAGGCGTCGACTTGAGGTCCTCCTCCGAGCTCGAGAAGGAGCGCTGCAGTTGCGGTTGCGGATTGTGCTGGTGTTTCTTGGTCGAGCCGCTGCGCTTGTGTTTCTTGTTGGCACTTGTCGTCGAGGGCATCCGCGCCGGGATGTCCATGGGCAGGGGTTCTGGCTCGGGGTCCGGGTACCGCCGCGGCACCAGGTGCGGATGCGTGCGCATGAGGCCCTCGAGCTCGCCCTGGTAGTACCTGCGAACGGACACCGTGAGACGGACGCTCGGCGCACTACCGTACTATAAACGAAGACTACTACAGGGAGAGTACCGAGGGTCGTCCTCGTTGTACTGCGGGTTGTAGCGTTCGCAAGATGGGGTGCGCGGCTCCTGCTCCGAGTACTGCCGCCGCAGCACGCTGCCGGACCTCTGCAGAGGTTGGTTCTCCTTCTCCGCCGCCGAATGCGCCCGCTCTAGCTTAGGTCTCTTGTCGGATGGCGCCTGCTGGATGGGAGTGAGGTCCGCGTCCCCCGCGTTCGGCCCGGTCAGCATCCATTGCCCGGTCTTACTGAGCAGCTCTTGCTTTTTCCTGCATAGTATGCAAACCCAGACCACCTGGAAACACAGTGACGCATTCACTTGTTTGCTTTGTGGTATCGTTTATTAATTTTGTTATCTGCGGCACGGTGAACGTACGTGATGACCGACTTTTCGCCGAGGACGGTCTTGAGCTTTGCTCGGGCGTGGGCGTCGGGGAGACGACATATTACAAGAAAAAAGCGGAATTTCCCGAAAGGAGAACCCTAATAGAGACACCAAGATAAGGAAGGCCGTGGGAAGGCCCGCACAAATGAATGCCCCTCTGAAGAGATCCTGCAAAACATGGCCTGGCGTGCGTGGGTAGAGCAGAAGGGGGTTCATTAAGATTTTAAAAACTGTTGAAATATTGAAACAGACAAAATATTGAAGAGAAACAAGGCCTTCAGACGATCTGACGCGAACGAGTGCCCCTCCAAAAAGATTCTGCGGACGCCCCTGTTCCTAATTCATAAACTCTCACATTATTGACTTTATCCCACATCAAAAATAACAAAAAATACAGGTCGTTTTAGATAATGTCATCTCCAGTCAGGCACCCAGCATCCGAAACCTCCTCGTCCTCGTCCTCTTCTGGCGCCCCCCCGCCCCCTCCTTCGGACACCACTCCTCGAGACACGCCGCCCCACGCGCCCACCCACCGCCCGAAAAATCCGCAAATCTGAATGATATGTTAGTGAAAAAGCGCGAAATTTCTTAGTGGGGATGAATCAATACGTCGCGTCACGTCCGGTAAGCATGACGTAAGTCCCCCACACAATGGGCAACCCACGCGTTCGTCGTTCCCGGCCCGGGTCTTCCGTCAATGGGTGTAAATACCTACATATTGTCCAGACGGATGGTCGGTAGGCAAAACTGACCTTGTTTGATCTGAGAGTGACCTTGCCGCCGCAGCGGGCGCAGCACCGGATCGAGCAGTAGTTGCACAGGTGGCCGACGCCGTCGGCGAACTTGGTCTTGAGGCAGATGTGACAGGTGGCGTCCAGCTCGATGCCGGCCTTCTTGTGTTGTTCGTTGCGGGCGCGTATCGTCTCCTCGAGGATGTGGACTTCGTCGGCTTTGCGTCTGGAGGAGGAAGAGAGAGAGTGATTGTGGAGGTTGAAATCGGAAAGAGGGTGACGTTGGAGGATAACTGAACACTTGCTAAATAGAGAGAATGGTGGAGGCGCCGGGACACTAAATTCCAAATGCTAAGTTTAAATTTCCGTGTCTCCACGAAACATGCAGACGATATTTGTTGACCAATTTACTGAAGCGTTCTATATTTTAGTAATCTCTTGTTCTATTTCTTGTTTAATTTAATTTGTTTTTTTTTTTATTTCACGCACCACATATCTGTGTATTCAGATTAATGGATGCGGCTGGAATCGTTTTGTCAGATATGAAGCGTATTTATTAAAATTGTCGTTTTATCTAGCGCAGGACCATTATTAACTACAAAACTTTCCGTTGTCAACAGCAATGAACTTAATCAGAAGAAAAATGACATGAAATTATATTTTTATGGCTTGTACGCATCAGAAATGAATACTTGATAAATTAAATTCTGATTCTTCATTAGGAATTTATTATCCATAAATTAAACTGCCCCCATAAAATATACTGTTGACATGTGTTTAACAAGTCATCACAGATTGGATATTTAACTAAAATTTAAGCAGTGCTTTTGACAAACAAGCTCGTTTGAAATGTGCTATACAGGATGTTTCAACGAAAAATTACAAACTGTAAATTTCTGTAAAATGTTAAGAAAAATAAATTTAGATAATAATAAATCGATGAAATCGGATAGAATTAAAGAACTGAAAAAATACACAGGTTGGAAAAAGCTGGAAATAATATATTTAATATAAGCACAGTATAATCAAACATTGATAGCTAAAAATAAGAGATTTAATATTTTTCTCGTGATGTTTTAGACATCTAGATCTCGATGCCGTGCTCAATTGACATTTGTATGTGTATTTAAAAAAGAAATCAAGGCATGTTGCCTGGTCCATTCTCCCTTGATATATAATTTCAGGATTATTAGTAAAAAACACTGACTCGTGAAACATAAAAACTAGAGTTTTCTAAAATTTATAAAATGTATTAATTTTTACCTAATATATTTTTTCAATAATATAATTATTTTCTGAATAAGAAATTTTTTTGTTAAACCATCTTTGGACCGCTATCACGTTAAGTGCCAAACAAAATGATTAAATCTTTAACCGTATTTGGTTTCTGTGTTTGATACACAATGCAACGCAAAGTATTCAGTGGTACCCAGCTGAGAATTTGTTTTAATGTAACAAAAAACGTCTTATTTTCTGCACACCTTGGTCGCGAATTCTGGGTTATTTTTGAAAGCTCTAAGAACAAAGTTAGTAAAGCAAAATTTATAAAAAGAAAACGAGGTCATGGCGTCGCCATAGCAGCGTGCGGTAGTCTGACTAGCCGAAAATGAAGTTTGTAATTTGTTCTATAAATTATAGACTTTTTTAGATCTTTTCTACTGTCTCTGCGCGAACAGATCGTCGTTTTATGAATTTTGTGCGTTTTTTTTTCTCTCTACTTTAAATCGATATTACAAATGAGGTGAAAATAAATGTTAAAAAATATTTTCGGGAATAAATAATTTAAAACATCATAATCTAAAGAAAAAATTATCAAGGTATAAAATACAAGAAGATATCGAAATGCAGCAAGGCATATGCTACTGAAAATACAAAGCAAAAATCATTGTGATGAAAATAAAGTGCAAATGGAAGTTCCTTAAATTTAGTGAGCAACGGTCGTGAATTACAACATAATTAATGATTATGTTTTTGTATTAACGATGAAACCCTGAACATGTATTGAGCCTGTGCTTGCCAACCAAATCTTAATTTTTTTAACATCTTCGCGTATAATTTGTTATCTTCGAGATATTTTTGTTTTGTATGTATAGAAAGTTCTTGCAAAGCTCTCTACTGTTAGTGAGTACTGAAAATCTATTTAATCTTTAAATTTACGTAAACGTAGTAATTTAATTCCAAACTTAAAAATAAAATTAAAACTCGGAAAATTCCGTGACACCCCATGCTCCTACCTGACAATGAAATGTGGGAGGTAATTAAAGGATCTATTATAATATAATGAAAAAGGCGTCTTTTTTGAAAAATATCTACTATGGAAACAAAAGGTAATTATGGTAATTAATATGTCGTTGTCGTTGTCCAACCGTGTACAGATTTTCACGGTTATTTATTCCACTTTACGTAGGTTGTTCGATTAAAACACATCCCCTTCTATATATTTTTTGTTTATAAAAATAGCTATTGACATTTGAAAAAACAGCATAAAAATATTATAGCGTTGTTAAATGCACAGTTCGTTAAAAAAATTATTTAAAAACGCAGTTTTGCAAAATTTTCGGGCAAAACGTATTAAAAAATGTTTGAAAATTTTGTTATTTGGTGAAAACACAACAGGAACAATGAAAATCATTGGTCGGGTTTTGTGCGTTCCTAGCAAACAAGAAAAGAAACACGAACCACTCTCATGGTTTCACGACCGATCCGGTCCAAGGCTGCTTGTCTCTAGCCTCACATTTTAGCACATCCTCACCATACATTGGACATTAATTTAACAAATAAACGTATTTGCAATTTTTGTATTATTATATATATTCTATATATTATATAATCTATAAAGTTAACAGTGGTCTATATCAAGAATCGACCAATGGCTTGAATCTTCCGATGTCATTTAAACGTCATCTTCTCGTAGTTAAGGGCTGCACAAAATGTAAACGATATTTCGACTGTATCTCATGATCGGGCATATTTTAAAAGAATTTGTTAGATGTTTTTCTTTATTCTTGAAGAAATCGAAAACTGAATAGAACAGCAAAATCTGATTTACATGTTTATGAAGACGTTTTCATGACAGTTTTTTGGCACTTGTCTTTAACAGTGTTATAATATTTTTAGTCAAGTAATAAGGTGTTCCGAATTTTCAAAGAAGGGGGATAAGTTTTCAGCGAAACACCCACAAGACGCTACATTCCCTTTTTTCCAGAAAGTGTGTTTCAGCACTTTTCTATTTCTGTCTCAGCTTGTATTACAACGTCAAGATTAGAATCTCTTTTGACAGCTGTCATCTGATATCTCCGACCGTCCCGATAATTTCAATCTTGACCGCCGCTTCCAAGACGCCCCCATTTCGCCTAGCCCTCCATATGGCAAAAATCCCTCAGCTCGGGCCCCGAATTCGACGGCCCTTGGCCGCCCCGCCACGCACCCCGCACATGTTCCCGTCCCATCGCACCATATGTTGGCCCCCCGACCTTTACCTCATGATTTCCTGCTCGCGCTCCTCCTCCTGCTTCTGCCGGACCATGACGGACTCGATGATGGCCCGCTCTTCGGGAGTGAGGTGAGACAGATCCGGCCCTTCCTCCATCCTAGCCCTTTCCGGACATGGTGCTCCGACTACCCTAGGTCGCGGTCGCGCCGCGGCTTCATCGCAAGGGCAGGGGCACAGGGCACTCCTCGCACTCGACACCCGCACTGCACGATTTGGGCGATTGCGATTTGCCTCGATCAGCCGTCGTCCGGCCAAATATCACACACACAGCAATTACCCATTCATGTACCTTTAATAAATAATAGGATGAGTTAACGGCGCGCCAATGGGAGGCCGGTGGCGGCGTGACGTCACGAGATTGCGGTATTGATTCGGGCCGGGGGACAGGCGCCGGAGCGAGGGAGGGTGCGCGGCGCGCGTGCGCACCGGGGGCGGCGGCGGTTTGAAAAGACCTCGGGCTCGGAGACGTGGCCCGGCGCATCCGCCAGATTTGCCGAGAGACGTCGCCGACGAAAATGGAACTCGGAGAGGACTGCGAAGCGAAGGACTAGCGCTGGGCTTGCGAGTAAGTGAATTTTGCGGGGCTAGATGGGGGCCGCTGCGCTTATTGAATGGTATGACGTTAGCGTCACTGATAGAGACCTCTGTAGGTCCTTCGTTAAAGCTTGGATCTTAAGCGGATTGCATATTTTTGGAGCTAAAGCGACCATTTTCTTGTAAATTGACATAACGCAAAAAAATGTGTCTAAAGCAAACAGAAAAGATTGCTTTCTCATCCGTAACGAAGTACAGCTTGAGTAACACACGTGGTTTGAGGTTACGTGCGATTTTAACCTTTTATAAATAAAATTAGAACATAAACGAGGGTTTGAAGCTTTCATATGGGGCAGAAACGTCAAATACAGCGTTACTTTCCTCCCTGTTTCTACTAAAACCGCACTTACACGGACAAAATATAATAAATATGCATTAGAAAGTGGATAGATTCATAAAAATGTACTTACTTGCATCAAAATAGTCACGATAATTAGGCAACCAACTTCACAATAATATATTGATTTCTTTTTTTATGTTGGCATTCATTAGTGCCATAATTTAAACACAGAACTCGACCTTGGACAGCTAATTGGTCGTGCAACTTTAGAATTTATGGGTCAAAAAACCTAAATACATAATTTTAAAATTTTCCAAAAATTTATAAATCTAAAAAAATTACCGTAACCCATTAAATATAAATGCGCACACTTGGGAATTTTTCGTGCTGAGCATATTCTTTGACATTTGAGTGTGCAAAATTCTAATACATTTGAATGTAGACTGATGCAGTAATTACTAACTGAATTTTACTTTGTCTGGCCCACTAGAAGAGCTCCTGTATCTCCTCTATCAATTTAAAATATTTAATTCCACAAAATTCTCTTAATTAATAGTTCTCCCCTTTTCTGTCCCTAATTTAGTAACTTCACCTAAAGACCCTAAATAACGTTATGTTGGTAAGGTCACTCAAAAGTCAAAACACGCCGACATAGGTTATGTCACTCCAATTTTCCAAATAAGTTTTTTGAGTTTTTTCTCCCACTAAACCCTCAAAGCGCCAATTCTGCCATGCTACGTCTACTTTCTAATCTCCGACTTTTCCAACCCGTAAGCCTGCACAACCATCAAACTGTCCGGTGGGCGCGCAAGCCCCGAAAACCGCGTTGGATGCCCACCGCCAAAAGCAAAATGTTTAAAATTCCTGAAAGAATTAAATATCCGGAAGAAGAAAACAAAGAAGTTTTACGACTTTTCAATAATTACCGAACGGCTATGAAGTCAATCAAACAATATTTAACCAATCGATACAACGTTCAGTTACAGGCAAAATCCGACACCGAACAATTGAAAAAAGCATTCGAAGAGGATTTTGCGAGGTGTTCGAGTATCAACGATAAGTGGAACGAGCAGATAAGAAAAGAAAGAGAAGTGCGAATTGCCAAAGAATTGCAAGAAGAAATCGAGTTTTCGAAAAATCGCAAAGCGGAGGTCTTGAGGCAACGTGCGGAAGAGTTAGAGCAAGCTGAGGAAATCGTACGAAAGGAGAAACAAGCGGTTGCTAGTTTAATCACTCCAGAGCAATTAGATGAAGTGATAGAGAGAGCTATTAATAATCCTGTGGATTATAATTTTGCGATTGATTTAGACGGGAATAGGATTTATGGACGGGAAACCATGTCGGCGGATGCTGTTAAGGCAAAACAATAATTTTAAGTGTAAAAATGTAATAAATTAGCTATGAAAACAGTGACTGTAAGAATTCTGTTCGATCATCCTCTTCATTTGTCTCCATTGGCGCCTCTTTACTGTCATCAATATTCTCCAACTCCTTATTAACATTCGTCTTTCCTTTCTTCTTCTTATCCAAATTTGCGGTGAAGAAAGTGGTTTTCTTTTTCGCTAGCTGAATCTCGGCACGCAGTTTCTGCCGTCTAGCAGCCTTTTCATATGCTAACCGTTCGTGTAAATGCGTCCACTTGAAATTAGACAAATACTTGATGCTCCAAATGCAGTCGTACTGTTTCGATTTTTTTCGGGTGCTGACTTGTGTGTTATTTAAAAGAAGAGCAACCTTTTTGGCTACTGATTTACGTTCAAACTCCACCCAGCCCTCCGTGAACTTCTTGGCCACTTTTCTCTTCGATTTTTTGTCATTTCTGATTTCTGAAATTAAGTGTGAGCCCAAAAAATCGTTACATAAACTCTATATACCTGAGTCTGCGAGTTGCAAATAAACACGTCCAATTTTACCAAATTCGCCGAAAACTTCGCGAATTCTAGTCACGTTCATGTACGGCGGGATGGTTGATAGGTAAATTATGCCCCTTTTTGGGGGCTTTGTGGGTGTCTTTGATAACGAAGGCTCTTCTGTGTTTACTTCTACCATTTTGAGGTTAGCACGTGGGTATAAATGTCATCTATTTCGTCTGTCATCAAGTGCACCACTCTAATACCAACCAAAAAAGTTAGTCGCTGGCTAAACTACAGGACCGGTCCAAGGAAAAAGAATCTGGTATTTCGTATTATAGTTTATCAATTATCACAAGGATTTGAATAAATGTCCTATTCTTCCAAAACAAACCAAGTGTTAATTTAGTGTTGTATAAGAAATCGCAATTTTCAAAGTTCCTTTGTTGAAAATCATCCGCATCAAAAATCACCGGCAATTTATGTTAATTTGAGGCGTCGAAATTAATACTGACAGACTGTGTTGCAGTGCAGTCATGACATTTTCATTAAAGATTCTACTGATGTGGGAATCCATAAACGGGCCCTTTTTTGTAGTTTCGGTCCTGACTTTTGTTATTTTTAGAAAATTCCACCGGCATCAAAAAATACCTTCAAAAATGATAATAATTATTTATGTATCTTTTTATTATACAACATAAATATAACTCTGACTCATTATGTATTTTCTGCAAATAAAATCATAATAAAATCAACAAAAACAATTTTTTTTATTTTATAAACAAAAACCAGATGACGCATGCGCACGCATCATCCAATGTTACCAACTCCCCGTTTTGTCTCGGTATCTGTCATTTACCACTTGCCGAATCTGTTGTTCTTTATCAGTAATTTTCCAGAAATACTTCGAGCATCCGCTTCGTTCCGAGTGATAGTGCGAGGAAGTCGCAGAAATGACCAACATCAGCCCAACAGGTGAGCCCCCTGTAATTTTTACACCGGCCAGTGTTACCCCAAACCTGTTTTGCTTTTTTTCTTCGCATAAAAAACGCCACAACCCGAAACTGTTATCGCATCACCGGCCATTAATAATTAATCGCCCATTGTTCCCCGCAAAAAATTAGAATCGTCGATACACCGTCGGCTTTTTTCCCTCAACTCTCTCTTATGACGTGTCAAAAATTCCGTTACTTCTTGACGTTTCGCCCCCCTCAGCCGCGTCTATTCCGCGCTCATTCGGCTCAAACTGCACCGAAATTCGCAAAAACAGGTAGATGTTAGTGTGTTGTGAAGTGGTGGCCGGCCCCTTGTCTCTGAGGGTGCAACCCACGACGAAGAAACGTTCCGCATGACGACCTCCAGATGGTGCATCCACAATGAGCGCAGACGAGGAACACAGCTTGGACTACATCGAGGATCCGTACTTCAACCCCCAGACCAGCACCGCCACCCCCAGCCTAGACGACCTGGACTCCCTGGATTACGATGTGCTGGAAAACGAGCTGGAGCTCTTTGATTTGCGCCAGTTGGACTTCGATGAAGCCAACTGCAACAGCTTGCCCCAAAACGACGAGAGCGTCAACGTCGAGGCCGAGTTTTTCAACGTAAAGAGGGCCAACGCCATCATCAGGGCGTTCTTTAAAAAGGATTTCAAACGACAAGTCAGGGTTACCTATTGTGATTTGACGAAGCCGTATCTGGCCAAGTTACCCAAAGATAACAATTTTCGGAAGTATTTAGATATTAGCGGAGACGGTGAGTAGTTGGCGGAAGTTTGGCCGCAGACAGAATTTTTCCAAGTGGTGGTTGATTTATTTCTTAGTTGATGTTTTAATTTCATGCTTTTGTTGCGACGATATTTGTTCCGGTTGTTTTATTCTTAGTTTTTATTCTTATTGTGCTTTCACTTTGCCGTTCAAATAAAGATTGTTAGGAATGTGGAATGTAGGTGTTTTAATGTCGGATCGCTATCAAAATTGAAATTGAAAGCGGCCAATTGGGAGGCGCGAGCTGAGCTGTTGCTAGGGAACTGGTCAGGTGTGACGAGACGAGATAGGTGATTGGTCGGATTGATTATTTTTAGGACGCCGCAGTGTGCTGTGTTTTGGTATTGAAATGGTACGCCGGCGACTATTAACAAATACACCGATTTATTTAATTTTTTTTGTTGTTTGTATTAAAAATATCGAATTATAGTTGTTTAATTAGAAAAAAAGTTTCTTTTGTTATTGCATTTGTCCTTTTTAGTTATCTTTGCACATAAAGTTTTCATGAATTTTGTAGGTCTCGTTTTAGTAGCGTTGCACGTAAAAGTGTGTTCTTATCAAGTTCGATTTTCCGAACATAAAAATTAATTACGTTGTTTTAAAAACATTCGGGGAGATTAAAAGTTTGTATATATAAAATAATGAAATGTAAATTAACAATAATAATAATCTTTGTTTTAGCAGTTTTATCGTATGCGTAAATATTGTGGTTTAAAATGTCAATATAGTATTCCTCCAAATAAAGACTGAGCACATAAAATAAAATCAATCGACTCACATAAAAAAAAACAGATCGCTAACAATTAAACTTTTAATTAGATCCCATATTAAATTCGAATCTTGTTACCGCAATAATCTGGTTCAAATGTAGCGCTTTCCGGTTAAACAATTTTTATATTTTCAGAAGTGTCGAAGTTGTAATCGTGCCTTCTGTGCTCAATGCCTGGAAGTTCTTAAGGCGATCTGAGGACGATTTCGTGATCAAATCACAATGTGGAGACACCTCCTAAAGTCTACCCGAAACTTGAGCAGTACCACTGGCAGTACTGTCGATACCAGCGAACTGCGTCACTTTAAGCAGTTCGCCAACGAATGGTGGAACGAATGCGGCGACTTACGAGCCCTTCATTCGCTCAACAAGTTACGAATACCTTTAGTCCGTGATGGAATCCTCAGCGTTCTTCAAAAGAGCACGCAAGGTACAACCCCCTTGAAAGATATCTCGATTCTGGACGTGGGTTGCGGGGGCGGAATCCTAACCGAACCGTTGGCAAGAATTGGAGGGCACGTCACCGGACTCGATGCGAATTGCGATTTAATCGAAAAAGCAAAATTACGGACAAAAGAGAAAAACTTAAAAGTGGATTATTTGTGTTCGTCTATTGAGAAGTATGCTTGCGACAATAAAGAAAAACACGATGCGGTTGTGGCTTCAGAGATACTGGAACATGTTACGCAGAAGAAGGAGTTTTTGGAAGCTTGCGTTCAGTGTTTGAAACCCGGCGGGTCTGTCTTCATCACGACGATAAACAAGACGCCGGTTGCGAATGTGCTTGGAATTTTCGTGGCTGAGAATTTGTTGGGGTTGTTACCGAAAGGTACGCACCAGTACGAGAAGTTCATTAAACCTCACAACTTGGAAAAGATTTTGGAAGATTTGAATTGCAAGACGGTGTTGGTACAGGGGATGTTCTACAATTTCGTAGGAAACGAGTGGCACTGGTGCTCCAACGATTCCATAAATTACGCTCTGCATGCTGTTAAACTGAAGAATTGATTTGTATTGACGTGTTAATAAAGTAGATTTAGTTGTTCGTCCTTTCTTGCATTGCACCCCCGAAAGTTTTGTCTGCGGTTTTCCGATCCCGAAGTAGTACCCCATACTGAGGTGCTCTTGTTGCAGAAGAAGCCATTCCGGCCGAAAACCATGTCGCTAGCGACCTTTCCAGCCTTTCAGTTGAAGAAAAAGAACGCCAACACGCCCTATGGAGCGAAGAGTTGGCCCAGATCGAGGACGAGATCGCCACGCTGCGTACCGTCCTCGCATCGAAAATGCGAAGAAGCGCCGAACTGAAGAAAAACCTGGGAATCACTGTGTGGAAAGAAGTCTCCGAAGACATCAACCAGGGAATCAAAAACGTTAAAGAGAGCAACGTGTACGTATAGAGTAGTCTCTGCTTCGTAGCTGCATGTAACGCATTGTTTCTTTGTCCGAGTAGATATCAGACCGTGGAAACTAAAGTCGGTCAAGTGACCAAAGCAGTCACGGACGCGCCCATGTAAGTACCGCATGGTCCGTAGGTAGACTTTGCCCCTTAGCGCACGCATCCGCGGCAGCCGAGCAGCCAGTGACCGCCCTCTCTTTGCAGTTACCAGAAGACCACCTCCTTGATCGGTGGGATCACCGGCAATATCACCAACAAGATCGGACAGATGCGCCACTCCGACTCTTTCCGCTCTTTCGAGGAGAAGGTCGGATCTGCTTACGAAAATGTGAAGGTAGGTTAGCTATGTCGGGCGGACGGTTTTAAATGTTTTTTTAGACGAAGGTGGTGTCGCGCTCCAACTCCCAGCAGAGCTTGGACGAGGCGGGCAGATCCCGATCTGGCTCGGTCGTGACCAGCCCGACGATCCCCGAGGAGAAGCCTCTGGCATAGTTAACAACAATCAAAAGCTGTCCCGGCCAACAATGCCTTCATTGCTTGTCTGTTGAATTGGTCGTTACTAATTTTGTGTTAGTTACGTTCTAGTTCTAACTATAGGTTGTAACTTTTCTTATTGTAGCTTGAGAGCAAGGAAGATTAGGTTAGTTTTTTGTACAGAATTTAGTTCTAATAATAACGAAAGACTATTTTCCATACTGATGGCTCTATTGAGGTGTATACTAGGTTCTAATACGCATGAAATATACTTATCAAAAAATGACTCTTTATTACTTAACCTATTTAACTTACGATACAATAAATTAAATACATACTAATGAACAATCAGGTGACTTTCTTCTGAGGCGGAGGCTCGACAGACATTTGTTTCTTCTTGAAGATGATGCTCCGGATGTTTTGGAAAGGCATCTCGATGAGGAGAGTTAGAACTATAGCTAGACCTACTATCCAGACTTGCTCTTGCAAGTTGAGTAACATGCTGAAAAAGCCATAGTGTTGCGTACTCCTGTTGACTCCTAGGTTGTAGAAGAACACCGGGAACTGGATCAAGTACACGGTGTAGGAAATTTTCGTCCAAAGGGAGAAGGGCGCCCACGAAAATATGCTTTCCCAGAAACCCGAGTGGCCAGTGTGTGTCACGAAAATGAACCAGCTGAACCCGACGGACCATAAAATGGGCGAGATGGCTGCGTACCATGCCGCATGCGTCGGGTTGTACACGTAATCGATGCTACCCATGAAGGCGGGACTGAAGAAAGCCAAGCAATTACCTATGAAGAGAACGTGACACGCGATTCGGTACTGACTCTGAAAAGACAATTTGAGTGCACCATAGAACTGATCAGAGACATACCTTCGTAAATGTCGCGTGTCTATATTTCCTCATGGCGTAACCGGTAAAAATTCCAATAATGTACACTGTCGCCCTGTGAATTGGGAGGATGTACATGTTGTCGGCGGTGGCAAACAGTTGCTTTATCCTGAAAAGCGATTTCAGACCTGGCAACGACTACGTGACAACTTACGAAGTCCCAAAGTGGACATAGTTGGACAGCTCCATCGAGTAGGTGACGTAGTACCGCAAAACGGTCGAAAGTAGTGCTATGAAGCCCAAAATGTAAGCCCCCTTCTTTGGCCACTTCCACAACAAAAGTACCAAAGTTGGTGAAAGGAAAAACAGTTGTGTATCGATGCCCACGTGGTGTGTATGCGTCAGGCACTGAAATCACAACCTGAAGAGTATGCATTTGCAAAGTACTATCCGCACCATGTCCTTAAACCCGTAGTAATTGTGGATGAAGAGCAAATTTCTCCACCAGTACTTCTTGCAGATGGTCGAGTGGTGCGTAATAACTTGATTCCACAGAGGCCCGGAACTGACCCACGGCAGGATCAAAGTACAAAAAGCGATCAAAGCGGCAAACGTTGGAAGCACTCGGAAAAGCCTGGAAACGTACTCTTCCAAAATATTAATCCTTCCATATCTCATCAACTTCCCCATAAGCGAATAAGAAGTTAAAGTTCCCGATATTAGGATGAAAGGGTCCGTGTAGAGGCTGGCGGCGCGGCCTATGACACTCCAAGGTTGGCCCAAATACTGAAATTAAAAATCACTTTAATATTTACAACATGGGGCCCGTTTTCCGTCTAATCCGTTCCTGCCCAACCGCCATGTTGTCGCGATCGTCCAATCGTATGCGCTCCTGCTATTCGGCGCACGAAGAGGTGTCGCCCGCACCGGTTTCTCGTTCCGGACCACGCCCACACCTTCTACCACTTTCTGCTTTCCTGCTCCGAAATAGGGAAATTTCCCTCGAATTCGACGCTTGTGGCCGGTGAAATCAATCACCCACGCCGCGCATGACCAAGGTCAATGAACACAACCAACAGGTAGTTCTTGTTCTCCAGGTGTGATCGTTTGCGAACGAGTTTTCGCCGCGGACACCTCCCGGGCAGTTCTGACCTCCTGATAGCAAAATCAAGAGATTGGCGTCTGAAGCGCCAAGTGGTCGGTAAAGATGGGCGAAATGAACAGGAATCACAGGAAGTGGAGAAGGTTGGCGGGTGTGGGACGAACCGAACAGGTGCGCTAAAATCCAGGTCAGGATTTCCGAATACTGGGGGAGCGAAATGTTATTTTTTATTTTTGTTGTTTTGCTATTGTTGCATTGAGGTGTTCGACGATTATAAATAAAGTAGGGGTTATTTAGGGACCATAGCTGACTTTTAAAGTTATGTTTAGATTTGAAACGAGATAGGTATTGTGGTTCACTGGGGTTAGTGGACTGGATTTTGTTTTGTAAAATTGAACAGTTTGTTGGTCAACGTATGAAAATGAACCTTCCCCTGTTAATTTTATTCTATACATTGTTAACTGTCAGTTTTAATTTAAAAAATGTAAAGAAACTCAATGAAAATTTTAAATTATTTCACACTAAAATAAATCACTTGAAATGTAGGATAGCACTGAGAAAACGAACAAAAAAAAGTAAAACGAAATAAAAATTTTAACCGGAAAAATGATTGTATATGCAACCAATAATATTCTGGTGTATGCTGTAAACACATCCAGTAAAGATTATGGACTATGATTATGGTTTCTTGCCTGTGCAACGCTAAAAAAGTGTTTTTCAAAAATTTTTTAAATTTTATTATATTTTGGTTACTGGATATTGAATTTTACACGTTATTTATGTACATAAAACTGATCTTTTTAAATTCACTTATTCCTTAACACAGTTTTACACAATTTTTATAATAAAATTTTCGAGCATTTGTCAGGAAATAAATACGCAGGGTATATTCAAATTCAATTTCGTCGGCCTATTCTATGTACAATAATATACTTTATGTTCGAGTCACTTTTCCAATTTGTTGTAGAAAAACTGTATTTACATTTTGACTTCAAATTTCTGCAATTTTAGACAGTAAAGTCAGCTTTAATAAAACATTTTTGGCGTTAAATGTTAACACGTTTTATCTTTCACGGTACTTTCTCGGAAAAACTGATATTTAGAAATCGTACGAATATATTCAAACGCAATATGATGTTCATTCGTTGCACCTAAAGTTTTTTGTGTGCTTTTCGAAAGACCTCCTTCCTCTTTTTGTGAGGAATATTTCAAATTTCAGACACGTGTGCAAGGAATATTGCGTAAAAATTTGACCCATAGCTTCTGGTCAATCCACCAAAACATTTGCACTTTCTCACTTAGTAAGTCGAAACATGCAGTAAGTAGTTTTCGATAAAATCCAAATCAAACTCTAGATTTTTCCGCATAACTAACGGGTGTTCAACAATAAAATCACTTAGAGCAAACGTTGGAATATCATTTGAGACAGAAATTGCATGTCTGTTTTTATAACATACAACATACAACAGGTTATGATTCTGCCAAATGGATGTTGTAAGAACACACATACCTTTTGTGTCAAAAGAAATTCCAACACCTACTCTAAGTGATTTTTCAACTGAACCCCGTTACAATTTTTGTTTTTATTCGTTGTCCCTCGTGGTTGGTGCTCATAGAATTCCGTTCCATTAACATTATATGCACAGCTCAGCACCCAATGGGTCCTACCGCTGCCGCCCTCAATCTTTATCTATATTTCGCAACAATACAGCGATGAAAACCAACTCTTACTTTCGATAGGTTGCGACAAAAATTCGGCAATCGTAAAAAAATTTTGAACGTATAAATGTGAGTGAGGTTTACGTAACAAGAGCAAAACATTTCGAAAAAAACATGCATCATTTTTTGGGAACCTGCAGTTTCTTTCTGTTTACTAAACCGGTGGCGTGCTTTTTAGAGCGTTCCACCGCTACCGCGGGCCGGTGGTCGTGGAAGTGGAGCAGGCCAGAACATATGACCCATTCTGTTATATAATCACCGAATTAAGAAAACGTCTACGGCATAAGAATTTCCAATAATAATAGTGCACCAGATCGATGCAGTGAAAGTCATTAGAGTCGCTAGTGCTAGACGAGAAGAGTTTCTAACGTGTTATCTGACCGAGCCTTAACTGCAAGAAAGTGGGTTCTTGCAAAAATTGGTTGTAGCTTAACATAAAATTGTTGCTTTACGAGGATTGCATGCTCGTTAATTTGTAATGGAGTGTCATGGTTGCAAATGGGTTGACAATGGGAATTAGTTACGTTTGAAAAATTATTGCGTAATGGAAATGGGTAATTGTGGTTAATTTGGAGGGTTTTTAACCTTGCGGAGGAAATGATGTGTGATAGATTGGTGATGGAATGGTGCAAGTTTTCGTATTCCGTCGTCACGAAATAGTCGATGACCTAGAATGCGGAATTTGATTGATGGATGATGAGTATGAGGAACGAACTAAAATATACGAGTTACTAAAATGTCAGGAAATTTAATTTTTACTTCATAATCTAAGAAAATATATATTTTCAGGTTTTCTCGACGTCTCATGAGACAGATAATTTCCGAAACCACTGGATCGATTTTGTATGTACTGTTGCGGCCCCACAAAAGTGAACGATTTTTCGTTGCCATGGGATTTTTTGAATTTCTAAGTTAATATAGGTTAATATAAGCCCGGTTATTATCAGTGGTGTAGCGTCCGAAAAGTGAAAAACATGATTATTAAATAAATATTACTAAATTACTTTAACTGATCGATAAATAAATTGATTAATGTGCAAGAGGTTACCTAACTTAAAAAAAAAACAAAAAAGAATTAATACTTTCTCGCAGTTCCATTTGCTTCAATTAAACTTGCTAATCTTCGTGGTATTGACAGAACTAGATTTCTCATGTTATAGTTATTCTCCAGATCCTCTCATGCCTCCTCAATTGCTTCCCAAAGCTTTTCCACATTTACAGGTCGAAAAATTCTAGATTTGATTTTCTTAACAATGTAACTCCAAACATTCTCAATGAGGTTGAGGTCAGGACTATTAGCTGGTCAGTGTAAAACGTTAATTTGATTTTCTTCAAACCATTGCTCAATTATTCGAGCAGTATGCACTGGGCAATTGTTATGTTTGTAGGTCTGAGGGTAACATAACGTTTTCCACTATTCGACGATAATTTTGTGCATGAAAACGCTCATTGTTTTTCCAGCACACTCCTGGACCATGCACGTCAATCCATCCCCAAACGTTGACTGCAAAATGTCCACTGTTGTTCGACAATTAACGTGATTCCAGAAGTCGCCTTCCTGATATTGAAAATCACGCGCGAACAGCAACCTCCTGAGTTTGTGTTGTTCAGTAAGAAATATTTTGTTAGCAGCTACATAATTTTTCAGATTCGACGTTTTCACTCTATTTCGTCCCGTTCTAATAGATCCCGGAAAGATTGTTTCTTCTCAGGCTTTAACCACTGTTCCAAACGGATTATGTCTTACGAAATTAATTAATCTTTATTCTGGGTGGAAACCTTACCAACACCAATTCTTGCTGGTCGGTTGAAAATATTAATACCATTTTCCCATATTTTTTTTTATTTTGAAAATGCAGCTTTTACTAACACGAAAATCCGCAGCCACAGCACTCAGGACCAAGCCTCCTCTAACTTGGCGACGGCTTTTGCTTTAGCCGTAGCCGATAGATGTTGAGGCATTCTTGAATAAACAAAATGCCAAAATTATCGTGTAAGTACTTTTGGAAGGCCGCAACTGTATGTTAGGAATATCATATGTGTAGGTATTTGTTTTTAATTTATCATTAAAAAATTAAATTCACAAAATCGGATCTTACAATTTTTCGAAAAAGCTGAATTTGTTGTTTTGTACTTCAGGAACGAGGGACGTTCTGTCGAAATAACCTTCTACCAATTTTTTAAAAAGCAGATTTTAGGGTTATAACAAAATATTATTTGCAATATTTTTGTTGTCATCACGTAAACACAACATACATTATTGTTCTTTAAACCAGCAGAAATTTGGATTTTCGTTATAAGTATGATGAAAATATTAGATCATCGGCCGACAACTGGCGATTGTGAGCTTTGTGGACCCGAACCTCAAGGATTTTTAACTGTCCATTGTTGGCATAATGGAGCTGTGAACTGAGTTAAGTAATACAATAGCCAGTTTGACTTATAAGGGTGCTTTGGCTTAAGCCGCTTAAGTCATAAAGTTTTACAAGGTGTATGTTAAATGAGGCTAAGTATAATTATGATTTCACATTTAGCTACGGTGTGATGTGATCATATTTCCGGAAGGGAAATAATTTGTTATTCCATAATCACCAAATCAATTTTAATATCTTATCACGGTTTCTAAGTTTTTTCTAAACGTATTCTTTTGGAACATCCCATATACATATATAAAACTAAAAGTAGAAGTGATGGCAGCCCTACATAGTTCGAAACATGTTCGGATCACTTGAGACTAATTCATCTTGTACTCGTACACCTCAACTAGTCGTATCGGTAGTTTGATAATTACTCATTACCAATACAAAGAATAGAAACCATAAATTGAAATATGTACTCCTATTGTCTATTGTAATACTTTTCTTAGCTACAAGTTGATACGCAAAAATGAAAAACTATTTTTACTTCCCGAGCGTAAGCTAAACTATTAACTATTTTTTGTGGAAAAAACCAGTGTGCTTAATTAATTAGTCCTCTTTTCTGTGTAGATAGATGTTGAAAAAAGTATTAATCCTGGATTACACCAGTATAACTATTCTATTTCCAGTTTAATATTCTATTAAAAACGTAATTACTAATTAGCATTAAAAATATACATTAGGTGTTTTGTTCCAAGGTGAGCATCTAATGCAATTTACATAAATATATGTACCAAAAACAGCCTTTTCTGAATGTATTATCATGAGAAAATAGTAATTAAAAGTGCACTTTGCATCTAATTTGACGCTTATGCCTAATGTTGCTTTCTCCTAAAAGACTCCAAAAAATGTAGTCAGCTTCACTGAACTTTGTTCCTAGGGCAATCGGATGACTTATCCGTTTTGGAGCAATAGCTACACTCTTAATAGTTAACAGGTGTCTTGAAAAAATAGTAAAAAAAGCTTCTCACATTTTGATGGAGTTATAAAAATCTTAATGTTGGTTCTTTTACTAAATATGTTTAACAACTAAATAAATAGTAATAACACTTTTAGTTAATCCATAGCATGCTTAATTACTATGCCATTTTGGATGCAATGTAAAATGTAAACGAGGATGTGATGATTAATTTCCGATCTAACAAGGAAAATGAAAGAATACTATGCAAAAATCTATTTTATTTGTCGACGTAGTCCCCTCCGACTTGAATGCACTTAGTACTGCGGTGTTCAAGTACTTTTGTCCCATTTCTGTACGCCGGTTCTTCTAACTTCTCAAAATAGGTGTTGGTAGCCGCAATGACCTCCGAATTTGTTGCACATTTGTGGTCAGCATGATTTTTTTTTAAATTTGGAAACAAACAGAAGTCAGATGGAGCTAAATCCGGGAAATATAGTGCATGAAGTAGCAATTCGTAGCCTAACTCGTAAATTTTACTCATCAAAATTACGGACTTGTGCCAGGGTGCGTTGTCTTGGTGAAACAAGATTTTCTTTTTCACAAGTTCCGGCCGTTTTTCTAGAATTTTTTATTTTAGCTGCTGAAGAAGGTTTGCATAGTATTCTCCATTTATTGTTCTACCTTTTTCCAGGTAATCAATCAAAAGAATTCCTTTTACGTTCCAAAATACTGTTACCGGCCGATTGTACTGTTTTCGCCTTCTTCGGGGTGGGTTTTCCTCTTGCGATCCATTGCTTTAACTGTTGTTTTGTCTTGGATCCATGTTTCGTCTACCCTATCATTCAATACGATCTTGTGGACTTTTTTAATCATTTCTTCGGAAATGGCAGTTTTCGCCTGACCTGAACGTGGTGCATTTTTTGTGCTGGTACGACCACGTTTAAAGTCCGAAACCCACGATTTACGTACTAAACGATAGAGCGGGTTCCAACAAAGTGGAATTTAGATCTTCTTTAATTTGTATTGGACTTAGGCCTTTTATAAAAAAATATTTAATCCCCCGTATTTCGATTTTATCCATTTCGGAAAAACAGGGCGACTCACGAACTTTAACAAATCGTCAAAACCAAACTCTTATGAAATTTAATGACATCAGTATATGTAACCAAAGAAACATTAAATTGCATGAAGCCACTGAGTTTTTGTAAAAATTTAAACTCTATCTAAGTGAGGTCGGAGATTAATCATCCCACCCTCGAAATTTGATAAAGTTTGCCAAATTTACTTATATAAAAATATTATTTTTATTTTTTTTAGGGTTCCGCAGATTTTTGTAGATAACGTAAAGAGTTATTCCTCCATTTTCCAGACATCCAGTATAAATCACAAACATTAGAAAAAAATTGTTTGAGAGCTTACACCTTAACACTGAAAAAACTAAATGCGTGGAACTTTGACAGGAGAGTGAAATAAAATATACCTCTGTCATTTTAATCATACCCTCTACCTTCTGTTCAAAAAATCATAATAAACAATATTCTTCTTGCATTGTGTTATATACCATGATAAAAAAGTCCTCTAATAGGCCAGGAAATTTATTTTTAAAATAATATTGTTGGCACTGCCGCTGTTTGATACTTTGACAATTATTTGGCTGTAATCGTCAAATTAAACAAGGAGTGCCAACATCATTATTTTAATAAATTTCAAAGGCTACTAGACGACCTTTTTTTCAATCATATCATACTAATGGTTAGTATATACCAACTTTAAATTATTTATACAGCTTTGTCGTTAAATTACCCAAAATTTATTTACATTTCGTTGGGTATTGTGTAAACAAACAGGTCTTACCAACACTCCCAGTGTATAAAATATCAAATAAAACACACAGTATCGTCCAAGATGAGCACCTAATCTCTATTGTTAGACAACGAAGTTCAAGTTTGTCTTGCATTACGTTAAACGTGTGCAAGTCTTTTAAATAAATTAAATTATGAGGGGATCACTTCGGTATAAACAAGAAACTGCGAAAGAACTGAAGGTCGTTCTGATTTTTTAGCCATATTTTGTTAACCAATACACAATTTATGTAAATACCTTAATACCTCATTTTATCTGTAAATAAAAATATTCGCAAATTATTTTCTGTGTTAACTCAATCTTCGACAAGATTTGTAACACAGGTCTCTCGTGTAAACATCGTCAACATATTGTGTACCACATCACCTTAATTTCTTATCGTTTGCACAAAATCTTCGAGTGAAAATGCTTCAATCCCGAAAATATAAAATTTCACAAAATTTTCTTCACTTGCTTCATTCCTCAAGCCGAACTCACCTCAACCATCTCTGTCCTGTTAACGTACGCCGCGAAGAACACCGCCATACTCTTATGTGCCAGCACCAGGAAAATCGCGTTGAAGAACCTGATCCCATGGATGGCCGCCAGATCGTCTCCCGACTTCTGAATCGTCGTCAGTGTCATCGCATTCTTGAGCAGCGAAAACGCCAGGATCCATTCATTCCTGTGTTTGGTGCCCTCGGTGAAGTAGTCATAGACCGTCCCTAACACCACGAGACCCACGATACCAGCAAAGACACATCTGAAAACACACCGTGTGATACAGGACACCACAAAACAAATCATACATTGCTGTAATCGTCGACGTCGGCACCGGGCTCCTGTGGCTCTTGTGGCACATCTCCGGCCTGACCAGGACCTTGAAGCGGAGGTCCGTGTTTTTGACAATTTGTTCAACGGTGGTTGTAAGGCCGAGCTCCACGTCCCTAGGAGTGCACGCGTTGGGGATGCACAGGGCCCAGTTGATGGAGGAAAAGCGGGGGATGCGGTGACCGGGCTAAATGTCAAAAAAATTAAGTAGCCTGAATTGTGAAGAGAATGTCGCTGCGTAAGACCTAGTTTAATTTAAGTGAGTTATGACAGAATCGATTATAGGTATGTATTAAGAACTTGCAGCAATCGGGTCGTTTAATTACTTGTATTAACAAGAAACGGATATTTCTTGTTAATTGCAAATATTTGCTTAAGTTTCATTGACATCACGGCAAATAATAGCGTTAGGTTTTTCACCCGGTACTTGGAAAAAAACACATAGCAGGAAAATGTGATGAGTAAGAAAGAAGTGTCAATATTGGGCGAACAACCGAAATTTTAACACTGACAACGACGATTCTTCAAAGTATTGTCACTAAGGAGTACTAAAAAATCAGCTTACGTCTTCTAGCTCGCTTTTGAAGTGGAAGTGTGAGTGCATTAGCCTGTGTAATGCAAGGATGTACGGACTAGAATTTCCAGCTTCCACTTGCATGGAAGCTAAGCAATATTGTCCACTGATTTCTTCGTTTTTCTCTTTGCTTTGTAAACACATATCGAAGTCACCTAACTGATTCAGGTTGCCATTTAATAACCCTGATGGTAGTTTAGCAGTTGAATCATACACTGTAAATCAAGGTTTAGATACAACAATTGCCCAATTTCTTGTTCTTACTTTTCAGTGCCCATAATTTGAACCTTTTCAAGTCTTCTATATACTTCTCGCTCTGTTTCTTGCACAGAGGAGAGACGCCGGGGACTTGACTCAGGTCAAAGGGGGGTTGGGTTCCGAGGAGGAAGCTGGAGAGGCCGTTGGCCGTACTTTCATAATTCAGATCTGAAACGCAAGAAAAAAAAACCTTGTTTTTTATTTTAATACGTATTAGGTGCAGAATCAATTTTTAGAATTTGTCGTGGAAACTAAACTTGTTTGACTGTATTATAAGGGGGGCGATGTATTTTTCAAAAACCCAAAGTCACAAACCACAAGAAGTATAATTGACAGTTTTATCGTCTTGATTGAAGAGGCGAGACTCTACCTGCCAAAACGACATACTTTTTTCCGTTGTCGCACGTTTCGAAATTTCCAACGATCGTCATCAGCGGTTGCTCAAATCAAGCCCCTTCGACCCTGACACGCGACTTCTTCCGACGACAGTGCAAGTTCCGGGCTTGCTGCTCAAGGTTGCCAAATTCGAGTTCATTCAACATTAGTAAAATCTTAGCTAATACCAACACCTTCTGAACTTGACCAAGTGCATCCAAGGTCGCACTTTTACTGATCACTATTATTCGCGTGCACTTTTTTCTCTTTTTACAGTTAAACGACTGTCACTTTTGCTAATCAAGTAAACATTCACATTAGCTAATTAATGCTGATCACAATTATTTTTCAATTGCGCAACGAGTTGCAGCCGGCTTAAGAATTTCTTCGCCTTTGTCGAAAATATGAATTTAAAACACCGGATTATCCCATAAGAGATCGCCCTTGATTGTTTTTGTGCAGAGCCGGCGTGTCCGAACGTGAGGGTTTTCGAAATTCTAGCACTTCCTGGAGTTATGGGGTTACGTCAGTATTTTGCGTATTTTCAAGTTGTGCGCCTGACTTTGACGAAACACTTGTTAATGGCACGGAATTTGTTAACCTCCTTTGGGTTCACGTAAGCTTTTACTGGTTCTTTACTTTTTTAGTGTTTGGATTACATCGCGGCTGCATTTTGGATGTTTGTTTGGACGGTATGGGGATGGGAAATGGGTTGGAAACAAATTTGCAGCTATGCGGAGATGTAGAGTAAAAGGAATTTCAACTTTTGAAGATTATATAACGCAAAATATGAAACTGCTGTTCAAATGTGTGTTGCCGTAATTTTGTGATTTGTAATAATAGTAATACGGTAATGCGCAATGCAAGTGTTGTGGAAAATTTTTATTGTTGCAAGAGGACCCATTAGATCTGCAGCAATCGTTACGAAAATATTCGACGTTACCGCACGCAAAAATTAAACGAGATTTAATTGAGTAGAGATTTTTGCGTTTTGTTACATCGTAATTTTAGAAAAGGCTTACAATAGTAAATTTTTAAAGTAAGAAATTTTGAAAAAATCTGTAACGTTAGAAAAAATTGTCTGAAACAAAAATCAGAAAATGTTAGACGACATTACCTGGCTTAATTTTTTTACTTTTTGACAAAACAAATCAAAAATTGTTAAATATTAACATTGGAAAACAAATAAAGTTGGCATTTTTACTTCAGTATTTTAAAATGCCAATATTAAAACGTAAAAATTGAAAAATTGTGAAAATATTCATAATTTTTTATTGAATTTTCCAAACTTGGGGTCGAAAATAACAAATACACTTTGGTATAATTTTGGCGACCACGTTTTTATTTTGTCTTTCACAACCTCGGCTAGATTGCTTCACCCCCCAAGACAACAACGACGTAAAAAAAACTTTAACACGGTGGTGGTTTCTTGCTCCTCCAACAACGTTGCGTGAATTTAAGACTACCAAACACGAACTCCTGCGTTTACATCCGTGTCAATATTTACAAACAAAAGTACGTTTCGTTATGCAAAACTACCTTCTAAGTAAATTAAGGATCTTACGACGATGAAAATTTTCAGAAAACTACACCACATTATTTTTCCTCGAGATGAGACATAGAATTAAACATCGAACGTTAAGGTTCGCAAGGTTAAGACATTTGCATTTACGCATTACGTGATTAATTGCCCCAAGTTTACATATTTTTCAGTGCGTGAAGCTAAAGATGAGGTTTTTGGCGGAAGGTTAGAACGCTCTTTGCTGATTATGCAAAAAAAATCATTGATAGCATACTCAGTGAATTAGTTTAAAACACAGTTTTGTGAGTGCAATTTTAACAACATTCAAAGTGCAACAATAGTTGCCAAGAATTCTGCGAACAATGCGCATACATTACTAATGAATATGTTAATATTATATTTTCACTTCTTTTTGCTACACCTATGTTGCAATGAATAAAATGTCAGCATAAATCTTTCCCTATTGTTGTAAATTTTACAGCGACATGCTTTTAGTTTTCGGCAATACCTAAACAACACCGAACTTAGAAATCACAAACAATTCGTCTTGCACAAGCAGGCAGCTCCGCCTAGAAATGGTCATTTTGAAAAATCTTACTTCTGCACAACTCAAATAACGAGCGAACCCAGCAGGAACCGCGCGCGTTTCAGCGCTTTCAGCATTTTTCAGGTCGTTACCTTGTTCGATGCACTTGTCGACGTTTTTCAGGCACAGTTTTCCCGTCTGTTCAGCGGAGAGCAGAGTCCTCTCGATACTGAAGTCGTCCCACCTGAAAGGCACGCTGGTGTTGCCGGCAGGCCGAGGATAATTCGTTCTGTTTTTGGCGAACTTGTCGATGTCGCAGTGGACGGTAAGGATTCCGACGACCACGAACAGCAAAGATTTCATTTTGACAACCCCGAACGCGCACCACTGTCGAGTGTGAATGTGTGGAGAATTGCTAAAGAAGTTTATTTCATGGGATGGTGGGTAGGGGACGGTTGGGCAATGGGTCCCCACTATGCGTCAATGCGTTAGATGGACGGTTGTTTGTTGTAATTTTTTTTAATTTGGTTGGGGGCTTGGGATGAGACGCAAAAATGAGGACTGATGGTGGGGTTTTGCGTTTTAATTTGCATTTTTTTTTATTATTTATTATTATTATTTTTATTATTATTTTTTTTTTGATAATAATTTGTTGGCGTTTATTTCCACCAGTCTATGCTGCAGATTTACTAAGAAGGCAATTTTCGAAACTACCAAATTGATTGTTGATTGAAAACTGTTGATTTTTTTACACTGTAGAGGAAATTTTTGTGTCTCAAAGTTTTGTTTTCGTTAAACTGGAGCTTCCTCTGGCAAAAAATTACCAAAAACCACTCGTGTGTGAAATGTCAAGTACTTAATTATTTCAACTTTACAACATTGGTCGTTTTGCTTTATTTAAACTCTTTAATTTTGTATTTATGTAATTTGAGTTCATTATTCGTAAATAATTTCGTAACAGCATTACAACCACCACAAACTATAGGTAATCACATCCCATTTCCCTTCGTGTACAGGAAGGTAGAGGAGACAGACGTAGCAGTTTCAGGCGGTCTCAAGTTAATTGCGGAAATTTCGCCACTGATGAGCAATAGTTAAAAAGTGTTGTCATGCTGAAGAGCAACTGAATAAACAAAACTGTATTTTTTTGCCTTTTTTTTTTCCAATGCAAATTATCTCATTCAAGCAAAGAGTTCAAAACAATCAACAAACTAACATAACACATTATTTTAGAGCATGAATCCCAAAATTAGAAAACGAGTCGTCAGACGAGACCATTTTTAAATAAAAATCTGAAATTAAAAAAAAAAACAAGGAAGATCCATTTACCTATGCACCGAGTGATCATTAAAGTTTTATGTTTTCATATTTTTTTAACCCTTTTAAATACATTTCTCCATAATTGAATTGTTTGTGTTAAAATACTCAAAGGAATTCTTGTAACAATACTAACGCATTTTTGGAAACACTAAGTTTATTGTTGCAACAATTTATATAAAGTAAGCAATCGCTAATATTTTTAATAATAATCATGCTAATTATAGTGTTACGAAACAACTATCAGAACCTTTAACGTTTTTGTTTCGATGATGTTCAAGCTACAACGTTGCCTTGGAACTGCTTATTCTGGAAAACAATGCCTATAATGTCTCAATACATTAAATTTGTATACTGCTGTGTTAGCTTTGCTGCTGAACTTGCCTCACTAAACTGACCATAAGCAATATTTTCTCTATTTTGCTGTAATAATTATATCAGAATGTAATCCTTTCACTTTTCACAATTTTCATTTCAATAATACCGAACGAGTTTCTTTTGGGACCAGTGGCGGCTCGTCAGGGGGGGCCAGTTAGGCCAGGCCGAGTCTGTCACCGAACTTGTCAATTTGCGATATTCATTTTTATTTTAAACGCAAGAATATAATTTAAAGCTATTTTGAAATCACCTGATTTTACTGTTGTTATTATTTTTTTAATTACAAAAAGCGTTATCTAATTTATTCACTTTCGTTCGGAAGCACAAATCGTGCCGGGAAGTTTGAATATTTTTACTGCGAGGAGCAATAGCTGAGGCCGGCCGACTACAAGAATAAACGTCGAATAATGTCATATCTGCTATCGCTCTCTGTTTAGCAGAATTAAAGAGAAATAGCTATAAAGACTGATACGTGTCTGATACACTCTGATTAACGCGCCTGCAGCAGTGATTGGTCAAATGTGTGCTAAAATCGGCCGGCCTTTTGGCAGTACATCAAGTTGTTATAGCGCTATCACCTTCTGTTTGCATAAGTTAGAATGCAATAGCGACGAAACCGTACAAAATTCCGTTTCATCACTGCACTTCTGCCGTGCACTTTTCCATGCGGTTCCCCACTACCAGCACCGGCTGGCCGCTATCTGTATATTGTGAATTTCTGCAGTCTTCACGTGGATGAAATTGGTTTAGGTTTGTTTCTAATTTCAGTAACAATGACAACAGTTAGTAAGAGAATTAGTAACTGATTTAAATTTTAATGCTGTTACACATCTATTAAATAATGACTTTCGACTTTTAACGTACGATGATCAATTCCTTGGATATAAAAGAAATGGGCCGTTCGGAGCCGCGCATGCAACGTTCAATCGAAGCACGGAGCAATAATAACGTCAGCTCCGGTGCAATAGCATATTAATAATTAATAATTAATACAGCATGGTATGAAAATTATGAATGGCTGACGGGGAGCAAATCAAAAAACAAACTATTTTGTTGGTATTGTTTAATTTTTGAATATGATGTTGACAATAAATTCAAAAAAACTTCAGAAAAAGAGTTTTGCCTATGGTCCTCTGGTACGATTGACATATTGAGTTACCGTGCTCTTTTGCCATCTTCCTAATTTCTCAACCCTTCTCCTGATGATGCTACTTACGAAAATGTAGAAGCATCCGAAATTATTTCTGTCTTTAATTTTAATCATATACCATCCACATCAACATATGTTGAACGCAGTTTTTCAGCTTTAAAGCGAATTACAAATTTTACTAGAAACTCCATTAGTCAAAATCGATTATCCAAATTATTCGTTTTAGCAATAGAAAAAGAAGTGCTTACAAACTTAACGGAAGATCAAAAGTTCTATAATCAAGTAATTGACCATTTTGCCAATACAAAACAAAGACGCATTGAATTGGTTTATAAAAATTTCTAATTTACTTTTTTAATTTTGTTTTTTACTAATAAATAGTTGTTGACGTTTCATGTTATATTTTTTGTTAGAATGTGTTACTTTATAACTTGAATGTTATTTTCATTTTTATTTTAGTTTATTGTCGTTATTTTATTATTATAGATGGCTTATATTGTATAAGTATATGCTTTACTTTATACCTATTTGAAGAATATTTTTTATTTTGTTTTACCAAGTTGTTAGGACTATATGAATTAACACCATACAGGTAGCAAATTATAGATAATGACTAACTTGAGGTCCCTGGTTCTTGTATTCTATGTCTTAAAATTTTGGGTTACTCACTGCTGGCCGACCCAACCAAAATAGTCACGAGCCGCCAGTGTTTGGGACGCCAGTTATATTAGGAAACTCGAGAACAAAATTTACTAAATATTCTCTTAAACACATCGGCAGTTTCTTGAAATTTCGCACAATAGAACTGTATAATTTTTAATTCTACTTGGAGTTTGTGTGTATTTTTTTTAAGAAATAAACAAATAGTCTTTGTGTAAAAGCCGCAAGAACTATTAACATTGAACCCAGTGCTATAAATTACCCATTTTCCAGGTAGACCTATAATATTTACATTGTTTTCTTCAAAACCAGCACAATCTGTCACCTGTCAAAAAAGTAAATAGCTACTCTAGAGGTGCGTGTTACCTTGACCGCAGATCTAGGTACTCTCTGGTGAAAAGTTCTTCGAGATTGAGCCAACGCTTTGGTATTTTCTAAGGTGCGAGCAGCCTTGCGAAACAACCTATAAATATTTAACTAATTTTTATACAGATTTGCCGAAGTTTGTCATTTTTTGTAGTTTATTTATCCTTTAACAAGGAGAAAACACAGGATTTCAAGGTACAAGGCAGAGGTCAAAGCCTCGTCGAAGGAAGGTGGAAAACTGGCGTTTATCGATGCATCCTTTTTGTGGCGAAGGACGATCGTTAAAAACGCAGCCAAATCAAGGCAAGGTATGAGGAAATGAAGGATAATTGTTCAGACTTTGCACCTGGGATGAGTCAGTTCGCGAATAAGGACGATGGGTTCAAATTTTGGGATACGATAGACAGACTTCTTAATTTTTTTTTTCAGTAACATTTAAAATCGTATCGTAACTGAAATGGCAAAAAATCACCTGTTGCGATATTTTCATCACTTATCGCCCATGTCAAAAATTTCAATTTTACAATACCGACAACCCTGATATTTACAAATCTATTCATGCGCCCATGGTCCTTCGAAACCATAACATGCGTTTTTCCTTGGATGTATCCCGAAATAATCACATGCATAATTAAAATACAGATTTGCTAAAATATAAAAAGTGATCTAAACCTGTTAAAATAGCCTTGACTTGAACGGTCACGCATTTTTTTTTTCATCATAACATCGTGCTCCGAAGAAAAAAATTGGCTGTTCTTGATTGTCATTGAAAATTAAAGTATCGAATTTGAATATTCAAATTTAATTAATGTTACCTTACGCACGACTATTTTTATTACTTTTGGATTTTACTCATTCTAGGCCTTATTATCTTATTCATATATAAATCAAATTTTATTGCGGCATTTATATCGTACATTGCTTGTAAACTAACACTTTCTCTCCCTATTTTATTCAGACACTGAATAAATGTAGACTGAGGTTCCCTTTTCGGTTAGGTGTTGGTACTTGCTACAACTAAACTCGAGTGATTCCCTTCAATCTTCCTAGTATGTGTAAGAATCAGCGAAACCTCTTTAAAACCCCGTAGCCTGAAACCAGACGATTTAAATGAAATCTTTCTCAATTGTTTTATCACACAGTCAGACGAAGCTAACAAACTAGTTACGCATCACGAAACTACAGTGTAATAAAATTATGCTAATTCGTTCCTCATAAGCCATTTCTTCCAAATTCTCTTGATTTTGTATTCAAAGAACGTTGCCAAACAATCACGTAACTACTTTACTTTCGACTTGCTCAAATTACCAAATCAATGTAGGTGTGATCATACTAACAAATAATACGCTTTTAGCGGAACCGGTGTGATTCTTGCTCAAATTAGGTGACGGACGGGTGGTAATATGGGTTTTTAGTTACATGGGCAAGTGCAAGAAGCGGCGGAAATTCTGTTTTTTTTTTATTTGCGTAACCTTCGTTTGCAATTTTGTCTTATTTGTCTAAGTCGTTATCACAAGCAGTTTAACGATTAATTAGAGGCTTTTAACACATAGAGGTTGTTGACTTGACTATTGTCTTCACTGATTGATGGATGTCTGAAAAATTCTGGTAATTTTTGAGATGTTAATTCGACAATCTGACGTTTTTATTATAACATTTTCAGTTTCAGTGCATTCGGAGGACATTTAAGGATAATGTGCTCTCTTGTTCTCCGACAGGTTGGGTTACCTGTGCAATATATCCTGTTTTCCAAATTTTGGGACGATAATTATCTTTTTAAAGTGCAAACAACACAGAAAGGTCACAGACTACAATTATTTTATCGGAATCAAAAAAAAAAAAAAAAATAATTAACAAAACATGTGCGCTAGGAGTCATCAGAATGTCATTCCTCTTAGAGTTCCTTTATTATTAGTTTTTTATTTTACTGACCGAAAATAATACTTTTAATTGCCTGTAAAATTTGTATTAAAAAAGCTGTTAAAATTTTTCTTAACTAAAGGACTAAGTAAGATTCTTGAGATAGAAATTCCTTGGAAAACTCACACAGAACGTCGCAAGTACTTTATGACTATTCCGGAAAATGTACAGTACAATAATAACTTACTGTTTTAAATGCTATGTTCTCACAATTTGTTGCTAGCTTATTTATTAGAATGGCAACAAATAAATCTAATTTGTTTGAGATAAATTTGAACGTGTTTATATGGTTGTCTATTTATATCTGTCATAGAGTGTATTGGTGGTTACATATATGCGTGTTTAAAAACTTTAGCATTATGAATACAAAAAAATTAAAAACTGTTGATTTCTTAAACAAGTTTGAGAAACCATGGTCGTTGGACAGGTTTTTTTTTCAAGTAGAAAAAAAATGATGCACACACAAGGCTAGGCAACCAATTATACAACCAGTAATAAATTCCTTTATTAAAATAAAAAAATAAATTTAACATATAAAAACCAACAGCTTAACTAGTCTTGGGGCACAAATCGAACCACGCCTTATACGGCTCACTCAAATTCACATACTTCAAATTGACCTCCACCTGAAACGAACCACCCATGAAATCCCCCAAACCCAAATCCATTCCCTCACCTGTCCCATTGTATTGTTGTAAAGAAACTTCTTCGTCTTCACAGTAGCCAAAAGCGTCTGCTCGTAAGCATCCGACTTCGAAAACAAATATTCAAAAGTTTCTTCATACACCGGATTACACGAATCCATGATCACCTGAAATGAAAAACGTAGGGTCTTCAATGTCCAAAGCATAAACTCACCCTCGTCCTATAGGTGGGGCCCGTGGTGTGACCTTGGGATGTCATTTTTAGACGCACGTAGGGATCGGGGATGTCGGTTGGGTCCTTCAAAGGCAAGTTGCTATAAAAAAAAAAAAAATATGTAGATAGTGTTAAAACTAAGTAAAAATCTTACGATAACTGGTGCACTGTTATTATAAGTTTTTGTCGGGGTTCATTGTAATTAAAGCTTAGTTCAAGGCGACCGAGGCGGTGTTCACCTGCTGAACTGAAAACGGGCGATTATTTACCGACTCGTTTAAGAAATGAAAGATTACTTGGCGTTTATAGTCGGAAAAACGGGTGGTTTGGCAGTAGCGGCAGCAACGCTCAAAGGGGTAATAATTTCATCCACCAGGTCTCTTCTGGGTGAATTTCGAGAAGAGTTCCGCGAACGCGATCGAATGCTGCTGCCTACGAAAAAAATTTGCAAAAATTCGGAGTCAAATTTTAGCAAAATTACCATCCAGAGAGCTTTGTCTTGACAAGAATTCTTCAGAGTCGCTGTCACTCTCTTCATCTTCTTCCACTTCAAAGAGTTTATTGGTGAGAATCTAAACCACCCCAAGAATGAGTTAACGTAAAACAATTACGTGGAAGTTTACCCGCAACTGCATCGATATCACCACTTTGCTCTTCTCGTTATCCGTCGCCAACTCAGTCTTGCTGACTTCCAAATTCGGTTCGTCCAGCAACTTTGATATTTTATACGACATTTGAGTCAGAACATTGCCGGTCGTCTTATCCGTGATGGTCATCTGAAGAGAATCTTCTTTGGGTTTAGGCACCAATAACACAAACCCTTGTTCCCACGCAGGGTCCGTCGTGTGTTTCTTCACTTTACTTTTGTGTTTGTGTTCTCCTACGGCCATCACGAAGTAGGGATGGGGTTTAACTAGGTGCTTGGCTTCGGGGAGGTTCGTGGCCATATCTACATACACGACCAGAACGGCTCTGCTTATTGTATTCACCTTCAGGAACTGCGTTTCTTCACGTATCTAGAAAGAAGAGCATTGGCGAGTCGGTACAAAGACAATGGTACTAACAGCATCTAGATCGCCGATGTCGGAGGATAACGACAACCACGTAAAGCGCAAGTGTATGGACCCGTGTTTGGCGTTGTCGAGTTTGATCCATTGGTCCCTGTAGCCCTTAATCACAGTACTTATGTCAATCTCGCCACTACAACAACTAGATCAGAGAAGAAATTCAATCTCGAGGTCGTACCTTCCAAGAAAATCGTCTTCGTTCACTTGGTCCTTGTCGTACATCTTGAAGCCCAAATGCTGCGACATGGGGTCGATGATCACAAACTAGAAAATCGTGAATTATCAAGAACTGAACAGGAGGTGTTAGTACCTCGCACCAGTAGTCCCACTTCGGATTCAGACTCTGGTTGATAACGTTAGTCCTGCGCTCCTGAGCCCCCACATACAAAATCGTGTAGGGATCCGACTTCCCCGTTATGTCCTTCGCCATCAAATCCTTCGCTTCGAAAACATGAACCCTCAAAACCCCAGCCGGTTCTAACGCCTTCAACTCCGCTGGCGCGACCGACTTGGAGAACCTCTTCGTAATCTTATTCGGGAAAACGATCTTCTTGGAGATCATCTCCTCTATTTTCGAACGAATAACAGAGCTGAGACCAGGAATGCTCGACAAACCGTCCAAAGTAAAACCTATGTCTGGGGTGTTGAGGAAATAGACTTGAATTCCACCGACGATGGGTACTTTGGGAAGGAGAGGTTTCAGTACGACCCGTACTTCCACACTCAACTAGAAAATTTGATTTGAAATCTACTATGTGAAGGATGGCGCCACCGGTTGAACGATTGTTAAAGCTCACCTGGAAGTCCCGGATTCCGCCGATTTCCGCACCCGAAATCGAGAAATTAATGTCGCAGTCACCGTCGTAGCTACAAAGATTATAAAAGTGTTGGTTAGAACGGACTTTGTGACTTACAAAACGTCGAAATCAACGATTATGGAGTCTTTGGTGGCGGGACCCTTGTAGACTTTGATACCATCTATCTTCGGCGGCTGCAAAATTTCTGTGTGTTTTTTGTTTTCGTGAAAGTATTGATGTACTCACGGAGTGCCCGAAGTCGATGCTTTCGAACTGGAAGGAGTCGTACTTCCTCCGGATCTTCGTCTGTATGCTCGTCCGGAAAAGCTTGACCACGTAGGTGTTCACAGTTGGCCATACTTGTTCAATCACCTACAACACTCCATCAGTGAAACATTAAACGCATTGTTGGGTTTTTACTTGGTTCAACCACTCGGCGCGCTCCCGGTCGGGGAACTTGACCTGAAACCACGATTTAACACCGTCAACCGTTATGCGCATCCCCACTACTCACCCACGACGGAATCTCGTCGATCCGCCGAATTAAATCTTGTTTGGTGTACGAACAAGCCGCAGCTTTCACTTTTATCTTGTTTACGTTGCTCTTATCGCGGTTTTCGAGCCAAATCAAACTGGCCGCAGCCACGAAAAGCAGGATGAAGGACCATTGCATGTACGAGATGGCGTAGCCGAGGAAAATTAACGCCGCCTATGGAGGAGTGACTTAGCTAGAGGAGTTACGAAAGCTCTCTTACCTTGTAGAAGATTTTGATTAGTACGTATCTGTTGTTCATGGCTTTTGGTTTCGGAGATTCAGAAACGAGCAGTTGGTGTGGTGGGTCGGACTGTGGCGACTCGGAGTTGGTCAAATCACTCTCGGTCATGTCTGGAATTTGTTACATCACGGTAATTGCGACAATTGAGGAAGGTTAAGTTCAATGGGTTAATTGGTGGTGACGAGCAAAATCGGTTTCTACCAGAATGTGAGGTGTTTTGGTTGTGGAGGTGGTCACTTTTATTGTGTTACTTTAAATACGTTATGGATGTGAGCAGGTTTATTTTTAGAAGGCGCGATAAGCTGGTATTTTTGTAGGATTATTATTAAGTAGGTACGGCCAAAATAAATTATCGTTCGGTTATCGGTTCAAAGCAACATTGTTCAGATTCGTTGTGGTTTAAAAAATGCGAAAAAAAAATCGTTTTCTACAAGTAGAGATGTTGAAAAAGTCTGGGTCGCGAGACGAAATCTTGGCATTTTAATCGCTCTGCTGAAGTTCAAACTGTTAGAAATATTGAAATTTCGATCAATTCGTCAAAACTGAAATGGGCTACAAGATTAAGAACAACGCAAAAATAATCTCTAAAAAAATATATAGGGTGTCATTAAAAAAAAGTTGAACGTGAAACACAGGTATAAATATTACTAGACAGCTGCTGTAATTCTACACTTGTGGCTAAAAATCTGTTTGTTGAAGTCCTGCACCTTCTAAATAAAAATATTTATATTTATAATGTACATTGAAAATCTAAAAGTGATTTATGATAATATTTGAAGAATTTAAAGATTTTAGTAAACATCTTAGGAACCTTGAAATTTAAAAATCTCCGGATCTGGAGGAATGTTGGTCAACGCTGAAAAAAACCATAAAAAATTCGATGACAACAATAGCAGATTTACTAAATGACCAACCTGAAAACTAAGAAAAGTTAAAAGAAATCCACAAAAGGTCTAAGCTAAGTCTCTAATAAATACTCGATGACTTGAACATTTTAGTGAGCTTAGAAGTTGTCTACCTGGTCGTCATTCATGAATTATGGCCCAAGTTAGAACCAACACATCACATTAAATATAAATGTGTGTTGATAATAGTCGTGTTTGAGTTGGGCTTAACAACTTCCCGATAATCTATACATCGATAAACCTTTTATTAAAGCCTGCATTAATAAACATCAACGAAAATACCACTAACATCCACCTTGCCCACCGTGCCGTAAAAAATTAATAAAAACAGCCATAAATCGTTACGACTTTCGCATATCGCCATTAAATTGCTTATCCATCACCGACACCCATACAAATCAAATATATCTCTCACCACAACACCCCCGCTAGATCATGGGAATTCCACACCTGTACACACTTCCAAACACAAAGTCGTACTACAATTCTGTTTTCTGTTTACGAGAAGAAAAATCAATATTTTAGGGGCGCTTTTCAAGGCCCGACGCAGCGGCGCCCATAAATCTACCCATTACAAAAATTACCTCGGTCATCACTCAAACCGGTAGCTGACATTTAAAACGTTATCCAATTACCAGTATCATACAAATAATTATATAAATAAAAATAAATCACCCACTTGAGGACGTTGAAGCCGTCGAGAAACGGTGGCGGCGAACACGTCGCATTTTCGAATAGGTGTGAAACTATTAAATTCTAAACACCACGTCCGAAGAACCAAATCGAAGTAAATATTTCGCGCACGTTCATATTCATGTATAGTTATTTGGTTTTTTCGATAAGATAGATGGGAGAGGTGCGATAACGTCCACTATCAGTACACAAAGCGATCTAAATTTTTTATATTTGGCGCAGCCCGGTTGGGTGTTATCCAACAGATAAATAAAACATTATTTATAACTTAAACAAAAAAAGAAAAAAAAAAGACGGAACAAGCATTGTCTTTAACGTGGATTTACGAGCAATAATCCCAACCACATGTTTATTTAACGATGAAATTATGGGTCGTGAATAATACGGGCCAACATTGTCTCGGATATACCTCGTATATTACGCCTGCATGGGTTTTATTGTGACTACAGGGGCGATCAGCGCGTCTGATAAAACAACCGATAAAATTATTATTATTAAAGCTGTAAACATTGGCAGTCAACAAGGTTTGTGATACTTACTTGTTGTTGTCGTAAGAGAGACGAACTTATTATTTACACTGTTCGATAACACGAGTTTACACGTTTGCCCAGTTTGGAGCTCCTTTTACGACTAACGCCACGCTCCGGGGCGCATTTTAACGGGTCTGTCTCTGAGGCGCATTCGCTTGCAATAGTAATTTTTCAACTATTCATATTCAATCGATATAATTAGTCGAGGTCAGGGGTGGACCACTTCGTCGTGGGCAGCGGCGGGGCTATAACTCAACCACCCGTTAACCAAACAAACTCCTTAAATCACAGTATCGAATTTTAGTATTGATAAAACTTAGATAATTTGGTTTATTTTACAAACGCAATACCTCCCCCCCACATACCGCGACGCCGCTGCCCGTGAACCTCGCCGCAGCCTTGATATGTCGCTCGTTATGGACAAAGCATGGGTGTGCTCTTGCATTGCGTAACCCATCAAAATAGACAACTCAGTAAACGCCCTTTTATTTAACCAAATGATAAACATGGGTGTCTTTCTTCGTCTTGAGATTGAACCAGTCGGTGAAGGGTTCACTCAAAGTGTCGCATTTCGACAACGAAATCACAGTTTGGCCTAGGAATCTTCTTCCGATTTCGAAAATACCACGTTCGGTTTTTACCTCCAGGGTGATGGTGGTGAAGTTGATGTCTCGATTGGAGACTAAGTAGTCGAACTGTTCGTTAAACAGTGGAGTCGTGGAGTCCTTTATCGTCTGGAATTTTTTTTTTTTTTGATAATAGTTTTAAGACGAATGTTTTTGAAAAAGTTACTTTTGTTTTCTTTTTGTTGTTCTTGAATTTGTCCGTCTGGAGGGTGAGGCGAACATAGGGGTCGATGGTGTGGTGGTGTTTTTGAATAATGTGTCTGCAAGAGTGAGTCTTGGAGGGTGGTTTTGGAAGTGGAGTACTTACACTTCGTGTACTTGGATGACCAGGCGTTGTCGTTGTTGGCTGTAGGAGAGGGAGAGCTTGATTTGGCCTATGCTGGAGACGGTTTCGTCTTCTCTGTAAAGAATCAACAAATATAGACAAAACAGAGCACTAGACTGACCACAAAAAAAAAACCGTTTGAAGTTGAGTTACTCTTAATTGGCGGTTTTAAAAACCGTGCCGGTCATTCTCCTAAATACCACGACTCTACTATTAATCTCACGACCTCCAAACCGTAAAAATAACAAAAAACCCATTTTCTACGTACAAAAACATGTTGACTTCGTTGTCGGAGAAAGCATGTTCGCTGTCAGACGACATCACCGTGCTTTGACTAACTGTCGACTTATTCGAGGCAGTAGAGGCTTGTTTGACCACCATCTTCTGTCGTTTAGTGCTCTCTTCTTCAGTCTTCTCCTCCAGGTACTCGTTTTTTAAAATCTGCAAACCATAACTGAAACTAGCTTTACGTCAAGCAACCATACCCACTCTAAGTTTCATCGAACAACAAATCGACGCGTCCGAATGAGGTTTGTTACAAAAGAACGTATGCCTTCGTAACTCCATGTTGGGTTCGTTTTGCAAATTGTCGACTTTGAAGAACACCTCCCCTACCACGTCCCTGCTCTTTTCGTCGTGGATGTGGAAGTGAAGGACGGCTCGCTTGGGGTCGCGGAGCAAGAAGGTGAACCCTTTGTCCCAGATGGGTTCGCAAGTATCTTGATCTGGGTCGGTTTGTTTGGTTTGTTGTTCGACTTCTAGTACCACGTAGGGACTGGGTTCCGTTTTGCCCACGAAAGGTAGGTTCAGGGATGAATCTAGATAAATCATCAAAAAGGCGGTGTGGAGGTGGGGACTCAGTAATTCGATTTCTTTGATTGTCTGGAAAATTTCGCTATGAAAGGTACCTACGAGTAGTGGTAGAACTTACAACACTCAAGTCTGAGTAGTCGGAGCTTAATGATAACCAGGTGAGTCGGAGGTGGATGCTTCCACGGGCCGCACCTTGCAGACAAATGGGCTACAGGAAAGTTAGCACCGTTACAACAAATCGTACTTACCATATCGGCTTGTCCGACTTTGACAACCTGGGAGATGTCCACTTTAGCACTATTAACAAGAGTTTTATTTTTTAATTCCTTCGTGGTTACGTACTCACAAGCCCAGGAAATCGTCCTTGGTACCATCGTCGCGGTCCCACACCTCCACTTTGAGCTCAGAGTTGGGTACTATCTCGAACTCGCACCAGAAGTCCCACTTTGGGTTCAAACAGTTGTCGATAACCGGGGTTTCTACCTTAATGGAACCCACTTTAAGGACGGCGTAAGGGTCAGACTTCCCGATGAGATCTTTGTTTTCTAAATTCTTGCCTTCGACTACATGGACTCGCAAAATTCCCTGCAAGGAACCACTAGTACTAGAAAAACGGAAGTGGTACGTACCTCCGTACGGAAAACGGCAAGTTTTGACACGTTCACCCCTTTACTCAAATTTATAGAGTAAGCATTAGGGTACAAAAACATGGAGTTTATTATCTTCATTGTGGTATTTTTAATGCGGTTGCGTATACCTGGAATGTCCAAAATCTGTGTGACTTTAATTAAATCAAAATCTACGTGTGGAGGATTCATGAAGTAGGCTTGCAAACCACCGATTAGAGGGATTCGAGGGATGAGAGGGGTTAGAACCACACGTAGTCGCCCATGAAGCTAAAACCCATCCATTATTGAAGAAATTAGTACCGGTTGTAGTACCTTTATGTCTTTGATTCCTCCCGCGAACCTAAAGGTCTGGAAAGTAACGTAACAATCGCCGTCGTATCTACAAAGGTGACTGTATCATTTTAAAAACAACCACATCTAACTTACGAAATATCTAAATCCAGTACTACCTTCCGTGTATCTTTTGGGTCATAGACTTTGACACCGTCGACTCTCAGAGGCTGAAGTGTTTACAAACAATTCAATATTTCCGTCGCTAGTATTTACTTACCACGTTTCCTAATACCACTTTAGTGAATTTAAAATCCGAAACGTACCCTTGTATACTCGGTTCTAGGATTTTGGGTACCAAATCTTGAGTGTACTCGTTGACCTGTTGCCATATCTGCTTGAACATTCGGTTCAGCCACTCGACTCGTTCGATTTCGCTAAATTTAACCCATTGCGGCAGTTGTGCTACGGCGTTCAAAATTATGTCTTTTTCGTGTCCGAGAGCTACGGCTCTTGCTACATCCAGTCTCTGTTTTTTGTCTTTACGCCGCTGAGAGTCCCACACGAGTATGATTAATATACCGCAAGCCCATAACGTAGACAGACCAAAATAACCCACACAGTAGACAAAGACGAAGAGAGAGAGCTGTAATTTTACGAGAAAATTATCGTGATTGGAAACCTGACGAGTGGGTTGGGTCGAAGTGAGATTTACCTTTTTTACCACTTTGACGGCGTTTTCGGTGCTCAAAATTGATTCATTATTATTCGGCGTCACGGAAGCTTCACTCGTTACATCACTTTGCATTGTTTAGCCGATTATGTCAACTGAAACCGACTTCTTTCCGTTTCAATTAAAACTAACACCAAGTCGTAATCTTTCGAAGCGGTATTATCGTTATCAATATGTTCGATAATAGGTTTTTTTACGGATATTGTTGATTCAAGTTGCTCTTGACGACTTTTTCCAGGCTTTTTTAAGCGACCGTTATCATTTTGTGCGCTTATCGTCAATTTACTCGAGTTTAATTCGCATTATCTTGTTAAGGAGGAAGGATGTGCTACATACTACATGCGAAAGCGAACCGGGTCCATTTCTTAGTATCGAAAATGTTTAGATTGATTATGCGTTTCACATAACTCGAATGTTTCGAGGTAAATATTTAATTTAACTAAGGTGGATTTGTGGTGTTGATGAAATCATCGTCCCGCTGTTTTATCAGTGGTGGGATTAAATCCTGTTGGTGCACTCTAAGAACAGGTCATTCGTCGTTGGGCGTGGTCAACCGCGTTACGTCATTCCGCGCCTTTTGCACATTTGACACAACTAGGGTTAAACAAAACGCAAAGAAATGCTTTGGCTCACTTTATTCGTATATTCGCATAAATACAATATAACAACATAGAAAAAGATAAAAACATAAAGTACATCTGTAGTTAGGCTTAAGTACTTAAACACTTAGAGCAAAACCCCATAAATATAAAACTTTCAGCGCTCGTACTCCGACTCGGGACACAAATCGAACCACGCAGTGTACGGCTGGTTCACGTTCAACTTCTCGCAGTCGATAATAACCTGAAACAAATCCGTCACATCCACCTCGAACCCGTCTTCCACTCACCATCCCCAAGACGTTGCCCGAGCCATAAAATAGCTGCTTCTGTGACGCCACCGTCACCTCCAACTGTTTAGTATGCAATTCTCCCTGCGACAACACGTACTCGAACGTCTCGTCGAACACCGGGTCACAGTTATCCTTAATCACTTGCGTCTTCCTCTTGGTATCTTTAGCTCGCTCGGGAAGCAAATACAGCTTGACGTAGGGGTCGGGAATATCGGACTGATCCTTCTGTGGTATGTTACTACAAAGACAATGCAGAGAACACACAGAGCCAACTTACGCCACCTTGTGGACGACCACGATCAAGCGCTGCCTCTGGATGCTGTAACGTATGGTGAGCTGGATGCGACCGAGTTGGTGGATTCCGGTGGACCTGCAACCAACGAGTTAGCGGCACGTAGGATTTATTACGGTACGTACGAAGTGATGCTGGGGCTCCTGTGGACCAAGTCGCTGCCTTCGCTGCTGGGAGTGGCTGCCAACTGCCCAGTTACCACTTTGGTGGCTTCGTCGAAGTTCGGCGGCAAATCGTCGAGGGTTTCTTTGGGTTCGATTATCGGCTCCGGTTTGACGTCGGGGGTTTGAGGGACTTCCTGCACCGTAGACCCGGTGGAAACTTTAGAGTCGCTTCGTTGCAAGGCGGTGTCCTCCTCGTCGACGTCGGTCGCCGGTTCCGCGTGTTTTAAAACCTGCAACTTCTTTATGAGGAAAAAACTTTTAATTTCTAGCGCTTTACCCTCAAGTGCATTGACCAGATGATTTTGCTTTCTGGTCCAGACTTTAGTAACGAAAATGGCTCCTTGTGGATTTCCATTCGGGTTTTTTTGGACAGTTTGCTGATGTTGAAGGTGATTTGGCCGAGGTCGTTGGTGGTTTTCTTGTCGATGATTGTCAAGTAGAGGGTGTCCGATTCCGGGTTGGCTACCAGGAAGGTGAACCCTTGTTCCCACACGGGGTGGATGGTCCTCATCAAGACGTTGGTCTCCTGGGTGGTGTTGCCGACTTTCAAGACTGCGTAAGGGTCGGGTTTTGTGCTTGCTCTTGCCTGTGGTAGGCTCTTGGCCGAGTCGATGAAGATGGTCAAGAGTGCGGTGCTCATGGTGGTGATCCTCAACTGTTGGGTTTCTTCTAGAGCCTGGAAGCAGTCACTCTGAGGTGTGATTTGGAGAGATGGCGCCACTTACGGCTTTCAGATCGGAGTAGTCGTCGCTCAGAGTGAGCCACGTTAGACGCAAGTGTACCATTCCGTGTTTGGCTTGTTCAAGGGTAATCCACTGTAAAATAGGAGTCACTTGGGGGTTGCGACAGATGACAAGGTCTTACCATGTCGTCTTGACCCTTCTTGACGATGTTAGAAACCTCAACGGTCGCCCTAAACAAACGCAACGGATGCTTAGATTCTTGCCGTAGTACCAGATGTCAGACATGGTTAATGAGTTAAGCAAAAAATAGCTAACCACACTAAAAACCAAAACGCCATGCATTGACCAGATTGAACGAATCGAAACGAAAAGTAAAGTTAGTAGTACCTTCCAAGATCGTCATCTCGATGACCCTTGTCTTTATCATATAAATGGAGATGAAGCCAGGTACTCTTAGTACTTTCCAAGATCGACTATACAACATAAACGTGTAGTAAACAAACTGCCACAAAGCCTGTTTTATTTACATTTAAACAAAAACAAATTTGCCTCAAAACAAATTCAAGCGCGCGATGCTCTTTGAAAATCTCGTCAAACTCTAACCTTCCCAGGTAGTCGTGGTTTTCGGCACCGAGCAACCCAGGATCCCAATCCCACACATTCACGGTTAATAACTGTGACTCGCTCGAGCTAATCTGCGCCTAAATTCGACAGTGTTTTAAAAAGAGGAAGTCGAGAGGGTCGAGTGAGTAAATTAAAATCTATGTACATGCAGGAAGCCCAAAGCGAAGCCGGAAGCCTGTGGAGTTTTAATTTAATAGTTGGCGGCGCGCAAAACAGACTCGGCCGCCAGAGGGCGCTTCTTCTCTTTTGCGCGCCTGCTAGAATCGTCGACAAAGAGATGTAACAAAAAGAGAAAAATCCACACAAATCGAAAAAACAACACACAAGCGTCTGCGCGTCCGAAGGCCGCGATTAAATTAAAACTCTCTCTGTGCTATCATTCGACTGGACCCGTGGTGGTTCTTTTTTCTAGTCTTACCTGCCCAGAGTCTCATCGTCAGAAGCCTCGTCCTTATCCCAAAGGTGAACATAAAGTTGTTGCCCATCGGACTCCAACACATTAAACTGGTAATAGACAATCGATGAACGAAAATACAGTGAAAACCTGAAGATCGTCATTATTTCGCCTACTAACGAGCAACTACTTCAGGTGTATCTAAGTCAAAACTCCGCATTAAGCTTTCGTGTTGTTAATCTGCAGCTGACGCTGTCTAACCTCTTAATTCTCGAAAAAACGTAAAAACATGCAAACATGACTCGAAAGTGAACAAAAAAGAGTCGACGAACACTCCGAACTCACCTCGCACCAGTAATCCCACTTCGGATCGACGCTGTTGTCGATCACCTTAGTCTTAAACTCCTGCGCACCTAAAGTGATGACTGCATAAGGGTCAGATTTACCTTTACCCAACATCCCGATGTCCTTTTTCATCAAGTGCTTGGCCTCCACCACGTGGACACGCAGCACACCCTAGAAACAACCCCGACAATTCAAACCCCACCAAAAAACCAACCAACCTCAGGCTCTGGTGCCTTCAATTCAATAGCTTCGACTTCGTCGCTCAGCTTGATGGGGAACTTGTTGGGGAGCACCATCATCGAAGCCACAGTTTCCACGACGATCCGCCGCAAGATGTCGCTACGGAGACACTTTGATTGGTCGAAACGGCGTCTACGAGACTCACCTTAACCCGGGCATGTCTAACAAATCAGCGATGCCGATCAAATCGAAGTCTATATCGGGGTTGTTGAGGAAGAACACCTGCAGACCACCCACCAACGGGATGGTGGTGATGAGAGGCTTCATCACCACGCGGAGCATCCCGTGCAGCTGAAAATCGCGGATGCCGCCCTTGATCCCGGCCAAATAAAAAGTGATGTCGCAGTCGCCGGCGTAGCTAAAATGTACAATGAGTGTGAAGCTTGAAGGTTTTTCCACTTACAAGATGTCCAAGTCCATGACGATTTCATTGCGGGCGATGTTCTTGTCGTAGACTTTGACGCCTCCGATGCGGAAAGGCTGAAATTGATTTGTGATAGTGCGGTGCCGGATGCGACTGCGATGGTGGGTCTTACCACGGTGCCTAAAACGATTCTTTCGAATTTGAACCCTGTTAGTTTATAAGCTTCTAGTGCTTCTCTGAGGTTGGGTTGGATCGAGTCTCTTATTAAATCTCGCGCGTAGTGGTTGACGTTCGGCCATACTTGTTTGATTATCTGGGTAAAAATAGAAAATTATGGGATTTGGCTACCATATAGTGGTACTCACTCGATTAAGCCACTCTGCGCGCTCGATGTCGGGGAAAAATACCTAGAATATGGGAGGACATAAGTACTTTGTATTAACAGACGGAAACGTGAAACCTATTTTTTTTTATTTATATATTTTTTATATATAATGCTACTTGGGAGTAATTCTCTAGCTTCCGATCGCAAAGTAAAATTGTTATTAGATTATATTATTCCGAGTACTCAGTGCATACTTCAACTCAGGCAAATTATTGTCAAGTGCGCGGATATTTTTAGCACGACAAACACGATAAAAGGCGGAAAACGGTGAGGTTTCCTTGTCAGTTAACATCCGTTTTTTTTTACTGGCGCATCTGTTTGCTTAATAAATATTTATGATTCGTTAAAAACTCAAGTAGCATTAGTAAGTTTAACTGTCCTAACAAAAAACCGCTCATTGATAAATTCGTGCTTAATGAATGAGTTGCAAAAAGAAAGACAAGAAAAACGTGCGATTGAGGAGGGAATTTTTGTGTTACACACTAGACGTAACTATTTTTGAGTGCTCAAGACATGAAGAATCATCAATCTAAAATAACAAAGAGCGTATTTGTGGTCCAGAATTCATCACTTATGATGAGCCACAAGAATTATAAACAACTAAATTAAATAATTCAATGACCTTGGCGTATTTTCTCACCAATTTATGAGTAAATTTGAAAACTTTAAATTTTATATTTTCATACAAAAAGTTTTTTGCCAGTGAAATCGCATTTTTGGATTAAGTAACATCTGCCCTTGAAATACGTCAAAAAGATAAAAAAAATATGGGCCGGCTCTTTTGAATTTGACCGTCTTGTGCCGTTAATAAAACCATATCTTTATAATGCACAAGCTAATAGAGACAAGTGCATAATAATTATTAATAGTCCAGCAACAATAAGAACACAAACAACTTTTATCTTTATCTCATAAATAAATTAAAATAGCATCATAAACATGAGTCACTATGCTAAGATCGACCTCAACATACCCAAGCTGGTAGATCACCTAGCCTTGCAAGAACAACGTCTTTCTCACTGGCCAAAGCTGCAGCTTTCGCAATAGTTCTTTTTCTATCGCTGGCCTTCTTCCACTGGTCCCTGATTACGAAGAGCACGATGGGTCCTATGAACCACGCCACAGACCATTGCATGTACCCCGCCAAGTACACAATCCCGACAACGGAGGCCTAAAAAGATGCACTAATCACAAGACAACCACAAACCCCCTATTTCACCTTCTTCACGGCGCTAAAAATAATGCTCAAAATTCCAGAAGTATCGGTTTTCTTCTCCATCGCTTCTTCCTTGCTGACACTCATTACTAAAATAGAACCTTCACGGATCAATTGATTAATCGTGCTCGCTCCCCACCGGATTCAAGCACCACGTACTCTTCGCCGGCCAAACAACAACTGCGGCTTATCACTAAAAAATTTCAGTTTGTTTTGTGATTACACTCGCCCCACCCGACCGCCAGCACGACCTAAAATAAAATGACATCACAAACTATATTTACAACATTACAAAATAGGTAAATTCGATTAATCCCACCTCTGCGCCAGCTGACTTTGCGCGAGTATAACTGGTTGCCTACCGTAAACGTCATTTTACGACAGACTCCAGTAACCATGGCAACCAAACAAATCGTCATTCTTCGTCTCTTTCAAATCAAACGAACTCGAAATGGCGCTTCGTTGTCCAGATTTACCATTTTTACCCGGATATACATTTAATTCAATGGTAATACGACGTTCGTCACCCCTGCGAAACTAAATTTTCATTTTCAGCTCGGCAGGACCCGGTTCAACATGGACCCCAAATTCGATTTCATAGGCGATGGGGTCCCTGCACTCATCGAGAAGGTCAAGCCCAACATGTTCGGCGCCCTTTCGGATAAATACCCGTCGATTTATCCAAGGGGCGAAGTTGCGGAAGTCCCCAGCTGGATAGCCTTCGACAAACAGGTAAAGCCGTTCATCGGATCGTGACACTCGAATCGGGAGTGAATATCCAATCACATATCAAGATTTTAGGCGCGAAATTTATAATGTCACTTATTGTAGATCTTGTGTTTCGACGCCTTCTTCAAAGAAACCCTCCAGGAAGTTCGCGGCGCTCCGTACAACGTCCGCCAAGTCAAAATCTACCTATTCCTAGAAGACGGGACGATCCAAGTGACCGAGCCCAAAGTAGAGAACAGCGGGATCGCGCAAGGGACTCTCATCTGCCGCCACCGCATTCGCTTCCCCGCCCCCATGGACGACAACTTCTACGAGATGATCGATTTGAACTTGGGCAAAGAGGTGGAGTTCTACGGACGCGTATTTAAAATCACCAACTGCGACAAATTCACCCGGAATTTCTTGAACCGTTGCGGAATTGCCGTTCCCGATCCCTTAAACACGCCCAGCGATCCTTACAACGACTTGCGTGGCCAAGAGTGCTCGAATGTGAAGCACAAAATGAAGAAACGCGAAGACTCCCTCGGGAAGTTCCTGGCCAACGACCGGAAGGTCCTGCGGTTCTACGGTTACTGGGACGACCAGGAAACCGTGTACGGGTACTTGCACCGGCTCGAAATACTGTACTACTTGGCGGACGACACGATCGAGATCCGCGAAGTGAGGGAGGATTGCGGCAAAACGTCGATTTCTATGTTCTTGCATAGGGATAAGATCCCGAAGACGTTCAACGGGTTGCCGATGCCGGGGGCTAACTGTACCTCCACGGTTTTGAACGTGTTGGGGCCGGGCTTGCAGGGGGGGAGATTCATCGAGGATCCTATATCCTGCGGGGTGGAAGTCATCGAGTACTACTGCGAAAAGGACTTGTTCATAGGGAGCGTCATCAATTGCTATGGGAGAAAGCTGGTGCTAACCGACTGCGACCCCTACACCAGGGAATATTACAGGAGTAAGTACGGGCTGAACAGTCTCGACGCCATTGCATTACCTGAAGACAAGCACGCGGCGTTGAAAGTGGAGATGAAGGAACGCGAATTACCTCCTTGGAATGGGTACGGATCGTACGAAGACTCGGCCCAGAACTGCATAACCGTGGAGCCGAAGGCTCCACATCGCGACTTCAAGAAGTTCTTGAACCTCGACAGGTAACGGGAAACTTTGAGTGGGTTATTAAAAGTAACTTGTTCTTTCAGAGTTGGTTTGGATAGCCACATACTCCGGTTCCGGGCGTTCATGATTTCGAAAATACCCGAGAACTGCACGAGGCATTTCATTGTCAGCTTCTATCTAGCCGACGATTCCATCGCCGTGTTTGAACGAGGCATTCGAAATTCGGGTAGGAAACGGCGTCAAGTTTCAAATGACACTATTTTTTGATTGCAGGTTTCGACACCAAGACGTTCTTCGCGAGGAAGCCGATGGCGCTACCGGGTCAGGAAGTGTTTACCAGTAAACCTCCGGTTACTTACACTTCGCAACATATGTACATCGGTGCCATCATCATTGTTAACAGTTTTGTGTTTGAGTTGGTGGCCGCTGACGAATATGCGCTTAGATACATGGAAATACACGACTATCAGGCAAGTCTTCGAAGTAGTTCTTGGTCGGTGAACAATGAGTCGGTTTCAGTACCCAAAAGCCAACATTAAAGTGATTATGGGTAAAATTCGGGATAAGCTACGACCGACCTACAAGGATTTTGTCGCAGAAAACATGCCCAAGGACGGACAATCCACCATCCCCTACGACACTTTACGGTACACTTTAGTTTTGAGTTTTTTCTACACGTTTTTAGGAAAAAAGTTACCGAAAAATGTGTCGGTTCGCAGGGAGAAGCTCATCGGGATACTCGGGGATGATTTCACCGAGCACGAAATGATCACGATTTCTCGAGCCTTCCCTGGCGACGTCTTCGACAAAATTAAATACAACCGGGAGCAAATTCGAGCGATTACTTTAACGGAGCTCAAGAAAGGTCTCTGGGACGACGTGACGAGACTCAGAGAGTACTTCTGGATGAGGGACCCCGAAAGAAGAGGACTTTTGCCAAAGGACGTGTGTTACGTAGTACTGCGGGCATGCAGATTACCTTTGCAAAAAGAACTCGTGGAGAAAATTCTCGAAGTGTAAGCCCCCACTAAGTGTGCCCCTTTTCCACTCACAACGTCTTTGCAGGATACAGAAAGACGAACAATCTAACTTATACTACGAAGACATTCTAAATTTCGTTAATAGGGAAATTTGCCGACTGGCGGACGTGGAGCCCGTCAACATTAAAGTAAGTACTTTGCAAAGAAACTTTCAAACCAACAATATTTTTTTAGCACGATTTAAGCTGCATCAAAGACATCGAGTACGTCCCGTACCGTTTCATCGACTGGTGTGGCTTCAACAACTTCCTCGCCTTAGAAGACACCTTCAAGCAACAAGGCCCCAACACAATCAGAATTCAACAATAAATCATAAAACATATTTAATATGTCTGTCGTTTTACAAAAATTTTCAACCCATGCCTCCTATTTCGGGTTTGGGTTTCTTCATCTTCCCGGCTAGTTTCAGCCTTAGGTGTGATATGGCCCTCGCCGGATTCAAGTGTTTGGGACAGCATCTCGTGCAGTTGAAGATGGAGTGGCATCTGTACACGCTGAAGTAGTCCCGAAGGGCGGCAAGCCTGCAGTCTGTCCCTTGATCCCGGGAGTCTCTGATCCACCTGTCGGCTGCCAACAAAGACGCGGGCCCCAGGAAGTCGTGATCGGGGTTGTGGCCGTGCCACCAGTATTCGGGACACGACGTAGAGCAGCAAGCGCAAAGAATGCACTCGATGTAGCCGTCCTACGACAAACAAGTAGCAGCAGAGATACCTAGTTTTGACTAGGGTTATTTACCAATTTCTCCCGGTCTTTCAGACTTTGCAGGTACTGCTTCTGACCCATAGGTTCCGAGTGGTCTCTTATCAGGTACGGTTTGATTCTTCGGTGTTGGTTGAGGAAGTGCGTGAAGTCGACGATCAAATCTTTGATCACATACATATGAGGCAACGGATAGATTTTCGAGGTGTCGCTTTTATTAATCCTGGTGATGCACGCAAGACCGTTGCGCCCATCGATGTTTATGGCGCAACAACCACACACTCCTTCGCGACACGAGCGACGGAACGTGAGGGTGGAGTCGTCGTCTCTTTTTATCTTCAAGAGGGCGTCGAGAACCATGGGGCCGCAACTACGGAATAAGAATGAGGTGGCGACACTTGAAGTTTGCACCTACTCGTTCAAATCCACGGTGTATTTGTCCATGCGGGGTTGCTTTCCGCCTTCTTTGGTGAAGCGGTAAATAAGAAAATTTTTCAATTTGGCTTTCTTTTCTTCTTTCTTTTTAGTGTCGTCTTTACATTCTTCGTCCCCCGACTTTTTCCCATCTTTCGCTGATTTCGCATCCTTTGCTGGTTTAGCGTCTTTCTTCTTCTGATGCGGAACGTCGGTCCAAATGGTCCGTTCGAGGCGCAGAAATTTGGTTCCGTTCAAAACTTTTACCCAAGGAGAGATGTTTTTTAGCATTTTGTGTGTTCTAGACATTAATTTTTAAATGTCAAGCTTTCAGACTTTGCCGTGGCAACAGTGCGACGTCGCGACCTCGATACGAAATAAAACTCTTCACTGGTCAACGTTATTTTTTATTAGGAACCTAAATCAAACTTAACAGTGGGGTATAGTCGAGTGATTAAAATAGCATCGGTAACATAAGTCAATCAGCTACGGACGAACCTGGAACTTAAATAAAAAAAAATATCACACTGACGCGTTCCAGATCCAATACTTCGTTCCACGGACAAATCACAGCAGATTAAAAAAATAACCGGAAGTGCTAGACATTTAATCCAGTGAGAAAATACATTAAGACAACGTCACTTGGATCAGCAACGCGTTTAAAACTATGGCTCCAGTCTCCTTGGTGCTCCACTCCGGCGGATCCCTGGACACCGAATACGCGCTGGGCTTCACCAGCAACTGAAACGCGGCATGCGCCTCTCTGTCCTTCATCTTGTACCCCCCGCTCTTGCAACTCTGTAACGTCGGGTAGAACACCACCTGCACGTCGTCTTCCTTCTGGACCACCAAATTACACCATTGCGCTTGCCCTTTAGTCAAGGGCTGTCCCTTATCCAGGATGCACCGCACCGCCCCCATCTTGCTCGGGTAGAACGCGGTGTGCCACTTGTCCGTCGCCGTGTTGGCCAGGTTCTTCAGCGGGAACTTGACCCAACCCAACAACGAATTGTCCTTTTCACCCTGACTCTTGACTTTGATGCATGTGGAGCAATAACACGTCGGCTCGTCCGACGTGAAGTAGTGATCTGAAAAACGACGTGAGTGGGAAGAGCTCACACAGACCGTCTCTACCTGGCAAGAGGAGGCGTTTCTTGAAGCTAACGCATTCCTCGCGGAACGCACAAATGATTGGCTTCACCGGCGAAAGGGGGCTGGGGCGTTGGACGGTCACCGATGACGTCAAACTAGTACTAGCCGAAGGTATAGGAAGCGTCAAGCGTTCCTTCTCGCAGCTCTCCAAATCCGCCTTTTCGAAATCGGTCACCGGGGTTTCGGTCGTCTCTTGCGCAGCGACGTCGTTCAAAATTTTAATCTGGAATATGCGGTGTACAAAGGTTCGTTTGTGTGTAAACCTACCTGTTGGCACTGTCCGTACAAATCGAATACTGCATAAATGGCTTGCCCGGTTTGGAAAACGAAAGCGAGGAGTTCCTCCTCGACCCCGTTCACCAGTAACTTCAAGCCTGTAGCTGTCAAGACGACCCCCACGGTGTCTCCGACCGAAAGGGTACTCAACTTCTGGCCATAGTTCGACCGGGACTTCATCCCGTTGATCGACACCCAGTCGTTGGCGACGATGCAACAAGGAGCTTTGAACGCCAACGCGTTCACCGGGAGGTTCAACCGTTCCGGAGGCCCCGAAACCACGCCTACGATAATCGACGACTGCCACCGCGTTTCCAATTGGTCGATTATGATTTGGACCTTCGAATTGACTTCGAGGGCGGGCTGGGCGATAACCACGCCCTGATTGTACGACGCCACCCTCCTCGCGGTCGTTCGTCCTTCCACGATCTCGATATTGCGGCCGTGGTTCTCGTGGAATTCGTAGACGACGCTATCGACTTCGACGTCTTTGAGCTGTTCCTGCACCAACTCCAAACTGTCCTGGAGCCGTATGCTGTTGAGAGGAGACAAAGGTGCTTTATGACTAGTAACGGAGACGGAGCTGCAAGAACCCCTCAAATCCGCGACCACGTAGAGCGTGTCCGGAAGCGGCGGGAAATTCAAAGCGAGTTCTTCGCTGTTGATGAAGATCTTCAGCGCGCCGTCTTGGGTTCGGAGTAACCCAACGCGATCCCCCACGTTCAGCCAGTTCAAACTCGGCGTGAACAACTGGATTGTCTTGTTCTTGTGCCTGAGCTCGTTGCCGGTGATGTAGCAGCAATCGTCGAGAGGGTTGGCTTTGCTGGGAGGCGTTCCCGTCACGCCCACCGCGATGCTCCCCGCCAAGTGCTCGACCAATGAGACGATCGAGATCTCGAATAGCTCCTCCTGCACGAGATGCGTGGCGCTGCAAACTACCGCCTCGCTCAAATCCTTTCCCCTTTTAGCTAATCGTCCGCCGTCGCCTAGAGTCACTCCTTTCCCGTGGTACTCGGAGAAGATATGCAGGTCCGTCTGCACCGTCGGCTGCACCACGCTCACCGCCTGCAGACTGATGGAGGTGTCCGAGCGCGGACAGTTCTCTAGGTTCGACGGCATCGTCGCCAGCGGCGACACGCACGGGATGCTCACTTGTGCACACTGACCATACAGGTCGATGACGGCGTAGACGGTGCTGTGAGACACCGTGCAGGCGGGTCCTTGCGGGACGCCATCCCTGTAAAACTCCAGAGTTTTGTCGGAGGAACGCACCACGCCGATTCGGACGCCAGCGTCGAGGCTATCCAGGTCACACGGGTAGTTGTTTTTGATGGTGGTGCCGTTCTCCATGACGGAGGAGCCGCTCAGCATCCACGTGTCGCGACACAAGTCTGTGGCGGTGCCTGGAAGCTCGATATCGTCGGGACGGACCGCGGTCACCCCAAGCTCGATGCTCCCCGACCAGCGATCCACGATGTTGTCGAGACAGACCTCGAAGAGCTCGCCGTCGCGCAGCGGCCGACTCGAGAAGACGATGGCGTCGTTGAACTCGGAAAGAGGGCGCGGCCGGAGGGCGGTCAGCCCGCTGTTGACAATTCGGGCGTTCTTACCGTGGACGTGGTGGAAGCGGAGGTCGCTGAAATTCATCACCAACTTGTATTTTGGGGTACTTTCTGTTTGTGTAAAAACTAACCTGTACAGCGTTGTGTTTGACAGACTGGAATTGATGGTATCCGGCGAGCCGTAGTCATACATGTCTATGATGGAGGCTTCCACGGCCTGCCCGTACAGATCTTGAAAACCGCACAGTTACGCCCCGCCCTTCGCTCCTCCCATACTTACCGATCACCCCGTAGATTTTCTCCGGCACGTTGGACGCCGCCGCCCCTTGGTCCACCCCGTTCACGAAGAAGTGCAGCAACCCGTTCTCCTTCCTCACAACCCCCACTCTATCCCCCACTTGCAACCGGTCCAGATTCACCCCGTACTGCTCCAGCACGATCGTCCCGTTGTGCATGATTCCACTCCCCGTCATCATCCACGTCCCCGACCTCACATTCGTCATCGTAAACGGAAACTCCAAGTCCACCGGACTGTGCGTGGTCACGCCTATTTCGATACTCCCCGCCCACTTCGTCACCACGCGGTCCAACCGCACCTCGAACAGCTCTCCCGTTTTGAGGGGGCGTGCCGTCAACACCACCCCGTTGTTAAAATCATCGGCGGCGTTCGGCCTATGCGCCGTCCTCCCGTTATTAATGACTTGGGCGTGCGTCCCGCAATTGGGGTGGAACGTGAGGCGGTCGTAGTAATCGGGGAGGGGCTGCGGTTCGGGGATCAACACCTGCTGATCCCGCGTGTTCTTCCTCGTCATCAAGTTCTGCTCCTCGCGCTCGTCCCTCTCCACAATCGAGACTTTAATCGTCATCCCATACAAGTCGATCACGCCCCAGACGGTGGAGGGGACTCGTTGGGCCGCCACACCTTGGTCCAACCCATTAATAAAGTAGTGCAGGTTGCCGTCGGGTTTGCGCATCATCCCCACCCTGTCGCCTTCGCTCAATTCGTCCAAGTTGAAGTCGCCGTACTCCCGTCTGGTGCCTTTCCCGTTGGTCAGGATGCCGCAACCGGACATCATGATGGTGCCGCTACGCATGTTGGTCATGGTGGCGGGGAACACGAGGGTGCTGGGGTTATGTGTGGTGATACCCATCTCGATGCTGCCGCTCCACTTATCCACGAGACGGTCTATGCGAATTTCGAACAACTCCGAGTCGCGAAGGGGGCGGTGGGTCATCACTACCCCGTTATTGAACTCGTCCAGAGGGCGACGACGCTCGGCAGTTCGGTTCCCGTTGGAGAGTTTGACAAGAGAGCCGCAGCGGTCGTGGAAGCGGAGTTTATCGGGACGGGGACATTCCTCGGGGAGGCTCAAACTGGAAAGTATGCTAACTCAGCGAAATTTGAGTGTGCTGGCTCGGCTAAACGTGTAATCGCGCGAAAGTAACTCGTGTTGGTTTACCTAACGTTCATGTCCATGCGGATGTCGAGACTGTTGCTGCTGCTCATGCTCAGCTCGCTCAAGTCGCCCCCGAGAGTAACGTTCAAAATATCGTTATCTATAGCTAAGACCGAACTGCCGCTGAGGCAGTCGTCGTTATTGTGCTCGCGAAGTGCTGGACTGGTAATACTGACTTGCACGCACTTGCCGTAGACGTCGACGATGGCGTAGATTAAATTAGGGACGTTTTCGGCGGCGACACCTTGAGATTCTCCATTCACGTAAAAAATTAAGTCGCCCTGAAAACTCCTCTTAGCGCGAAATTTACACTGCTAACAACGTACCTCGGAGGTGCGCATCAACCCTATCCTATCATCCTGATTGAGCTTATCCAAATCAGTACCATACCTCTCGATCACGCAATTTCCGCTCCTGAAGAACGACATTCCTGACATAATCTACAAATTTACGTTCAATTACGGTTAAACAAACAACGCATTTACCAACCCATGATGGGTTCTGTATCTTGGAGGAGCACGCAGGGAAATCAAAGTGCAGAGGATCACAGTCGACTACTCCTATCTCAAGACTGCCTGACCACGAGTTTACCTACAGTTACACCGATTTGAGTAAAATGAGACTGGGAGGAGAGAGAGAATTACTTTTCGATCAATCTTGATCTCGAAGAGCACGTCGCTGACTAGAGGCTCCGCTGTTATTACTAGGCCGTTGTCGAAGTCGCTGTCGCTGCGCACCGCCGTGCAGTTGTCGTTTAATAAAGTGATTCGTTCGCCACAACGATAATGGAAATATGCCATTTTATGGCCGTTTGATGGATTAAATTTGAATTAAAAGGGGGCTATAAACAGCCATTTGTAAACAGCCGATCATGTGTCAAGGTTACTTGTCAAACATCAGGGCTGCCAATGGTGTGGAGTGTCAACAAGAGTATTGATTTTGTGATAAGGAATAAATTGAGTAAATATATAAAGGGGCAAATGCTCAATCATCCCAAATTGCTTACATTGTGATCGTTTAGAGACAAATTGGGGGTCTTTTATTACGCTAATAAATAACAAGGACATATGACCTACAAACTCGTGCAAGAAAATAATTTCAGCAATAAAACAAATAAAACAACCACTTGTACAATTATATTCTTATTCTTTTTACATATTATATAATTACTTCCAAAGTAAATGTTTTCACTTTTTTTTATGTTCCGAGAGGATCAAGAACGTTGTAGCTACGATTAAGCCTTTGATTTTTTTTTTAATTGTGTTATGTTTTTTCTATACATGTATCACGATGTAATATGTTAATAAAAAGATAAATGTCGGCATCAATCTTTTTATTTTACTGACACAATCTTTAAATAAAAAACATTCTTCTGTGATCTAAATCGTAGATCATTCTTGGACGACAGTTAACCTACCTAAATGTCAAAATCACGCCAAAATCGCGGAGGGGAGAGTATTTGCAAATCGTGTTATGTCAAAATCGAAAACAATCAACATAACCTGAACAAAAACCAAAAATGAGAGAAACGTTTGTTTTACCGGAGTTAAAGTCTCTTTTGTATTTACTTAAAACTTGCTTGTATTTTTTTTTATTTGTAATCTATTTTTAGGGATGTTAGTGGAGCAAACTGTGACAAAGTGGTCATTGTCTCAATTGTTGGTAAATCACCATGTAATTCCATGGGGCTCAAGGTGAAGTCTGTTGGACGAGTATTTACAACAGGATGCAAAAATGATGAAGAAGTAAGGCATCTCCACTTTAATTTTTGTCACTTATACTTTGTTTGAAGTTAACAATCGAAGGTTGTTATGATGAAGAAAACCAAATCATCTACCTGCACCTTCACAGCTTATTAGATACTGACCTATTAATCAAACACTACAAGACCTTAGTTGAGCGTTGTAACAATGAACGCAAATGTGACGATTTTCTTGTAATCAATGATGAAATTAAAAGTGGGTTTGCCAGAGCCCTCCTACTTTTAATCCACGTAAGCCACATTGTGATTCTGTCACATCCAGGGTGGACTTTTGACACCAACTACATCCAGTATTTCAAAGCCGTGGACAATCTTAGGTTCTCTGCTAATTGTATCATCAAACACAGTCTAATGAACATTATTTCAGTCAAAAAAAACTTAATAAAATCTCCGAAGCCTTAAAAACTGTGGACGGCATAAGTCCTGAATGGGTCGCCAACGGGCGTCTGTGCACCCCTCGTTTTATTTTCTATTTCGAACGGTGCCCCAAAGGTGTCTACAATCTGAAAAAGGTCGAGCATAATCTAGAAGACCGCATTTATCACATTTTGAAAAAAACGCGCATCATTACCAGTTATGGGTAAGCAAATTGCTTTTACTTTCACTTAAGTTGAAATAGTCGTTCAAGTCAGTCTTTGTTCGCCATCCCTATGAATGAAGAGTTTGTCTTCATTTCGTCAGAACAGTCAGGTATCGATAAATTAGGGGATGCCGTGAGGGGTTTAATCCAGGATTGCCAACCCGGCGGGACCATGCAAGTGCAGGCGCCATTTTGTAGCCAACCCTACTCTGAACGTCACTTCTTAAAATTCTTACAAGTACACATCAAGCAGGCAAGAAGTAGTAAAGGTTTCAATGATATGGGGAGTTCCAGCAGGCATCAATTATCGCCACCGGCTCATTTCGAGGTTTGTATTTATTGGCGTTATTGAATAGAACTAGTTTTTTTTTTTTTAAGTTGCCAGTACTGAAACAGTGGGTTGAGAGCACCAAAATTATATACGACGTGATCATGAAAAAGGGTTTGATCACGTCGCTGTGTACGGATACACGGTTTTCGGAACAGAGGTGTTTGAAGGTGTTGCCGTTAGCTTTGGCTCGTTACCAGGAGAATTTACCACCGTACTATGCCCATGCGGAGCACGACAGAAGGTTGAGTATGGCTCTAGCGTTGTTCAACGCGCAAGCTAGAGGTCCAGTTTTTCAACAATACGTGACCAAATTAAGAGCAGACTGTCAAGCTCATTGGGAGAATGGGCGACAGCAATGCGAAGCCGCCTCCATGACAGGGAATCCTTGTAAATTACCCAAACACGCGACGGAGCAGGAACATATGAGTGGATTCGTCCACAAAGGTTGGTAGCCCTGGACTATAAAGATCAGTGTTGAATAGTTATTTGTTTTTCTCAGCCATTTGCGATTGTGGCCGCAAGATCGGGCCCCGCGAAGACCCCTACAACGCCAAACAAGCCAACTACTTGTTCTACCAGCAAATCGGACGCGAATGCGTCTGTTCGAAACTCGAACGAATTTCCTTTCCCATTTTCCAGCCCTCCATCAAGGAATATAAAGCAGCTACACTCAAAGAAACTGAAGAGGCCCTCTCGGTCCTCTCCGATCGTTCGTCAGAGCTCACCCCGGAAAACGAAAGGGGGCTAGTGCGGCAGCCGAGCACCACCGAGTACTTGCCCGGGATGCTCACCCTCAGCTCACCTCCGGGACTCCTGCCTGTCTACTCCAGTTGGAGTTTAGTATGCTTGGGGCCTTCTTCCCTGTACAGCCACAATCTGGGCTTATCAGAGTCCCACCACCCCGGCTTTCTCAATTCCACAAATTACTTGCTGCCTTGGGACGTCACCGTGTACTCGAAGGCGAAAATGAATTGGGTGAACAAGTACTCCACGCGGGGGCGCAGAGGGCGACCGGCTGGGGCGTCGCCACAGTTTTCGGTCAAGGTGTTCATCGGGGTGGAGTATGAGTGTTCATCAGGGCACAGATTTATGTTGGCGGCGCCCGATAAGATTCTCAAGGCCACGCCGGGGAGTATCGTCAAGGACACGGGGCACAAGATCGCCGAGTCCGACATGCCACTGTATTATCCGTGTATGTGTAGGGCTAGTAAGTTGGCACAACTGATGCGGCTGCACGTGGTGACACCCAAGGCTCCGGTGCACTGCACGCTTGATCCGAAGGTGAGTGTTTAGCGAATCGCAAAATCTGAAAACATAGCGTGTTGTTTTATTTCAGGTACAACCAGCCCCAGGAGCCCCCATTTTCGTGAGTACGCTAGACCGCCCCACCAAACTTACGCAGTCGGCGTACTGGGTGATGCGTCTACCTTTCGTTTACGTTGCAGATAAGGAACACTATCCACAAAACTTGGAAGCCAAGCTCCTACAGGGAGTTTTTGGAGTGACTGAAATAGAGTAGTTTTGCAATTGTTTTTATTAATAAATTAGTGACTAGAGATTCGTCTGTGGGTGTTTAAAAGATCCGACCGTGAAAAAGACTTGGAACAAGTTGGGCAATGGTAGGGGGTTTCCCCGGTGTGGGTCCTTACGTGTACTTTCAACATTGTGGAAGTGGTACAACCTTTCCCACAGACGGTACAAACGTAAGGTTTTTCCCCTGTGTGAGTTCGCATGTGAACTGTCAAACGCGACCTCACAGGAAACGACTTGTCGCAAATTTGACAAACATGAGGTTTTTCGCCAGTGTGGATTCTCAAGTGGGCGTCCAAATGTCCAGACTGGGTGAACCCCTGAAAAATACCAGTAGTACCAACCGTTTGAAAACACAGTTCGCTAGCCAGTCACCTTTAGGCAAATTTTGCAACTATATGGTTTCTCTCCACTATGTACCAACATATGTTTATTTAGCGAATAACCCACGCTGAACCTCTTCATACAAATATTACAACTGAATTGTCTGTCCACGTACTCCTTCGTGTGCGTCCGTAGATGCGCTCGCAGCGCCCCATTTCTCGTAAATCCCCTACTACACACACCACATTCGAAATTCTGTAAATCCCCCAATGAAACAATGATTGCCAACTTAACAACTCACCTTTTCGTTAATGTGCGCTCGCACATGTTCCAGCAAGTTAAAACCCCGCGAAAACGTTTTTGGACACACAGCACAACAGTAAGGTCTCTCTTGACTATGCGTCCTGCTGTGTTTTTTCAAATCGTCGGATCGAGCAAAATTCTTGCCGCACGTGTCACACAGAAACGGTTTTTCCCCTGAATGCGACATTAGATGGACTTTTAGACCATGCTTTCGCGTAAAACTTTTAGAGCAAATGCTACAAACATGAAGGCGAAGCCCCAAGTGCGTTCTAACGTGCGCTTTCAAATGCGCCTTTTGTGAAAAGCTGCGTTTGCAGTCATTGCACTGAAAGGGTTTTCCTGAGCTGTGGGTGCGTAAATGACGGTTGTATGTGTCTGATGCCACGAACATTGAAGAGCAGAAGGGGCACTTGTACGGTTTAGCGCCTGTGTGGGTGCGCTGGTGCGTCCGTAGGACTCCATAACGAGCAAAGCCTGAAAATGACTATTAGTGATCGTTTTAGTGGCGAAGAGAGGGTTACTTTTTCCACACTCGTCACACTTGTATTCTTTGAGGCGACTGTGTGATCTTTCATGCTCTGATAGGTGAAATTTCTGTTTGAAACCTTGATTGCAGATTTTACAGATGTAGGGACGTTCGTTAGTGTGTATTCGTACGTGTCGTAGCAATTCGTCTGATCTGATAAAATTTTTACCACAGTAGTGGCAAAGAAAGGGTTTTTCGCCTGTGTGAGTCCGCATATGCGTTAAGAGACTACTTTTTTGCATGTATTCCTTTTTACAGATTTCGCAGACGTATATTGTAGTGTTGGCTTCCTCATTTTCTGGCAGTGGAACCATGCAGTTCTCATTTTGCCTAGATTCTGTGTTGGTGACTGCGTTTTTCTTTTCTAACAACAGTTTGTGCAAAATTGTGTCACTTTCTATGCATTGCTTGCGAAAATTGTATGCGACATTCAGTTTTGTAAGGCATTCATTGCAGATGATCGAAGGTAGTTCGTCGTCCTCTGAAAACTAAAATTCATTTGCAAAAAAACAGTTTCCGGTAGTAAATTGCTACCGTGAGTTCAGTCAGAAGAGAAATTTGTTCGCTCGTTGAGGGACTGGAGATGTCCTCTTTATACATTGGAAAGGTTTCTGACGCTTTGGTCATGCACGTCCTGCATACGCTGGGGCTGTCTAGAATTTTATAATCCATTTTGTTTTTGTTTATTTTGATGAAATTTGAGGTTATGTAACTCGTGACGTTGACGTCAGCAAACGTAATATTTTAATTTATATTTGAAATATTGGCAACACTGACAATGTTTATGAAATACCTACATTCCTACATATAAAATATGTAGCATTATAAAAGGTCGTTACTTTATCAGAACATTATACTGTACTAGTTTGAATATTCCAACAATGTAACAGAAACAATGATAAGAAAATTTAAGAATTTAAAAAACTTTGAGTCCGGTGTATTGGCATCGCTGATTTTAGCGATCCGTCACCGGTGACACTGACATTTCCAGAAACTTCATCAGCTGTTCAAAAAATTATCGTGTTTTTGAAAAAAAAGCATCCAATGGACTGGTTTGACAAGTTTAAACGTTTTCTGGGCGTCCCTCCGCGCCAAGAAATCCCCCCATACAACGATCAAGACAGGTACAACAATGACGCAATTTTCCTCATTTTCAGTGTTTTCATATTTCATTTCCAGGCCTTCCGTTCCTTCTCCGTACAGTCGAGACGACGAGTGAGTCACTCCGAGCCAATGTTTCCCCAAAGCACTCCGTCATTTTTAGGTTTCCCTCGCCGTTCCACGGTACCCCGAACCAAAGTTTCAGCATCTTCACCAACCCCTTAGAAATCCACAAATACTTTGAACAGCAAATGAGCGAAATGTTGCGTAGTTTCGGTTTCCAGGAATTTCCCCAAATAGAAATATTTACTGAAGGTTTTGACGGGCCCGTGATTGAGGAAATTCCTGATGACGACAATGAATCTGGGGATTTGCGAGAACAGTTCTTGAAACCAGGTTATGAAAAGGCTGTAACTGGGGAATCAGAAGAAAAGCGCGATGTGGACATTGACGGCAAGTAAGTTGATGTGTTGGAGACGGTTACACTTCTAAGAATAAAATACGTGAAAAGGTTGGATATGAGGGACTGGGGGTCCGTATTTAGGGGCGAACGCGCAATGACGCCATACGAACGACCAGAGAGACCTAAGACGCAGTTCTTCGGACAGAGTGTTACCACAAAGACTGTCAGAAATCCTGATGGGGTATGTGTGCGTTTTAAGGTTTTTGTTTTGTATCAATAATATTGTAGTCTTTTGAAACTCACCACACTGTGAGGGACAGTCAAGGTAATGAAGAGACCACGATTAGGCGGAAAGTGGACGATAAAGAATACACGATAACGAAACGTAGAGATAAGGACGGCAAAGAAGAGACTATTGAGAATCTAGTGAATTTAGATGAGAAAGAAGTAGACAAGTTTTTCCCTAAACAGGACATGCCTCAGTTGCACCAGCAGCCCTGGCCGTTTTTCGACCGTTTCTTCAAGTAATCATGTTGTATGTAATGTGTAAATAAAGAAAGCTTTTCCTATTTGTAATAATTTAATAATTCGCTTCGCATTATGTACATACAGCTCCTCGCTTTACAATATTCTACACTTGATATAATGTAAATTAAAGTAAATCATCCAAAATCGGATCGAGTTGTTTACTTTGGTTAAAATAAAAGAAAATAAACCTAGTGATCGCCGTTAGCTCGGAATGTCGAACATTATAATAATCGTATCCAAAAATATGGAGTCACTCCCACATCTTGAAAAAATATTTACATTTAAGTATTTCTGTTAGTAACAAGCTAGAAAATAGGCCAATATTATTTCTACATATCACATTAAAATACAATCAACCGACAAAAACTGTACAAGCGATACGGAAAAGAGGCCCGAACTAAATCTCAAACCAGACTTGTAATAATCAGGTACGGTCATATCTCAATAAAAAATATTTACTCTTGACCAAAAGTATCAGTTTCTTCTATGGCGTAAGTTAGCTTTTCGACTAACTGTTCGTAACTTTTGTACGGCGGTAGATCTAAACGATTAAAGCAGGTGTGAGAGCGCGGCAGCCAGGACTCCTTGCCCACCTTCTCTATGCAGAACTTCTGGGGGCCGTTGGAGCCCATCAGCTCCGCGAAACCCCCGACGGGGACTCGGCAAGTGCCGGTGACGAACTGCAGGAGACGGGCCCGTTTTTCGTTGTCAGATTGACGGACAAACTGGAAACAAACGTTCAAAGGCTTACACCCGACTGTCAAGCTACAACTTACCTGCCAGAACCAAACTACTGGCTTGCTGCTTCTCGTGTAGTGCCTATAAATAGTGTGTCTATTCCAGTCGTCCACGTCGATCTCTTGCATCCCACAAAGCAGCAACTCCAACTCCCTCTCATCGAAGTACTTGAGCCACTCGATCGGCACCACCTCGTTAAAACCATCCAAGAACGCCTGCGTCTGCTGCTCTATCCCCCTCGTCATCCTCCACTCCGTCATCAACGTCAAGTACTCCTCCTTATTCTCCTCAGTCACTTTCTCCTTATCACCGTTCTTCTTCAACTCGTGATGCACCACTTGTCCCAGAATCTCGAAATCTACACTATAATACAACTCCAACCCGCACTCGTCGATGTTGTTCTCCTTAATCCACACCAGCGAATTGTAAAACTCAGGGTCGATGCTTTCTATATCTTTCATCACGAGCTTCTTCCCCAACATTCGTTTGTAGAAGGGCATCGTGAAGCCGGAATAAATGAACCTCCCGTGGTACAACGCCATCGCGATGAACCTCCCTATGAACTTGAAGTACGTCAGGTGTTCGGGGTTGACGTACGACGCTGGGTTTATCTGGAGGCTGTAGTTGTTCTTGTTGGCGTACTCGAACAGACAGTACATGGGGTTGAGGGCTTCGTGCGAGACCAAGAAGAACCACTCGCGGCTGACCCCGCCGTAGTCGAGGCCTTCTTCACCTTTGAAGATGATGTAGAGCCTCCGACGCAGCTCGTACGCTGGCAGCCGCATGATCGTGTGGAAGGAGTCTTCGAAGAGGGTCTGGCGCGTCACCTGGATCTTGATGTGGCTAGGGAGGGCGTTGCTTTGACACAAAAATCTAAACGAAAAAAGCGGTATGAAAATTTCGACCTTTGATAAGGCATAGCGCGACGTAGAATTCAAAGGTGTGTACGGAACGTTATAACCTCATTTATAAAAACAAATTAACTTAATGAGGTGGTGTACTCTAAAAAATGCAACTGAACCCCAACGCCGGCGTCCTTCATTGTCTACGTTTACGAGTCGTTTTATCTCCGTTTTTGTTTAATCTTCAACTGTTTATGTAGCAAAAATAAATTAATCTCTTTATACTCGGCTTTGGCTTCTGACGCACTTTACGATTACTACTAAAATTTTCACGACTAATAAACCTCCTTATTTCAAATAAACATTTCCTTTTCCAACTCTGCTGACCTGAACTGACTGATTTTCCACTTGAACGATCTCTCGTAGGCCCTCGGTACTCCGTACACTCCCTTCGGACCCTTGGGGGCCCCAGGCCTCGGATCCTCGAACGTGGTGGTTTTGGTGTTATGATCGACGAAATACCTCTTGCCATCTTCCGTGTACCGAATTTCCCAACCTGCAGGCAACGGCACGTCGTCGATGCGTTCCCTGCCCTGCGTGCGGGGGTCCTCCCACTGAGTGGTGCGGTTCTTGTGGTTGACGAAATACACGCGACCTTAAAAAAAATGTACATAATTATATCCACAAAACAATTTTTTTATCAATAATAATTTTTACATATTTTTTGATTGACCTCTTTTGTGGTTGTAAAGCCTAAGAAGAGGTTGATCAAAATATTTAAAAATATATAGTGTTTCTTTTAAAAAACTACGTTGTCTCTTACGCCTTAAAACAGAACACTATGACTACTAAAAAAAATTGGTCTAAAGAGTTTAGACAGTACTTCCCTCGCTGTCGGAAACTTGACGACTGCATGCCTATTGTGTTTTTTTTCTCATTACATTTTTGTAGTGGGAATTTAAAAAAAAAATGCGATGACGTCATCAACATTTTTGCAAGGACACGTATATCAGTTGGGATAGATGTAGTGTAATACTAAGAATAAAATTATTATATTCTCAAATTTTCGGGAAAATGAATTGGGTCGTTTGAATATTGATTTGTAATAATCAATAAAATAACGAAACAATTTACTCACGTATACCTACGTATCAGAGGCAACTAAAAATCGTGTATGTATAAAAATTGTTAATTTAAGATGACAGGCGTAACAGCATACGTGAGAGCCAAACACAGAAACTGTAAACAAAACGACCGTCGGTTTTATTGCTTCGACTTCCGCTTATTATATAAAACATTGGGTTTTATTTTAATTCTTGACGGTGAAATTCACAATTGGTTGATTATAAACATGTCTATTTCGCATTCGCGGAACCAAGTGACCGCATAAAACAAATGCAGATCTGTAACGTTAAAGTCGATGTAAATAAGCGTGCTACCCTTATGTTTCAACCGAGTTTTTCCTTTAACAAATTTTGTGTCTACCAAATTGGGTTGGTTGGGGTGTAATACTAATAATAAGTGTTGCCTTTAATTTAATCAATAAAATAAATTGACTTCATTAATTTTTTTGAACCACCTCTTAAGAAAATCTAAAAAATATGAATGGAATGATAAATCACAAGTACAAACTCATCATATTTTTTGCATTTTAGATAGGATTTATTCAGCAAAATTTAAGGGTGACGTCATCAATTTTTTTTTAGGAGGGATGAACAAATACATTTTGAACAAAAGTTTAGCATGCTTATAATAACTTTAAAATATTCCCAAGATTTCAAAGCATTCGGTTTTCTAATTCCTGATTAAATCGATAAAATAAATTCACGCCTTCATTAATTTTTTTGAGTCACCCTGCATATGCAAATCCAAAAATATGATTGGAATGATAAATCACAAGTACAGACTCATCATATTTTGTACATTTTAGATACGATTTATTCGACAAACTTTTGAGCTGACGTCATCAGTTTTTTGTAGAAGATAACCAAATATATTTTGACTAAAAATTTATTATGCTCTTTATAACCTTAAAACATCTGCAAGATTTCAAACCATTCGGTTTTGTAGTTCCTGATTAAATCAATAAAATAAATTTACGCATTCATTAATTTTTTTGAGTCACCCTGTATATGCAAATCGAAAAAATTTGAATGGAATGATAAATCACAAGAAGAGACTCACCATATTTTGTACATTTTAGATAGGATTTTTTCAGCAAAATTTTGTGGTGACATCATAAATTTTTTAGGGGGGACGACCAAATACGTTTTGATCAAAAATTTACCATGCTTATGATAATTTTAAAATATCTTCAAGATTTCGAAGCATTCGGTTTTGTAGTTCCTGAGTAAATCAGTAAAATAAATTTACGCTTTCATTTATTTTCTTGAATCACCCTGTATATGCAAATCCAAAAAATATGAATGGAGTGATAGATCACAAGTACAGACTGATCATATTTTGTACATTTTAGATATGATTTATTCGGCAAATTTTCGAGCTGACGTCATCAAGTTTTTGGAGGGGATAAGCAAATATATTTTGACTAAACATTTATTATGCTCTTTATAACCTTAAAACATCTGCAAGATGTCAGAGCATTCCATTTTGTAGTTCCTGATTAAATCAATAAAATATATTTACGCATTCATTGATTTTTTTTGAGTCACTCTGTATAGCAAATCCAAAAAATATGAATGGAGTGATAAATGACAAGTACAGGCTCATCATATTTTGTACATTTTAGATATGATTTATTCGGCAAACTTTCGAGCTGACGTCATCAAGTTTTTGGAGGGGATAAGCAAATATATTTTGACTAAACATTTATTATGCTCTTTATGACCTTAAAACATCTGCAAGATTTCAGAGCATTCGGTTTTGTAGTTCCTGATTAAATCAATAAAATATATTTACGCATTCATTAATTTTTTTTGAGTCACCCTGTATATGCAAATCCAAAAAATATGAATGGAGTGATCGATCACAAGTACAGACTCATCATATTTTGTACATTTTAGATATGATTTATTCCACAAACTTTTGAGCTGACGTCATCAAGTTTTTGGAGGGGATAAGCAAATATTTTTTGACTAAAGATTTATGATGCTCTTTATAGCCTTAAAACATCTGCAACATTTCAAAGCATTCTGGTTAGCAGATTAAAAATTAAATTTCAAAATGTTGTTTTATAATTTTGATTTTTTTTCCAAAAATCTGGACGTTTCGGGTGAAAAGTCGATTCAGAGTTGTAAACTATATGTGTAGGACTATGTTATTTTATACAATTGAAAACCCATTTACTATGTACAATTTTGAAGTGACGTCATCGCATTAGTGGTGGGGATGATTAGACAAATTTTGGTTAGCGTTTTACCATCTACATGATATTCTTAATATAAGTACAAAATTTCACAACAATCGGTCGAGTACTTTCGGAGATTATCTGTCTAATAAAAATCCGGGACAACAGACGGACAGACGGACGGACAGACGGACAGACAGACGGAAATGGGAGACCTATTTCTTCGTCTTCTAGGGGTCATGAAAGATCGAGAAAACGTAAAAGTAGAGAGTCGGCCGACGGACTCGATTACAATACTTCCTTTGCTTACGCTCGGGAAGTAATAATTATAGAATGTAGGCCTCAAAGAACCGTCCAACTATGGTCTTTAATTTTTTTTCTATCTCTCATATAATTAATGAGATATTAATAGACTTTTGTCGTGTTTTAAAATAAAAGTCATGATATCCATTTGGAAATATTTAGCAACAGTCCGTTACAATAACATCAGAGTTCAAGTTTTAGAAATTTTCATTGGAGTGGAAGGTGTAATGTCATTTACAAATATTTCGAAAAATAAAGGTCTCAGGATAGGTCCTTGTCGAACCCCGAAGTATTTAATATTGGATCAGACTGAAAACCACCATTGTGTACCACCTGTATCCTGTCAATTAAATAAGATGTAAACAACTTAATGACGGACTCTAAAATATCAAAGGTGTGCAATTTTTCCAAGAATTTATAATGGTTCAGTCTATAGAATGCCTCGGAAAAGTCAGTATGTACACAATCGATTTGAGTTTCTGAATCAAAAGAATCCGACACGAACTGTTGGAGCAATCACTGAAGTTTGTCCCTTGACACTCACCTTCAGGCTGTACGCGCTTCTCCCAGCCCGGCGGCAACGAACCCAAACCGTCGTCGTCGTCCTCGACGACGACCGAGGTCCCCGGGTAGGGCCCCGGCTGGAACTGCGGGTACAAAAATCTTTGGTTTCCTTGCTGCACGATATGCTGCCGCTGCCCTTGCCATTGCTGGAAGTGCTCCAGACGCTCCGAATTAGGTCTTTGCCACGTCGTCGTCCTGGAGTTATGATCCACATAGTACACCCTCCCCCGCGGATCCCTCCGCATCTCCCATCCAGAAGGAAGCGGCTGCGGCCTCTCCCACGACGTCGACCTACACACAACAACCCCACCGTAATCCCCGTCTCCTGGAGGCCACCCTCTTCTCACCTCGTGTTGTGATCCACATAATAGCGCCTTCCGTACGTGTCGAACCGCATCTCCCAGCCCGGCGGCAGCGGCTCCTCGCTCCGCCCCTCCTCCGCCTCTCCGTTCTGCACCACGTTGCCGTTGGGCACCGTCGCCGGCGGGCCGATCCCGTTGGCCACCGGAGTCGAAGCCGGCGACGAGGCCGACGGCCGCGCCGGCCTCCGCTCCGGCGCCGCGTTCTCCGTGCCCGACCCCCGCACCTTGGCGCGCACGCCGTTGAGGACGGTGCGCGGCGGCGGCGCGCTCTCGGCGCCGTTGCTCTGTGTCAGCGGCGTCGCGCTGGGCCCCGGCTTGGGGAAGCGCGACATGTCGACGGTGAGGCCCTGGAACACGCAGATCAGCTCGCCGACTTTCGCCGGCGACTCGCTCTGCTTGTTCTCGTTCATCAGGTCGAGGGTGAGTTCCAGGTTCTCGCAGTGGCCGTTGAAGTGGCTGAGTAGCTGGAGGAGCTCGATCTTCTTCTCGCCGACGGGCGTGTCCTTGCGGAAGTTGTTACGGTCGAAGACGACGAAGTTGATCTTGGACTGGGCGGTGACGAGGAGGGTGAAGGTCTCGTTCCACTTGGGCTGGGAGGTGTTCTTGACGGTCTCGGTCTTGCGCGGATTGGTACCGTCCACGCTGATCTCGACGTATGGGGAGGGCTTGAGGAAGGTGTTGTTGCGGAGGTGGGCGCACTCAACTGGAAGCGAAAAGGGAGATTACATCGGGAAACAAGTAGGCGGTTCGGAGGTTTTGGGGACATGAAACTGGCGACACAAAATTCACAGTTTTATCTTAAGTTGGCGATCAAATCTCGTATCACATGAACGATAAACTACAGGGTTTCACACCATTGCAAAATAAATAATACTCCTAAATGAAATATTATCATTTTTCAATATTACCAAAAAACTCGATTGCATACTAATTCTCATTTTAGAAACACGATATATCTGTATTAAATAAGTGTGGGTTAGGTCTAAATTCTTCTCTTTTTACAATACTGCATTCTTCAGAAAACCATAGCTAAAAACTTAACGTCTAGATATAAATAATCATAAGATAAGTAGTGGCAAAATCTTATCGCTTCCTCGTGCGCACACATGATCAACAGATAAAACAAATTTAGCTGGCTGAATAGACTCCGTATTTGCCAATTTGACCCCCAAACGGATGTGAACCAGCTATAAAAAATAAATAACTAATAAAAGACACAAAAACCGCGCTCTAAACTCTCAAACATATGATTATGTTTAAGTGTGTCACATGACATCACGGTTTTAGTTTGTTATTACACGATAATAACAAACCTTGTGTTAACGACTACCAAAAACAATCACACAAACACAATCAAGCAGAGGAAATAAGAGAAAATGCAGTGGAAAATTGTAACTTCGTGCGCGCGTTATTACCGGGAAGCGATTACTTTTTTTTTATTCCAACCAATTGAAACCTGTGTATTATTATTATTATTGTTTTTAAACGACGTTGATCGCGCTTTCCAAGGCCATGAATCATCCCAATCAGATCAATAGAGAACATGTTCACGTCTATTTTTAAAATTTAAAATTGTGCATTTTATGACAACAATTATGCCACTTTCTACGCACTGCCGTTCGTTCTCTTTCTCCATTTCTAAACGTTAATTAAAATAATTGAAGCATGTCATGTTATCGCTTCACTTTCTCGCCCCCAACATGCCTCAGTAGATAAGGCGGCGGTGTGAATTATCTCCAAATCAATAAAATCAATGCAAATTTTCTCCCCATCTGTTATATCAATTATGCATTAAGTGACGACCGCTCAATACTGGAAAACACGCCGCTATTAAAAATAAATAATTACAAGTTGTGCAACTGGGAGAAATCGTAGTGACACTGGATTTCCCGGCAGGGCCAAACGTATCGTTCACCCAAATATTTGCAACGTTATCTCCTAATCCTCGTTCAATTTTTATCACTCTGTAAATATACCTGTAATGCTGAGTTGGTGCAAGCCCGGCCCTTGATCCACTGAAAGGTCCATCCTGTATTAGCTTATCATCGAGCCGGTTAACTGAAACCAACAACAACCATCATCTTCTTCGTCTGACAAGAACAAACACTGTTTAGATAAACACAGTGAGGGGCAGTCGAAGCTGACACTTGAAGCTTCCCAACCAGCAACTTACTTGTTCCGTCGCTAGTACGCTATGAATGTGTGATAAAGATGATTATTTAAACAATAAGACGCGTGAATTTTGATAAAAAACATAAAATTTCACTGATAGAGTGGCCGACTAGTGACGTAAAAGTGATAACAGTGCAATCACGGACACGTCAGGAAAACCACCAAAGGGTCCGCGTGCACATCAAAGAACCACTCAACTACTCAAACTCAAATGGGTGAAGAAATTCTTCCTTTGTTGCACCAAAAAACACTTTATTTGCAAATCGAAAACGAAACTTTCCTCCTTGCTGGAGCACTCGCCATTCTGTGGTGCTGACAGTGGCGCCAATCGAACGGAGGCGAAATCCCCGCTGCGAGTTTTAGTTAAAAAAAAACTTTTTCCAGCAGCCGATTGTCTAAACACAATTATTTCGTTGTATGCAGATGACACTTCAACACATAGGAATCTATTTTCGTAATTTGAAAAAATAAATTTCATTGTTTTTAATTAAGAGTAGAGGTTTTACGTTGGTCAGCGTGGCTATGGGAAAATTATAGGATTATAGTCGAACAAATTTGCAGAGTTGGTTGTTAATTTTTTGTTCAAATTTTTGCTGGTGTTTTCAGTTCCATCTTAGACATTTATTTTGTTCCTTTTTTTATAAAAATAACTCGAATATTGACTTATTACTTCAGGATTTTTTCGTACGTATATTGGTATAACTGACACAACTAGGTCAATTGTCATGACTGTCGGTTGTCACCTGTCACTGTGGTTGTCACTAAGTGCACGTGTTGTCAACAAATTTTGGAAACATGGGGGTTGACGACAAAAAAGTCGAGTATTTAGTCGTCGACACGACAGCTTTCATCCAAAATGCGCCGCTTCAGGTTGTCTTTTGATTTTATTTTGTTTTCATTACATTTACGTAACCTTACTTTCAGGAAGTGGCCGAAAAAATGGTCACTTGTCAGGAAGTCGTGGACGAAATTCTCAACAAACGCCAACTTAGACGTCTCATAGTTCTACCCTACGATTTACAAGTCAAAGAAGTTTTCCCTGAAAATATAAAAACAGTCACTGACTTTGCCATAAAGACTGGAGATTATCCAAGCCTCTCAGCTACAGATCTCAAAGTTATGGCACTAACTTATCAACTGGAAAAAGAACATGTAGGGACTCAGCACCTCCGCGTTGAACCCATCATGCAGAAAACCGTGAAAGTAGTTACAAAACAAGCAGTTCCTGATATGCAACCAGACGTCACTGGTTTCTTCATGCCAGGGCAAAAATCCCAAAAAATTGAAGAAACCGATGAAGCTGGCGACGAAGACGACGTAACCCATCATGACAGTGATTCAATTGATAAGTTAAAGGAAAAGTTTGAGACTCTTGAATGTACTGAAGCAAATGAAAAAATTAACGAAGATGAGCTTCTAGCTCCTATAGAAGATAACAGTGATGCTACAGAATCGAGCGAAGACGATGACGACGACGACGACGATAGCGGTTGGATTACCCCCTCAAACGTCAACCGCGCCAAGAAACAAGTCAACTCTGAACTTATTGAAGAAAAACACGTCAAAGTCGCCTGCATGACCACAGATTTCGCAATGCAGAACGTTCTCAAACAAATGAATTTGAATGTGGCGGCACTCGACGGTCGCATGATCAAACAACTGAGGACCTTCATCCTTCGTTGCTACGCCTGCTTTAAGACCACCAGCGTCATGACGAAGAAGTTTTGCCCGAAGTGTGGTCACAACACTTTGAAAAAAGTCGCCGTCAGCTTAGACGAAGAAGGGAAGTTGCAGATACACATAAATGGAAAGCGCCCTCTGACGGGGCGCGGCAAAAAATTTAGTTTACCGAAGATGAAAGGAGGGAAGCACCCGAATAACCCGATTTTGGCGCCGGATCACCCCATGCCACAAAATCGGGCCAGTAAATTAGCGAAAACCAAAGTTAACCCTTTGGATGACGACTACATCGCCGGGTTTTCACCTTTTGCTGTGAGGGACGTTACGTCGAGGTCGGCGCAGTTGTGTATACGGCCGGAAGACGAGACGAAATACTGGATGAGGAAAAATCCGAATGAAGCCAGAAGGCGAAGGAAATGAGATTTGTATTTAATTTAAATTATGTTGTTTATAAAGGTTTGCCTTTTCTTTTATTGTTGTATCGCTTCCGTGAGCATTTCTGTGTGAACGTGATCACGTGATCATTTGTCAACACAAAGGTGTAGCTGTTGTCGCCGTTGGTGTAAAAGTGATGCTCCTCCCCCTTCCAAGCGATCGGCGAATCAGAAAAACCTTGCACGTACATGGCCACCCAATCGCAGTTATGATTTCTCCTATATTCGCTAAAAAGAACCATACATTGATCAAATACTGTTATTTAATTATTGTGCGATATAAGGATGAAATTACCTGAGTTTATTATAAAAACGGGCGATCTGGGTAGTCGTGAAGAACCCCCTCCATTGTAGGAACTTAATCTGACCGACTTGCTGGTTAGGTTCCGGGGTTTGGTAAGTCGTGACGTAATTGTCGGGTTCTCCGTCTGTGACATTTCCTTGTAAGGCCACCATCCCTAACCATTCCACAAAATCGTAGTCATCTTGCACACTCGGAACTTTGACTGAATGCACCATGTGCGACTTTGCCTTAACTTGACACAGGTCGACGTCATAACCTAAGTCGTGAAAATACTTTGCCACAGACGACGGACAAATCTCCTCGCTCTTCGGCTCCCACGTGACTATGACGTCATGACTTATCTTTTCTAGGCAGGCTTTCGTTCGCTCGTAGTTGGGTTTGCCCGGTCTGAAGTGCTTGGCTTTTAAGTCGACAGTAACAACTGAAAAAGGTCAACGAAAACAATTGACTACATATTAAATAAAATATATTTATAATACGAGTATAAATACAATTATTTTGATCACAACACTTAGGATTTGTGCACGGGGGGTTTTCTTTAATAGTACGAGAGGGTGGGTCGTATATCCAAATCAAAATTGTTTGAAAAAATATGTTCTTTAAAGATTTTCAACTCCTCCATGCTGATGCCTTGCCAACTTTCCAGTTCAGACAAAACTCGAAGGTTGGTACAACTGGCTAACAACAACTCTACAGTTCTCATGCTCATGTCGCTACTGTAAAGAATCCTCAGCTCCTCCAAGTGCTTCATCGGATTGACCGTCAGTATGTTCGTGATGGACGAATGCGTGATCCCCGTCGACGACCCCAAATGAATATTCCTGATATTCACGGCATGCGAAAGAATGAACTCCAAATGACTCCTCGCACAATCCACCATCCAGAACAACTTCTCCAAGCTCTGGAAAGGCTGCACTTTCAACTTGCTGCCGTAGTTAATGGACATCCCGTCCATAAAATCACAGTTGTATAAAACGAGACTCTTCAGTCTCGGGCAAAACTGGCTAACATCCACCAACACGTTGAGATCGATCTCCTCCGCGTGCTCCAGGTGAAGGCTCGTGATATTACTCCCCCGCACCTCCAGCAACTGCTTCAAATAATCCCCGTAGAACGCACACGACAACAGTTTCAACTCTTTCAAGCAATCTAGCGACGTGAGGATGGTCAAATCCGTCACTTGTTCGTCGTTAAATAAATTAATAAACTCCACTTTTGGAAACAGATCGACTAGTAGGCGTAGATTTTCCTGAGACAACCCTCTGGCGTGGATTCGCCGGAGGAAGAACGGCCCGCTCCCCCCACTCTGATGCAGGGCTTTAACCACGCCCCCGACATCGTCGCACCGCCCTATATCCTGCAGCTTGGCCAATCCGCGGAGGATCTGCGCCAGCCCGACGGGAGTGACCGAGGTGCGGTGCAGCTGCAACTCCTTCAACTGCGTGCATTTCAAAAAGGAGGGGATACTGCGATCGGTGACGGACCGTGACGACGTCACATCGAGGCACTGCATCAGAGGGCAATTGTCTCCGATCACCTGGATCACCTGATCCGTGCAATCGAAACAAAGGCAAAGCGACCTCAGGTGCTTCATCCTCGAGATGCCTTCCACGATGTACTTGTCGTAGTCGCTGGTCCGCCACCCTCCGGTGCACGAGCCCAAATTTAGTACCTCCAACCCCGTCATCTTCGCAAGGTTCTTGTACAGGACGTAACGCATGATTTTGGGCCATTCGGTGAAATCTATCTGCTTAAGGAGGGGGCTCAGGACCACTTCTGTCAAGCTCACCACGACGTTCATCTCCGTCAAAAAGGCGGACATGTTGGTGTGTGGGTAGTAGGTTTTTTTGGTTTTTTCGATTAGGCCCTTGACGGCGTACAGCACTTCCGTCGCCATGTTGTCATACAAATAGTACGGCACGTGCGTGGCGAGAAGCTCGTTCAGGCAATCAAGGCATCTGTACAAACCCGTGACTATCTTTTGGGGGTCGTGGTAGCCCTGGAGTTTGGCGACGATCGGGGGCGAGAGCGATACGACAAGAGCGCCGGTGCCTCTAAGGCTCAGCGTCTGGAGAGTAGGGACGTGCCGATGTTTCGGCATCGTCTGAAACACAAGCGCGTTTTCAGCACCGGTGTGTTTGATTTGGAGATACGACTGTGGGGGAGAGGCGACAATACTTACTGTATCTGTCCGCGGCGAGCGAGTGGAAATGAGAGACGGAACCTTCCAAACCTAGAGTTTGATACGTGGACTTGTTTACGTTTAGGATGAGTTGAGCGGTTGGCGTTACGGCCGCGCAATTATCACAATCTATTCTCGTACCTACGCTTAATACATACAAATTGCCTGTGGAGAAGAAACGTGTAAGTCGGGGAAGTGAGGTTAGGGTCGCACTTGCCGCTATTTACAAAACTGCTGATGAAGTCCTTTGCGACGAATTCGCTCAGTTTTACGTTGGTTATCTTGTAATAATCACAATCGTTAGTTTCGGATAAGCTTAAGCTTTCTGGCACTTTTAAAGTATCAGGCAGGACGACGGACACCTGAAAGATCATCAAAGACCAAATAAATGGGGGCGTTGTGGGGGTTTTCGCTTACCAGATGATTATAATTGAAATTGTTGATGACGTTCAAATGGTCGCTTTCATGGGGGCTGCACCTTTTTATTGAAAAATTGGATTCCGGTGCCTTGAAGTTCCAAACTTCAGGGCACAGCATTCTATTATGTAACTGTAATTATTTTCTTAAACGTAATCACTGGGGAGACGTTCAGAACTTGTTATTCAAAACGCCAACACAAACATTTTATTACGCAGTCTTTTTGCATTTTTGTGGACAGCTGTTGCGGAGGACAACACCGTTGGCAACACTGCGGCCTTGAACGGCATTGACAGTTCTTGTTACCAACCAATTATAGAACTAGAGGGACTGGATTCCAGAAAATTCTAAACTTTCAACGAAAAGTTTTAATGTTTCTATCACATGCTCAGTTTCTATATTAAAATTGTCGAAGTAATAGAACAAAAACAGCTGTGTTGGGGTTGTGCACTTGTGTTCACAAACACAAAATAAAATACTCTCAAAACATTTATTCTCTCGACATGTAAAAAAATGGAACTTTAGTCGTTGACAATTGAAACTTAATTACATAATGGATAATCAGTTATCCAACCAACACACACAAAACATAAATTATACATTTTCATATATGCAACTCTTATTCAAACTCCAAGGACATCCAGACGCGATTATCGTCCCTCAACTGTAACAAAACACAACGTAAACGACGAGCACAAAACACCCTTGAACAACTTACTGTAAGTGCTGAGATCAATTTCATCAGGTAACTCCGTGATGTTTACGTCAAATCTATCTTGTACCTCGTTCAAAATTTTAGCGTCACTTTCCTCTGACACAAAAGTGACTGCCAAACCCTTTGTACCAAAACGTCCAGCTCTCGCTACTCTGTGCAGATAGGTGTCTGAATCTTCAGGCATATCATAATTGAACACAATATTGACTCTTTCAATGTCCATGCCCCTACCAAACAAATTCGTGGCTACTAAAATTCTCTGTAAAAAAAAAAACACAAAAAAAAATGATTACGCAAGATATGGAATTATATACTTTTTGGAAATCTTTGAACTGCTGATAACGCGAAAGACGCTCTTCTTGATTCATTCCTCTATGAATCCCGATCGCAGGGAAGTTCTGTTCTGTCAAGAGTTGAGCTAGGGCGACACACCTTTGGACTGACTTTACAAAAATCACGACCTGAAAAAAACAACGCTCTATGAATCAAAAGTTAAAATTGATGGCAAGTGTTGTGATACACAGTGTGTCAGTGAGAGAGTTCAATGAAAATTAGTAATCATTGCTATCATAATTAAAAATTTCATCATTTTAAGCAATCAGTGGCGTTAAATTATCAACATACAAACCTGATTAAATTCCAATACATCAAGCAATTCAAAGAGTTTTTTATTTTTTTCATTTTCTTTGAGTTTAACATAGTGTTGCTGCAGTCCGTGCAAAGTCAATTTGGCTTCATCATCCACGTAAACCTCCATCGGCTAAACATAAAACATAATTAAACAACCACACACAAAAACAAATGAAAACAGTTTTGTCTTTTTTTAAATCAGACGTCTACACCATCATAGCTTAGCTCTGGTGGAAACCGCGAAAGAATAAAGATACTCATCACAAAACTGTCTTCAATTTTTGCAGTTCTCAATTTCAAAACTGAACAAAAACTAATTTGATTTACAATTTCTCAAAGAAAAACTAAAACTGCAGTTACGAAGGGGTCTGTAGATCCATCGCACATACAGTGAAAAGTCGCATCCCAAAGTCGCATTCCACTTGAAATCAACGATAAACGGAAAACCATTAAGCCCCATGATGCTAACCCCCAAGGACATCACTATTGCGTAAATTTTGTTGCACTGTAGCACGGCCGAAACGTTTATCATAATACGCCCCAAATAAATCTTCTTTTCCTCTTGATCCGTCTTCTTGGCCCCGCCCAACCCCGGCCTACACGTTGGGCTACAGTGCGCTAAGTGACAGGATTACAGGAGAGGAGAGGTCAACCCAATACACCCCCGATTAAGTTTTAAGTGACTACAATGCGAGTGGGTGCGCTGCATAGTGTAGTATAAGAAGTTTCAATTACATCTTGCATGAATTTCTTGCAGACGGGGCGAATTTCTTTGCTTAGGGTGGCGCTGAACATCATTACTTGCTTGCCGTGAGGTGTATTGCGGTAAATTTCTTGCACGTCCCTCCTCATATCTGAAAGAGAACACAATCTATTAAAACAACAATCACACAACTCTTTAAAAAAATTATATGCAAAAAAAAAATCAGGATAGGCCCAGTTAGCTTCAACTATTTTCAGATGTCCCTACCTATAGGCGTCATCATTTGCATCAAAACAAAAAACAATTACAAAAAAAAAACTAGTTCTTACCTAACAACTCCAACATCTTGTCACACTCATCCAAAATAAAATGTTTCAGATGTTTGAGATTGAGTTTCTTGGACCGGACCAAAGCGAGAATGCGCCCCGGCGTTCCCACGACGATGTGGGGGCAATTGTTCTTCAAAACTTCCTCGTCTTTCTGTATAGATAACCCACCAAAGAACACTCCCACTTTAATGTTTGGCATGTATTTGCTAAATCGTTCGTATTCTTTACTAATTTGGAAAGCCAATTCGCGCGTGTGGCACATGACGAGCACATACACAACATTTTCGGTGGGTTCTAGCTGCTGCAGCGTCGCCAACACAAAGACGGCAGTTTTGCCCATACCGGATTTTGCTTGACACAGAATATCCATGCCCAAAACGGCTTGTGGGATGCATTCATGTTGTACTAAAATGCGAAAATGAACGTTTGTTTACGAAAAAATAAACGTGTTTACCTTCGGAAGGGTGCTCGAAACCACAGTCGACAATCGCTCGAAGGATTTCCGGTTTCAGGAGAAAATCTCTGAAGCCTGAACTGTGAATTGATACGTAAGTACCTTTGATGCCCTTCTTTTGATCACCAGCCCCCACGGTCTCGGCAACGGTTTGCTCTGGATTTTCTTCATCTTCATAATCGAGAAGATCGTCGGCGTCGGCCATCGTAACGGTTTTTGTTTGGGTAAAATATACACGAAAATAAGAGCGGATACAGTTAGATTAAACGGCCTTGATTAAAATTTTCACGTGAACGGAGTTAAATAACAACGGATTAATATTTATTTTGTGGATTTTTTCAAGACACAACTGACTAGCCGAACATCAACGTACAAATGGCGACAGGAAATGGCGGAGTGACGCTTGCCGCTACGACCAGCTACGTCTACGACCCCCCCTCCCTCCCCGTCAAACCAATACCAACAACAAAAATCCCCTAGAATTACAAACTTTCCCTGTTATATAACCTTGTCTTGAATAAATATTGTGAAAACCGACTTCGAACACTTTTATTTTTCTTTTAAATTACAATTACAACAGAATCTACAAATTTTCACCCAATAAGTGACCATGGTCATGATCCAGATAGTATCTCAATCCGCAATATCCACAAGCGTGATTGCCAGGCTTATCCTAAAAGCACATTTTCAGAAACGACAAATAATAAAGTTGAATCACTCACAAGATTTATATATACTTTAGGGTGTCCGATAGGGCCGCCGCCTCCATCACACCAGACCACACGTTCTTTACAAGGTTTGGGAGGAGCTTCCGCTATTAAATCTATAGCAAAGTTTGGGTTTACATGTTTAGGTCGGCCCACGAATCTAGACAGTCGATAATCGTTCTCGTCCCATTTCTACAAGTACATTTTGAGACAGATGTAGGTTATGGGGGTCATTCTAACCTGTCCGGTGTGAGTTTCTTTTTCTTGAGGAACCCAGTCCGAACTGTTCCTTGCGACTGCTACTACGTTAGGAAGGAGGTATTTCGGCTGTCGCAATACGAAAAAAGGTAGATTTTTTGCGAAAATTTTAGACATTTTCGATAAAATTGACAGACACTGTCGCCAACTTTACAAGAGTGACGTAACGTGAAATCAAAAAGCAGAAAATTTACACGAATTAGGCACCTATCGTCATTATAAATAGTATTTTACTCATTTTACATGTACAGTTTTTTAAGGGACTCAAAAACTAAAATTGTATGTACATATAAAGACAACAACAAACAGATGGATCTAGTGATTCTATTCCCGCCAAGGTGTCATCCCTGTCAAACAATGTCATGATGGATGAAATTTGATTCTCAAAATGCTCCCTAAATTAACATTTTATTTTTATTTATTTGAATTATTTACAATTAAAGAAGTAATTGGCCATGATGTGGATCCTCTGGGGTACATACTTTATTGTCCCTGCATGGGTAAGTCGCAGTAATGGTACTATCGTCGCAAACACGAAAAACGTTGTAGGCAGATTTGGAAACCAAGCGGACCACTTTTTGGGGGCTCTGGGCTTCGCCCACGGTCTCAACCGCACTCTCGTTTTGCCCCCATGGGTCGAATATCGTTATGGCCAGCCCAGATCCATCCAAGTCCCTTTCGACAAGTATTTTAAAGTAGCGCCTTTAAAGAAATTCCACAAAGTCATCACCATGCACAAATTCATGAAAGAAATCGCCCCTTTTGAGTGGCCCGAGTCAGAACGCATTTCTTTCTGTTATGTTAGCAGAGGTACTTAACAGTCGACTATAAAACAACACAAATCACCACTCATTTTTAGGAACCAGCAATGACTGCAACGCTAAAGAAGGCAACCCCTTTGGACCCTTCTGGGACACTTTCAATGTCGATTTCGTCGGTTCCGAGTTCTACAACCCCCTACACTACGACACTTACCACCACAACATGGCCAAACAGTGGCAAGACAGATACCCACCATCAGACTGGCCAGTTTTAGCTTTCACGGGAGCCCCAGCCAGCTTTCCTGTGCAATTTGAAAACCGCCACCTCCACCAGTACCTCGAGTGGTCGATCGAAATCTCTCAAAAAGCTGACAACTTCATCAAAAAAACTCTTCCACAGGGAGCTTTCGTCGCCATTCATTTGCGCAACGGGGTAGACTGGGTCCGCGCATGCGAACACGTCCCCGAGAGCCCCAATTTGTTCGCCGCCCCTCAGTGCCTTGGCTACATGAACGAGAAGGGCAAAGCTACCATGGAGATGTGTCTACCATCACAGCAGACCATCATCAGACAAGTGAAACGCGTCATCAAGAAGGCCAGCAGCGACAACGTGATAAAATCGGTGTTTGTTTCTTCCGATAATAATCACATGATCGCGGATTTAAACGAGGCGCTGAAGAGGATCAAAATACAGGCTTTTAAGTATGACGAGAATGAGCCTCATGTTGATTTGGCTATAATGGGTAGGGCGAACTATTTCATTGGGAATTGCATTTCGTCGTTCAGCGCTTTTGTTAAGCGGGAGAGGGACGTTAGGGGGTTTCCGTCGAGTTTTTGGGCTTTTCCGCCAGAGAAGGGCGGCGGAGGAAGGAGGGAGCACGTTAAAGATGAGCTGTGATAAGAATGTTTTTTTTTTTATATACGGAATGAAGATATTGATTTTAAAGTGTTGCTAAATGGAGATCTAGCAGGTTTGGTTAAATGTCATCTAAAATGTTTGACCATGTGTACAATTTTCTAAGAAGTCACTTGGGGAAGTGGCATGTTTTTGTGCTATTTATTGAAAGTATATTACAATTTTTTTTCTGATGGTTATAAAATGTCAAGTGACTTCTTAAATGTTTATAGTATAGTGCAGTGGACATTTTTAGATTTACTTAATTTATTTTACTTATTTACTATTTTTATTTTTAATATAATAGAATAGAAAAATAGTTTTATATGCCATTAATTCAGAACCAAGCAGGTCTTGGTTAAATGTCACATGCAACAGTGACTTTACCAAATAGAATCAGATTAGATTTTCCATTATAGGAAAATACGTTGATAAGGCGTTTTATTTATATTCTTATATTAGTATTTGCGCATAGAAAATGAATTTTGGGTAAAAAAAGCAGTTTTAATCCATATGTTAAGTTAAATAATTATGTGAGTATAGTGAGTCAGAACTCGGAAATTCAAGTCCTTTAACTGTGAATTGTTTTAAAATTATTAATTCTTGTAAATAATTTATGTTTCTTCAATTTTGAACTACAACCTTTTCAAAAAGTGTCACTCGTTAATATTTTTGCTCAGTTTTGACGTTTTCCGGGCATTTTACACTTCTTGTAGTGGACAATAAGCAAGTAGGACGAGTTATTTATATTTTTATCTAGTTATATTTAGTGTTTCACATGTACGGAACGAGTTTTGAGAAAATATTTGTTTTATTAATGTTATATTATCAGTTTAGCACTAGAGCGAACTACACCCAAATATCGCTTTATCAATGGGATTCGATAATAATTGGAAATTTTTGAGATAACGGTTGGCATTTTTTAATAAGGACTTCTGGTTCGTTATTTTTGAGAATTTTTGGAAAATAATTGACAAAAATTTGTGTGAAAGAAGGCCGTGGCCAGGTTTAACGAGGAGTTTTTCCCAACGTGAGAAAACTTAAACTTCCCAAATTTGAACGGAAATTCCGTACAATAACGAGAGTAATTGTGTAAGGCCGCGGTTCAATTACCAGAGTGTGATAGTGGATGTAAATACGACGATTGTCTGCGTATTGTGTCTAAGATTATGCAATTTAGCAATAATGCCAATCGACTGCCTTTATCGCGATAAAGATTTATCAAAACTCGCTCTTTTTGCGCCTCTGCTTCCAAGTATCTCTGTATCCTGGAGCACTTTTGATACATTTTCGATAAAAAAAAAACGTAAACAACCGCCTCCATTGACTTTATTGCATCCGTAGTAATCCGAAAATTGTCGCCCTTGGCTCCTCACACAAAGAAATCCGTGATGCTTGCGTACGCAAGCCGTATTTTTTTCGCCGCTGCGACTTCCGCCACCATTAAGCGTCCCGTCCGTAGAGCCGCCTCGCCATAAGCCAAGCGCAGAATATTGAACCTTAACCACTCGGCCACTACCGCCCACGGCGCGCTCGGCACCGAACCGAACTCGGCGACGGTCGTTGTCGGCAAGGCCGCGCGCTGATTGGCGAACGACACGTTGAAAGTAGGTTGTGACGTCACGACCCCAACTCTATAAGTATATGTGGACGCGCATTCGTCTGCATTTCAGTAGAAAGTGGCGTTGTGAGTGGCAGTCAGTGACAGTATTTCTGAGAAAAAAAAAAAGATGGCCAGTGAAGCGCAACGCCTGATCGGCATTTCGTTGACGAAGATCGCGCAGTCGAGGTCGCACCGCGGGGGGGTCAGCCTCCACAAGAACCTCCTCGTGGCGACCGTTCTGCAGAAAGCGCGCTATATCTTCATGGAGGAGGCCTACAACATGGTGCACTACCAGCCGCCGGCGCCGGTGCAGGCGCGGCCCGTGCCTGAGGAGGAACTCGTGGGGTTGACGGCCGAGGATGCCGGCTTGGGGGACGACGTGCAGGAGGCGGCCTCCGGCGACGGCTTCGAGGGCTGCGCCAAGTGCCAGGAGAGCCAGAACAAGGAGAACCAGCCGCCGCTGACGTACTTGGACCTGGACAAGCCCAACGTGCTCCGGGAGCGGGGCCACTGCCTGAAGCGCCGGCGGGCCGTGTCCGAGTGGGAGACCGAGGAGGCCGTGCAGTCCATCCTGCCCAAGCGCTGCCGGCAGGAGGAGGAGGACGACAGCGTGTTCGCGGAGGACGCGGCGACGAGTCTATCCGACGCCGTCGCCAAGGAGGTGGAGGCGGAGCGCGGCTCCACGATGGAAATCGACAGGATCACGTCGCTGGTTTCCATCTTCAGCTTCAGCATGGGCGAGAACAAGCTCAACAGGTCCGTGTCGACGCCGGACTTGTGCTCGGCGCAGGCGAAGGACGCGGACACGCTGCAGCAGCGGCCCTTTCTGGCGATGACGGTCTAAACGCGGGCCCTTCGGGCCCGGTGGTTGATCTCTGAACAACGACGTCCGTGTTGTGCTTGTGATAAGAGGAGTCAGTGGCGGGGAAGATGCCAGATTTTGTGATAGAATGTTGTATTTTTTGTGGAGAGGCCTGAAGGGTTCGAGGCGGGCTTTCGACATTCCAGTTTACCTGACGCAGGTAGTGAGTGACCGGACTCGAATCCGCAGGGACGTACGTGCTGTAAATACATTTCAAGAGGCGGCTCTGTTTTAAGAGACCATGTAATTTTATTCTTGTACATATGTCATACTTATATATTTGAAAAATAAAAAGTTTTGGAGTATCTGCTTGTTTTCTTCTTTCTAGCCTTGATTGCGCTTATCGGATCAGCTAGGCCGATGAGTGCGTGGCGTGATTTGTCTTGGCACGACTTATCGCCGGACAAGTTTCACATATGCCGAGGACCTTGAACCTTGCCTTATCACGCTGACGTCACGCTGGGGAATTATCGATTGCAACACTAATTAACACGTGGCGAAACTGATGCATTTTCGGGATTTTTCGAAACGCGACTTCAAACGGGATAAAAGTCTGGACGCTGGATGACGTCACGACTCGAAAAGGTGCGACCGTCGACAAAAAAAAACATTTTTGTATCCCCTGGGTAATTTCATCCAGGATGCATTCATAAAAGTCAATTTCTGCCCACGCTTTCTCGAACATTACTATTTTCAGACATCCTCTCAAACTAAATACCGGTCGAAATCGGACCGCAGATTAGCCATCCGCTCCATATAACAAACCCAGTGTAACCGAAATATGACGTGATTACACGAAATAAACGTGCCATTATCCCCTAATGACGTCAGCAACCGCAGAGGCTCGTCACTCGCCATTTTTACATATCTCTTTGTATGTACAACTACAGACAGTACCCTTTTTCAACCCTTGTCTAATTTTACACGGGATGCGCCTTCGAGCGTCTATTTCCGCCCACACTTCTCTAAAATTGCTATTCTCGGAGCAACCCCTAACGATTATTAATCGATCCACAGAGACTCGCTCCACATTTCCAAATAATTGTACAATGAGTGCATTATTTGCTTTAGATAGCCGTTTAGTTACTCATTGCGGTTACGCTTCGTCTTAATCATTCACTGATAAGGAAAAGCTGAGAATATTTCTGGTAATGTTTCCTCAAATGACAACGATATGCGGTCATCCATGGCATGAACTCGGTATTAGTTAATCGAAGCTTACTCATACGCTCTGACATGGACACTTGGTAGTGATTCATAAATACAGAGGGGAAACGATTAGGGTGCGATGTTTAACTTGTGCGGATGAATAGATGGAGTCAGGGGTGGATTAAAAATATTCATTTACGAGTGGTCTAGACGTGGGGCTAATTGGGAGATAAGTCGCTGCGAATTAAATTCCTGTTTGTTTGTTTTTTGTGTAACTGATTTATTTCGCAATTTGTAAACAGTTACATAATGGGAATATTCATGCGGGGAATGCAGTGTAAATGTGCACTTAAAATTCAATTTTTATGTAATTTATGTTGCGTTTAAGTATGATTGGCGGTTATCGGAGTTCATTACACAGTTACATTACGCCTGTTTAATAGTGCCGATAAACGAAATTTACCAAAAAAAAATCGTTTTGTTATAAAATTATAGTATTTTGTAAAACGTTTTCCGCAATAGTGTCTACTTTAGAAACATGAAACAATTTTTCGTCTGAAATGCAAATTTTCTTTGGTCAATGATTTTTCAAGGCTGCTTTACATCGTGTTCATTGTTTTCTTTTATAATAACCTTTAGCATAAAGAATAACGGAATATTAATCAATTTAAGCAGACAGGTAGTTCGTTGTTTAAAGATCAAGAAATTTAGAGACGACACGCAAAAATAGTTTACGAAATGTCTTTTAATGTGATTTTCGTTTAAAAAGTACAAGTAAAAGTAATTTTAATAGATAGCATTTTTTGTTTTGTGTAAAAAATCTCTACTTCAAATTTCCCGCCGCGTTTTTTTTTTTCCATGGACATAACCTCTACCCACCTGCCGAATATCTAAATCACACTAGCCAAACCCCATTTACATGATCACATCACCCGATCGAACCACCATCTTGGTCGGAACTCTACCCTCCGCCTCATCCCCTGCCCTCTCTCAATCGTTATAAATTCTTTCACAATGACAGCAGCCGGTGATGGCGAATCCCGGTTCAGCGTTCGGGCCATCGTGGTCAACGACCGGGCGGCCATAGGTGGTCCGCACACCTCCGCCGCCGTAGCGTAGAGTAGACTCGTTCTGCTTTCTTCGCCCGTCGTGTACCAGCAACAGGTAGAACAGACACAAAACGACACGTTCCAACTTGATAATCGTAGACGACAATGGGACGACGACGTTTCGAAAGCTGAATCGTTGGGACGCGCTTTCTAACTGCCGAGGGAAGTCCCGGCGCGACCTTGGCGTCTCGGCTAATCGAGGGAAATTCACCCGAGGTTCTTTACTGGTCGCGGGTTTGTCTAATTGCCGCGTGGAATTCGCCCGATCGGACTCGGGCGGCGGCGAGGTCACTTCCTGTTAGACCGGTGCGACGAAGCCGTCTCCGACGGGCGCGCCGTCGCCGCGAAGACGTCCAGCAGGTGCAGGCCGGACACCTGCATTCGGGCAGGTGAAGTGCTGCTCTTCGCTAGACGGACAAGGACGGCGGCGAGGGCGGGGCTGCATCTGTACCGGGTGTCGCGATTACGACAGGGTGCACCTGTGCGTGCGTCGAATTGTTATAGGACTCGCCGAGACAAAGAACCCGATCGAGCGGGTTCGATTTTTGACAGCTGAAATGGCAAACGGTAAACAAAGGAATGCCGTTAGAGAAACAGATGAATGTGCGAGAGCTGAGTTTTGTAGGCTGCAGGTAAAACAAACGAGTGTCGTTCGAGGTGGCCTAGTTCGGCGGGCGGCGATTGTTCGCGTGGAAATGACGACGGTCACGTGATGGCTGTCGAAGGAGAGCACGAGGTGCCAGTCTGGAGGACGCTCGGGGGGAAGTTCTAGACGGTTTTTTGCTTATCTGGGGCTACAAGAGGATGTGCAGCCCCATCGACCATATGCTACGTGGCGAAATTATCTCATTACGTTTGCCTTCGGGGGCTGCGTAGTCGTGAGTTGTGCTTTTGCGTCGTTTGGTGCGTTTTTCTTCGTGGATGTTTTCGGGGAATCCCGCTACTACTCAAATTGGCTTGCTCCTTCAAGCTAAAAACAATGGCATTTGCAGAATTTCAATATTGTTATCCGTTTTCGCGATATATCCGAGACACTCTGTACATGCATATTTCCATCAGGTTTCAATGTTCCATGTTCTACTTTATTGAAAATATTGTTATTTCATCTCCTGAGCGTAGCTGAAGAAAAATAGTAACCGGGCGACTTGCCACTCTCGCGTTTTCTCGACGTTTCATGACCCGTGAGTACTATAAAGTGGTCTCTCGTTTTCGTCTGTCTATCTATCTTTCTTGACATACCGTTTGTGTCAAATGAATTGAGCACCCATTATTTCCATTATCGAATATTCCATCCCGGTTTCCTTACATTGCCCAGGAAACCGACACAGCTGATGTTGACGTTGACGTTTTGAAATTGTGGCACAGCCACCATAGCTACGTCACTGTCACAACTGTTTCTCAACAATGACCTTGAACCAACCAATCAGAGCCGCGATTTCTATAAACCTTAGGGCCGGTTGCATAAACGCAAATCAAATTTAATCTCTGATTAACTCCATAGTAACGATTGTTATTATCATAGTTACAATTGTTCTTAATCAGAGATTAAATATGATTTGCGTTTATGCAACCGGCCCTTAGACGTCGACCGACGTAACTACGATTGCGGAATGGAGTAAACTATAACGGCTGCGACCAGATGGATAAAGAATTTTATCGTGAACATTGCAAAAATGTTTATTTTTGATTTGTTTAGTTCGTTTAACGTGTTTTATTAAGGCCATTGGAAATCTGTTATAGAACAAAATTTAGCAGACTTTTAAAATCAAATCAGTGCAGTGTAATCGATTCGAATTTTGGCCACATGTCTGACTTCGTCGCGAGGGGGAGTTCCTAGACGATTTTTTCCGCGTTTTTGGCTAGATCACGAGCCTTCCGCAGCCCCATCGACCATATGTTGCGTGTCGAAATGATCCGCGGCCAGTTACCTTTGCCTTTCGGGATTGCGCAATGGTGTTTCCACCGTTGGCGCGTTTTTTCCTCGCCGACGTGTTCCGGGAATCCCGGGCGGTACAGGGACTCCCTGGAAGCCCCTACGCCGCCGCAGCGCTTTAATTACTTTGTGTCAGTGACCATGGTGACGCAATTCGGTTGTAAAACTCGGTGGGCGTCGAAGAGAGAGTTTGTTAGAACTAAGGTTGCGCAAACGCATAGGTAGATATCGCGATTTCTGCACGAAGCTTACATAATGGGTCGTCCTTTCGACGAGCGAAACGGCAGGACCGAACCTAGGGCTCAGGTGTAAAAATCCTGCTTCTTTATTTTCGGATATCCGGCGGCGGCATCCGCTGGAGCTGGAGGGCCAATAATAGATCGGTGCGTGGATACAGACGTGCGGCTAATTATCGCAGGACCTTGGACTTTGACGGAATATCGAGCCACGAAAAATTCCATCATGAGAGCGGTCGGAGGACGGCGGCCTTGCCGCCGTTTCGCGCTTTGTGGGATCGGGGGCGGCGCCAAACTTTGGGAACGCTCGAACTGTTTATTTTGACATTTGATGCGGCCTTAGAATGCGGCGTCACGTGGCCTTCGGTGCGCCCGCATCAATGACGCCAACGGTGCACCTCGTACATACATACTCTAGACTCGTTGCGTGTCCACGGGAAGTGCTGCATTTTGCGTTGCGACGTTTTTTTACGCGAAAATAAACTGATTCCGCGTAATTAGGATAAGAGCGTGCTGAGGTGGATGGTCCGAAAATAGAGTTCCGTTTATTTCTCTGGTTTTTTTAGCTTCCCGCAGTGCTAGTCATTGTTTCGACGAACGGGGCGCTGAGTAATCGCGGAATAATAATAAGCCAAGGTGGACGGAAGGGTCAGGAGTTGTCGAGGGATCTATTGTGTGTGATTCAATCGGACCCCTGCAGAAGAATGAGTCACAGAGGAATTGTTACCCCCATCTTTCGACAACCAGTTGCGTGAAGCGTCGAAATCGAAATTCTGATGGGTCGATAAGAGTAGAAGCGCTTTTTAATTTTAGGTGCACGAAGGTATCGATCGATTCGAGCAAGGCAGTGAAAGGCTGCGTTCTATTGTTGACGGAGG